AAGGCGGCACGCCGTGCGAACTTGGCTGGGAAAGGGTGGTGTGTTTGCGCGAGACGCACAAGGCCTGGCGCCGCGGCGCAACGGCCGGAATATGAAACGCGTTCTCGGCAGTGTTCTCGGCAGTGCTCTCGGCAGTGCTCTCGGCTGCGTTCTCTCTCGGCAGTGCTCTCTCTTGTGGGTGTTCTCGCTGGGGTCTCGTCTCGCGGCGCCTCTCTCGCTCGCGCTCTCGCCGCCTCCCCCGTTGCCCTCTCTCGGCCGGCTGCTGTGGCTCCCAATTGCCCCGCTTTTTCTCGGCCTGCTGTTCTTTCTTCATCGTACCGGACCTGTCTGCTGGCTCGCCTGTCCGTCCTGCTGCTGCTGCCGCCGCTGCCTCGCCGGACCTCCCTGCTGCCTGGCCTCTGGAGCGTCTGCCTTCTCTGCCATCGTATTTGTGCTGGCCGGCACTGTCGAGCCTAGATCGAGTCTAACTGTGTGCCGTAACCACAGGTGCGTTACCACCGGACCCGCTCGATCACTCGACCTGCACCGGCCCGACTGATCAGGCATCATCCGCCTGGGCTGGCGCACCGATGTTGCCACCGCTCTATGCAGCATTCTCTCGCTCTCCACTCGCTGGCCTAACCACATTTGCGGCTCTCGGTTTGTCGCCGGCCTGCAGCCATGTCAGAAATTCCCAACCGAAACGGTGCAAAGCTGGGCTACAAGCTCAGCGACTTTGAGCTGCTGAAAACCCTCGGTATGGCCCACCTGCCCTTCCTCTGCCTTCCTCTGCCTTGCTCTGCCTTGCTCGGACACACTGAGCACCTGGTATTCTCTGGCCTCTTGCAAGCGGCGCCCTGTGTGCTTGCACCCAGCGGGTTCTTGCCCGGCCGCCGGGCTGTCGACTTGCCACTTACTCTGCTTTCCTGCTGGTCTGCCGCTGTCGTCTCTGCTGGCTGGACGCCGTCGCAAATCCCACCAACGGACAGGCACTGGCACCTTCGGCCGAGTGTACCTAACAAGATTCAAGGGCACCGAGCAGTATTATGCCATGAAGGTCTTGAAGAAGGCCGAGGTCGTGCGACTAAAGCAGGTCGAGCATATCAACTCCGAAAAGACCATTCTCTCCGAAATCAACTTCCCGTTCATCGTCAACCTGTAAGTTGCGCCTGGTTACCCTCTGCTGCTCTGTCGCGCCAAGCGGCTGCCCTGGTGCGTGGCCGTTGGCACCATCGGCCGTCGTGGCTCTGCTGGCGCCTTGCTACAATACACATCGGGTCTCTCCGTTTGCCTGCAAGCTTGTTACTTGCAGCGTACATACCCGCTGCTGTATCTGTTGCGGCTGTATGGAGGCTGTGTCGATGGAGTGGATGCGTGGTGCCAGACTGCCGCTCTGGACCAACGCCTTCTGTTGTGCCGGTTCCCTGCTCCCAGCCTGTTTGGCGGATCCACCACCATCCCGGCACCCTTCCCTAATCTGCCGGTGGTCTGTTTTCCTTGGCATTGCAAGGCTCTGCACGTTCCAAGACGAAACCAACCTGTATATGCTTCTCGAATATGTTGTCGGCGGCGAGCTGTTCTCACATCTGCGAAAGGCGGGACGTTTCAGCAACGATATGACCCGATTCTACACGGCCGAAATCATCCTTGCCATAGAGTACATGCACTCGCTAGACATCATTTATAGAGATCTCAAGCCCGAAAACCTGGTGAGTCTCGTTCCATGTCGCACCCCTGTCCATCCTGCATGACTGCGTCGCTTTGCCGATCACCACTTTGCCCTGTGCCGCGGTCGCCACCGATGCTTGCTCCCACTCTTACTCTTGTGCATGTGATCTATCGCTGCGACATGGACCCGCTGCGTGTAAACCCTCCGCTGTTACCAGCTGTTGGATGACAAGGGACACATCAAGATCACGGATTTTGGATTTGCAAAGAAGGTTGAAGACAGGTAGGATTTCTACGGCACCCCTACTGTCGTCCGAAATGCCTACATCTTCTCATCCCAATCATGCCTGTGCTCAGAACCTGGACCTTGTGTGGCACACCCGAGTATCTTGCCCCTGAAATCATCCAGAGCAAAGGACACGGAAAGGCTGTCGACTGGTGGGCCCTGGGCATCTTGATCTTTGAGATGCTGGCTGGGTAGGTCTCCCCGATATCTGCTGCATCGCTGGCGATAAAGAGGCACGCTCATGGTATCTGCTATGCCCTTGCCATCGCACACGCACAAGCGCCGGTAGTGTTGGCCGTTTCGCGACCCGAGTTACCACCTCCGTCTGGATCTTCCCGCACTTTCTTGGCATGATCTATGTGCCTTGCTAATCTGCCTCTGGTGCTTTTTGTCCTGCCAATGTCGACGATCGCCTTCAAGCTACCCGCCTTTCTTCGACGACAACCCGTTTGGCATTTACGAGAAGATTCTTGCCGGAAAGATAGTGTTCCCATCCCATTTCGATCCATCCGCCAAGGATCTGATCAAGAAGCTCCTGACTGCAGACAGGACAAAGCGGCTGGGCAATCTGAAGGTGAGTATCTGTCTGAGCCGCTGTTCTCCTTGCGTGTACCTCCGCTCGACACCGCCATTGCAGCCTGTGTTGGGTGAATTCGCCTCGGGGATAACCCTTGATGTTCATGATCACATCCGCTTACCGTTCTGCGCTCGGCACCATCCCTCCGCAAACGATCCAGGCTGGCTCTGATGATATCAAGAAGCACAAGTGGTTCCGGGGCGTTGAGTGGCAGGTGTTGCTGAACCGGGCCATCCGAGCACCCATCGTTCCCGTTTGCTCTCACCCCGGCGACACTCGAAACTTTGACAACTATCCCGAAGTATCCGAGGAAGAGCAGCGAATCGTGGGTGTGGATCCGTACAAGCATCTATTCAAAGTAAGCGCTGGCTGGCTGTACTTTTTGCTCCGCTGTTGCCTGGACACCGACGCAGCGTTGTGTAGCTGCAGCAGTGCTCGAGCCGTGTCCCTGACCCCTTGCCCATACTAACATACGTCGTAACTCCGCACACCAGGACTTTTAATGTAATTTTCTTTGTTCTTCCTTTGGTATTTCTTATGAACTGATAGACTTTTGACCCTGTTATATTATTCTTTGTTCCAAACCCCCATCCTCAGTTGATTTCGGCCTGTCTCTCGTTGAGAGCTGCCATCACCTCTCACCCTCCATATATGCCTTGTGCCTTGCTCCTGGTGCAGGGTCCTTGAAATGGTTTTGTGTCGTCTGTCTTTGCCATGCCGGCTCCGCTCTTCCCCTCCGTTACTCTCCCTTCGTTGCTCCCTTTGTTACTCCCTTCGTTACTCTCCCCCTCCGCTCCCATCCCAGCCTCTCCCGGGCTGTCCTCCCTTCCTCTTTCCAACCCCCCCCCTATCGACGTCGTGGGCAAACGTGCTCTCTTGAATCGAACGCCGACACTGATAGCGCTTGCCTGGTCCTATGAGCAAGCCCCTGGATACGGGACTGTCTCGTTCCGTTGTTTGGAGAACCGGGACACCAGAGAATGAATTGTGGCCGTCTTTGACTGCGTTGAATCAATAGAGAGGCCATGCGCCTTCCCCTCCCCCATCAATCCGTATGTCCGCTTCTCCATCGGTTCGACCATGCTGCCTGCCCTGGATATCGTGATGCTGCGGTCGTGGGTGCTGGCACTTCGTTGAATCCCGCGACAGAATGGCCTGGCTGGTCAAGCCGGCTCGAGCCGCATACCAAAAAAGGCACAATTGAATGCCGCCTCCGCCCCACCCCGCCCTCGCTTTCTGCAAACAGGTCCAGGACCTGCTTCGATCTGGCTCGCCACTGCGCTGTCTCATCTCAGGCCCCCTTGCACCAGCTGCCCTCTTGCATCAGTGCCAGCCCAAATCGCATCCGCACCAGCAGTCTCTCCGTTTCGGTCTAAAGGAATGCTCGGAGGAATGTCTTTCGAACACGCCGTGCTTGCCAATTTGACCCAGTGTCTTGCCCACGACCATGACGTCCGCCTCGCCGCCGAAACAAGCCAGCTGGAGCTAGAGAAGAACCCAGGTCAGCGACAATATCCTCGTTTCGTCGGCCACCCCGGAAACGACACGGGAGTCTCGAAAGATCTGGATTGAGCGCCTTCCACCGCAACACTCACCGTCTTCAAAACTGCCCTTCGACCTCGCAGAGTATCCCAAGGTTATCGTCAAGGTCATCTTGGGTGCCGATCTGGGATTCCCAGAACGTCAGATATCCTTTTTTCATTTCCGTCGGTCCGCGGGTGCTCAGTATGAACGATCGATTTCAGACAGTTGCGCCATTTTCCTTGACTCGCCGACCTGCCCTCAATCCCGCCGCCACCGTCTGCCCCCACCTCATCTCCAACCTGGCACCGTCGCGGATGCTCTCCCCCTTGCTTTTGCTCTAACACCTCGCAGCATTTACCTTGAAAAAGTACATCGACCGGCACTGGTCCACCGAGAGTGAGACCTTCTCGGAATTCGAGACTTCCACTGAGGTGCGTCAGCAAACTCTGCAACACTTCCTCCAGAAGCACCCTGTCCTCTGACCGAGCTTCAACGAGCCAAGTTGCCTCTAACTTTGCTGTTTCCCCGATGCCGCCGTCCCCCAGACCAAGGAGTTCATTCGCACCAATCTCTTGAATGGTCTCGGACTTGACATCAGCCGACTCCGAGTTGCTACAGTGCGTCCGTCCGCCTGCTTTGTCGTTCGCGCCGACACATTTACAATAGCCATTTGTACCAACCACTCTCTGTGCTTGTGTCCGTAGGCCTACTGCATCTCCACGATCGCGTCCTATGACTGGCCCGACGCTTGGCCAACACTCTTTGACTCGCTGATTGCGGGTATGAAAAGCGGCAATCCGCATCTTGTGCATGGTACCATGCGAGTGCTCGACGAGTTTGTCCGCGAGGAGCTCTCCGAGCAGCAGATCCCGTTTATCGTGCCCGTGCTTCTTCCGGAGCTCTACACGGTATTCTGTCAAGACCAGGTAACCAAGGCATCTACAGTCACGGGGCGAGGCAGCATGGACGAGTTACTCGGAGTCATCTTGGTGGCAATGTCTGGCATCGGGCGACATCACGCGACGGGCTCGAAAGTGGGCTCCTCGTCCAGCATTCCCTTTTGACGCTCCGGGCTGTATTCAGGTCTACGAGCCCAGCATCCGGGCCCGTGTGGTCTCGATCCTGCACGACTTTATCCAAAACCTGGAAACAGTCAAGGACGAGTATCCTGAGGCAATCGCTGCCTACCTGACCCCGATGCTGCCTGTCTGGATCGAAGTCTTTCGAGCGTCGCTGGCAGAGACCCAAGTCGGCGCCGAGACCCTCTGGATCAGGAATGAGATCTTCAAGGCAAGTTTTGCTCGGTCGGCTGTGCAGTGCAGACCATGCCTGGCCTCACTAATCCGGGTGCATTACCCGGATCCACGGTCGTTAACAAGCTCGAATCCGATTGACATGACAGACTCTCAAAGTGCTTGTGCGGGGCTTTGACAAGATCATGAGGCCCTACCTGCCCCAGCTGCTGGAAGGCGTGTGGACACAGCTGGTTGCGCTCAGAGCCGAATACGTCGAGACGGTTGTGCAAGGCGAGGCCGTCTCGGAAGCCATGGATTCGGATGGCGAAGTCATTTCGACCTCGTCGCTCGTCTGCGGCCTCTTTGACCTCATCCAGCAGTGCGTTCCAAAGCGCTCTGTTGTGGCGGTGTTCAGGGCGAACGTCCCCGCAGGCTCCGCGGCCGCCCCAAGCGAGTTTCTGTGCCGCCTACTCGAAGTGGCGCTCTCTTATCTCCAGATCACCAATGATCAGGTCTGTGACTTTGCGGCTGCCATTGGCGTGCCGTTTGCGTGTCTTTGGCGGCACTGCTTTGACGAGCACGGACTTATCGGTGACTTCTGGTCCATAACCACCCGTTCCCAGATCGAAACGTGGGAATCCGACACGAGCCTCTTTATCCAGGAAGAAGAGGACGAAGGTTTCGCTTACAATCCCCGCATTGCTGTTCAAGAGCTTGTTCATGTAAGGGCTGTCTGGAGATATGCGCGGACGGCCAGTACCAACCCTCGCCTGCTGTGTTCGATACCACTGTCCTCGTTCGCACTGATATATGCACGTCCATTTGGGAGTGCTTTGGTCTTGCACGGAGTACCTCTTTGGTGCCGACACTCGAGCTGATTCATTTGCTCTGTGTATGGTACTTTCACGATCCCAAAGGAATTGCTGGCCCATTACCGACTCGAGACTCTGATTGCCCTCGGTGGTGCAGTCCGCAGCGGACTGGTTCACTCTGCAGAAATCAAATCAGCCAGCAACCCCATCTGGTAGGATCTCGGTGCTTGTGCTGTATGTCCTAAATCGCCCTCTTGCTTTGTCTGGCTGGCTGTCTCTCTGTTAAAAGCGCACCAGGCATTTGCATCGGTTGATCGCTGACGCCTCTCCTTGCTGCCAGGTGGAGGCTCACTGAGGCATGCCTGCTCATCTTTGGTCGGGCCGCGGACGATGTCCAAGATGCAATCCTCGCCGGAGAATTCACCTACGATCTCAAGGGTCTCTTTGATCACATTGTTCTGGAGAGCCTGCGAGCCAACGGTAAGCTTGGCTGTCACACTCTGTACCAAACCACTTGGACCGCGCGACTCTGGCTAACCGCTTGGCCATGTACCTGCGCAGATTCTCCCTTCCTGCAGGGTCGCGCCCTTTGGTTCTCTGCACAGTTTTCGTCCCAGCTGCCTCCGGAACTCTTGAATCTCTATGTCACCGCAGCTGTGGACTCGCTCAAGTCGCCCAATTTCTGTGTGCGAGTCTCGGGCCTCCGAGCCCTTCGTCAGTATGTGGCCGGTGCCGCAGATAGAGAGCCTCACGACCTGTGGTCAATGTTACCTCAAGCATATCGACTCGTAGATGGCCAACGATACAGGCGTCGCTAACTCATCTGCTCTATTGCATGCCGGCTGTGTCTTCCAGATTCTGCGACGAGTGCAGCCGCGAGCTTCTCTATCCCCATGTGTCTGTCATCATCGAGCAGACTATCCCCATGGCTCAGGGTGGAAGCGAGTACACGGTGTGCCTTGTCCTTGATACCCTCACGGTTGCAGTCAAGGTGGGTTTTCGTGCTGTCCAGTGCTGTCCAATACTGTCCAATCCGTATTTCGCTGGCGATTCGGCATCGGATAAGACACCACTCTTGACCCATTCCTACCCTTCCAATCGGACAAATATTTGACCAGATCAACGAGGCCGTGACGGCAGAAAAGGGCGTAGCCATCTGCAACCTGATCTCGTCTGTCTGGACGCTCCATACCAATGGTGAGTGGAAAGAGTGCAATGCTGTCGCCAACTGCCTTGCTCACAACAGCAGCTACATATGGTCATACGTCAGTCACTTCGACAAGACTGCTGACAGCCAAGTGACGAATGCTTCCAGATCCCATGATGACCACGACGGTGCAGGATCTGTTCGAGTGCCTTGCGTCCAACAAACTGCTCCACCCACAGCTTGAAAAGACTCTCCTGCCTGTGCTTCACACAGCTTTGCTCAGCAGCGAGCTAGAGTCCGGTGTGGTTGCGGTATGTCTATGCTAGTTCGGCCATCTCTCCGGCGATCCTGCGCGCACAAAAGTGACAGATTATAGATTCTCGGATTGTGTGTCTGACTGATATGCGCTGATTATCCAGGCCGCTCTGGAAATGGTCGAGATTCTGCTCAAGCAGGCCCCCGTGCCCATTGCCCCTGCTTATGTTCAGCAAGTGTTCCCTCACGTCATGCATCTGCTGCTCGTGACCGAGGACCACACCATTATGCAGGTGCGTCGGTCGTATCGACTCATACCCGAGCAACCAAATACCCAACCGCAGCTCGGTGGTCGGATGCACATACTAACCATGATCGTGATCTCCGCTCACCGTCGTTCGGTTGCTGCCAAGCCAGGTTGGGCAAGAGCTCCTCAAGGTTCTCGTTAGCAAAGACACACACGGTGTCGCTCATTGGTCAGATGGCACCAAGTCGGGCCTCGATTATATCATGCAATTTATTGCGAAGCTGTTGCACCCCACACAGGCCGAGACGGCCGCGGTGTTTGTTGGTGACCTCATCAGCAAGCTGATCCTCAAGGTGAGCTGGCGGACCAGCATCCAACCCGCGACTGTCCGCAGCTATCGCGGTTTGTGGACCAAGAAAGTCTCTGCCGGCGAGTTTGCCTGACTGATCCCCTCCCTCATCCATTGCCTCAGGCTGGAGCCGAGCTCGCATCTGTGTTGCCTGAGCTGTTGAAGGCAGTTGCCCAGCGTCTCGCGACGGCTCAGACGCCAACATTCATCCAGGTGAGTTCTTATTCCCTTCGTGACCAGTGGTCGCTGTCCCCATCGTCCAACTGGTCTGACATAGGCTGCTCCGCAGTCCCTTGTGATCGTGTTTGCCCATTTGATCCAGTCCCAGCTGGAGAAAGTGGTCGAATTCCTGGACGGACTGCTTGTTGGTGGCCAAAAGGGTCTTGCGATCCTTCTGAAGACTTGGTGTGAGCACTATGACTCCTTCCAGGGATCGTATGCACTCAAAGTCAGGTGAGCTACAAGCGCTAGATTGATAGAATATCGTCGAAGCGGCGCGTCGTAACACTGAAAGCATCGCCCATCGGGCGGGACTTCTCTTGAAGCACCGCACATAGTCCCTGCATCGTGCTGACCCTCGTATCGTTTCTTTCCTTGCTGTTGTAGCGCCACGAGTTTGACCAAGCTCTTTGAGTCGAGCGACCCTCGTATCCAGAGCATCGCGGTGCGTGGCGACCTCGTTGCCACCACCTCAGGTACTGTGGCTGTGTGCAGAAGTAATCTTGACAGTACCCGTCTCTGTCGGACACCGCTATTGTCCGTCGCATGTGGCCTCACATCTGTTCCCCGGACGGCCTGTTCTCCATGTGACGCTCAGGCATCAAGACAAGATCTCAGGCAAAGAAAGGTGCGAATCTGCTTCTTGGTATACGAGCACAGCAAATCAGAGCCTCCGTGGCGCTGGGTTATAACCGGCTACCCCTTCGGAACTTTGTTCTGTAGCTCCGGAGGTCTACACCTCAGTTCCTTTCCCAGCCAAGGTCATCAAGCTTATGCTGCACGATCTGATCAACATGCGAGACATCAACGCTCAGGACGACAAAGTCGCTTCGGCTTTCTTGAACGGAGACGGGTTTACGGTGAGTCCTGTGGGTAGCGCTGCGGTGCGTGAGTCGAAGGCTTGATCACAAGATTCAACTACCTTTATCTGGCCGAGTGATGGGGCTAACGGGCAGCACTGTTGTACTCGATGCAGGATGACGAAGACGACGACGACGAATATGGCGACTCCTCTTTGGGCAGCATCGAGAAGCGCTGCCATCTTGTCGGTAATGTGAACAGCCATCATGTCCGGGCAGCAGTATTTGGGTGCCATCGAATAGGGCGTTGAGGGGCGTGAACCCATTGTGAGCGGGAACCCTACCTTGGAAACAGTGGGTCCTGTGGGTGTGTCGATGGTAGCAAGTTTATTGCTGGTGCTAAGGAGCCTATCGCAACCCAGATCTCGCTATGGATGACAGTGCCATTGAGGATGAAGCCGACGACGACATTGCCAAAGATCCGGTCTTTCTTGTGAACTTGGAGGTAACCGAGACTTACATCGGCAGGCTCTTGGGGGACACAGAGTATGTGCTGACTTGTTTCTTGGATGCCAGGATCACATTCTTCGATTCTTCAAGAGTGCCTACCAGCAGAACACGAACAACTTCCGATGGCTGTGCGAGCAATACTTGAGCGAAGCTGAGAAGCAGCAACTCACGGCTCTGATCCAGTGAGGCTGCTTAGTGGCATGCATTGGCTCGGCTTGTGTTATCGCTCCTGGGACTTGCGAATAGCCAGCGACCCGAGCCACCGTCCACACACCAATGGGCGTAATACATCCCGCCAGCTTTCAGACACCTTGTTGCGTCTTGACTCCCTGCTTCATGAGAGGAGCTGCAGAGGCCGTTTGTGCCGTGTCCAGCCGCTCGTCGATGAGTGGACTTGGTCGTATCTCTCGATCAATGCGTGCGGTCGGACTTGGCTGTCGATTAGGATCGATGAGTGTAATAACCAGCAATAGTTCCGCTGCAGAGCAAAGTTGTTTGGCATTGCATTCGTGTAAAAAGACATGGCAGTCAGTAAGGCTATCGATTCGAGACACGACAATCGCTCCTCCGGCTGGGCTGTCCATAATGTTGCGCGCCCGACATGCCAGGGGCCGGAATTGCCGATGCAAAAGCAGTCTGGTGTGTTCATGGCGTCGAATACTCACAAAACGACTGCAAGACCCCGAACATGTAAAATAGCCTCATGCCCATAATCAGCTCGATCAGTCCAATAGTGTACACAAAGGTGCCGAGCAGGGTAGAGCAGAGAATGATCCGGCACTGGCTCCGGAACAGTTTTGCTTTCATTGCCGATGGAGGCGGCTGAGGAGATGGCTGGAGTTGGAGCAGGAGCTGAGACGGCCGCGGAGAAGCCGAAGTTGCCAGCGTCGCTGGTAAATCGGGCAACGGGCCCGATACCGATCCGCGAGCCCGAGCCACCGAGAGCCGAAAGGCAGACAGTAATCCTGGTGTTGAGGAAGGGGCTTCATCGGGTGGTGAAGACGGCCGTGCCTGCAGGTTGTTGAGGATCCGCACGAGCTGGATGCTGACGGCGAGTTGGACGATGATCCAAAAGACATCCAAGACTGCAATTGCGATGCTCGTGTTGATATTTGGCAAGACCCAGGCACATGTGTCTAACGCCGAGAGACCGAGTCAGCACTCGCCCGTCATAGAACAAAGCGCCAGCATGGGCGAGTGATCGACTGCGTACCAAAGAGACGGTAGTAAGTCCAAATGAAGACTTGGTAGATGCCCAGAGACAGCCCCATCATTATCCAGGTTGCTTTCCGGGCTATGCTGCTTTGAAGACGCGAGAGTTGGATCGTCCTGAAGACAAGAAAGCCACACTGGAACGCCGTCTGGTGGGAAAGAGGTCATGGGCGGATTGCTGGTGAGAATGGGCCCGGGATTCCGGCCAAAGCTGGCTGCCAGAACCACACTTGCCTTGAGGGAGAACACCATATCGGAGAACCAGTGCAGCCACGCTACTTGACACGGCGTTGCCGTAGCCCACATCGGGGTTATCCACAGAACGAACAGGCCCAGACACCCGCTGTAGATCATATATGCGAGGAGATTCTCAAGTAGCCTTGTCGAGATATGGCCTCGCTCCAAAATCATCAGAATCAGCAAGGAGCAGAAGCATGGGAATCCGCCATAGTCTTCGGTCTGTTCCAGGACACTGGTCGCCGCAGAGAGATTTGGATCCATGTGGATCGTGTTGGGCAACGACGGAAGAGGGAGAGGGAGAGGGAGAGAAAGGAACAGAATCTGTCTCGGCCAGATTCAAGAAACGATTCAGAGGCTCGACGATAGGATGCGTGCAACTCTCGAGGAAAGTATTTGCATATGGTCGAAATCAACCTATCGATGGCTCCCGCCTCGTCAGATCCAGATCAATCAGTTTTGGATCGGGACCACACCACCGCTTGGCCGACCAGCCGACATCTGCGTACATATGTAGCCAGCGGCAGCCAGGATCGACCAAGCGCCGATCACAATCTCGCAGACAATAATACCATATGTGTCTCGCTGCTCTGCGCTGGACGGGCTCCCATCCTCGCTTAGGGATGTATGTGTTGAATGTATTGGGTGAATTGAATGTATTGGATGTATTGAATGTATTGGATGTCAATACGACACAACTCATTCACCACCGCTTCAACGGAACCGCCTTGCGAGTCAATTGTGTGGCACCGTGGTGTGTGGAGTGAGTGCTCGCGGTACAGTTTGCTTGACCGTTCTGTTTGCAGGGTCATGATTGCGACATGGGTGCTTGGATATGGGACATGGGAGTGCCTCGGAATTCAGGTTCATTTGCCGAGTTCCTTGAGGTTACGAATGGCATATTCATGACCTTGGTCCGCGGACTTGCGATACCAGTAAATGGCGGTACCAATGTCCTTGGGAACGCCTTCACCACTTTCGTAGCAGTCGCCGAGATCATACTGTCCATATCGATTGCCCTGCTCAGCCGACTTGCGGAGCCACTCGATTGCCTTGGCGTTGTTCCGAGGAGCCCCAATTGCGTTCCAGTAGTAGCGACCAACCTTCCACTGGCCGTAAGAGTTGCCTTGGTCGGCTGACTTGTAGTACCACTCGAATGCCTTCTTGTAGTCACTCGATACCTTTCCGCTACGGTAAAGGTACTCGCCAACCCAGTACTGACTATCACTGTGGCCGTCGGTGGCGAGTTGCTCAAAGATGCCCGCTGCCTTCTTCTCGTCTTTTGCGGTACCGAATCCAAGAGATAAACAGACACCCATAAGATGCTTACACAGCCAATCGCGGTCCGATCCCAGCTGGCACAGCGAGAAGAACTTGCAGGACGCGGGCGAGTCAGATGAGGCCGTATTCCACCTTGCCAGACACTCGGCCTCTCCAAACTTGAACCCATCCGATTCATTATCTCGGATGATCTTGATGCCCTTCTGCTGATCTTGTTGTGTGCCCCGGCCGAAGTAGTACATCCACCCGACCATGTGCGTGGCAATGGGCTTGAGAACGGGATCGGTGGACCTGCTACTGACTTCCTCCCAGAACCAGAAGGCATAGTGATCGCTCTGAGGAATTTCCTGGCCGATCAGCGCAAACCAAGCCATCTGGAAGGATGCCTCGAGGTTACCGCGGTCGGCGGCGGCCCCGAAGAGCTGGGCGGCGAGCTTCCAGTCGCTGTGGTGAGCTGGGAGGCCCTCCGAGACCAACTTGGCCGCTTCGAGACAGGCAGCGGGATCACCTTGCTTTGCGCGCGAGACAAGTTGATCAGGCAGGCGGTGGATGGCATTGTTGATACCTTCGAACGTGAGCTCGGCATGGCTGCTAGGTTGGGATGGGGAGTAATTATCCACACTGAGAGTGGTGAAATTGCTTGAAACCTGACTGATAGCTGGGGCCTTGGCAGTGGCGGGAGCGGAAACGGCAGGGGCAGCGGCTCGGTTGTATGGCTGGAGAGCGGCAAGGATGTCAGGGAAGGCAGGGCGATCTGCGGGATCTTGGGCCCAGCAGCGCTCGATAAGGGCCCAGACATCGTCGGGAATGCCATTGAATCGCTTGGGACGCTTGTGCTGGATGAGCTGCGACAGGATCTGGAATGGCTTCATTGCCTGGCCGTTTGCAGTGACCCAGACGGGGTTTGCATCGTTGAGGACTTCATGCATCATGATGGCGAAGGCAAAGACGTCGGTCTTCATGGTGGTACCGCTGGGGTCGTCTTCATCAAGCATCTCGGGCGCCATGTAACCATCGGTGCCGCCGTTCGGGCCATTGGATTTGCTCGGGTTCAACGAGGCAGAGGTGTGTTTGGTGCGGGACATGCCAAAGTCGGTGACGACGGCATTGTTCAAGCCGTCCAGGAGGACATTCGCTGCCTTGAGATCGCCGTGGATGATGCGGCGGCCATGAAGATAGGCCATTCCCGAGGCCACCTGGCGGAGCAAACGGAGCTTCTCCTCAAGAGGGACATGGGTATTGGGGTCGGACACATGGTTAAGGAGAGTGCCGTTGGGCATGAAAGGCGACACCATGAAGGGAGGAATCGGGTTACCATCCTCGTCCTGGTCGCAGGCACCGAGCAGAGGGAGGACATGTGGATAGCTGAGCTGCTTCCAGATGCTGATTTCATGGTTGTATTCAGCGAGCTGGCGTTTGTTGCAGGTGCCAAGGAGCTGCTTGATGGCGACCTTGGTACCAAAGTAGGAGCCAGTAAAGACCTCGCCAAAGCCACCGCGGCCGATGGGGTTGGCCGAGCGATCGGTAATGTCGCTGGGCGAGATGAACCAGGGCGGTCGCTCAGTGGGTTCGGGGCCAGTGGGAGCAAAGCCTTTGCTGGCCATGTCGCAGGATACAGCAAATGATGGGGGACAGGAGCAGAGTTGGAGGAAGCGAGCCTGGCAACGAAGGCGAAGTTGGGGACCCAAGCCACATGTAGTGTCACGGGGCGGGATAGCGTCCAACAAAATCAACACAAGAGCAGGCCCTTCAGCCAGTCGATCGTTCCGAAACGAACCGGGGGGACATGGAGTTGTGCCGGCATTGCTTCAGTGGATATCAAGGCTGCATACGACTTGGTCGACTGCTGGCCTCTCTAACCCCAAGCTCCGTGCTCTCTTTGGGATGTCCTGTCGGGATATGATCTGTATTGAGACATTCCTCCGAACGATGGCCCCACTCAAGGATCCAAGATTCTCTCGGCCGCTGGTCCAGAATTGGCAGGTCAGCCTTGTCCATATCCGATGTTGCTACCGGGTCGCCTCAATGGCCGCCTGGATCGAGAGCCGCAGTGTCTTGGACGAGGCTTCGAGAGTGCCTAGGCTGTCCTTGAGCGAGTCCAGCGGGCTCTGAGCGGCTCCGGGCGCCAGAGGATCCGCCAATGGACTTGTTTTCGACAGAAAAGCAATACCGGGATTTGCTCGGACGCTGCTATTGAACTCGTCGAGCGCCTGTCCCAGACCCCTTGCGCTGTCTGATTGAAGGAAACGGCATTAGCGACCTGCATTTGGCTGTGGAGCGTCCGAGACACACGCTCGCACTGTTGAATGGAGCAGCTGCGGCGGAGTGCATTGTACCTGGTACTGCCAGTGACTTGTCTGGTGCCGCCAGGGAACCGTCTCTGCCGATGTCGACAACCAAAGGAATCGAGTTGGATCAGCGCCGGCTCGATCGGGGCATTGGGTCCTGCTGGCATGCCATCGCACTCACATCTGGTCGATAAATGCATTTCCGAGCTGGCGCACAGCATGAAGCTGCTGCAGCGCTCCTGCGATGGACGCTGCCGACAGATCCTCCCGCTTGAGCGATGCCATGGCTGGATCAGACGAGCGGATCGGCCGAGCGAGCTGGACAAGCAAAGGAGCAGGCAACCAGCCGGCCAATCGGCGGCGGAATGGACATCGGTGCAGTCACGTGGTGCTGCCGCCAGCACATTGGTTTGCCGCCCAGAGCGCAAACCCGAACCTGGCCCCGAGCAAGACTGCCGATCTCCCGCAAGCAAAGCCAGCAACAGTCCCGGCCCGCAGCTCTAAAGGACAAGCGCATATCGAGATGTAGGATTCGCACAACATTCGAATATTGAGACGGGCACACAGCGCCGAGTGCACACAGCGCCGAGTGCACACAGCGCCGAGTGCACACAGGCCTCGCCCTTCCTGCTGGGTGGACTCATCGCCGTGACTCTCTCTCTCTGTAGGGGAAAGCTGTGTCAACTCGTGATGGGGCCCGCCGGCAGCGGCAAGGTAGATATCGGACGGAATCCATCGATTGAGTAGATGGATCCAAGCTGCTTTTCAAGGCGGAAGGCGCAGATGGCCAAGCACCTCTCCGTCAAGATCTTACCCAATAGCCAGCATCAGTAGCTCAGCGCCGATCGCACAGCCAAGATCATTGGGCTGGAGGGCATGATCAGGGTCATCCACCCACTTGCCGCTGATAGCTCACCAATACTCTGTACCTGACCTAGTCAACATACTGCTCGACGATGGTTGGCCACTGTGAATCGCTGGCAAGAGTCGTCCATCTAGTCAACCTCGATCCGGCGGCCGAAAAGTTCACCTACGAGCCAACGATTGGTGGGTTTGAGCCTCAACTGGCCGATATGTCATTCTGCGGCCATCTCTTTGTCTGTGGAGCTGTCGCTATTGCGGGAATCGTCTTGTCTGAGATCCCATCCAGCGATTTTCATTCCCGTTCATGCCTGTTTGCGTCGCACATACAGACATCCGCGATCTCATCACACTCGAAGATGTTGTAGAGGAGCTGCACTATGGACCCAACGGCGGCTTGATTTATTGCTTGGAGTAAGCGTGTCTGAACTCTCGCACTGCAACGGAAGAATCCGAGGCTGGGCTGTCCGCGCAAGCGGAATCTGGCCCCGAACGCACATTTTGATTCTCTCTCCCTGCCTTACATAGGTTTCTGATCAACAACATGGACTGGTTCGAAGAGGAGCTCAACAACTTTGACGACGACTATCTCATCATCGACTGTCCTGGTGCGTCTGCGTTGTCTCATGGTTCCGATCAGCATTGGGCTCTGGCCATCAAGGCAGCTGTAGCCGAACATGTGATGCATTGATCTGCAATCGGGCGCAGCTGCCCCAATCGACTGGATTTGCAGATATGGGAGACATCAAATTAACAGGACTGTCTGATACAGGTCAAATCGAGCTTTATACGCACTTCCCGATCATGAAGCGGCTTGTCGAAAACATGCAGCGCCTCGGCTATCGAGTGTGCGGTGTATACTGTCTCGACAGCCAGTTCATTGATGACATCCCAAAGTACTTTTCTGGAGTCCTGAGCGCCATGTCTGCGATGGTCCAACTCGAAATTCCTCACGTCAACGTCATGACCAAGATGGATTTGTTGGGCGACCGAGCACAGTCGTCGCGGATGGAAAGGTATGCTGGGCTGCGCTGTATTATGCGGCAATCTGTTCGGACAAAGTATCCTGCGACAAAAGGCAAAGCACTGATTCGAAGGAGCCACGAATGCCACAATGCAGATTCCTCGACCCCGATCCCAGCCTGCTGGCCGAGAGTGCCAATATAGAAACCCACTCCAAGTTCCACGGTCTCAATCTTGCACTCCTGCGCCTGGTGAGCCCTGCGGTTATTATGGTCGAGGACCGCGGCTATTGGTAACCTCTGGCGTGCCGCTCCTGACAGACGGCTCTGGTCCCCCGCAGATCGAAGAGTACAACATGGTTAGCTTCCTTCCGCTCAACATCAAGGAAGAGGAGTCGATATCGTTGGTCCTACAGCATATCGACAATGCGATCCAGTATGGCGAGGACATCGAGCCCAAAGAGCCCAAGGTGTGACAGCAGCCTTCGCTATGGAGATGCAATTGATGGCCTTTGGCCAAACGCAGCGAGTACTGATGGATACACAACACTTCTGTAGGACGACGCCGACCCCGAAGACGAGGAGGGCGATATTGAGTACTTTCAGTAGCATGTCACCGGGCCACTGGAACCAGTGTCAGGGAGATACAGCGCACACCGAAACGAGACTCTTTCTGAGTGCAGACGGCCACTTTTCGATGGACCCTGAATACACACCCATCTGCCATTCACACTCTCCAGCCAATGCGTCCAAGAATACGGGGCGCTGTCCCGTTTCGTTCTGAGCAAACTGTCGTTCATTATACACCGCACTGAACACACCGCACTGAACACACCGCACTGAACCGCACTGGACACATCAACCGCCTCAGCGCAACCGCAGCGATCGCATCCTGTCCCCCTCGGCTGCGTGCGAGCGCCCTGGTGCTCCGGCGACGGATTCTTGGAAACAGACCCCGACACGGCATCCGCCTGTCCCCTCACCCGTTCTCGCCGAGAGCCCAGCGAGAGGCCACTCTCGCCTCGCCGCCCTCGGCCGATCAAAGTCGTCCTTTCCCACCTCCCCGCATCGCTCTGCCCTTGGTGTTCTGCATGATCCTGCCGTCCCCAGCCCAGTTCCACAGCCGTCCGCTGAAGCCTCCCCTGTCCGTCGCCGGCCAGTCTTCTCCAACCACTCGTCCCTGCATCTGATTGCTGGTCCCTGGAGCCACGCCCCCCTCTCCGATATCCTTGCTGTCCCTCTCGGCCCCTCGCCCTCGATGACCTCCTCGGCTCCAGACCTTCCATCCCCAACCCCTCGACCACAGCCGCCCCTCCAGCAACAGCCGCTCCAACAAAGCCAGCAGCCGCAGCCTGGCATCGGAACCTATGTCTCTGTCACGACCCAAAACGATGTCACCTACGATGGACTAATCTACGTCTGGGATAGCCAGCTTGGGCTGCTCGTGCTCCAGTCGCTCTCGGCCGCCTTCAACCCCAACACGACCCTGACCTGCAAAAACGACTTCCACGTCATCAAAATCAACGGCATCAAGGACGTCAAGGTTGTCCCAAAGGACGACACTCCAAGCATTCTCCCCCCGCTTGTGCCGGTCACCACCGTCTCGATGGACAAGGCGCTTCAGCGAGAGCAGCTGAATCTCCGGCTGGAGAAGGAGCGACAGCTCAAGGTCGGCGTGAATGTGACTCCCGAAGCCCAGGTAGGCCAAGAGCGAATTCGAAAACAGCGCCTCCAGATCCAGAATCGGGCTCGGGCGTGGCCGATCGAGGCGATGCCGGATCTGGGGGGTCGTTGACCCGTGTTTCGAGCTCCCTCCCCCGAGATCTTCTGGGGAGACTAGATCAAGTAGCGACTCTTTGAGTCAGAGCTGCCGGCCATCGGAATCCGATCGTCTCGTGCTAAGCGATCGTTGTGCTCGCCCGAAACCCACGGTATACCCGGCCGGAATCGTAACCCCGTTTGCGTGTCTCTCTTGCCGCTCACAGCAAATCTTCGATGCCTTTGCCAAAACATACCCGACAACATGGAGGAATGACACCATCGTTGTGATGGACGAGGTTCTGATTGTCCCACCCTACGACACCTCGAGCTGCAAGCCCAAGGACAAAAGAACCGACGACAACATGGTCGCCCGAGTCCGGAAAGTGCTTGAGGGCGAGCGAAGAAAGCTGGGACTATGAGCAATCTGCAGCATCACCGTGCTCCTGCCCTCCGACAAGCTTCTTGTATCATCGACGCGGAATATACTGCACTCCACTTCGGCAAAGGGCATTTGCTGCCACTCTCAAGCGACGACCTGCATCCTGTATCCTGCATCCTGTATCCTGCATCTCAGCCCGACGCTCCGTCGAGTCGGTCGCTGGCTCGGAGGATAGCACTCGTGCTCCCACACTGCCCAGCGAGCGGGTGTGACCATTGTCTCGATGCCGAGATTATGAAATGGGGGTTGTGGAATGAGAGGCGGCGACTATGGGCCGCGCTCATGACTTGATCTCTGGGCTCTTGGATTCGCCTTGAAGGGCCTTCATGTCTTCCTCGACCTTCTTCAAGAGGATCTGGTAGTTTTCGATCTCCATTTCGATCTTGTCGTTCGCCTCGGCAATCTTGCGCAGCTCGATCTTTTCCATCTCGGGCGCTGGCGACGGCAGCGGTGATCCCGTGTATGTGGAGTATATCAGAAGAGTGTGTCAGCGGCACGGGAATCGAGTCTTGTATCGAATCTTGTATCAAATCTTGTATCGAATCCTGTATCGAATCTTGTATCGAACCCAGGAGGCCAGCCGCTCGGAATCCAAACTGCCCATGTCGCAAGCGCTGTGATGCAGCTGTGCTCGCTACTTACTGAAGCTGGCTGAGCCTTTCTTGAAAATGCCCTGGCCGCTCTTGCTCAGGACCTCAAACGTCTCCTCGAGTGGGTCCTGGATGACCTGTTGGCCCAACCGAGGCATCGCCGCCGTCAGCATCAGCGTCATGACCGCGAGCACGGACAGGAGGAGATGGGCAGTGCTGAGGGCGACGAAACCATCGCCGTGGATCTTACAATCACTTCAAAGTTCTCGACAATCACAGGTTTCTTGGGTCCGGCCGTTTCATCCTTGTGGTAGAGCTGGAGCGGGTGGAAGAAGGTGATGGGCTTTTCTGGCTTCTCGGTTGCGTCGTGGAAGAAGATCTTGATGGCGATCTCAAACTCACCCCAGCCGGTCTCGGTGATCTCGAAGGGAGGCGATTCGAGAGCTGGCCAAAGCGTTTTGGAGTGTCAGTCGAGTCGGGTTCCCCGGCCCAGAGGGCATGCGTTAGAAAGCGATGTTGGGAAAATCTGTTCCATGGGTCAAATCTCATCACAACTTGAGAGGAAAGATGGCTGACGACGGGCTTGAAAAGCATGGGCTGGTGAATCTGCCCAGGCTCTGTTTAAGCAGGGCTCTGGTTGCCGCACTGCCTGACTTACACCGGACTGGCGGATCAAAGCTCTCGTGCAGCTTGAACTGGACTTTCTTCACAAACGTCGAAATGTCCTCGCCGTAGGGCCCCCGGACAAAGACCGTCCACCGATGGGTATGGTCCTCGGGTGCATCTGGGGTTTCCTTGCGGTTGATCAGCGTGGCCTGGGTGCCGTAAACGAGCGGGCGCTCGAGGGTAACCCCCTGATGTGCGAACAGTTGGCGATCAGCAATCGGCGATGGGCAATCGGCGATCAGCAACTTCCATGAACGAGACGACAGAGCAAGGTCTGGATCGAAAGAGATGTAGCGGGGGGGGGGCACGCTCACTTTCATGCGGGTGCTCATTATGGCTCCGGCTCCAGGATGAGCGGGTGGGTCCGGGCAGGGTTGATGGTGGTCGAAATGGGTCTGGGCAGCAGCAAGGACGGGTCGCTGTGACAAAATACCCTGACGCTGAACAGGATACTTCTGAGCGCAGATGACGACTTTTCACAGGACTTGAATCCAACACCCATCGGCCACTCACAATGCCCAGCCTCCCCCCCCCCAAGAGGCGGGGTGCTCACCCGTTTTGTTCTGAACAGCGTGTTGAAAAGACAATATGGCATTCATTTCTTCCAGACAAACGCAGGTTTCAAAACGGACACCCGGTTAATATAGGAGTCCCACGGCCATAGCATCGCCCATCTTGTCCAAGACGACGCCCCTCGACTCGTCCGGGTCGATCCAGATCAGGGCGGCCCGTGCAAAGGTAAAGATGCTGAGATAGACGACCAACGGCAGGGCAGCTGCAGCGCAACCAAGGGTCGTCCAGATCAGTCCCGGCCACATTGGCAGATCGGTTGTTTCGACAGCCAGATACCCGCTGGGCTTCAACCACCACTCCCACAGAGTCAGCAACAGCACCGGCGACGAAATCCGCCAGATGCGGCTCATGCCGAGCAGCCGCTCCCGCCCCTCTTGCTTGTACGTCGACAGATAGCCTGGCGAGGGATCGTTCGGCGGTCGTTCGATCACGATGCAGTCCGTCATCTTGGCTTCGAGTTCCCAAAACCAGGTCGTTATCGAATGCCGGCGCTGATACAGGAGCACCCACCACAGAATGAACGGAATCCAGCCCATCCGGAGCCCGGCCGCAAACGAGGCTCCGGGGCCGTAGCGTTTGGAGTTGAGGATCCACGCCGGAAGGAGCATCGTTGCATTCAGGAGATAGAGGCCGTGCAGATAGAGCAGGCGCTCGAGCCGCGGGGCCCAAAAGTGGCTCAGGAGTACGGCCAGCAGGAACAGCGCCTGGAACCAGGCTGTAAAATGGATGAATGTAGGCGGAGACGTCGGATGCAGGACGCATGTTGTGTTTTCCAGCAGCGAGAGCAGCCCAGCGGAGCCGGAGCCGGTGCCGGTGCCGTTGGGAGTCGAGGTATTGTCAAAGAGATAAAAGTCGCGGCGTGGGTAGGAGCTCCGAGGGCACCACCACAGGACCCGATAGACGGCATTGTAGATTAAGTAGATGTGGATGCAGAAGGAGGTGATGTTGTAGGATGTGCGCCTGCAGATCAGCGCCGATGGCCCGGGTTAGCGTATCAGCCAAGAGTCCGCAGGCAAGTACCGGACGAGCGATCATCGAGGCAGGGTTGCGACTGGCGCTGCTAGGAGTTTGGTGGAGGCTTACATGTTGAACTTGACAATATTGATAAAGGTTTCAAACTCCTCGATCTCCTCGGCGTCCCTCGGAACAGGCAGATCGTGTTTGCGGTCTCTGGCTGCCTCTGGAAGGGAGGGGCATGATCCGAGTGAGTTAGCGCCCGCCTGAGTGTGGGTGCCCGTGCTGAAACTGACATTGGCAGTGTTCTCCGGTCGCTGCAGACTGCAGTCGATGCGATCTGCAGACCGGAGGGAGTGGACAAGCCAGATGATCACAGCGGCCCATATAAATACTGCCAGCGCAACGTCTCTGGAGATTCAGCAATACTCACTATAGTATTGAAAGAAAGCCCTCTTGTAGACTGCAAACTCGGAGTCGGCCGTCCGGCGATATGGCCATGTCGGCGGGACAGGTTCGTCGAAGCCGGTTGGGTCCGGGTTTGGCGGCGTGGTCATGGAGGGGGAGGCCCAGGGAGAGCTCGAGTGCAGGAGTGGAGGTCTTGGCCAGCGGCAGCGGCAGTGGCAATGATAGCGGCAATGCCAATAGAGCTCCAGATCGCAATGGAGCACCAGACGGCGATGGTGCGGCCAGCAGAGACGATTGCCAAGGACGAATACGGTTTGGATGCGACCTCGGCTCTGCAAAAACACAATGGTGCTGGGCACGTGAAGATCCTGCGGAGAGGGAAAACTGCTCGATGCCTCCATGTCTCTCCAAGAGGTGCGACCGAAACAGAGACCCAAGCACCGCTTCGTCCAGGGCGGCTGTGGTCGGGAAACGACACCATGTTGTAGCGAACGCATTATCATCCAGGACCGCACCGTCGATATCATCGCATCGCCCCTCCTGCAACCATCCCCCCGCTTCTATTGAATAGGCAGCCTCGTCTTCGGAATCGGCGTCGGCGATCGTTTGTGGCTCGCGGGCGCCGCATATCCCTGCCAGGCGGCACCGCCATCGTCGTCGTCCTCGGCTGCCTCCTCAACAACAATCGTGGGCAAACTTGGATCGCTGCCGTCGCCTTTGCGGTGTGCATTTGGGATGCTGAAGCTCAGGACGTGCTTGACGCTTGAGCCTTCCATGGCAACCTCGAGGCTGCCACCCTCTTCCCACACATCACGCTCTCGCTCGCCAAAACGGATGGATGGGCAGCCGGCTGCGTCTGTTGAATCAACTGCATCCGCAACTTCGCCCGCATCCATATCAAGCTTGAAGTGATCCAAGTCGAGGTATAGGGCCGTGTGGCCGCCGGCGCTGGGGCCAGATTCCTCGGGCTGAACCCAACCGACAGGCGGGGAGCCTGGTGGGCTGAGAAGAAAGTTGCGCTCGATCTTGGGCACCTGCAGGAGGTTGATCTTGACGGACTCGCCGGTGCTTAGAGTGTTGATATCGCTTTGCTGGCACCGTAGACAACCATGGGCTGATTAGGGACGATAGGGACCAGAAGCACTTGGCGCATATCGTAAGGATTCACGCCTTGCGCACCGATTCTCCTGGCTGTGGTCGAGCGGATGCATGCTGCTGTCGGTCGACGAGCTCTGAAGCAGGTCACCGAGACATGCTGCCCATCACCGCCACATCGCTACCGCATATTGCCGCTGCCTCTGCCTCAGTGCCTCGTGCCCGTCGTACCTGCCCGTAGTAGACCATTAGTCGCTTGCCGAGAAAGTCGGTCTTGTGCAGGCTCTCCCGCACCATCGAGGCAATGTCAGACGACTCGAAGATCATCAAGAACCGATTCAGCGACTTGAGTGGCGTGAGCCGGACCGGCTTGGTCTCGACGGCGGACTGCACAAAGGCCACCAGGGCCTCCCCGCCGTCCAAGAAGGCCTCGGGCTCGAGGTTGGTGAAAATGAGGGTGTTGGTCTGGATGCACTCTGGAGAGACGACCATATCCGGAGCCAGCAGGCCTGACATTGTGAAGGCTGCGCGATGCGGGTGCCGGGAGAGCAGCGGGCGATGCTGTGGTCGGGCCGGCGATGGGCGATGCAGGCGGATGCGAGAGCCACCAACGCCCAACGATATCAGCCAGGGCCAGCGAACAATCGCCCTGGCTCGAAGCCGGCTCGAGCCAGGGCTCCCGCCTTCCCGCCAGCCAAAGTCCGCCCCAACCCCGGCGGTCTCAGGCAGCACCCTCCCCCCGGCTGCCGATCGACACCTACATGTTGCTCGGCCATCCCAGCGCATTCTCTCCGTCGATCCAATTTGCTGCCAATGTCCACCCTGTCGCTCAACTCCAAAGAGATACGCGTCTTGCTGCTCGACCCGATCCCGTCGGCGGCCAAGGCGGCCTTCCAGGACATCAATTTCAAGGCAAGTTCCCATCTTGCGGGTCGGCAGCCTTGCATCGTGCTGCCCCTTGCTCCGTTTGGACAGGAGCCACTCTCGGCACAGCAGATAGTCTCTGGTGGACACGCTTTGGGCTTGCTTGGTACGCTTGGCTCCTGATCATGCTCTCTCGACTTACCCGGAGGTGCGACATCGGTTGCCTGGCCAGATCGACGAGTGTTTCGAGGAACAAACCGAAGGCTCGCTCTTGAAAATGATTGGAGACTACCAGATCGTCTGCGTTAGGTACAGTCACGGTCCTGAATGCAGCCACTGACCCCGTTGCTCATGGACTGCTCACAACCCGTCTTCCTCGCTTCACACACAGCAAGGAGAGAGACGAAGTGTATCTGACGGAGGATGTGTTGCGATCGGCGCACCGTCTCCTCGCTATTGGAATGTTCAGTCGATCCACCCAGCAGGTGGATCTGGCCACTGCCCAGACCATGGGTGTGAGTGCTTGACCTGATCGGCCTGGCCGGCTCTGCGCTGGGGCCTTGTGCTTGTGGTCGTATCGGATTAGCATTGGTGACAGCCCTCGCTTTCTGACACTTCGCACTGTGGCATCGGGCTCGCAGTAGCTTTGCTCCAGTTAATCAAAACTGACTCCCTTTCCCCGCAGATCCCAGTCTTTGCCTCGCCATACCAGCATCATCACAGCGTCGGTAGGTGCTTTGTACTCACCGATCATTCAGCGGGACGCTGGGAACGGCTCCAGAGGTGGGCGGGAGGTGCACGAGTCCCACACTCGAGCTGACGCCGATCCAGCCGAAATCATCCTATCGAGCCTCGTGCTGCTGGCACGCCAGATCGGCGATCGATCCAGAGAGATTCACCGCGGCGACTGGAACAAGGTGGGTGTTCTGCATCTGAGCATGCTGCCTGGCGAGCATATCACTCACACAGAGTTCCACCGCGTCCTCGAACCGGCCCACAAACTGCTGCTCTCTGTGCAGGTCTCGAGCAACTGTTTCGAAGTCCGCGGTAAGACCCTTGGCATCATTGGCTATGGGCACGTTGGCTCGCAGCTTGGCATCATGGCGGAGGCCCTGAGCCTCAAAGTCATCTTCTACGACAATGTGTCGCTGATGCCAATCGGGTGCGCCGAGCCCCGCGACACGCTGGAGCTGCTGCTGCGTGAGGCCGATTTCGTTGCCGTCAACGTCTCGGCCATCCCAGAGAACGTCAAGATGATGGGCCAGGCTCAGTTTGCGATCATGAAGAAGGGCAGCTATGTCATCAACACCAGCTTTGGCGACGCGGTGAGTGTACGCAAGTCGGCCGAGAGCAGGGAGTCTACCCGCTGGTGCATCATCTGGACCTTGACTCACCTACCTTTACCGCCAGATCGACATCAACGCCCTTGCTGATGCAATCAAGTCCGGTCATATCGGGGGTGCCTACCTTGACGTCTATCCAGCATCGCTGCAAAGCAGAAACAGCACATTCCAGTGTCCGCTCCAGGGCCTCAAGAATGTTCTGATGACCCCTTCGATCGCCGACAAGACCGTCGAAGCTCGCGAGCGTGTGGGAACCGAAGTTGGCATGTTTCTGCGCAACTACCTCTATGACGGCTCCACCGTTGGGGCCGTCAACTTCCCCAATATCGTGGCCAAGCCCATACAGCCGGGCACGCGGCGGGTCCTTAACATGCACCGCAACATCCGAGGTGTTCTGAATGTGAGTTTAACTGGACCGATATGGCTCGGTTCGAACACGGACTGGGGGAGTGCGCCGGTCACGATAATGAGACTTGCGTTTGTTGATCTAGATTCACCATCGCATGAGCCTATCCTGCTTCGTCGATGGTTGATTCCATGAGCGACTTCACCAATACCAGCACCAGTTACGGTTCTAACATTCCGTTCACTCTGCTACTCCCGTGGCTGGATCTAGGAAATCAGCAACATTCTCTCCGCATACAATGTCGGCCGCCAGATCCTCGACACCAAGGATGGCATGGGGTAAGCGTTGATTGCTCGATGGGCTCTGGTATATCGCTTTCGTGGATGGTGTAAATCAGCGTCACGCATGGTGTAAGTCGTGCATCTCATGCAAAAAATGCAATGATCTGACGCTGTCCGGTTCGCCGTCCGTCTCGGGCTGGTTTGTTTCCACTTCGCTCCCTCGGCTCCCGCTGCTCCGATCACTTGCGCGCTGCGGTATGGCAGATATCTCCTTGTGGACGTCGCCACCGAACACGTCTCTAACGAGATTGTCAGCCAGCTGGCCATGTTGGCGAACAGCATCCGAAGCCGCATTTTGTAATTGGCTTTGGTGCCTGGACCCTTTCGCCCAGAACGCACCCACTATCTGAAAACAGCATTTGCAGTAAAGACTATTTGCGCCGGCCACAGCATTATGAGCGACAATCAGTGCTATTCAGGGCGATACGGGGCTTAAAAATCGAAACAGCGCCATTGGTAATGGGCGCTGAAATGTCGAGACTTTGCGGTGCGGCAATTAGCCGTTCGCAGCGACACAGTGGCATTGCGGTTTGTGGGCTCACTTTTTGACCATAATGAGCCCGTGCATCATATCGAAGCTGTTACCGTCGGGCTGCAATCGGTGTTCCTGGCCCTTGTTGGGGCCATCGACAACGACAGCCCTCAGCAGCCCCGACGAGTCGATTCCAACGATCTTCGCCGAGACACCGTGCTCCTTGAGCGTCACGAGCTGGTTGGAATGCAGCCATGCGCGATAGTAGGCAGGCTGGAAGGGCTCGAACGCCGACCGATATCCCGTCTGGTCGAAAAAGTCCAGGTCGCTCTTGACCGTGAGCCCGGCAGCCACAAACTCATGGTAGAGGTTCTCAAAGGTGGCGAGGATCAACGCGAGCACCCTGTCGGTTGTGTAGGGCTCCGGCTGTCCAGGCAAGCTGTTGATTAGTTGATTGACTGAGAGCGTGGGCTTGGTGTTGGAGACGTTCAGTCCGCAGCCTGTGTCCGCGGATAGATGCGAGTGAGAAATTATACCACAGAGTCACTCGTCTCGCATCATTGCCCTTGACTCTGTGTCCAGCCAGCTGGATAACGATGGGTCCATCCAAGGGCATGCGGCCAAAGTGTATCCCATCTCCATCATCGCGGGGGGTAAATGCTCGATAGATGTGTCATGTGCCCGGAGAGACTCGGCAGCCACAGCGATCCAGCTGCCGCGTCCGCGAGTGAGGCAAATGGGGCCTTACCGACGACGAGCGAAAACTTTCCGCTTTGGTAACTTGAGTTGACGAGAATGCCGCCGATCTTCTTCAGTCCTTCAGGACCAGGGCCGACGCGCGCATAAATGTCGTTGGGCCATTTGAGATGAACTGGGAGCTCCTACCAAGTGATCGCGGAGGTGTTAGAATATGGTTGAACTGGAAGGGCGCGCAGCGAGACTCGGCCCTAAGCGGCATGGAATTGGCAACCAGCTCAACGCAGCATGCAAACCTCATATCCAGATTGCGATTTGAGCGCCTGCACGACAGCAAGGCCAAACAGGTACTGGATGAAGATGATGGACTTGTGGTCGTTGTGTCTGAGGGCCAGCGAGAACTGGAGACATCCGCTTTGAGATATCCATGAGTTACGTCCGCGACCTAGGTGGGTAGGCACTGTCATTAGGCAACTGGGCCAGCAGCGAGCATGTTCACTCGCTCGCAAGCCTCACTCTCTTCCAAGGACACAAGGATTTGGCCCTATAATCGGTGGAGACGCGGTGGGGGTATCCAGAAGGGTGATGGTGGCAAACGTTTCTTGGTTGTGCTAATGTCGCTCACACCAAACTGAGCAACATTGACTGCCATCACGATGGCTTACCACGGCCGGCGGTTTGGTGGGAGCCCACGCACACCAGTCCTTCAGGCAACGACTGAGAGAACTTGTAATTGCTGTGCCAATATGATGATGATGATGATGATGATGATGATGATGATGATGATGATGATGATGATGATGATGATGATGATGATGATGATGAGAAAGGCGACTAGCGTTGCATCCATCCATGCCACACTGCCGCTGCACTACCGAGAGGCACGCCTACCGGTCCAGCAGTGTTTGGGTAGATTCGACAATGTCGCCATAGAGCATCACCGATCCACATTTCCAGGTGCCTTCGAGCCAGCGCTGCTTCTTGGTCCAGTGGTCCTGATATTCCTTCAGATATCCAAGATACCGGTCGATGTTGAACTGGAGTAGATCGCGCCTGGGGATCTGGCTCAGATCGCGACAGACACAGAGCTTGACGACAGACTTGTGTGGCCTATCATCCTGCTCGCATTCGAGCACAGGCATGGTGTCGCTGTACTGATCCTGCTGCCGGTCTTCGAGCACCAAGCGGTTGACATCGTCCTCCAGAACACACGGCTCGTTGGGCGAGCGGGCGGCGGCATCAAAGGGCCTGCGAATTTGGGCGATCTTGTCCTCGACATTAACGTGGGGGCTGGGCTGGAAGCACAGGAACATAGGTGTCAACTTTGGCGGCTCGTCGTGGCTGGTATCCAGGTCGGATCGCTCGGGACGGATGTTGGTGTTCAGACCCAGGCGAATCAGCAGCTCTCGGAACAACCGCGATCGCTGCTTCTCAAACGGCAGCAGGCCCGAGACCACGGCATCTCGCCACTCGATCGCTTCTGAGCCCGGCTTGGCGGCGAGTGCACTCCCGAGAGGACGCATCTGGTACTCGATGTGCGGGCCAGTCAAGATGGCCTTTCCACGACCGATAGCGCACTCAAGGATGGCAGGGTATCGCTTGTTCTGTGCGCTATCGGCTTTCCACTTGTCGGAGACGTCCTTGGGATCGTATTCGGCCAAGACGGTCGGCTGCGGGCTCTCGGGAAGCAGGCTTTCGAGATCAAAGTAGGGCCCGCCATTGACGTAGACTTGCAGACTGTCAAAGTCGAGTCCGAGCGCCGGCTTGTCGAGTGTGATGCTGCAGTTCTTGGAGCCCATCTCGCTGTTGTAGATGAAGCCGTCAGCGATGCTGCCGCGAGCCGAGCCATCAAAGAATCGCAGGTCGCGCTCGCCAACGACCTTGTAGCTGGGCCGGTCGGGCTCAAAGTCGACTTGGCGACTGGCAAAGTAGGCGCCAGCGCAGATACCAAGGAAGGAGCCGCCGTCATTGGCGACCCAGTCGCGGATGAGCGAGGTCACTTTGGGCGACAGCTGTTCGACGTACGGCAGGTCTCGGCCGCCTGGAAGAACGAGCAGCTTGGTGGTGGCCTGCCAAGGCTCCTTGAGCAACGTGGCTGCGTCGACAGAGATGATGTCATACGAGTCGGAGAGATGGAGCCTGAGGGTCCCGATGGTTTGTTCGATTGGGCCCTTGCCTGCACCAGGGCCCGTATATACAAGCACATTCATGACCGAGGTTTGGGCAAGGTGAGTGGCTGGGTGGACGTAGTGCGCCTTTGGCTGGGATCGGGACCGCGGCGAAAGCAGCGATGCGCTAACGAAGCGGCTGGACAGAAAGCGGTGGAGCAGACGGGTGGGTATTTTCAGCTATGGGCGACGGCGGAGGGGATGCGACAGAGGATGGCGCTGGAGGCGGAAGGAGTCGCTGGCTGGTGTGCTGGCTGTGTGCTGGCTGGAGCGCCGGGTGACGGATACAGAATCGACGGGTTGGCTGATCGAGAGGAGAAGCCGGATCAAAGACAGGGATGGCTCATGTGGCTCGAACCGGCCAGCCTATTGCCTTTTTGGGCCCGATCGCCAAGGATGAAACGGGCGTGTTGGGCACTTGCTGGGCACTTGCTGGGCAGTCCGGCAGCCTTGGCACTCCCTCTCTCTGCCCGCTGTCTGCCTCGCTGTCTGCCTCGCTGTCTGCCTCGCTCGAAAGCCTCCCGCCGCAATGGATGCCATGGAACCCACCCTGCAGAACATCCTCGACCAGACCTCCCTGAAGTGGATCTTTGTCGGAGGCAAGGGCGGTGTCGGCAAGACGACCTCGTCGTGCTCGCTTGCTGTCCAGCTCGCCTCTGTCCGCGAGTCCGTCCTGCTGATCTCGACCGACCCTGCCCACAACCTGTCTGGTGCGTCCCGATTGCAGCCCATCCATCCGCCCGCTACATCCTGCCGTGCCTCGAACTCCTATGCCGTGAGAGTCGCCGCCACGCACGTGGCAGTTGCTAATCCCGATACTCTTGCTTTCTGGATCCACGGCGGCTGTCGTTGTCACTGGTCCGCGGAATCGCTCGTTCCGCGCAGACGCCTTTGGCCAGAAGTTCTCAAAGAATCCCACCCTGGTCAACGGATTCAACAACCTCTATGCGATGGTCAGCGCTGCGGCACGAGACGATGCTGCGGGAAAGGGGAAAGGGGACTGGGGAAAGAAGTCCGCATCACCGTGGATCGCAAGACTCAACCGCTGCTTCGTTTGTCCTTGCCTCCTGCAGGAAATCGACCCCAATGGAAGCATCCAGGAAATGATCGAAAAGTGTATGGTGCACATCCCCGGCTCGCCGAGGACGAACGTGGCGCGGTGCAATTTGGAGGAACTCGGTGTCGGGCATCGCTGCAATGCATCTTGCGGGCTTGGGTCAAAATGCATCGAGTCGTTGCCACACACAAGTGTGGTCATTTGCGTCGACGACTGACGATTCTCATCTTTCCTTGCAGCCAACGACTCCAACCTCGCTTCACACATGCAGGACCTGGCTTTTGCCATCCCTGGTGTTGATGAAGCCATGAGCTTTGCCGAGGTCATGAAGTACGTTTGAAATACTGCATCGGGAAGCAACGAGGCTGGATACCCAGAGCCGTGTCAAAGCACGCCCGGCTCTGCGAGCGAGTACCGGCTGTTGCTTCTGTCAGTCTGGCCCTCGACCACCGCGACAACTGTTCCTTGGCACCCTCACCCACTCGAGCCGATCTGACCTCCCTCGCTTTGCTCATTCACGTCGCACGGCTATGGGTTAGACTCGTCAAGTCTATGGAGTACTCCTGCATCGTCTTTGATACCGCTCCTACGGGACACACCCTGCGGTTCCTGTCCTTCCCGACCGTGCTGGATAAGGCCCTTGGCAAGCTCGGACAGCTTGGCGGTCAGTTTGGACCCATGATCAAACAGGTATGTGTGCTGCCCTCGGCGGCTCCATGTGTCCTCGGCGGCTCCATATGCCCTCTGCACTTGCCCACGATTCGAGTCGCCTCTGTTGTGACTCCACATGAATCGCACTCGTATCGAACCGGAAATGGCAGGGATGGCCAAGACATGGGGCGCTCACATTGGACCGACTTGTGGCAGATGAGCGGTCTCATGGGCGGAAACGCCGATCAGGAGGACCTCTTCGGCAAGCTGGAAGAAATGAGAACCGTGATCCAGGAGGTCAATGCCCAGTTTCAGGATGAGGTGAGTGTATCCCATGCTCGAGCACTCGCTAACGTGTCAGCGACGGATCGTGCCGATCGCGCAACAGTCACTCGGCAACCAGCCACTCGACAGCCGATCCTCTGTTCAGTCAAAACGATAGATCATTTCCTTGACTGTCTCTTCCCCTCCTGGATTTTCCCAATCAGAACAAGACGACCTTTGTCTGCGTCTGCATCTCGGAATTCCTGTCGCTCTACGAGACGGAACGTCTTGTCCAGGAGCTGACTTCCTATCATATCGACACCCACAACATCATCGTCAACCAGCTTCTGTTCCCCAAAGATGGTTGTATCCGCCGCCTTTTGTGGTGTGAGGGCGGCAGTCGAGCAGCCACGTCCATTATCCTAACACTGGGTCTGCATGATCTTTCACAGGTTCCAACTGCGAGCAGTGTCTGGCTCGACGAAAGATCCAGGTAATGTTCCACGCCCACCTGCTGCTCCGTGTGGGGCTTCGTCTGTACAGCAGCTGTCAGGCAGACTCGATTTGCAAGTAGCTGACGCTGGTTGCTCAACCGGCGCCTTCTACAACACAGAAAAAGTACCTCGACCAGATTGATGAGCTATACGAAGACTTCCATGTTGTCAAGCTGCCCCTGCTCACGAAAGAAGTGCGCGGCCCCGACGCCATCAAGGAGTTCTCCAAGATGCTCGTCAAGCCCTATCAGCCGTGAGCTCGGGGTGTCGCACGCACTCTGCTTGTCTCGACTGAGGAGGAGACAAGCGGCCGGGCGCTGGGCAAGCCCTCGAGCTATCAATACACTGTGGGCCATAGTACGAGACCACGTCTGCCTTGACCACCACTGAGGTTTCACGTCAAGCCCTGCGACATGAGTGTGGGAGGTGGCTTGTATATCCAGTTTATTGCTGCTTGGTACGAGAGAGGGACAGGGTGTCTCACGGTGCCGTGCAGGGCGCTTACTGGAAGTTGGCCGTGAGGACTTCGACGCCTGTTTCGGTCACCAGGAGGGTCTCCTCGAACTGGGCCGATCGCTTGCCATCCCGGGTGACAACGGTCCAGCCATCGGGCCACTGCTCGTCTTGCCAGACACCCTCCGAGATCATGGGCTCGATGGTGAACTGTTGGCACGGCGAAGGGGGAATCACAGCAGGCGAAAGGAGAATAATCGTGGTCAGCACTCGGAGAAAGGAGCCGTGCTGGATCTAAATCTTCCCATGCCGACAGCCGTCCATGTTGCCGCAGAGAACCTACTGTATGGCCTGGCTTCATGACGCCGACAGCCTTGTTCTTGGCATAGTGAGGGACACTGGGGGCGGCGTGGAAGAGTCCGTTGATGCCGTGGCCACAGTAAGAACGCACGACAGAATAGCCCTCAGCCTCAGCGACCTTGGAGATGACGTTGCCGACATCACGGTACAGGGTGCCGGGCCGGACTGAGGTTGCCAGAGAGTGGCCATGCAGATGGGAGGGAGCCAGGGAGTCAGTGATCAATATGGACATCATCGAGGGGGTGCGGCGCTCGGTCGCTTGGCCCGATGCGGCTCTGGGGGTGGTGGGACAGTCGATGCAGGCCTGTGGAGTGATCGTGGGACAGCAGCCTGAGAAGCGGTGACTCACCCATCTCGATGGCCTTGTCGAGGCACTTTCTGGTGGTCTCAACCAGCTTGCGGCCAGCGTCGTCCACGTTGCCGACGAGGAAGGTGTCGTTGAGATCGGCGTGAAGCCCTTCATAGAAGCACGAGACGTCGAGATTGCAAATGTCGCCGTCCTGCAGCTCGTACTGGTCTGGGATTCCGTGGCAGATGACCTCGTTGACCGACGTGCAGCATGACTTTGGGAAGCCATAGTAGTTCAGCGGCGATGGGTACATGCCACGCTCTACAAACCAGGACCAGGCCGCGAGGAAGGTGAGTGTTCGGAACCGGACGACGACGCAGCCGCTCTGGAGAGCCCATGTTTGCTGCGCCTTGCCAGCGCTTCAGATATCAAAGCTCGATCGTGGATATTACCAACGCAGGCATCGTGGACCACCCGATCGATCTCGTCCGTGGTGGCTCCGACCTTGATGACCTTGGCGCCTTCGTTCAGGACCTCGCGGGAGAGCTGGCGCAGAGATAGAGTCGCACATGAAGCAGAATGAATCGTCCGATCACGATGCTACGAGCGAGAGAGGTCGTCTGGATGCTGCGATGTCCCTTGACCGGACTCGGATGCATCAACGACGACACTCTGTATAACGGGAGGCACTGTGCAATCGTTGGCCAGCGGGGGCGCATACCCGACAGACGGTGCGCATGCCCTCGATCTCCTTGGGCGTCAGGACTTGGATCTGTGTACTTCCTCGAACCATGATTTCGCTGTAGGGGCGGCCTTGGGAGAAGCGCAATTGCAAGAAATGAGTGGACAGTGGCGCCGGCATGGTCCGCGGATCGGAAGGCCACTGCGGCAGAGAAGCATGTGTGTCCCATCTATATCCCACGCTGATCGACAGACAGCACCGAGGGCAGTTGCCGCCATGGATGCTGGGTGCTTTCGGACTGCGCCCGCACGAATGACGGCCACCCGATTCTGCAGGTCAGCGACGAGGCCTTGCACGCTCTCACCATCGGCGGCATAGTCGGGTCGAGGGATCGCTTCGGGCACGGCGCGCTTGGGAGTGAGGGGATAGACAGGCCGCAGCTTTCCGCTGAAGGCGTATCCGGGCCAGGGATTGAATTGCTGGCCCGCAGGCGTTGTCGTCTTGTGGGCAGTCTTGTGGGTGGCCCAGTTCTTCTTGAAGCAGTCCTGTCCGCAAAAGTATGCATCTGGGAGCGCCATCTTGAGGCAGGTGGGGCACCGGAGCTTGGCGGGGGCGCCGCATGCTTCGCAGGTGTGTCCGGCGGTGCTCATGGCGATGTTGGTGCAGACAGACGGTGCAGATCAGGTCAGATCAGGTCAGAGCAGAGGTCCCGAAACCAGAAAGAGCGTCCTCGCCGAGACCGAGCGAGAGCGGCCGAGGCCAGGCGAGACAAGCCATGGCGTTGCACGTGACCGGATCGCTCTCACATGCATCGGAGCCAACCTCGATCGGAAGCCAACCTCTTCTCCCAGGCAGCCGAAGCTCCCCCAGGCTTTCCCGGATATCGCATGGTGTGCGGCCCTCCGTCAGCCAGAGCGCAATATCGACACAATGGCTGCCGCCGTCCAGCCGCCTGTCCCGGCCACACATGCGCCCCTCGACACCTTCCCATTTGCATCCCAATCCGACATCATCCGTTCCAACCAAAAGGATGCCTACTATAAGGAATCGCTGCAGGAGCGCATCCATTCGCTGCTCTCCCAAATCCTGGGAACCCGCTGGGTGCTGCGGTTTGGCCCAGAGGTAGCTCTGGTTTCGGAACTGCTCTACTATGGCCTGACAACAGCCAAAGGTCAGTGTCGTCCACAGCCAAGATCGACTCCCTGACTACTGCTTATCGAGATGCGGGTGAAGGGTCGAAAGCAGGCCAAGGTTCTGACAATGCGGTGTCTGATTCGCCAAACCAGGGCTCCAGACACTCGGCGAAGAGTACTGCGACATCATGCGCGTGGAGGAGAAGTCCATGACATTCCCCAGCACTAAAGTCAAGACGCTGTGGTTCCTGCTGCACATTGTCTCTCCGTATGCCCTCGACCGAGCGGCAACGTTGGCCAGAGGATCCGCTGCGATGCGAGGTACGATACGGTGCGATCCCTGTGATGCCTGCGATGCATGTGATGCCTGTGAGCCGCATATGCGTCTCGATTTGGCTCCCTGGCCGGCATCGCCGACGTTGCTAATGCCATTGGCTCCACTGCATCCATCCCAGGACTCGCTGCATCTGGGCCAACGGCGTCGCCCTTGTCCCGCCTCGGCGGCCTGTTGGCCTGGCTCAAGAGAGTCACCAGACAAGATGTGCGGCTGTTCCACATGGCTGTCTTCTACTTCTTCGGGGCCCACTACAACCTCTCCAACCGATTCTCGAACATCCGCTATGTAAGCGCTTGTGGAGCTGGCTATCGAAGTGGGGGTTTTTCGGGAATGCCTGCGCCAGGGACAGAGACTAACCAGCGACGTCGCAGATCGTCACACACCAACTTGAGCCTGGGAACGAGCCCGTCACATTTGAGATCCTCGGCGTGATCATCGTTCTGCAGATGGCCATTTCCAAGATCCTGGAGCTGAGCCGGCCGACAGCCGCAGAGGCACTCGATGCAACGCCGGATACGGGTGCATCATCGCCCGAGAGGTGCGATCCCTTTGCAGCGAGGAATGAACACGAAAGGATCTGTGCATCGCATCGCACTGCGTTGCCGGCGTTGCAGACATCCCCGCTCACCTGCTCCTCTGCTATGTGCTCCAGCGAAGGCGCAATCGAGAGCGGCGTCGTCCCGCAGTCGCAAAAGTGCACCCTGTGTCTTTCCAGGCGAAGAGATCCCGCTGCCACGTCTTGCGGACACGTCTTTTGCTGGGAATGCATCGCCGAGTGGTGCTCAACGAGGGTAAGTCCACTCACCCCAGCACCAGCACCAGCACCAGCACCAGCACCAGCACCAGCACCAGCACAGATGCTACCAGCGATCGACGAATGCCGTCTCTGGCGCTCCCCTGACCCCCACCCTCGATCGCGTCGGCAGGCAGAGTGCCCGCTCTGCCGGCAGCACACAGAGCTATCGCAGCTCTATCGGATCCACAATCTCGCATAGCTGGCCCATCGCAGCAGCCGATCAAGCAACGCACAACGGCTAGGGGTTGTCGGCCCACGGAGCAGCGCGGGACGGGCGGTAGCGCATCCGTCACAACACACTCTGCAGGGCCTGTTGCTCTTGCACAGGTTCTAGAAAGACGGCTTCCACGGGAGAGGACATGTCTCTGCTGTACCTGGTCGTTGTTTCCGGAGGCGAAAGAGCAGATCGCGATCTGCGCGACATTTATAGCCCTGCATCGACATGTGACCTCGAGAGGCGTGTGGCTTGTGTGGCTTGCGTGGATCGAGTGCGACACGTGCTGCTTACCTAACCGCTGCCGTGGCCAGCCAGCTGCCAGCCGGCCAGCCTGCGGCCGTGTGCTGGCCGGGTCTGTCACGGGCATTTCCTGTCAGGACAGCCAGAAGAAGCCCGACCTGCCGCCCATCTGCATTCGCATTCGCATCAGCATTCGCATTCGCATCCGCATTCGCATCCGCATCCGCATCTGCATCCGTATCTCCCCACCGTCGGGCCCTCTTCCAATGCAGCCCCTCCAGCCGAGTCAGCCCATGCAGGCCGCATACGGGCGAGGACGCAATCCCGCATCGGGCCCAAGCCCAAAGAACTACTGCTTCGTCTGTGGTGAGCGCGGACACTTGTCTCGCCAGTGCCAACTCCAGAGCCAAGTCCCGCTATGGTACCTACAGTCTTCTCTTGAGTGTGTTGGCGGGGCATCGGGATCGAGCCGAGCAGTGCATCCGTGTCTGAGCAGAGGTGCTTATGTTGCTCGGTTTGCAGTCGGAAGCCTACTCCATTGCGGCGCTTGCGAGCATATCCACGACCATCCCGCTCGCCGATCGCCCATTTGTCTTGGCCTGCCTCTGAATGCGCCAACCCATCTGGAAATCTGCATCGATCTGGCGACGCCTGCTGACACCATTATCCAATGCGCCATTGGTCCTCCTTCGGTGCGATCAGCTACAACTGCAAGCAGCCTGGTATGTGTGGCAAATGCAGCTGTTGTCGATGTTCCCTGCGGAGGCTCGCAGCTCGAGCATGGTCGCTCTGTTTCGCATTCGCATCCTGACCCGATGGTGCGTGTGCTTAGGCCATAATTCAAACCAATGTCCTCAACCTCGGGCACCCAAGAGCTGCTTCCGCTGCCAGAGGTGAGCCCGGTGTGTCCGCTGCTGTGGTTTGGCCATCATGAAGCAAATGCCGCCCAGGACTGATGAACATGGCACCGGTGCTGGCCTGCAGTGTATCTTGGCCATGCTCATCCGGAATCCAGCATCCAGCAACTGCGGGTCATATAGCTCTGTTGCTCATCGCCGTAACTCACCACCTCCCACTCTCGAATCGAATCGAACCGATATCGATTCGTTCGGGTCGTCTGTCGTTCGAAACCGGCCGCGCTCTCAGCCAGGACCATCTGTCGTCGGACTGCCCACTCAAGATCCTGGCCAAGAGCGCCGACCGGGCGCAAGCTATCTGCTATCTCTGTTCCGTCAAGGGCCACTATGCACGAGGTAGCGTGGTCGACGCCGTTCCCGATCCCTAATCCCAAGCCAAAGATTGGAGCAGCATCCTTGCACCAGATTCCACTCGCCCCAGATCCACTCGCACTGGGTCCCATTCATCCCAGACTCCGCCCGCACTGCTATTCCATCCCCTCCAGCAGTCCGTTTGCACTAACTTCTTGGCCATATCTGTAGAGTGCCCCTCTCACCTGAACCGGTACTCGTTTGGCGTGGGAACGGAACCATCCATCTCCAAGCAGCATGACGTTGCCCACACGATTTCCTTCGCAGCGCCTCGCACTCAAGATGTCCCGTTCAAGACTCCATCGTATATCGGCGAGCCCGCAACTGACGTAGACGCGCAAATATCGCCTGTCCTGTCGAGTCTACCAACAGGCTCACTGAAGCCCGTTGTGGTGTGTCGTCGCTGCAACGGACCCGGGCATATGGCTCGAAACTGCCCATCAAATGCAGGATATCCGTCGACTCAAGCATACTACCGCGCCCCGTTTGCCCAACCGCCTTTACTTTATCAGCCAAACCCGACTGCGATGCAGGTGATCTGTCTGCGCTGCGGCATGCCTGGGCACACGGCCAAGTTCTGCCGAAACCCTATTCTATGTTGGTTCTGCCGCAAAACTGGCCATATTTCCAAGGACTGCCCCCAAGCTCGGCGCTGCTTCTGCTGTGGCGAGTGAGTAACTTTCTTGTCCTGGTTTCGTTGACGGCCGACAACAAAGAGCCAGCCATGAGCCAGACTGGTTCACGATCCAACCGCTGGACCCGCCGTTGATTTGCTTCTGACGCCACCGCCGATCTATTCCCGCAATCGTCACTGACTCGCCCTATGCCTCTTGACAGCATGGGCCATGTTGCGCGGGATTGCCCGGCTCGACAGGCCTTTACACAACCGACACCCTCCGCTGTCGAAGACGAAACAGACCAGGACGACCAAGTTGAACTCCGAGCTTAATTGTATACATTGATTTTCACTCTATTTCTCCAAGCAGTAATATCAGTACATAGTCTGTGCAATCTTGGGCGGGATGCTTCGATTCCGAGACCATCCTGCGCTCTAGTTTTTCACCCCTCCCTTTCCAGCAATACATTCATGCCCATTCATCTGTCCAAGCAATATGGCTGCACCGTCCTCGTTTTGTCGCGACCCTCGCTGGACTGGGACTGGTGTTGTGTATTGGCTTGGTCGGCTTGCCCTTTCGCGCGGAAATACACTATGAAAAAAGTTCTTGTTAATAAAATGAGCGAGAACGAAAAAACGCGCTCTCGGAGCCACCTCGGTCGGCGAGAAGAGCAGTCTCTGGCGAGAGACCCCCGAGGGAAGGCGAGAAGCCTCTCGCCGGCACACACACACACTTTGCACAAGGGAGTCAAACACCTCCCATCGACCATCCCAAGAGGGATGGCAACCCCGAAGTGGACTGCCCAGAATATGGGCGACCCGGCATCCACTGTCGAAATGCACAAGGAACAGTGCAAGATACTTACAGTCTATCCAGAAAGAAACGGGACACTTCCCCTTTCTGGCTTCAGATATCTGAAGCCCGTTGACTGACTGTCGGCCCAGCGGGCAGGCCATGGCATTGCACTCCTGTCTTCGTTGGCAATCTCTTTGTTTTGTTGGTTTGGGAAGCACAGTCTTGAATACACCCGGTCGATCTCCTGTGGCGATGATCGACTGGCATACCGAGATCATATTCCTGGCGCATTGATGTCTCGATCCCACAGCGTATGGCAGCTTGCACAGCTCCGGACAAAGTGTGGCTTCTCGACATCAAGATACTCGGGTGACTCAAGTCGCTTGAATTCCTGGCAATGTGAGCACACCTGGGATGTGTTGAACTCGTTCACCGAGCACACATGGATCTTGGAGACGGATCGGTCTGGTGGTCGTCTCTGGTGGTGGTGGAACTGCTCAAAGTACTTGGCAAACCTGAGTCTCCTGGGACTGGAAGCATATCCCTTCCCCTGTTTCCACGAGGCATTCCCAAAGGCAATCACCACCTCGGTCTCCTTTGGTGCCTGGTCGATGACTTGCTTGCACATCTCGTGGACGGTGCGCTGTCGCTTGCTGTGGAGATCCAGTCGCTTGAATCGCCGTCGCCGGGTCAGGCTGAAGTACAGCTGTTTGTCCAGCATGTCTCCATCGAACACATGGCGAATGTATTGCAGGAAGGAAGCCAACCCAGGGATCTTGGGACTTGGTGTGGTGCTCATCCATTGCTGCAGATCAAGGTTCTTATGGGTGCTCTGGATCCACTTGGTCGCCTGGGTGGTACCTTTCGCTTGCGGGGAGCCATCTGGCGAGAAAATAGCGACAATGGCTGGTTCTGCCCTTGGGGAAGAAAGAATCTCCTCAAATCCAGCGCATTTTGGGCAGGGAGTGATGCTCACAGTGGCGTCCTTGATTCAGATCCAGAAACGCATCGCTCGCTCAATCAGTCGTGGGAAGACATCTTGTCAAGGTGAGTCTTGCCTGATAGCCAAACGATCATGTCATCTCGCTGACACACAGCCACGCTTGACTAGGTTTCCAACCAGAGAGATTCAGATGGTGGTGGTTCTTGTCCGCAATCGGAGTGGAGCTTCCAACAATGATACAATTGGTCATTCCTCCACACCAATCGCCCACCACCACCGTCAATCGGCTCAAGACGATACCAAATGCCGTCAACCGACCATGGCCGGATTCCAACTTTTGCTGCGCCACATACAACGTGACTTTCAGGTGACCGAGATGAGCAGCCGCGAGGGGCCGGAAAAAATTGATAGTGATAGGCGCCCGCCACTGGCGCCCATTTCCAGAATCGGTCGGCAGGCCAGCAATCGGCCAAGGCATCTCATTCCATATTGCTCAGACTGATTCCGCATCTGATCAGGAGCACCCGATCTCGGATCTGTTTGCTGCAGCATCATGGCAGCTGCGTCTCCACAATACAGCATCTTGCTGGTGGACTATACCAGCACACGATCGACCAGGACCAGGACCCTGGTTGTGTTCTCCAGTTCCGCAACCGCTGCCGCCAGGGTAAGCGCCTCCTGTTTGCCATCTGAAGGCATCGTTGATACATATATTCCTCGTGAGCCCCAACTTTAGCAACCCCAGCCAAGCGAGCAAGCTTTTGGGGGCGGACAGGAACTGGCAATGGCCGGCTTCTGAACACGATTCCCACGATCTGCATTTCTTCAAGGTCGTTATCGGCGACTCGGCTGGCTGCTTGAGGTCGTTTTCATGGGAAGGCGGTCGACTCGAGGTATGTATTGAGTTATCTGCGCCATGGCATCTTGCTGGCCGAGCCCGTACTTCCCGCAGCGGCACCATCGGCGGAGTGATTCTGGGCAGGGTGTGGTACGGCTGGATTCGGTCACAGCACTGGACATGAACCGGCACCATCGAACCTACTCTCTCTCTCCGCGATAGCCCAGATGGACATTCCAGGCTAATGCACCCATTGAAAGCGTTCAAAGACATACGGAGTCCTCCAAGGTCTGCATCTTGGTACGATCGGCAATCATCGTTCTCGGCCTCGAGGTAAGACAGCCTGCAACCGATGCGATGCACAAAACATCCCACCGAACATCAACAGCAAGTGCTGGCCGACTCCGTGGCCATGTGGAGGTCTAATCACTCCCCCAACTTCTCTGTTGCCGTAGAGCGGCGAGTTCGTGGAGACCATCGAAACCCATATGGCTGAGGCTGTATTGCATCTGGCGTGCGCAAAGGGACCCGGCATCTACCACATCGCTGGCGATCACTACCACGAAATCATCGACAGCAGCCGATCCATTCATCACAAACCCTATGGCGATCGAATACTCGACATGCTGCTGCTTGACCTCGGGGACGCTGAGGCGCTGGCCATCGCATTCGAAAACAAGCTCGTCCAAGTCATGCAGGTTGGGCATCTGTGGGAATCACGACCTCGTCGATCGCCGGGCTGAGCGAGTCGGGTCGTGTGCACCACTCTGACTGTGTCTGATCTTTGCCAGGGCCAAAGCTTGCTTGATGTATATCTGGAGCACACTGCGACGTGCCTGGCCGAGTTGCGGCATAGGGACCATGCAAAGTTCCCCGGAAGGTGAGGCACCTATGAGCTTACCCTGGGCGGCTTGATCTCACCGAGGCCGGACTGCAGCTGATCCAAGCGCTTGCCGCCTCGCCCACCCACAGGTTCATTGTCGCTGGAACAGCCGCTGGAACGATTCACTGTGTTCACTTCACTCCGGAAGCCTATCACCAGCTGTGGATCATCAAGAGCAGCGAGGCTGTCAGCGTTCTCACGCTGGCCGATCCAACGCACGAAGGAAGCGACAGCGTCCTGGCCATTGGATATGCAAATGGACTGGTGCAGTGCTACTCCTTGGCGCTGCCTGATCCCGTCCTCCTCTTTGCCACGTCACTTGGCGAATCGGTGACAAACTTGGCTATCCAAGAAGGCAACTGCTTCCTGCCTCGGCTGTTGGCAACCACCTTCACGGGTCGTATTGTTGGAATATCTTGTCAGAATGCGCCTGGATCAGGAGCGGATGCCAAAGACCAAGTCACCTCACAGGCTGTTTCAGCGCTGCAAGGCTTAATAGCAACGATCGACTTTGGTGATCTCGTCGCCAGTGACGGTAGTGGCGGCTTGCACAACCAGTCCCTCGCTCCCAACACTTCCCTCTCGGGCTCAGTGCTCTCGACCCAGACAAACGTTCTCGGGGTGCCGACGACGACATTCCATTTGACCGCAGAGACCCGCTCGGTGCCGCTTGTAGAGGCGCTGAATGGAGCACCTGCCGACGGAGATGCATCGGCAGTGCCTACTGAACCCTCGGATGCAAAGGTGGGTTGTGAGGGGCAGCTGAGCAGAGCAGTGCTGACTCTCCAATGACATCCGCAGTACTGGCATTGCAACTGCGAGTCAGCCACTATGAGCATCTCATGGCTCTGATGTTTGCTCATCAGTGCTTCCACGACCAAACCTGTTGCTTCCCACTCGATCACCTCCTTGTTCACACAGAAGGACACCAACACCATGTTGATCTTTGATTGCCAAGAGTCGCTCTACACGCTCTCGATCGAAGTGAGCGCCTCTTTTGCGACGCTCGTCATTCTCCGTGCCGACTTTGAGCTCACCGTTGCCGATGAAGCAGAGGATACGAACGCGCTGTCGATATCTCCGATTGATAAAGAGGTATCCTGTGCAGCTCAAAGGCTGGGGACACTCTGGCCCGCACAATCGACAGGTATATTGACAACAATCTGATGTCAGAATCGGGACCAGGGAAATCTGTTTCTAGCCACCTACAGGCCACCCACCAAGACCCGCCGCCTTGTTTTCAAGGTAGGCGGTGATGCACAGCGGTGTCAACGGAAGATGAGAGGGTCAATCGATCTCTGAGACACTGAGCGCTGTTAATTATCTGTGATCACATCCGTTCGGCCGGCCGACACAAGGTCATGCCAACCGAAAACTCGCACGGCGTCCTTTCCCTCTACGTCGCTATGGAGAACAGCAAGTGCCGTCGCTTTGCATTTACCTTCAAGCCCATGTCGCTGCATGAACGAATCAGTTCCATTCCGGGAGATGAGAGGTAGGCCATATGGCGGAGGGGGGCAAACCAGATAAATACTCGCGGTGCACGCCTACAGATAGCAGAGAGACACATTGATCGGCTGTTGATTCGGTTTGCCGGGATGGGCTCTTGATTCGCCATGCCGGCACTCATGCCAACCCACGGCACGCCGTCCGCGATGCTCGATGCCGGCTGACCAGTCGTAATTGTTCATGATTCAGGAGTGTAAGCTTCCTCTCGATGAGCAGCGAACTGTCCTTGAGCGAGCTCAACTCATGGCTTTCCCTGTGTTTCAACGGAATCCCAGAAAGGTGCCAGCGTTTGCATCTTCCACCGTGGCGGCCGAATAGAGTCTGCGCCACTAACGCCGCCATCTCCAATCTGGTGACTCCTCGCCGACAACAGACCGATTCAGGCACACACAGACGAGGTGCACTACTACTTCCGATGCAGCTATCTCCCATCGTTTGTGACGCTTGTGCTTCGGTAAGCCACTGCTGCGTCTTGACCACACATGAGCACTATCCAAAACGCAGGTCCGGCTGATGCCGCCGTCTGTTGGACAGGAAGGGCTTGCTGTCCGTCTTTAGCGAGTCGGCTCTGTCGCTCCAGGTCGTCAAGCAGTTCCTTATCTCCGAAGCCGAGAGGCGGGTCCAGCCTGTTAGCTTCCAGTGCGAACTGAATCCGGACGCCACTTTGACGGTCGTGAGACACCTCTATCAGTCCATCTTTGAGTGCATATGCGCTTTGCGCCAGGCCATGATCCTCGAGGCCATCAAGGTAGCCAGCGCCGACCATACTTTATCCCAGTGCAGTCGCTGGTTCATAGCTGCGGTGTTAATAACTCTGTTCCGCCGGAGTGCATCCTTGTACCTCCATTCTCCGGTTCCCGGAAAGAGCCTATCGGAGCAGCATCTGACTATATCGCACCCCTGGATGCACGAGCGCTCATTCCATCGCATATTTTTCTAACCTGCCAACAGGAGCTCGAGATCCAGGAGGGGCAGTCGCTCGACTTGAGGCAGCAACTTGGGGTATCGGGGCCTGTCAACCCGATGGCACAGGCAAAAATCGATTCCAAGATCAGGTTGGTGGCCTGGCGCACATGAAACCTTGGGACACGTTCTGGACTGGGAACGCAGGCTTGCAGTCCTAAGCGACGCCGACTCTGACATGCCCTCTATCGATTTCCATTCTCCTGGTTTGTCTGCTTTAGTGTTGCTGTGGACGTATTCCGAGCAGTCATGTCGCTGCGCGGCGTCCGCATCAGCCAGCAAGACAGGCAGCTGAGCGACTACCTGCATGAGATGATTGAGCAGTCCAGAAACACCGCTCGTACCTCGGCATTCACTCTCGATCGTCTGATGGATTGGTTCCGATAGCGGCGACGCTGCTGGCCGTCAATAGTGTGAATGTGCCAGTCCGTGACTCGGTTCAGCGCCTATATATGCATGCAACAGCTTCGATAGTGAGCCTGGGACAGCTTCACACTCGATGCAACAAACAGGACACCCAGTTTCTTGGTCAAATGGCTCTGTTGGACACAGATTTTCAAAAAAAATGCCACGTTTGATTGAAAGGTGGTGTGTCCGGTTTGTTTTCGAACATGGGGCATGTCCCTGAGAAAGGCGGGTGGAATTCGTCGAATATCCCACTCCCGCCCGGTGATGCTCAAACATGGACTACGATTGGTGCTTGACTACGGGTGCGTCCAAGAGTAGCATATGTTTGTTGTATATTTCTCCATTGCGTGGCCGAGGCAAACATGAGTGTGTGTGTTCCAATGATGGTGACGAGCGCAGCCTCGCTTTGGCGTGCAGCAATATCGTGACTGTGCTTTCACACAGGCAGCTGCTGCCTTCAAGGCTTCTTGGAAATCGACATCTCAATGAATTCCAATGCCTCGCGCTGTGCTTGGCGGGATACTTCTGCCCGTTCAGCCGAGGGTGGTGGCGGAAAGATTGCATATCCCTCGTCGGCGTCGGCATCGTCCTGCTCGGTCGGCGCGCTGCCCGAGTCCCGCCCGCCATTGCGCGAGCCGTTCGAGGCGTCGGCTTTTTTGGACTCGGATGGTTCAGAGTTCCGGCGGGTCGAGGAGGCCCCGAGCTCGACGGCGAGGTGTGGATACTTGAGCCTGTACTCGCGGGCCTGCTCTTCGTACTGCTCTCGCATTTGGCTCCAGCGCAGCTCATAGGCCTGTTGGGTTTCGGGGTTGCAAGACGATTGCGGGCCCCGATAGCGCCGCAAATGTTCGCGATGGGTTCGAGAAGGGTGAAAAGAAGCGATGCATCAGCAAAGGCCATTTGCCCACGGGCGGGAGGGGGCAGCGTTCAACAAGAGCGCATCTGGGACGAGATCGTTATAGACGGTAATTGAGAGAATCAATACTGCGTGCTCCTGTCCAAGCGGCGACCCACCTTTTTCTCGTCGGGGGTCCTTTGGTTCCACCACTGACCCAGGATCGTCGGGAAGGAGGCGCGGTCTCTCAGGTTGTTGTCTGCGAGATACTTTCGGACGTCATTCAGCTTCTCCTTCTTGAAGAGCAGGAAGGGATTCTTTGGCGGCGGCTCGGGAGCGCCCTCGAGAACCTCGGCCGCATCGTTCTTCTTGGCTGTCGAGTCACGCTTCTTGCGCGGAGCCGGCGAAGCCATTGGCCGGCTGGTGGTAGGGGCGGTGGGCTTCGGCGAGGCAAGCGGAGAGACCTTTGGGGTAATGGCTGGGATTTCGCTCGGCACATCCAGCTTGAGCTCTTCAACCGCCTCGAAGGTGCGCTTTCCAAGCACAGTCGTGATGTACGGCGCCTCGCTGGGATCGCTCTCGGGATGCTCCTGTCGACAGTGGTCAAAGTACGACAGGTTCTCTGGGATGATGGCCCGGCAGTTGGACCTTAGGCAGCATCGCGGAGTAAGCGGCAGTGAGGCCGACTCCTGGGGCTCTGTCTCCGCAGTCGCGTCGAGCTCGGGGTTGCCCTCGTTTTCTTTGGCCTTCTTGGGCTCCTTGCCCAGCGACGCGGACTGCAAATTGCCCAGGAGCACGTTGGTGATTTCGGTTGCCACTCGCATACCGCTTAGGAGCGCACCTGTGGGCACGAACAAAGAAAGAAGAGTCAAACAGTGCCGTACGAGTGGATCGGTGTCGAGGAGTCGCGGATTCGCCCAAGCAAACGGACAATGGTAGGTCCGCAGTATCGACGGTGCTACAACGGACAACAACATACCATGAACGGTGGCCGGGTACTGCCGTGATGTGGCCTCGCCGGCCCAGAAGATTTTGTTGTCGATCGACTTGCTGAGTCTGTCGTGATCACGTCCTGAGGAGTTTGAGGTGTTCGATCTGATCAGGAGCAACACAAGACAACCCATCCCTCCTTCCGGTTTTGACTCTCATCCATTGACGACTACTGCCGCGTGATTCGCACCACTTACCCGTCGCGCCGTTGCCGATGCATGAGTAGCTTCCGCGAGAGAACTCGTCCTGCCCCCAGCGTGTGACCATGGTTTCGATGGGCTTGGGGAGAGGTCGTTGCGAGGAAAAGATGCCCGAAAGGACATCAAGAGCCTGATCCACAATCTCGCGGTCGGTCTGGTGCTCCATTTCCAAGGCCGCCTCGCCGGAGATGAATGACATGAGAATAGGAACGCCGGTGCTGGGGTACATGTTCCTGAGGAAAGAGAACGCAGAGCGAGAGCAAATCGAGGACACGGCAGTGAGTGCGGTGGCGATCAAGCGGCGGCGCATAATGTGCACAGGTGATCAAGTCGATGGCACTTTGCCGGATATGGTGGGTCGGGCGGATGGCGTGAGGTGCACGGCACTGCGCCGCTCTCGAAGATTGACTATTCCAAGAGGCTCATCGCTCCAAGGGGCCCATCGCTCCAAGGGGCTCGTTGGTCCACCTACCAGAACAGGAAGAAGCGGCCACGTGTGCCAGAGAAGCCAGATAGGGCATTCTCTCGGCTACCGGAGGCAATCGGGTCGTTCAACGAGCCAAACGAGTCGACGTCTGCCTTCCAGAACAGCTTGGGGAAGACCATCACAACCTTGTTGAACAGACCCATGTTCAAACGGTCGATGGCCTCTGTTTTCCAATCCGGCAGTGGCGGGTTGAACGCGATTGTGTTGGCCTGAGGAGCACAGAAGAAGGGAATGGGAGCCGTTAGAGATCCTCGATCAGAAAGCCTTTCGATAGTAGGCTATTCGTATGCACTAGGACCGACTTACTTTCAGAACGCCGAGCGATACCGTAACGACCTACAAAATCGAATGAGCCCAGGCGATGAGTCATTCGGGGCTGGAGCGGGTGCAGGACAGTAGAGGTCTGTGTGGGGCTCGATGCGACTACCCACCACGGCATCGGCAGTGTACTCGCTGCCGTCCTTGCATGTGATTTTGACAGGCCCTGGTGGAAGGTGGTCGTCGGCGTGCTGCACCTTGCCTTTCACCTCGATTTGGTCGACTGCTTTGTCGTAGTGGATCTCGATTTGGTCGTGTTCAGGGTTGCTGCCGTTGGCAAGGGCTGATACCAGCTGGCCGAATCCGCCCTTGATGTTGCAGTGTGGGCCCTCTAAAATGCGTGAATGCAGCCAGTCAGTGGCCTGTTGCCCATTCGCCGCAGCACAGGATACGGCACGCAGACAATCCTGGCTGTGTGATTGCGAGGACTGGCGATGCTCGACAAAAGCTCCCCACAGGGCTCCAAGTGCATTGTCCGGCTCCCGCTTACCAAACTCGAACGGATCATCCTGGTCCCAGTGATGCAGGGAGAGCTTCTTGAGCGGACAGGCGTTCGCTGACGATTCACAGATATACAGGGTCAAATGGTGAGGCGGGCACTGCATTTGATTGGAGGACCATCTCCTATTCATCATCATCCTCTGTACCGAGTACCGTTTCACACAAATGGATCCAGACGGCGCAGCGATCTTACCATATTCGAGGTTGGCCAAGTGCCAGTTGATGACGCGGAGATGCGCCGGCTGCAGCTGTTGGAACTGCGGGTGCTGTGAGAGGTGATACGCAAATATGGTCTCGAGCGACGGCGACAGGCTGCTGTAGCCGTTCTCCTCCTCCTGCTTGCAGACCATCTGGACCTGCTGCTTCGAGACCACTGTTGGCACGCCGCCCTGGATGACGGTGTGGCAGGTGCTGTCGAGAACGTCGTTGAAGAGCTGCTCTTGGGCCTCGTCCGCTTTTTGCGAGACTACCTGTCCGTTGCTGTCGTAGAGCTTGACGTCGCCACTGGTGAGCAGGTAGTGCAGGGGCAACTCCAGCTGAGACTTGACGATGGCATCGAGGGGATTGCCGCCTACCAGAGACAAGTCATGTGCATTTGCAACGCATCAAAGGTCAGCAACGAGGCAGCTCTGTCAATAGAGTGTCGTCTGGCAGGGACATGCTCGAGAGCCGTGATGCGAGCCTCGGACGACCGCACATACCTTCGAATCCTGTTACAATCTGGGCACCTGGAGACAGCGCCGCAGCCAGCAGTTCGTTAGCGATTAGAGCATTGCCAACGGGCCCGACAGGCGGAGGTGATGCAACAACCAAGCACCTATGCGAGGAGCATGGCTTGGCGGAACACAGCGAGGGCGGCAAGTGCACGGCCGATGCCCGAGGCATCGTCCAAGACATCGTCCAAGTGGAATGCACTACGAACACCAGACAAAGCGATTGAATGGCATCGAGCGGATACTTACCGAGGTCGATGCCGCAGTGGTGGGAGGACTGGGTGCCGTCGGGTCGTGTCATGAGGGGATAGGTAAAGACCCGACCACCCATCCGCTTGCGGCCTTCCAGAACGGTGATGTTCGGAGCAGGCAGATGTGGGCAGTCCACAAACAGGTTCTTGATTTCCCGCGCTGCAGTGAGGCCGGCGACGCCCGAGCCGATGATGACGATGCGGGGAGGCCGGGCAGCGTCATTGCAGGGAGGAGGCAGCGCAGGCGGTAGTCGGTCGGGCACTCCAAAGTTGATGTACCTGTAGCGCATTAGAAAGTCGTATGTCTGGCGCACCATCCGGTCAAACTCTTTGTCCTGGCCGCCGCTGACAAAGTCGATGGCCTCCTCCTTGGTGATCCACAGGGTGGGGTCGGCCTGCCAGAGGGCCAGTATCAGGTTTCGGGCATATGTGTATGACGAGCGGATGGTTGGGCGGCGGTAGACCGGGAACAAGTGCTTTTCGACGTCGCTGAGGCGATCGGGAGACAGGCGAGAGGCCGTGGCGGCCCTGCTCTGGTCCTCCGCGGGCTTGACGGTGTTGCGGCGATTTTCGAGGCGAGTCGAGTAGTTGAGGTCGTCGCACTGGTGAGGGTACGAGGGTGTCCCCGGCGGACGAGGAGACGACATGGAGCAGGAGGGAGTGAGGACGGTGCCAGACCGACGGGAGGTGGATGCTCGGCGAGAAAGCAGGCGCAGTGGGAGCAAGATCGGCGACAGAGCAGCACGGCGGCACGGCAGGCAGATTACCTCGGACATGGCTGTCGTTTGGCCAAGGGAGGAGAGGGAAGTACTCGAGCAGGCAGTGCGAGGGAACGGACCAGAGGGCTCTCAGACCACAAAGTAACCCCAAGCCCGATTTTTGTCATTTGGGCCGAGGAAGGGCGAGGGCGAGACGGGGCGAGGCGAGACGAGAGAGGGCCGCCTCGGCTCGGCTCTCGCCTCTCGGCTGTGTAACCGAGATTGTCCTCCCTGGCCGGTGAGAGCAACGCCGAGCGACGCTGGGGCGAGCGGGGCATCAATGGGCGAGAGACGGAGACGGCGGCGGAATGACTGACGTTGATAATGGGGGGGGGTGGGGCGGAGCGGTCTCGCCGAGCGCCGTCCTGTGCTGGGGAGGGGTTGTTCGCCAGGGTCTCTGAATGCACCGCATGGCATGAGGGGAATGTATTCGCCCGTGCGGGTGTGCTTCGCGCCGAACATGGCCGGCAAGAGCAGAAAAAGAAAGGGAGAGGGGAAGAGAGGGAAGGAGAGGCATATGGGCTGCGAGCTCCGTTTGTTTGGAAACCAAAACTAGAGAGGGACGACGGGCAGGCGGGGGATCGGGATTGCTGGGTCCGCACGGCGGGTTGTTGCGCTCAGCTGTAGTTGTACTGGGGCGGGCCCGACGGCTGCGATGGATCCTGGGGCTGCTGGCCGTGGTGAACCTTGATATCCGGGGATTGCTGGTGCAGCTGTTGCATATGCTCGTGGCGCTGTTGTTGTTGCTGCTGTTGTTGCTGTTGCTGGAGGATGGCCTGCACAGAGAGCGATTGCATGGGATGCATCGACTGGAGCGCCTGCATCGACTGCAGGCTCTGTCCGGGCTGCATCGACTGTATGCTGGGATGCATCGACGGTATGTGCAGGTACTCGGCAGGCTCGCTTGATCCCGAGTGTATCTGGCCCTCCTCCTTGACCTCGGTCTGACTCCGCTCGAGCTTGGTGGACTGCAGCCAGGCAACGGGCACGGCAGTAAGCAAGACAATCGGGTAAGACGGTGGGCCAGGACGCAGAGGATTGCCAGGGGAGGGATATTCGGCACAGAAACAGAAGTCAGCTTCGTCAATGCGGCGTGAACATGCGCAGGGGCGGCTCCCATTGGATTATCATTTGGAGCCTGCCTGATCCTCTCCATCTTGGACAACGGGCGACTGTCGATCCATTCGCCGTTCGCTCTCAGCTGCTGCTGCTTCGACACTTGCTCCCTTCGCAGCACCCACGATACGCCTTGGCACGCTGTTGAACCAGCACTAGTCTGTCCGAACCGACCAACGTACCTCGCGATACTTGGTCAGGTAGATCTTGAGTGCTTCGCAGTAGTTCTCGAAGCCAAGCGAGTGCATGGCCCAGAGGATATCTTCGCCGCTGATCGTCTTTCTCTTCTCGGTCAGGCACCGGTCGCTGGCTGGAGGGGGGCATGGAACCGAAAATCGCGAGTCAGGGCGCAGTAGTAACGGCAGGCAAGGGCCCTTGGGGCTGCTCAACCCCATGGACCCGGCACCAGCAGCGATCCGCATTGGCGCCAGGGCGCAGGCCTGCAGATACCAACCCTCGGAGGTGATAAAGGAAATGAACTCGGACACGCATTCTTGGACGCACTCCTTGGCCTCCTTGGAGATTTTGGCGTTTACGGGGAGGGCGCGCTTCATGAGCCGGTAGACGTTTGCGATGGGGAGGTATCGGTCCTGCTCCTTGCAGGACGAGTTTTCGGTGTCGTCTCCGTGGTCCGACATACTGGTCTGGGTTTGGTAGCGCGGATGGATCTGTGCGGCGGGTGGCCAAAGCGGGGGTTCAGCGAGGGGAATGGGCAATGGGCTGCATCAGCGCTCGGGAAGGGTATTGTTGTCTGGTGCGAAAAGCCAACGGCCCCCGCCAGCCCTCAAGACATGCAAGAGCCGCCAAGCAATCGCTGCCCAACACCGGCCCTCCTCCAGGCAGGCGCTCCTGCTTTGCCGGCATGCTCGCGGCATGCACCAGAGGGACCAGCGGCCCTGGAGCACGGCTGGCATGGGTCTGTCCAGGGACAGTGTCTGGGCCGCGGCGACCAGCAGGAGGCCAATGCGAGCCCAGCGGGGACACGGGAGGCGGCTGGTTGGTCGGCCCGGCAACCACAGCGAGGGCTGCTCTGGCGACCCTTCGATCCGTGCGTCGCTGCTGGACGCTCCCCGGCTCGCCTTCTGGCTCGTACATACCTGGTGCTGGCTGCTGGCTGGCCAGACGACGCTTGCGAGTTTCGATTGGATGGGCGGGCAGAGTGAATCGATTGGAGGGGCCGTGCGCTGCGGGTGGTTGGGCACGGGCGAGAAGGCGCGGCGGGCCTGTTCTCGGTCAGGTGATGCGGCGCGCCCTGCGCCACAGCACGCGAGATCATGCGCAGCAGCCCGCAGTATATATTGCCGATTCGCTCATCCCCCGCCCAACTGGCCTCCTTCACTCGACGTGTCCCTTGGTGAGTCGCTCTTGGCCGCCGCTGCTGCTGCTGCTGCTGCTGCCGATACACATCCCCCGCGGCTGCGGCCGACTGCCTTGCCGTCCAAGGATGTGATATTTTGTAACCTGCACTGCTCTTTGACTGCGTTGCGCTTTCAGCCGCGTCCTGCGGAGCCAGCCTCGTGCTGGCCACTCGCCCTGCGTCTGGAGCGCTTGTCCTGCGGCTCTGCTGTGGTCGACGCCTTCATCGACAGGGTACTCTGCGCCGCCGGGGCGAGGCGAGGCAGCGCGATTCGTTGTGCATGAGCAAAAGAGCATTTGATGAGAGCTAAGGCGAATCTGAGACAGCGGCAGATCGGCTGCCGCCCTCCTCTTCCCAGTGTGGTCTTGGATGCGCTACCGCACGAGCCAGTATGCATCAAACTCACTCTCGTTGAACTGTATCGCCCATCTCCAGGACCATCGTCGGTGCTCGGGCCACCAGGCGCTTCGTTCGCCACACGAATGCTCTTCGCCGTATGTATCTCGCCGTCTCCTTCCCGATCGGCTGTGTGGCGAGGCGCTTCAAAGGATGATCCATTCTTGTGTGAGATTGCCCGCAAGGCGTGGTCAAGGATAATCCACAAACCTCTAAGAAGTTCTGATTACTGGGCGCATGGATGGCCTGCTGTGTGCCCACCAGTCCCTGTGAATATGGCTGCTGACCATTGCTATGTTCACGCTCTCGCAACAATTCCAACCAGGATCCACCACTTTGTAGCCGCGCACTTTTTTCAGCGCCATCGATCCTTGACTGTGATGCAGGTAGGCACACATACATGCGTTCCTGGCAATGATCGATGGGGGGGGAGAAGGTGCTCCAGCAAAATGATGTTTTACTCTATATCTGTCAATCCCCTGAATATGCGACACTGTCGCAATCGCTTGTTGACAACCACTTTTTCGAGTCTGATACATTGCTGGCGCCACCTTTGAGGCTCGGATTGTGCGAGTGTGCATCCATTGGTATTCTGTACTCACCCAGCCTGTTTGCTCTTTGGTCATCGATAGGTAATGTCCACAATGCGTCTCAGGGTGAGCGCCGGGGCGGGGGCGGGCAGGGTCCTTGAACGGCAGCAGCGCATGTAGCGAACAATACACAGACGGTACACTGCGAGATGACGTGGCTTCATAGCACAGACGTGCCTGGGTGGACGGAAGAGACTCATTCGGAGCTGAGACGGCAAAGGAGGAACGCCGGTCTGATGTGTGTGGCATACATGGAGAAAGGGATGGAGCCGAGAGCAAGCTCGTCTCACCAGGAACAGAGCGGGTGTCTCCGCCCTGCCCCGCGACTTGCGTTGGCGGCCGAGTTGCAAGCGTATATTGCAAATGTGGATGTGGTGATTGTGCAAGGAGGTTGGCCAAGCACATTCCACACACAGATCCCGCAGCCAACCCCAGTTACTCACTATGGGCTTCAGTCGTCCTCGACAAATTTATACTTTGGATACTGGGCGCGTCGCTCTTCCTGCAAACGAGATAGTGAGCAAGGGACGGCCATGAGTGTCAGGATGCATTCGGTACGCAGTGGGTGGCAGACAGTTAGTACATCGGGCGCAGACGGCTCAGCTGGATCCAGGTGGGAGCTGTTGATGTTGGGGAGGGGGCCGGGTGGTGTTGGGTCGATGGACAGGCATGGTGGCTCGAAAGCTGAGTCTGTTGCTGCGAAACGATCATGGGGATACACCGCTACTTGCAAATTCACGTTGGTCGACCGAGCTTGGTGTGGCGAGCGTCGCCGACGGAGCGAAACCGCCGATAGAGCGCCAGGACCACGGAGACGACGATGCCGCTGGATCGACTAGGGCAAGGCGAAGATATCGAGCGACGTGCACAAGAATAATACTTACCACAGATATGCTGGCCTCGTAGACAATGTGGATCGCCTGAGATTTGCCGCCCACGGCAGGACCAGCCGCCTCATGCGTCGGCGCCAGAGCAGATTTGGAGCTCAGAGGTGCCATCGGAGCAGGTAATCCAGAAGTAGGCGGCGCGGTCGGTGGCAGACCTCCGGCATTGAATGGGGGGCGGGGCATTTGGGGCTCCTTGTTTTGGAAGTTTGCCGAAGCAATGACAGGTCCTTGCTGAGGCATGGGCGGCCGAGCAGGCCAGTTGCTGGTTGGAGGCGGACCGCCGTATCTTGACGGAGGACCGGGTGGAGGTCCTCCGGGTCGTGGCAGCGGCGGTCCGGACATCATGGGCGGCGGGCGACTCATGGGTAGGTTGGGAGGCGGTCCCTGCATCGGCATCATAGGCGGACGCATCCCCATGGGCATGACAGGCGGAGCCGCCCCACGGGACGGCAGGGGATATGCAGGATAGGCAGGCGCTTGATAGGGCATCGAGGGATATGCGGGAGCGTTCGGAGGTGCGATGGGAGCAGCAGCGCCGTACGGGCCCACCGGCCTTGGAGGAGCAACAGGACCGATCGGGGCGCCAGGGGGTGGTGCGCCTGGCATGCCTGGCATTCCCGGGACTGGCATTGCAGGGCCGCTCGGCCCCGCTGTCTGAACGGGCGGTCTCCATGCGCCGGCATATGCCGCCTGGTGCGTCTCGGCAAGAATCTCAGCCTCAGTCTTTTGCTTCTTGCTGCCAGTGCCCTCGATCTGGGCAATATGGGCTTGGAGGTCTTCTTCGGGGACGCCCTCCATACCGAAAATCTCAATATCGATCGAGTCGCGGCCCGGGAGGGCATTGGGAACTCTGCGAAACGAGATCGTGGACGGGGCCCAGGGTCAGTCTAGATGAGATCAGCGGATGCGGCAGCTTGCAACTGCTGGAACTGCGCGTGATCGTTCCAGGAAGCAGACAGCTTCCGGCCAGGCTCAGTCAAGCCCAACCAAGTCCAGCCAAGACCTCGGAAACCAGACAGATCGACACAGCGGCGTACGACTGAAAGAGCCTCGGTATCGCACCTCTTGATGGTTTCCTTGTGGACCTGGTTGATGTGGACCAGCATGCCGCCGGCCGTGTTGAGCTTTTTGTTGCAGTGCGAGCACTTGAAGTGCTTGGCCTTCTGGTGGTTGATCAGGACCTTTTCGTCCTCAAACTCGCGATCGCAGTACCAGCACCACGGCTTCAGCTCTCTCTTCTTTTTCTGTGAGCGGACACGAGGGGAGGAACCACGGGTTAGTGCGTGGCAACTGCTGGATATGCTTAGCGCTGTTCCGATGGGGTGCCCATTCTTGTGCAGTCATAGGGCCTCGATTTGGGAGTCGGATATGGGCCAATTCGCAGCAGCGGCTATGGAATACGCTCAGGCTTTGGCACGCTCTTGTTCGACACATCCACGAACATACGAGATCGCGACGATGGACATGCCGCTTCATTGGATGGCAACGGTAGCCACGCGCCACAGCCATTGCATCGCACTTGCGTCGATAGATCGCTGAGCCAATCCTCGCCGCCGTGACTTGGTTCCAAAGGCGACAACGAGCTGGCCATGATGCCTGAGACTCGGCCGGGTGTTTCCAAGGCGATCCAGTCCACAAACACCTTGGTCATGCGGACGATTCGGTTCCCGCCGATGCCGGTAAATGTAGCAGCACACTGACCGAAAGCAGCCGGGTTGGCGACAATTACGCCTTGAATGTTCTCGGCGCGGGATATAGACCGATCCATTGATCGCGCAGGCGGCTTTGATCGATCAAGCGCTTTGCAGACTCCCCATGCAGGACGCAAACAGTGTGTGCTGGCTGTCGATCCAACAAAGAATAGATAGAAGCGACATCCTACCTTGCCCATAGCGTTGTCGATGGCACGGCCGAGACGGATGAAGACGGAAGCGACTGCACGAGACCGCGAAGAGCAGATCAGGACGGAGATGATGCGAGCCGACGGACAAAACAGGGCGAGCCGAGAGCGAGGCGAGGCGGCGGCGAGACGAGAGCGGGGCGAGAGCGGAGCGAGATCGAGATCGCGTGACGTGATCCGTGGCACCAGCAGCACACAGATGCTGTGGCTTGGCTGGCGCGGTGGCACAGGCGCTGCGCACGTGTGCACGCACCGAGAGCACGCCGAGAGCACGCCGAGAGCACACCGAGAGCACACCGAGAACAGCCTTCGTCACGTGGACAACCAACACACAGCCACACACACACATCGCCCTTGGCCGGATCGCCATCGGTATCGCCATCCACATCCCGATCCACCCGACCAGCCAATCTGCCCTCGTCGTTCCCATCTCCAGAGCGCCATGGTTCCGCCCGAGAACAGCTGTATGTCTGCAGCGTCTGCGTGGTTGAGTCGAGCTGTGCGGCGCATCGCTTTGGGGTGCTGGTCCACCGAGACTTGTCCGCCGAGGAGCGATTCGACATTCTGTGCCTGCTGCATCGAAGAACACAACTCCACTGCCGGTGCTCCCTGCCTGCATTTCCAAGCCCTTGGTACCTCAGATTCGACTCTGATATCTGCAACTTTGCCATCCCACCATGCACAGATACAGACCCGGCATCTCCGGGCCGAGATGATGCCGACAGCGCCGATAATTTCGTGACCGACGACTTGCGGCCGGAGGAGGTCACTCCCGAGGACATTGCACAGGGTCACGGTAATTACTTGCTCTGTCGCCTCTGACCCCCAAGCCAGCCGCTTCATGACCGGTGGTTCAATATCAGACATCCGTGATCACAAGCCCAAGTCCCAACGGCAGTGCGCGGGGTGAATGCACAGGGCCATGGCCATGGCCATGCACTCGCTGCATTGTCCATCGAGCGTCGTTGCCACAGCCGCGATCCAAAGCCACAATCGCTTTTCTCGATTTGGCGCCGACCGCTGCCTCACAGCCGGCCCCCAAGGCCTCCTGCGCCAATGCTGACCCGAGTCCGTCTCGCAGACATCCAGGGCCTCAAATGGTCCGAGATCCAGCGGTCGCGGACCTACTACCGCGATCAGCGTATCGTGGAGTACAGGAACTACAAGAATCTCGATATTCCATACGACAGAGTCGAGGAGGTGGGCGCCGAACGAGCTTGCATCGACACCGATGCGGATTCCACTCATTCCCGAGTCTAGAAAGCCGACGATTCTGCCTCGTGAAGGTGGCGACTGCTGCGTTGGGGACATGTCCGATGCAGCATATCACAACTCACATGCTTTATCAATCGCTTCATGGCATGGGGCAGGAGATTGCACGGGTCCGAACCGATGGACAGTTCTACAAGTTTCGATACACTCGGCTCAGCCAAGTCTGCACGATCGTCCACTTTCAGCTGCGGAATCTGATTTGGGCCACAAGCAAAAACGACGTCTACTACATCCGTACGCAATTTCCTCGATTGCAGCGGTGGTGCAGATGGCTCCCCTTCGGATCGCTGAGCAAGAAGAGTGCTCTCGCAACCGGCCGTACCGCTTTTTTTCAATCCATGAATGTCCTGCTGCTCACAATCCGGCGCTGGTTGGATCGGTGACATGGCCCGAGAGTCACTGTTGGAATGCTGTCGACTGATGCTACCATTATCTCCGGCGTGGCTGTTTCCGGTCGATTGCGTGACCGATTGGATCTCCAGACAACTCAAGCGTGCGGCATTGGTGCCCACTCTCGAAGCGAGCGCGATCAGTTCTGAAAGTACACAGCCACATCCGAATCAGCACCATGTGCGCCAAGATGAACTACTTAATTGCTGGAGGTTCGGCTGTCGTTGCATGCGCACCACAACACTGAGAGCGTAAACCCTAAGCGCTCCCCTCCCCTCCCCCAAAAACAACTGCCGATGTCGCTGTAGACGAGCTTCGGGAACATTCGACTGACATTGTGTACCCCGTCCGATGTCATGTGGCAGGATACCAAGGAGAGTTTGTCCTTCGGAGTCTCAACGAAGGCTCCGCGGAGAAATCAGGAGCTGTCTCGCCGAATCGGTCCAATGGCATCACAAACCACATTGATATCGTCGAGAGCCGGAGTGGAGGTAACGCTGATTGAGTCGACTTGTTCCTCGGAGGGCAATCGGACCAGAGATGCAGACCGCACTGACCCGAGCGACTCGCTGGCATCGTGTGCTTCGATCGTCGATTCTTCAGTCCACGAGGCCATCATCTCCAGCAACGACGAGTTTGGGCGTGTCATGAACTTGGATCGTGGGGAGATTGTCCAGGCATTTCGGTTCGATTGGGCGCTCAATGTAAGTGCATTGCATCAGCGTGGCATCGTGGCATCGTGGCATCGTGGCATCGTGGCATCGTGGCATCGTGGCATCGTGGCATCGTGCTGTCGCGAATCCGGTTGCGTTGCTCGGACAAAGAGCCGTGTCAGAGTTCACGACGATCGTCTATGAGGCCACACTATCACGCCCGGTCGTCCACGATGCTTCCAGAAATAATATGCGATCTCTAACTTGGACAAGTACGTCGGATACAGTGCAGCGCACGCAGTCCGGATCAGAAACGGCTCTGTGTTGTCGGTGACGTGAAAGACTCGCTCATTGTTGACTCGCAGACCGGACAAAGTAAGCACGACAGTCAAGATCGGTGGAGAGTGATCTTGCATCTCTTAGAGAGTACTGACTCTGGACGAGTAACGGGAAGCAGTTGGCGGCAAGCGATTCATCCAAGCTTTCCAAAGCAAACTGCATGCCCAGTAAGCACGTCTCCACCGTCGCTGGAAATGCTGAAGTGATTCCCATGGTTCTTTCCTGTAGCCCTGGAAACCCTGACTGGCCACATCGACTACTCGTTTGCGTGTGCCTGGTCGCCATGTGGCCGCTTTGTGGTCACCGGAAATCAAGGTATGGCTGACAGTGTGGTGTTAATGTGGATCTAAGTGCGCCTTGAGCGCCCAATACCATTGCCACTTCATCACACGGCTTCGCTGCGCTGTCTGCTCAATCTACATTCTCGAACCTGGGCGAATGCCGTTCATCCTACTCTGATGAGTTGCACGACGTGCTTCGGCGGCCCAGAGCTAACTCCGCTGACCGGGTCAACGCCATCCATCCATCCATCCATCCTGCGTGTCAACGTGTGAAGACTGCACAGCACGCCTCTACGACACCCGCAATCTCCAGAGTACCCTTGCGACGTTTAGCGCCAATCTGGGCGCCGTGCGCTCGCTGCGGTTCAGCGATGACGGCCAGTTTCTGGCGATGGCAGAGTCGGCCGACTTTGTGCATCTGTTCGATCTGCGCTCGCACTGTGCCGAGTCGGACTACCGGTCGCAGGTCATTGACTTTTTCGGCGAAATCGGAGGCGTGTGTTTCACGCCTGGCGATGCTGAGGGGCTCTTCATTGGCGTCGCTGGTACGTATGCGTTCCGTCTGGCTCGGGTATCGGGCCTTTATCCTGAATGTCGGCAAAGCAACAGAGCGGCCTTTGATTCCCTTTGGAGGTGCGGCATGGACAAGTACCCCTCATGCTCATCTCTCTCTGCTTGGTGCCCCCCCCCCAACAACGACACGACCGTGGTCCATCCCTGGGACGTTTTTTACATGACAAACACCGCACATCAACCGACAGCGCAACAGTCAGAGCCGGGGTGAGTTGTCGCATAATCTGGACTGTGGTGCAGTGTTCGACAGCCCACTTCATGAGAGAAGACATGAACGTGATGAAGATGGCGCGGGAATCTGGCTGGCTCCACGCCAGGCTCATATCCATGGGCCGAGATACTGACGATTCCGCCGCCTTGGCCTGTCCAGATCGATCATCGAGTTTGAACGACGGAGACCGTCCCTGCTCTCCTCCCTGTCAGACCTATGAAACCACATCCATGACCACATCCACGTTTACACATTGCCATCGACGTTGTCATCGGCATTTGTGCCCCCCAAGTCCGCTGCAATTCCAGCTTCCCTTGACGCAGGAGCAGAGGCCATTGGTGTCATCAAGCTTCTGGCGATGCGGGTGAGAAGAGCACAGCCAGACCCCGTTGCTCTTTCACCTTCCCCCCCCCATCCTCGAATGTCTTCATCTCCCACCCCTCCATTCTATATCCCTGCTGTTTCAAACAGAGCCGCCGCTGTCTTGTCGAGTCAAGTGTCAGTACACCGTCACCTCCACGATTGTCGCATCCAAACAAGTGCCTTTGCTGCCCCGTATCCCGACTTTGCTGTCCCCCATTATTGCGTGCCTGGTGCCATCGCAACTTTGACATGATGTGGGTCGATTAATTGCTGCTGCTGGGGGGGGGAATCAGCGGTGCAATCTTGAGGAGCTCAGACTGCCTGTGCGTCAGCTCAGTCCACAGCATTCCAAATGGCCATGCACAATCAAGCCAATGATGTGAGCCCTTTCCTTGGGTATCCGAGGCATGGGAGTGATTTCTGAATCAAGTGTATTTTCTCGCCACCCGCCACCCACACGCAGACCACTGTCCCTCAGGTGAGGAAAAATAAAAATAAAGAGTAAAGAATGGCGATAATAGGTTGGAGGACTCAAGTTTAGATAGGTAATGGTGGGGGATGGGGAGCGGTTGAGAGAAGGGAGGGGAGAAGAGGAGGGGGGGAAGCGTGGGGGGAAATGAGAGGGGCGAGAGGGCGAATGCGGAGAGGAGGGGGGAGAGCAAAGCGATCTAGCGATCGATTTCACCAAAGACAACATCGCAGGTACCAATGATTGTTACGGCATCGGCAATGAAGTGGCCCTTGCCCATAAAGTCAACACCAGCCAAGTGGGGGAATCCGGGAGCGCGGATTTTGCATCTGTACGGGCGGCTGGAGCCGTCCGAGACGATGTAGACGCCAAACTCGCCCTTGGGGGCCTCGATGGCAGTGTAGGTCTTTGGATGCGAACCAAGTGTCCCCCAGGACAGAAGCCGATTGACGACCGAGAATGTTTGCAAGAGGAGGCGCAGACCAGCCAAAGTGGCGTTTCGTACACAGTTAGTCGGGAATGCTTTGCGGACTGCTGGACCGACGGCTCGCGAGCCCAGAGCGGCGACACAGGACCGCCAACACCTCTGCGCGGACAGTACGTACCTCGCCGGGAGGAACAGAGTAGCCCTCAGAGTACAGCTTGAAGTGGTGGATCAGCGATTCCATCGAGGTCTTCATGTCGGCGCGGAAGGGAGGAGCGATCTTGGCGTCGTCGACGCGGACGGGGCCGCCAGGCATGTTGTTGATGCACTGGCTGATGATGCGGAGCGACTGTCGCATTTCCTCGACACGGCACAGGAAACGGTCGTAGCAGTCGCCGTTGGTGCCGACGGGGATGTCGAACTCAAAGTTCTCGTATCCGTCGTAGGGCTGCTCCTTGCGGAGATCCCAGGCGACACCGGAGCCTCGCAGCATGACACCCGAGAACGAGTAGTCCAGGGCCTGCTGGGCAGTGACCTTGCCGATGCCGATCAATCTTCCCTTCCAAATACGGTTGTTGGAGAGCGACTCTTCCAGCTCGTCGATGCGGCCACCGTACTGCAGGGCCCACTGGTAAATGTCGTCCAGGAGGCCGATAGGCAGATCCAGAGAGACACCGCCAGGGCGGACGTAAGCGGCGTGCATGCGGGCACCCGAGACACGTTCGTAGAACTCCATGAGCTTCTCACGCTCCTCAAAGAGCCACAGGAAGGGGGTCAGGGCACCGACATCGAGAGCGTGGGTGGTGGTGGCCATAATGTGGTTGAGGATACGGGTGATTTCGCCAAAGAGGACACGGATGTACTTGGCGCGGATGGGGATGTCGATGTTGAGGAGCTTCTCGACAGCCAGCGAGTAGGCCTGCTCGTTGCACATCATCGAGACGTAGTCGAGACGATCAAAGTAGGGGAGGGCTTGGAGGTAGGTCTTGTACTCGATCAGCTTCTCCGTGCCACGGTGCAGCAGGCCGACGTGGGGGTCGGCGCGCACAATGACCTCACCCTTCAGCTCCAGAATGAGACGGAGCACACCGTGGGCAGCGGGATGCTGCGGACCAAAGTTGAGGGTGAAGCTCTCGAGAGCGGGCTCCTCGCCCTCGTAGTAAGGGACCTCTGTTGAGGGCATCGCCGCCATAGACAGAACAGTTAGACATCATCACACCGACGCGAGAGGTTGGCGCACTTGGCGAAGCTGCGCAACACAGCCTCGATGCATGCGGCGATGTCTGACGCCACGCCTCAATCGCCACTCTCCAGAGCCAGGAAGCTGGTCGGCGGCCTATCGTACCCAAGACCTTGGCGTTCTGACGGACTTTTGGGGGAACGAACCATCGAGTCGTGGTGGTGTAGGTATCGGGGTTCATCTGAAGAGTGGGCTGCGAGGCCTGATGGGGGCAAAATGCATGCAAGCAGCGTTAGATGGCACTGAGTGAGGCGAGTCGCAGACAAGGCGAAGCGGCTGTGTTGCCAGTCTGTCGCTCCCAATGATGACGCCAGGTTCGCTAATGGGAGGAATGCTTTGCGAGTTTCATAGTGGTGCGACGGCGAGATGGATTCATAGCTCAACGTACGTTTCTCTTGGACTGCAGGTTCTCGAACGAGGAAATGACATTCTTGGCGGTATGGGCGGTCGAGGGCACCAAAGAGGAAACGGAGCGACCCTTCACCGAAGGGATGGTGCTTGCTCGCAGAGCCGAGCGCAAAGTTTGACGGGCAAACATCTTGTCTGCGGGCCCAGCATCGACATGGCCACGGCAAAAGATAGCGCACAGACGGTCGTGGGGCAAGTATCGGCATCGGGGTCCAATCCGATTTAGTCAGATGCGATGTAGTCGATCAGGATCGAGGGCCCATGATCGAAGACGGCAATCGTATAGCAGAGTCGATGAAATTGGAGAGGGTGTTGATGTCGAAGGTGACGAAGGGTCGTTGACCGTGGTCGGAGAGGGAGAGAGAGTAGCCGGGCGGCAGGCATGTATCCATCGAGTCAGTCGGGAGTTTGGGGCGGATACAAGAGAGAGGCATGACAGACTGATCAGCAACAAGTGGACATCATGGGACGTCGATGGGCACGCGAATTCCAGGGCGAACGGCCGCCGGCCATGAGCTCCGGATGAACCATGCACGTTCCGGGTGATCCATGCAGGGCCTCGGTGTTTCCCTCCAAGGAGTCGATCGATCCGTCTGTTTCCAATGACGTCGGCGCGGCTGCAGATGCGAGCAGAGTCGACAGCTTGCCATAGATCATGCTGCTGACGACCGCGCGACAGCGAGCCGCGATATCCAGAGACGACGCATTCGTTCTGCCCCATATCGCCCGATCCAGCTATGTCTCCTCTGCGGCGGCATGCCGATTGCTGCCTCTGGGAGAAGCCGAATTGGAATGCTTCGCCTGCACGCGGCTGGGACAGGTGTGGGTGTATCTTGAGGAGCCCGCGGTCGAGACATCCACGCCGACTCTGGTTCCAGCACGACAGCGGACGACGCTCGTGCGGACACCGTTGGCGGTGATGCTTGCGGTGTTTGCGATGGCGGCGATGGCGGCGCATCTTACCTGACGAGAAACCGACTCGCTTCAGACGCAATCCGATAGGGAGGGAGCCAAAGAAAGAAAACGCAAAGGCCACGGAGCGTGCTGTCGGCGGGTTTGGTTCTCGCTGGACGGCCTCGCTCGGGACGCCTCGCTGGCGCTCTCGCCCTCTCGGCCCTCGCTTGGAGGAAATGAAGCACAAATGAACTTTTAATATGCGGCGGCTCGAGTGCACCGGATCGGTCCGGATCCAGCCGCGACGAGCCGTCCCGGTTGGAGAGCGCGAGCCAGCCCGGTTTGTCTGCCGTCCACACAGCAACCAGCGACGATCAGACACCATCCACAACGATCTGCAACGATCCGCAACGATCCGCAGACGAGACCCAACAGTGATATCTGGCAGAGGGGCGTCAGCAGCACGCACACCGCATCTCGTATCTGACATATCCAGCCGCATACCCAGACCCCACGGACCTCCCCCGACAGCAGCATGGGCAAGCACACAGACAAACTCTACATCACGCACTCCGAGTGGGCGACGGATTTCGGGTGAGCACGGCGGCATTGTCAACGACGACTGAGTGCATGCACCGACATCGCTGCCACGGTATGGTACAGCATGGGCTCCCGGCAACATTGGCGATTCCACACAGATCAGCCTGCCTCCAACTCACCTCTGGATGTGCTGTTTCATCGTGCTCAGCGGCGCCAAGTCATCGCAGCCGAAATCCAACTTCAAGCGGCTGCCGTTCTTTTGCTGCTCGCTCTCGCTCCAACCGGTGGAGCATCCGATGTGCACGCCTGAAGGTATCGTCTTTGATCTTGTGTATGTAGAACCCAATCTGTGTCTGGTGGCCCTGGCTGGGCTGTCCCTGCCTACGGAATGCATCGCATGTGCTCTCTGCTGTGTCCGCCTTTGAAAGATCGGGGCTCGTCATTGCGAGCCATGTCTGGGCGGCCGAAGCGAGATCTCTTCAACGACTTGGGCATTCGTTGCAGGCGTTGATATCTCCTGTGCAGATCTGTCGCTCACCCGTTCTACACTGCTCTGCTCGGAATGGATGAACGGACGCCATCGCCGCTGCAATCTGAATCGACCAACGGGCCAATGATCCTGTGGGTGCACGTCCGGGGTTGCCAGCAACATCGTGCCGTGGCTGAAGCAATACGGCACCAACCCCGTCACGGGCGAGAAGCTCGAGGCCAAGCAGCTCTTTCGGCTCAAGTTTCATAAAAACGCCGGCGACGAGTACCACTGCCCCGTCACATTCAAGGTTTTCAACGAGCACACTCACATCGTGGCAATCAAACCGACGGGCAACGTCTATGCCTTCGAGGCGGTCGAGAAGCTCAACATCAAGACGAAGCACTGGGTGGACCTGCTTGAGGATGTTCCATTTACCCGCAAGGACATTATCACCATCCAGGTGCGCCGCTGCATTGGTCTCTGGGAGATGGATACGGGCACGCAGATGCTTGTTGTGCTGGAGCTGTGCGGACGGAGCGATATCGGCATGCTCTGGACCAGTATATGTCGCAGTGTTCAGCTGCCATCGGACTGGCGACTCATGCGCTCGAGCTTTTTGCCGGCGGATCCAGGACCCACACAACCTGAGCACCAGAAACATCTCGGATTTTCACTACCTCAAGAACGACCTCAAGGTCGACAACCCGGACGAGGATGCCAAAAAGTCCATGGTCTCGTACAAGATCAAGACCACCTCGGGGACAGCCTCCCGGGTGCTCTCGGAACTGTCCAAGGGCGCCGGGGACACCGATGACCTGACCAAGTCCCCGGCCGGGGCCTCGGCTGCGTTGACGCCGGCATACGAGAAAAAGGAGAAGAAGGCATACAACGCCGCGCACTACTCGACCGGAGCCGCAGCCATGTCGCTTACATCAACGGCTATCGACGTGCAGACTCGCAACGAGGCCGCCATCATCGACGATGAGGAGTACATGCTCACACATGTAACTGGGGTTGGATACGCGCAGTTGGTGACCAACGTGGGCAACATCAATCTGGAGCTGTTCTGCAAGGACACGCCGCGGGCCTGCTACAACTTTATCACACTGGCAAAGCGAGGCAAGTGGCGAATAGAGAATGGCGAATGGCGACAGTGATGAGGGCCGCGGGGGTGTATGAGCGCATGGATGAAAGTGAGCCAATGCGGGTCGATGCGGGTCGATGCGGGTCGATGCGGTGCAGCGAATCTGACGCAGCAGCGCCGCTCTCCACAGAATACTACGCCGGAACCAAGTTCCACCGCAGCATCAAGCACTTTATGATCCAGGGCGGCGACCCAACAGGCACCGGCCGCGGCGGCGAGTCCTGCTGGGGCAAAGACTTTGGCGACGAATTCAAGTCGAACCTGAGCCACAACGCCCGCGGCATCCTCTCGATGGCCAACAAGGGCAAGAACACAAACTCATCGCAGTTGTAAGCCAGCTCGCAGACCGGCACTGGAACGGAGGACGGCGGGATGAGCGGATCTGTTTGATGGCACGGTGCAAAATGACGAGCCGGCCCGGTGACTCATATGCCAGCTCGATTCCAACCCGGCAGCTTCATCACTTATCGGCCGTGCACGCACCTCGACAACAAGCACACTGTCTTTGGAAAGGTCGTCGGCGGCATGGACGTGCTGGGCAAGATGGAGAAGATCGAGACGGATGACCGCGACAACCCGCTGGTGAGCATGATGCCGATCTGGCGGTGACAACACTGGGCCGGGCCGGTGATTACGGTCTTGCGCAAGCACGCGGCGGTGGAACAGCCGCAAGCTTGGCTGGACAGCATGAATCGCCATGACTGATGCGGTCTCATCGGCTGTCTTTTCTTCCTCCCTCCTGCGATCCCTCCTCATGGGCTGGCTGGCCTTCCTGCCGGGACCGGAACGCGTGCGCGGCACATGCGTCATCGTCGACCCGGTTGCTCAGGATGACATCAAGCTGATCAAGGTGAATGTCTTTGTGGACCCATTCGACGAGTTTCAGAAGAAGCTGGAGGGCACAATCAAGGACAGCGCGGGGCCAAAGGACCCGAAGGTGGGTGGGTTCCCTGGGCGAGGGCGGGTGGGGAGGCCGCACAGCCTGGACCGACATGGTCCCTGGGGAGGTTGGATCCTGGGACAGGCGTGGTCCCTGGAGGGGGACGATATCCAGAAAGCACGGCGGGTGGAGCCGGCTCGCAGAGTTGCATCGGTGCGCTGCCTTTGGCCGATCGAATTCGCTGATCGAATGGGCTAATTCCACGGACCGACCGAATGTGCCCATGAACAGGAGAGCCGCCCAAAGAAGCAGCCCGCGGTGTCGATCCCAACGCCGAGCGCATCGACGCAGATCGGCAAGTACATCGGGGCTGACGGCGAGGCAGGCAAGAAGCGCGCATCGACGCTCGATGACGACCTCAAGTTCAGCGCGGACGTGGGCGGGGTGCAGATCAAGAAGGCCAAGCCGAGCAAGGGCTTTGGGGATTTTAGCGGGTGGTGAGCGGCGATGGGGTTGTTTGATTTTCGTGCGAATCCCAAAGCCGAGCAGTTCTGGGGGGCCGCATCGCAGACGGTGAGCGGCAGATGGGGATGCGGGAGCCCGGCGGGTTCCGGCGGATTCCAGCGGAGCCATGATCGTGCTCAAGAAATACGGGGGCACCATGGCGAAATACAGGCGTGCTGACAAGACAATAGGACATGTCGCTGGATTGCGACTGGGTGCGGCGCGGCTCCTCGAATGCAGTCCAACGCAGTCCTATGCAGTCCAACGCAGTCCTATGCAGTCCTATGCAGTCCTATTCGGCCCAGCCTCGACGATGTCGCCTGGGACACACTCCAGCAACGTGCAGACCGGTCGCAGCGGCGGTCCTGCGATTGAATTCCAAATCCAGCCAGGAGAGCCCCTTTGCGGCCCGATTCCGATATCGCCCGAAGCCTCCCCCGACGCCGCTGGCCGTATCGGCTGTGCAGCGGCCGGCCTGTGGTGCTGGGCGGCTCTGGGGACAGGGGGGGGGTGCTGCAGACAGGCGGGTGAGACATGGAGCACCATCGAGGGGGAAGGCAGCACACCGGCCCATCTGACAGCGACGCCTGCCAAGGCCAGGCCGGCTCGGGCTGGGTCTGGCGGCTGGGTGCGCCGAGATGCGCTGGGATGATGTGTCGATGCGCAACCCAATCTGGCTGGAGGCGAGCCGACCAGGGCAGATTGCACAAGCAGAAAATTTTTTTGGTGCACCCAAGAGGCAAGTGCTGCCACTGGTGAGTCTGGTGCAGCCGCAAGAGGCAATGTGGCGGCGCACCCGTACAACGGATGTGTGCTTGGGTGGCGACGGCCCTTGTGGGCGATAGGGCTCTGTGGGCCCGATGCAGCCTGATCTGCGGTGCGATGGACTGGGCAGTCGGGTGCACTACCCCACCACCGTCAGTGCTCTTATGGTGGTGGTGGTGGTGGTTTCTGCCACGAGTGCAATACCACAACTGCCGCGATTGCAACACCACGACTGCCACGATTGCAACACCACAACTGCCACGATTGCGGAGCGCAAGCGGCAACGGCCGCGCGGCTCCGAGCGGTTGCGTCTTGCGGATGGCAGGGCCGCTGCGTGGGTATCCGATTGATCCGACCGCAAAGGCCGACCGGCTGCTGGGGCGAATGGCCCGATGTCGGCGGCAGCAGCATCACGACAGATCGCCGGCGACGATATCGCTGTTTGCGCATCGCTGTCGATATCGCCATTGGCAACACTGTGCTGATAGCCCGGCACACGAGCCTGGCGGCTGTGCCGATCCGGATCCTTGCCCTCGCAGCCCGAAATGGCCCGCCCGCCCCCGCCCCGTGCGCACGCCCGGCTGACCCGCCCCGCGCGATTGGCTGCGACAGACGCGTCGATGATTGGCTGCGGCAGCGTGCGTGTGTGTGTGTCTGGCTGCCGATTGGCTTGCGGACACAGAGTTGCTTGGCAGGCGCAGGCGGATTGCGTCATGGATCCGCACAGTGCACTGCGTGTGCTGCGTGTGCTGCGTGTGTGAGGTGTGTGTGTGTGTGTGGTGTATGACTCGGTCGGCGGTATCAGGCGATGCATACAACAGTCGCAGCGAATCACAGAATCACAGCAAATCGCAGCACACACAAACAGCAGTCGCACGCAAACAGCAGTCGCCCACACAAACAGCGCGCGCCCGCATGCCCGCCCAGCCGCGTCAGGCGCCCAGCCCCAGGCTGTCCCCGCGCGGCCCAATCGCGGCGCGGCTGCCTGGTGTGTTGAGTCACGTTGCCTAATCCCCTGTGGGCTGCCTCGGTCCAATGACGGGCGGCGTGATAGGCCACAGCCGCTGCGCACTGTCATGGCCGCCGCGCGCGTCGCTGGTTGGTTCGTCTGCCGGGCGCCGCGCGCTGATTGGCCCGCGTCCGCTGGGGCGCCGCCCCGATTCGGCGCCGCCTCGTCGCCCTCCGAACCACTCCCGCTGCTCCCTGCGCCGCGCACGCACGCTTGCTCATACAACAAACAAGCCCGCATCATCCCCCCCACTCGTCGTCATCGCCGTCGTTATTTTTTTCGCCTTGACGCATGGCCCTCTGACGCGATCCTGCCTTCCTGCCGTCTATAAAGCCCCCGCGCTTCCGGCGCCTGCCCCTCGCTGCTCCCCATCTTTGCCCACCAGACCTCCAAGCTCCGAGCCCACCTGCTCCCTGCCTGGATCTCTTCTGCCAGTCGCTGCGTCATTCAGCCCAGTCGCTGCGTCATTCGGTCCAGTCCCGTTCCAAGCCTTACCTTTGTCGCTCAAGCCTTCCTGTCGCCAAGACCCCGTCCTCCGTGACCCCCCCCTCCATCGTCGTTCTCACCGTCCCGTGTCTCTGCAAATCTCCTCGCCAACAATGTCCTTTGGTCTCGATCTCGATTGGTGCGCCTGCGGCAAGCACACCCAGGAGGGCCAGCTCTACTGCTCCCTGGCCTGCCGCGACCGCGAGTGGGCCTGCGCTTCGAGCTCGCCCGTCGTTCCCAGCGTCACCCTGTCGCCGTCCTTCCGCTCCCAGCAATTCTATGGCAAGCCCTCGCATGAGTTTTCGCTCGGTGCCCCCGCCCACTCGTTGTCTGTGTCGCCGACCCTCAGCTGGTCACCGTCAAGCTACATGGCCTCGAGCACCTCGCCTCGTTCGCCGCGATCATAGTCGCCGCGTCCTCATTCCGTCTTCCTCGTCCCCGGGCCTCTTGAGCATTATCAATTTTGTTGGATTGACTCGATCCCGTCGACCAGTGGTTGCCTCTGCGGCAATCATCAGCGACCCGCTTCGACTCTATCCCTCAAGGAAGCCAGTTAATCGATCAACTCAAGATCTCCCCCCCGTCCTCAAAACGAAGCAAAAGCAAAAAAAAAAAAACAACAACCATCGCATCGCTCCTGCAAAATATCCGCATCGCTCGACCACGTCGACCCGCCCCCGAATCGCATCTGTCTGAAGCTGGCTCTCCTATACCCTTTACCTCCCCCTGATCTTTCCGCCGTGGGTTGATTCCTCGTTTTTCTTCCACACTGCCCCCCCCCGACTTGGCTTGTTGCTCTGGCCCCCCAGCCAGGACGGCCACACCCCCCCCTTTCAAAGATATAGGAGATATCCCCCATCCACGTATTTAATTTAAAAAAAAAAATTGCCTAGATCGCCATTGCGCAGGTTGTTCACAATATATATATGTTGTGCTACTCCATCGAAAACTGTTGTCCTCGCTCATCTGGGTGGGTGCGCGTGCCTGGGTGATCGCTTTAACGGTGACATTGAACGAACGACCATGCAGCGTGTGCGTCTCTGCAGATCGCCTGTGTATTGCCGTCCCTGATCTGGTGTTGCTGCTTGCGCATTGCCGGCAGATCGGACCGATTCCTGCACACGCCGTCATGGCCGGAGCACGTTGCGATCGGCGTCGCTGCCGACGCTCGATGGAGGAGGGGTTGTTGCTGGGATGCTGTTGCTGCGATGGGATGCTGTTGCTCCTCCAACAGCACGACCCCCAGGCCACAGGGACCCCCTCCCGCGACCCCCACATATGTCTTTTGCTCGCACGCTATGGCCCGCACTTTGCTGGCTTCATGCTCTTGCAGATCCACCCCCCCCTCCTCGCGTGTATCCGACTCGGTCCAGTCCCTCCCGCTCTGCTCCTATGATCCAGTCGGAAGACCGCGCTTTGTTCATGGGGGGCGCCTCGAGACCATGTCCCGCGGGAGTCCCGGCCTCGCTCCAACCAGGCTTTGTCTGTGTCTTGGTCTCATGGCGTTTGCGATTGGTGGTGGGCCGCTCCGGTGCGCTGCCTCGGCTGGGATGTCAGCAACGAGCGTCCCGGCCGACGACTGGGGTTGGATTCGGGCTGCTCCACTGTGCGCACTGAGCGACACAACGACTCTTGCTGTACACTGTTGCCTGTTGTTGTGCGCCTTACTTTGCTCGCTGAGCGGCATCGAGCAACACGATCCTCATTCAAACGGACATGGCATTGCCGCTTGACGACACCACCACTAACACCACTAACACCACTAACACCACCACTAACACCACTAACACCACCACTAACACCGACACTAACATCACCACCAACACCAACACCACCACTAACACCCACACCAACACCACCACCACCGGCAGTTGCATGAACCGCCCACCTGCCGCACCTCGCCCTGTGGTCTCGCCCGGGGCTCGGCCTGGACACCCAGCCGGCCCCGTTTTTTCTTCGCGGCGCATCCGGTCCGGCCCGCGTCGGCGCTCGCTGTTCTGCCGTCTGCAGAGCCCGCTTGCTTTCCCATTTGCCTCATCTCACCTGCCCATCCCTCCAACCCTCCCGGCCTGCTGCCTGTTCTATGATAGCAATCCGCTTCTCCCTTACCCAGCATCGCCCTCCGTCTCCCCGGTCGCCGCTCCCCTGTCTCTGGTCGCCAGATCCGTCTGCAGACCCCAAGCCCGCACTGCCTGGTGTACCGCTTGCTTAAACCCCATCGACGCCGCCGCTGCCCTCCTGCTTCGGCCCTCTGTTCGTCGCTGCCTCTCGCTCTCCCGCTCTGCTGCCGCATACACAATATATCCGTCGAGCCGCGCCGTCTGCGCCCCTTCCCGGCTCGGTTCTGCTTCGTCCGTCTTCGATTCAGCTCGGCCATATCCCCGCCTTTGTCCGTCGCTATCTTGCCGCACCCGCAGCCGAAAGAGCAGCCGAAAGAGCAACCCATTCGACCATCACCGCCGCTCCTGCCGCCTGGCCTTCTTGACAGATCCCCGAGACTCCTCAAGCCCGTCTCGGTCACAAGTCACTCTGTCCCATTGAGCGCCTCATTGCTCCCTCCCTTCCGCTGTCCTCCCACAAGCACCCCATCCTCGTCGATATGAGTCACGATTTCGGTCTTGATCTGGACTGGTGCCATTGCGGGAAAAAGACCTTCCAGGTACGCATTGCATCTTGGTTTCCAGCGTCCGATCTGCAATGAGCGTGTGGCATGTTCAGTGCCAGGGCGTCGGCCAAATCTGCACAGCGATTACCATGCTGGCAATGATGGCAATGTCGACAACGCTGGCAATGCTGGCAATACGGTGCATCCGACGCTCCCTCCCTTTCCGCCTCCACCTCCCTCCCTCTCCTCCATTCATTCGCGGCTCGTTACGGCTGTTGGTCGTGCCATCCCGTCTCGTCGCCGCGACTCATGTCCCATCCATGGCGACGACTCCTTGGGCTGTGCTAATCGCAACCGTAACGAGCGACAAGGCGGCCCCTCCGCTCTGATTATTCCCAGAGCCATCCCATCCTGCAACTCACGTCCCCGTAGTCAACAGCCTCTTATCGACCCTCCCCATCCCCGTTGCATCCCCACGATCGCCACCCTTGTCGATGCCTGTGATTCTGTCCGCTAACAGGCCGCTCCGATACATCCAACCGCAGGGAAGCCTGTATTGCTCAGCCCGATGTCGCGATCTGGACCATAACGACGCTCTCTCGCAGTCGCTCGTCTTCCAGCCCATCAGCCCCAGCTCACCCATCGTCGCCTCGGGATCGTCCTTCTCCGTCTCGCTCAAGCCCACCACCCGCCCCAACCGCAGTGCTTCCGGTTCCTCCGTCGGCTCGGTCTACTCGACCAACTCAATGCACTCTGAGCCCCAGCGCCATCTGCTGGCCTTTGGCTCCGAGTCCTACTCAAGTCGATCGAGTCCGGGCCACCCGCTGCGATCCACCTTTGATCCGAGTCCGGTTGACTATACCCTCGCCGATTACAGCCAATACCGCAAGCGATCGCACAGCTCGAATCTGGGCAACTTTTCCCGCAACTACGCCCTGCTTTGAGGACGGTGCCAATCGTCTATTGTCCTCCTCTTCCTCCTATCCTCCTCCTCCTCCGCCGCCGCCGCAACACCAACTTCCCCTGACCCTGGCGCCCGTGAATGCCGTCTCGTCCTCGTCCTCGTCCTTATCTTGCTTTATCGCGCCATTCTTTCTTGGTTACCCCTCCCTTCTGCTCAAGCTCTACTGCCTCCTTCCCTTTGTAACCCGGTATACGTAGCCCACCGAGTCTCTGCAAGCCCACTCGAGCCAACCAGCAACGACGATGCCGAAGCTCATCTATCCAATCTCGGCGGCCGCCTTCTTCTCGCCGCATCTGGAAGAATAGTTGTTGCATTGTTCACGGGAGGCAATGTCGATTTGACTGTGCGCTTGGGCATCTTATCCAGCGCACCATCCCTTCCGACCTCTGTCTGTGGCTCTATTTTTTTTTTTTGGCGAACCAGTGACCTTCTTGTGTGAGGTTCTTCCTTCCTTCCTTCTCTTTCTCTCAACTCTGTAATCAAGTTCTCAGTACCTTGCCTCGTTTGCTCTTCTGGAGTGCAGTGCGTTCCCTTCTCTCACAAGAAATGACCTTTTCAAGTTTTGTAGTGCCCCTTCTCGTACGTTTCGCCTCTGAACGTGTCCCTCTCTCTCGCTCTCCCAAAATCACCCGTCCGATCCTCTCGTTTCAGAGGTGCCTGGCACAGGAAGAGGCTGTCCATTCGATCTCCTCGCTTCTGCGCGTCCGCGATAATGCTCGATATTCCTGAACAATGTCCGATTGGCCATGTCGTTGGACGGCGTGATCTACTCGTGGATGTCTTGACTTGCCCCTCCGTCTCTCACCCTCGAGAGACAGGCTGAAGATTCTGTCATCTCTGCGGCTATCGGGCCCACCCAGTGGCTACAGAATCTTGACGGATGCACCCTGGATGTGTCCTGAGTCCTGGCGGTCGGAAATATCAGGCAGCGGCCGCGGTTTCTGCGACATTGGGTATGGTGTGAGGATAGTTGGCATATTCGCATATTCGCATATTCGTTCGCCGAACACAGCCCGGTTGCTCGGTCGACAGCGATGAGCTGGCAAACAGGTCTTGGATGTGGTCGCAATGCACACCCCGCACTATTGCTCTTGAGCGATTGCCATCACCCGCTGCCACTGCTTCCACCACGACTGCCTCTACCGCCAGCTTTTTCTCCTCTCGCATGTGCTTACCCGAGCCCCATCCTTGGCTGTCAGTGGATTGGACGACAGTGGGAACGGAATCGGCTTGAGGCTTGGTCGGGCCTTGGAAAGAACCTCAGAGAGAATGGGATCGCTTCCGAGCAACAAGCTGGCATTCAGCCCCGTGGGAATGGCTGCTGGTGGTGCCGGTCCTGGTCCCGCTGTCGGTGCCAGGCCAGGCGCTTGTAAGTCGGTCGGCCGATGGCTTCGTCGCCCCGTTTCGGCTGCTCGTTTGGGCGCTTGGCCCTGGCTTGGCTCGGCAAGGACACCTGGTTCCCGCTAGTACATGTATCGAACCAAGAGAGTGATGCGGCGGTGAGCAGCGATTTGGATCACCATGGCCAAGTCCGCTGCAGCGCAATGCAGGGGAGGGAGACACCATCGTGAGAGCGACCGGGCACATTGATGGATTCCGGCGTCCCGGGTGTAAGATGGGTCTACCTTTGCAGGGGCATAGAGACCCCGCTTGACATTCTCTCCTTCGATCAGCACAACGCCTGCAGCCACCTTGATCGTCTCCGACTGGTCCATGGGAAACAGTGCGAGTTAGCCGCAGTATTTAGTTCCTCTGCTCTCCCTGTCGGCCAGCGGGGGGTTGTGCAAGCAATGTCGGGTACGGGGGAGTCAAGGCTCTTACCAGCGGAGGCATATCCAGCGACGAGTCCTCGACAAAGCCGCTGGTGTCGCGGAGCGAGGCCATGCTCGAGATGCTGTTGAAGGACTGGTGTCGCTGCGTGATCTGTCTGAGCGACATTCCGAGCCGGCCGAACCCGGTGACGCTTTCTCGCCCGGTCGTTTCAGCGCCGTGTTGCTTCTTGCTGGGTGCATTGGCGTGGGAACGTGCCAGATGGTACGGCGACTCGGCAGCGCCGTGTGCGCCTCCTGCGGGTCCAGTCTGGGGCTCTTCTGGGATCACCATGGCTCGGACGCTGTTTGTTGGACGGGTGCAGAGCCCGGGCGGACAAATGGTCAGCTTTCCTCGAGCACTGCCGCTCCTTGGAACAGACCCTGGGTGGAGATGCCCGTCGCCTACCCAGTGCTTTGGAGCTTGCGCGGCGCCAGCTTCTTGACAAGCACCACTCGACCGTCGTGGTCCGAGGTGTAGTCAGCCCGCCCACCGTCCTTTTCCAGATTCGCAATCCGGGCCATCGTCCGTTTGTTCTCCTGCCAAGTTCAGCAACCACACCAGTGTCAATATCAGCCAACACCGCAGTGAGAATCTCAGCAAGCGGGTCTGCAATGCTCTGGGTTGTAATCCACGGGGAGCATCTACTTCTTCCCCTCCCATCCCATAGAGCACTCCTCCCGTATGCTGAAAGCGATCGCTTCACCTCTTGGATCGACTGCTCCAGAGCTTGCACAGCGGTCACTGCCGTCGTATGTGCGGCACCGCCTTGCAAAACGTTCCGCCTCCCCCCGCTTCGCTTGCGGCCACTTCTTGACGACGACGACGTGATCGACATATCGGATGCTCGCACTCGATCGCTCTTGGAGTCTCTCTGACATACAAAGCAAAGGACGAATTGCACATAATGTCAGCGACAGAGGCATGCTGCAATCGATCGAGCATGCAGTATTTGCTGGTTGCTATCGATGCAGCGCCTCGCACCCTGATTGTACCTTTGATATCGAATTTGCCGACATTCGCACCACCGACGTCCGACTGCAAATAGAGGAGGGAGATTGTGAGAGAGATTGGGGAGAGGGCCAGGATTGAACAAGGTCAGTATCCTTGAGGAGGGAGAAGGCGGGGCTGGAGACCCATGCTGTATCGTCAACATCTTGATATCTGCACACACTCTCGCCATCATCGACCATACCATACCCTTTCTCCTTGATCGACGTCGGGCCCAGCGTCGCGGCGGCGGTTGGACTCAAATGCTCTTCGGTCTCGGGCGGAGTCTCCAACGACAGCGATGACATGCTCAGGGTCTCGGAGTATGGCTTCTTGGGCTGTGGAAGCGGCGGAGGCTCGGAGCGCAGTGCAATTGCCCCACGGGCCCAAGAGTCGATCGTGACAGGAACGGGTTCTGTGACCACGATACGAGGGTGTTGATGGGCGTGTTCACAAATTGGTTTGTGAGCACCGCCGGAAAGTCGAGACCGAATCGCTGCGATGGCCGGTCCGACTTTGTATCCCGCAGTGGCTGTCAGCATATCCGGACCGAGTCTGTTTGGCTCACCTTCGTCGGGCAGCCAGGCGGCCGAGTCGATCTTTCCAAGATCCTTGCGAAAGAACTCCCACTGGGAAGCGAGACAGGGGGTGCGCAAAAGCCAGACGTACATTTTTGCGTTGAGTCGCTCTCCCGCAGCGGTGAGAAGAGCGGGCACTGACTCCTCCTTGCCCTTGGTTCCGTCCATGTCCGTTATCTGAGTCGATACGCGCTCGGCCTGGCCCATACCTCGATGATCTTGAGCAGCGTCGTCTTGGAGAACTGCACGGCATAGGGTAGGACTTGGCTCTCGATGTGTTTTTCAAAGAGCACTTCCTGCGAGCGGTTGAGGATCTCCTCGATCAGCGAGCACACGAACTGCTCGCCGTCCTCCTGGTCCACGACCAAGAACCAGTCCTCTTTGGATGTCATTGGCGAATCGCGGGTGCAAGTGGCTGTTCGGTCTTGGCGAGTGCAGTTGGTCACTGGCGACGCTCTTTGGAGGAGGATATGAGCGAGCCTGAGTTTGGAGTGGTGCGCGAGTGCAGCCGACGCCGGCGATGACACCTGCGATGGTGCCGGCGATAGTAGCGATGACGGAGGTATGAGAGTGCCGCTGATGGTGGGTTGCGCCGGACACTTCTGGAGGTTCGATTTGCCGCCAAAGCGATGCGGCAGCACCTCCGAGCGCCCCTCCCGCTGTGCGCAAGACTTGCGTGTGAATGGCAATGCTGCTCGGCAGCCTCTCAATCACGATCATTCCGGTCTCGGCGGAAAGCGAGAGCAGCGACAGTCGATGCACATAGCCCACGACACAACCCGGAGGACGACTGCAAGGCAGCAGGATCCCATGCCGTGAGGGCATCGAGCTGCATCGAATCGCATCGCAGTGCATCGAGTCAATCGAGCTGCATCGAATCGCATCGAATTGGACGGGGCTGCGTTCCGCCGTGTGTCCGTGCTGTCGCCCACATGCAGGGGATCTCGCATCCTGGGTGTGGGAAAGCGGCGGCTCAGCGCCAAGCCAGGGCCTGCTGTCGGACTTGCTGCCCAAAACGGCCGTCCGCGCCCAGCCCAGACTCCCGTCACGCTTCCATCTCCTTCCCTCCCCCAGCAGCAATCGCCCGGCAGCGACACCATTTCCTCGATCTCGTCAGTCAGCCAGTCAGTCAGTCAGCCATCCAGTCAGCCATGGAGTGCCCCATCTGTTCCACAGCCCAGTCCAGATTCCACTGCTCCAGATGTCTCGGCGAGGAGTGCGTATCTGTCCGCTTGCCTGGCATGGTTGCCCGACTCGTCTCCGGCCACCTCGGCTGGCTCTACGGGTTGTCGCTCTGCTCCATTATCTCCGACTCATACCCATATCCATATCCCGCTCTTCAGAATCTCCACATTTCAGCAAAAGATCGAACAGCTGAATGCCGAGCGACAGCCGTTGGAAGACAAGATCAAGGCTCGACTTGGCGGCCGTCCATCAACAGGCATCTCCACTCGGGCCGGGCTTGAGGCACGGGTCCAGCAGCTGAACGGGACGCTGCGGACAATCAAGGAAATGGAGATCGAGAACAGGAAACGTAAGCCTTGTTGGCCAGGCACTGATGCAGGAGGGACGATGATGGCTTTGGCTGGATAGGCGAAGGGGAGGGTACGCCGCCGTTCGGTCCTTCGGGTCGATGGATCCGCAGTCGACATGGCCAGACCCTGGTCTCTGACTGCTGCGTCGGTCCGTATCGATGACCTGCTCAAGGTTGGATGTGGATGCTCCGAGGCGTGCTCTGTCTGTCGCAACCATTTCTCTGCGGCCAAGTGCAGCCCATCGGACGACAGCCCGGTTTGGCTGCAACTGGGGCCGGCATTCATACCCAGCGACCGTTCTCACATTCCACACCACCTCGGCCCCGCTGCTGCTGCTGCTGCTGCTGCTGCTGCTGCTGCTGCTGCTGCTGCTGCTGCTGCTGTGCTGCTCCAGTCAAGAACCGCATTGAGGCCATCAGGGCCCGCATCCAGGAAAAGAAGGGTCTGTTGCGGACATCGCGCCGGGAGGCTTCAGCCAGCCAAGAGTCGGCCCTCAAGCAGCTGGAGCCGCAGCTCAAGGAGCGGCTCCAAAAGTATACCCAGGTGGCCGAGATCCTGACTCAGAGCCGGAGGCTGCTGATCCGCGAGCTGGTCCTGGTCTTTCGTCTGCGCAAGGTCCAGCGTGTCCATTCCTCAACCTCCAGCCGCAGCTCCAATGCCAACATGATGGCGGTTCTCGAGAAACCCGAGCGGGCAAACGGAGCAACGACGGCGCCGGTCCCGCTGGCTTCTCAGCATGTCTCGCCAACGTCGTCTGCGCTGAATGCCCTGATCGGAGCGACGCAGTCGACGCTCTCGACGTTGTCCGGTGGGATCATCACCACTCCCACGTCCGAGTCGCCTCCGTCGAACCCTGCGACCCTGGGAGCCGAGGAGGTCTTTGAGTTCCGCATCCTCAACGTTGGATTCTCGGTCTACGGCAACTACTACGGTGAGGCCCCTGACGATGCGGCTCGGCAAACAGTGTCCCTTCTCTCCGACTATCTTTGTTACTACGGTTGCTGCCTGGGGCTCGTCCTTTGGAACGGTGCTCATGCTGCCCGCCTCTCTCCATGTGTCTCGCAGGATACCCTCGGGAAAAGTTCAATGCCGCAGTCGGACACATTGTCCACATGACTGTGCTGCTTAGCCAGTACCTCGGCGTCCATCTGCCGTTCCAGATGATCAACGGCGGTGTCCGGTCGTTTGCCCAGGCCAATCACTACGAGTCGATATCGATGCAGACAAAGTAAGTTCCGATTTGCTCCGATTTGCCCCCGAGATGACGCTTGAGCAGGTCCAGCTCCAACACGACCCGCCGCTCGGCTTCAAAAACACGAATGTATACATCATATCACCATCGCAACATATCTGCGCGAGACTCACTTGGCTTTACTTTGGCACGCCTACAGCATTCAGGTCCCGCTCTGGCTCACCGACACCAACATCGAAAGCTTCACCGTTGGCCTGTCGATGCTCAACTACAACATTGCCTATCTCTGCTTCTCGCAAGGAGTTGAGATTTCACTGCAGCAGCTGCCCAATACCCTGGAGAACCTGGTGCTGTGCTGCCAGGCGCCAAGTCTCGGATGGTCAGTTCAGTTCAGTTCAGTTCAGTTCAGTTCAGTTCAGTTCAGTTCAGTTCAGTTCAGTTCAGTTCAGTTCAGTTCAGTTCAGTTCAGTTCAGTTCAGTTCAGCAGCCAAGCACTGCAGCTGAGCCGACGACGGCTTCTTTGACTGAGGGTGTCGCCTGTGAGGATTTCGCTTGCTGACACCGCTTTGATCTGTGCGTCTCTTGTCCAGCGACGTCAACCGGCACTCGTCGCCGCTGTCAAAATGGAGCCAGGGGTCTCTGACGTACAGTGCTCTCAGCACAAGCGATGCCAGTCATACGACCCAAAGCGGGTCCATCGCAAGCCCCATCCTCGGAAGCCCCGAGCCAATACAGCGGCCCCAGCAGTTCCACATGGACTTTGGCAAGGTCCTGCAACTGCACATCCTCCTTCGGAATCGCCCGCGGCCGAACCCACGAAGCACGGCCGAGTCCCTCAAAAGCGTGTTCCTGCATGACGCGGAGGTGCGGCGATTCATCGAGACCGCAAACGAGTCGCCCCACGGATCCGAGGACGAAGGCGTGGACGAGCTTTTGGAGGAATGGCATTTGATCGAATAGTGCCTTGGGTGGTCGATCCGCGGACAAGGCCGACGAACGGACAAACGCGATACCGGTGTCGCGAGGTTTCGGAGTGAGAGAGTGTGTGTGAGAGAGTGATAAAGAGAAGGCCACATGCCCTTTCCCTGAGAAAGCAGATTGGCGTCTACAACGCACGACATCCGATGGTGCAAGTATGGATAGAACAGTGTCGGCTTTGGCGTCACACGCAGTTCTCAAGCCGGTCACATCCACAAACTGTCGAAATCGGGCAGCAGCAGCGAAGGCGACACCGATGGCGGCACTGATGAATCAAAGGAAAGTCGTCTGGCGACCACGAAACAGCGACTTGAAATGCAGCCGAACCAGACTGACCGAGACCCCGGAGTTCGTGGACCCATGCAAAGCGGGTGCATGAGAACTGAAGGGCATATCGCCAGCGAATGTGCATCCGGCGACCACGACCAAGTTGATCCACTAATAAATATCATATATTTCGATCCAAAAGGAGGAAAGGAGGTCGTGTAGGAGGAAGTGGCGGTAGTGGTGGTGGACAGGGGATGTATCAATCTAACTGTTAGAGCTTCGACACAAGGACGACGAAAAGAAAGCGAAAGAAAGTGAAGGAAAGGTAAAAAAAAAAAAAGAAGACCGTAATGGCATCGGCAATCAGAAATCAGAGAAAACAAAAGCACGGCTGACTCGGAGATGTGTGTAGGTAGAGGGGGGACAGCACCAAAAGATGGAAGTGTGGGAGCGATGGACAGCAATGTGGCCACGGCAATGGGAGAGTGCTCTTGGAAGCTGTTGGGAGTTGTTGCCATGCGAAGAGGGGGGGGACAAAGGAACAGCGTAGTAAAACGGGACGATAGTAAAAGGACAGCAACGGAGAGAGAGAGGGCCTCAAAAAGTCGCCTTCCAATCAAGCAATGATGTTACCGAGTCGCGGCGACAGATGATGGGGCAGTGTCATGGCCATGGATGCGGCGTGGGAGACAGTCGCGTTGCCAAGGGAGCAGGGCCGAGGAGCTGGGGCTGCGGCGATGGTGTCAGCGAAATGGGGTTGGAGGTGGAGAGAAGAAGGTCGGATATACTTGACAGAGGCGACGTGGCGGTGGTGGAAGGGTGACGTTGGTGGGGATGTAGTCTTTGGAGAGGGAGGAGAGATGAGTGGGGGATGAACTCGAACGAACATGCCACGTGGATTCCTGCCTTTGCTCCAGCTCGAAGAATGAGTGCGGCAGAACGGGAGGAGTCGCAGCCCACATCGAAGGTCAGGTCAGAGCCGACCGCTACGAGTGCTCGAACTTGGCAGACACGATGTTGCTTCAACAACAGCAGAGCCGGGAATTCGGCAAGCGACCACTGACAGCAAATCGGTGGTCATGGCTCCAGCCCCAGCAGCAAGTCGGAGCTGGCTCAGATTTTCCGTAGCAGCTTGGCGTTCTGCGGCTCCTCGAGATTGCTCATCTGGAAGGCTCCGGATGCGATGCTGGCCGTTCGGGCCGGGGCAGGTTGCGACGGGAAGGTGAAGGCGATTTCTTCACGGCTCGTTGGGCGGGCACCAAGCGGCAGCGGGACTCCCATTTCGACGTTGGTCATGGACCGATGGACAGCCGAGGGCGAGATCGGGTCCGTTTGGTAGCTGGCGCTGCGCGACCGGCGGGGTCGGGCCTGCTGGATGGAGCCAAAGTCACCCGAGGGCGGCATCGGCGACATGGTGCCAAAGGCCTCGTAGACGGGCTGCTGCTGCAGGGGGCTGGCGGTAAAGGTCCGTCGGCCAAGCGAATCGTACACGGCGACGGAGCCGAGCGAGGCGGGGGTGCGCTGCGGGGCGGTTGTGCGGGCATCAAAGGCCAGCGGTCTGGCAGCCGACGAGGCCTGTCGCGGCGGGAACTCATAGGAGGCCGCGGGGTCGATCGAGTCCTGGTACTCGAACTCGGTGACCTCCATGGCAAACTCGTTGAGGAGCATGTCGTCGAGGCTCTTGAGGATGCCCGTGTTCGGGGTGTTGGGGCGGGCGGCGTAGGAGTTGGAAAGTCGCGTGGCCTCCTCGACGTAGGGCGAGACCGCCGGCGACGGCAGAATCGAGGACGAGCGCTGAGCGACGGTGTCGAGGATGCGCTTGGTGTTGGCCTCGGACTCGTAGCGGTCGATGCGCTTGAGCAGCTGGTCGAGCATCTTGTCGCGGGCCGAGAGCGAGGTCTTGGCCTGCTCCGCGGCGAGCTTCAGGTCCCAGTTCTCCTTCTGGAGCGTTTCGTGCGCCTCGGTGGCGTGGTTCAGCTTGTCTTCGAGAATGCCGATGGTCTCCTTCTGGGTGTCGATGGTGAGGGTGGCGTAGGTCAGGCGCGACGAGATGGCGAGGACAACCTGCTCGGGCTGCTCGGGCTCGTAGGTCTGGACCGAGGCATCGGAGCCGTTGGCATTGACGCTGATCTCGCGATCGGCGACGGGCTGGATCTCGGGCACGGCAAACAGCGGCATGGTCATGTCGATGTCGGTCTGGGACTCAATGTCGCGCAGGATCACAATGTCATCGGCCTCGGCGTCGAGGATCTGGTTCTGCAACGAGGTGTTGTCGTGCTCGAGCTCCTCGAGCTGGTTCTCGAGCGTGATGCGGCTTCGTTTCTCGAGCTGCAGCTGCTGGGTCAGCTCTTCGTTCAGCATGTTCAGCTCGACCACCTTTTGCTCGAGGTCCTGAATGCGCTTGGCGGTGTCGAGGATGGTGCTCTGGAGATAACCGTCGCGAGCACGGACACGGGCCTCGCTGTCCTTGAGCTTGAACTCATACTCTTCCCTCAGCGATTCAATTTGCTTCTGGTGCTCGGCCTCGAGCTCGGAGTGGACGTTGCTGCGCTGTTGCTGAGCAAGCTCGAGCTCGAGCTCCTCACACCGCTTCCGCAGCACCTCGATCTCGGCAGAGGAGCCAGCGGATGCATCAACGGCGGGAGCGGGAGTTGGCTCAACGGCGGGCACGCTGGGTGGACTGGGCGGATTGGGCTCGCTGGACTCGTTGGGCTCGCTGGACTCGTTGGGCTGGCTGAGTTGACTGGGCTGGCTGGGCTGGCTGGGCTGGCTAGGCTGATTCAGGGTTTCGCTCACATCCAAATCGCCAGAGTCTTGGTGATCCGCAGTGATAGTGATGGCAGGAGCCGGATCTGTGGCGATGGCGATCAGATAAGAGATGGAGATGGTCAGGCCCGGAAGTGCATGCTGCAGAGGCGGGACAGCTCGGTTGCAGCATGCTGCGGGAGACACAGCCGCAAAGCCTCGGGAATGGGCTCTGGATGGGCCACAATCTCGGCGCAGGGCACAAACCTTGAAGCTGGGCCGATGACACTGGACTGGAAGGCACCGGAGAGCAGCTGGCGGGGGTAGGCAGCGATCCCTCGACGGGCTCGTCCGGCTTGGACGCAGTCGAGTCGCCACTGAGACTGGGAGGGGGACTGGGCTGGGTGGGACTGACAATATCGGGAGTAACGGTCCGGGTGGATTTTGGCTTGGAGGAGACACTGATGTCCCGCTTGTGCACAGGCGAGGTGGCCTCGGACTTGGAGTCGGAGGTGGTCTGGAGGCTGGACGATGACTTTGCCGACTTTGGGGAGGGAACGGGTGCCGCTGCGTTGTCGGTGCTGAGGTTGCTGAAGAACTGGAAGGCCGGATTCCGGGCGAGCTTGGTCGGCGTGGCCATGGCTGGGAGGAGTGGGCAACCGGAGGACGAGGCGACGGAGAAAGACGAGGAGGGAGCGGGGGAGCGGGGGAATAGCTTCGAGAAGGCTTCGAGAGGGCTTCGAGGGCAACTGCACGGGCCGGGATCGACAATGTCTACGGGGAGTGAGAGAGCAAGTGTGAGATGCGAGGCAAGAGCGACTGGGTTTGGCCGCCTGGTGGACGGGCGGGTGAGGCGGGGGGAGACGAAGGCAGCGCGGAACAAGAGCCGGGGCCGCTCTCTTGGTCACAGACATGTACCGGCAGAGGAGGAGGTCCTTTGGGCAGCCCGGGCAGGAAGGACGGATGGACAGCGAGATGGAAGGCAAGGACGGCCGACCTGACAGAAGGCAAAGAGGGATTGTCGAGCACGCAGAGCGACGAAGGCCAAAGGAAACGAAGGGCGGCTGCCGTTGTGTCTGTGCGCTGTTGCTGCTGTTGCTGTTGCTGTTGCTGTTGCCGTGGGACTGTCGCAATGGGCGAGTCCTTCTGTCGCAATGGGCGTGTCCTTCTGTTGCAATGTACCACAGCCACTGTCGCTTTGTGCTGTGCTGCTCAGCCTTGCCCTTTCGCGCTGTGTCGCTGTGGCCCCGCACCGCCAAATCCGGCGCGCCACCCCCTGTTTTTGGAAGGTGCTGCGCGGCTCGCTCGCACACACATACAACGGCGCTGTGTCGCGCGTCCTTGTGCGCTGCTCGACCAATAGGCGGTGAGCCCGTGCGCGTGCCGCTGGATCGAGTGAGTGCATCCAGCCAACAAGCCGCCGCTCGACCCGCACTCGATCCACGCTGTTCCGTGTCTTGCGCCACATCGCCGCTCCACAGAACAGAACTCGTTGCCGGCCTGCGTTTTTCGGGCCCTTCTCCAGGCACATTCCTTCTCGGCACCCATCATCTCCACAGCTGCACCTGGCAAAATGGCTTCTGCGAGCGGATCCTGGTTCAAGAACTTCATCAACCATCCTGCGGGTATGCAGCCCCACCGCGCAGCCGGCGCTAGCTACTCTCCCTGTCCGGCACATCGCTGGAAGTGCCGGTCGTCCGCAGACCGAGCGATCCCAGCGGCAATGTCGCATATCTGCCCTCTGGTTTGCGCATCCGTCGCCACCCCAGCCCCATCCAGCTCCCTATCGTCCTGCGAACCATCGGGATCGGCGGGGCCAGCATGTGGCTGCTCCGCAGCATGACCACGCCTCTACTTGGCTCGGCCTCTTCAACTTACCCCGCGTTGCTTGCTGCACTTGCTCCTTGGCCGTCCACCACTCCAGGACCCAAGACCATCTTCTTCTGGGCCCCTGCCATGAAATGGGTATGTCGCCGCTTTGTCCATGTCCGCACCAACACAGTGGGCTGTCAGTCGAGTGTGAGTGCGTGCTCATGGCATCACCCGTTGTCGCAACGCTGACCAACTTGTCTCCACCCCCTGTAACGGCATTCCAACTCGTGGCTGTCCATTCGATCGACGAAACCTTCTCTGTCAAATCAACTCATTCATCCGCGTGGCTCGCATTCGTCCATCGTTGCTGTGGCATTCTCGGATACACTGTCATCCTCTAGGGCCTGGTCATTGCCGGACTGGGTGATCTCCAGAGACCTGCCGAGAAGCTCTCTGTTTTCCAAACTGCATGTAAGCCGTCTCGGATGTATCTCTGCGACCACCCTCGCCACTGGCCGCAGCCCAGCCCAGCCCAGCCCTCCAAGACATCTGCTGCAACAGATCGCTCACAGGCACTATCCGTTGTTTCCATGCAGCCCTCATGGCCACCGGCATCATCTGGAGTCGATATGCCACCGTCATCACCCCCATCAACTACAACCTGATGTCCGTGAACATCTTTGTCGGCGGCATCGGCATGTACCAGATGTGGAGAATCTGGAAGTGAGTCCTTTTGATTCTAGCTGCCATTCCCCCCCCCGCCTTGGATCTATACGCTGGTGTGCGATGGCACTGGCCTGGAATCTCCTCTGCCGCTGCCCTTCGACTTGCTGTCAGATCTGCATCCTGTCTGTCAATACTAATCGCATGTCTGGTCGGGCCCTTTTACCTCGACCTATCTCGCTGGCATATCCTCCAGCTACAACCAGAGCCAAAAGGCGATCGAGGCCACCCCTTCCTCGGCCTGAGCTGATCAGCGCCGGACTGCATGCGGCACAGGGCCAGGGATGTGCCTCTTTGAATAAAGCGAGCTTGTAACCCGAACCAAGCCCGAGCCATCATCGACTGTGCGCTTCACCGCGACCAAGTACAAGTCATTCTGGAGTCCTCCATGATCCGCGATATTGGATGCAGCAGTGTTTCGTCATCCGCCACTGCCGCTCCTCGCCATGCCCTTGCAAATCAACCGGGGCTTCATCGGACGATCGATTGGCATTTATTACGCCTGTGGCTGAACTGCTACTCTGTGAGTCAAGCTGCTGCCAAATACCAGGATGCCCATGTGTACATGAACTTTTTCTTACCGCATCCCAAAGGCCCGCGCGTGATACCGGGGCTGCTGCCGCTACATCTCCAACTGCTACTACATCTCCAGCATCAGCTCTTGCCCCATGACAAGCTGTTCTTCAAGACATTCAACAATGTCACGCCACACCGTGAGTGGGTTGGCAATGACGACACGGAAAGCGTCGACAGGGCCCTGGGCAGCATGGTAGAACAGCGACGTGCGGCTGACAAAGCCCGCATTGCCGGACCGCGACTGTCGCTCTTGGATCTCGCGCGTGAGCTTGCTGATGACGGCTTGGTCTTCGCCGGTCAGCTCGCCGGCGTCTCGGCGCTTGTGCAGGAACTTGGGCACGAACCGGTACAGGAGCAGATTGCTCATGGGCTGGTGCAGCACCTCAAAGCAGCGCGATGGGTGCTGGCTGAGGTACTTTGCCATCTTCTTGGTCAGGTCGCAGCTTCGCTCGACAATGGCGCCGATGCCCTGGGGCCCCAGCAGGCTCAGAGAGGCATGCACATGGAGTGATGTCGCCGGGCGCGATCCCTCGAGGGTGTACCGGCCAAGGTCCGGGGACGACTCGCGCACAATATAGTTGGCGGTGTTGCGAATGTTGGCGGCGGCTTCGGGGTTGCGGAAGAGCAGCATGCCAACGGCATTGGGGGTGTAGAGCTGCTTGTGTCCGTCGATGGTGATGGAGTCGCCGCGCTCGATGCCTGCCAAGAGATGCGAGTACTTGGGGGCAAAGACCATCGGCCCGCCCCAGGCGGCATCGACGTGAAAGTGGATGCCGTGGGTCTGGGCCAGGTCGGCGACGGCGTTGAGATCATCGATCGAGCCCCTGCGTCGTCCGAGGCGTTAAATCAGAGCAGGAGGCGGTGGTGCGATCAAGCCACAAGTACATCATGGTGGGATCAAGCCACAAGTACATCATGGTGCGATCAAGCCACAAGTACATCAGGTACGTGAAGAACCGCTCAACCAAGGCCCCTCAGCACAATGAACCGCGAATCGCCGAGTGCGCCAAGCATCCCGGGTGAGCTTACGTTTCGGTTGTGCCGGCAACGCCAACAACAGCAATCACCATGATGTTGCTTTCCTTCAGCTCCATAATTTTCTGTTCCATGAGATCAGTTCTGTTGCGAGGCGGCGCAGTGCAAATGCAGCGCAACACAATGCGGAGCGGCACATGAAGACGTCAATGGCAGAATGTCATAATGGCAAAGTGGTTGTGGGCAGGGCCGCCGAGACATGTGGGTAATGCTGCTGTTGAAATGGATGTGTGCATGTGCCCGTGGCAGTGTGCGGCAGTCCTTGGCACTACCGCCGGTCCCGCTGCCTTGTCCATACCTGACTCGGTAGTTTTCGTCGGTCGGAATTAGCACCAGCCCTTCGGTGCCGAGTCCAAGAATATCGGCAGACTTTTTGAACGAGTAGTGCATGCGCTCGGAGCCGATGATGCATGCACCCTCGTATCCGCGCTGGATCAGCGCACGAGCCAGTCCGGCCGTCTGCACACCCGCCAGAGGAGGCTCGGCATCGGGTCGCGGACCCAGGGCATTGTTTCGAGCGACCCACATGGCTGAGTGGGCGGGGCAGTATGTATGGTCATGTCGGTATGTCAGCAGCCATGTCGGGAGGGGGGAAGGAAGGAATTTGGACCCGAGAACCCCCATCCCGCTCAGCAAAGCCCTCCACAAACAAGCGAGTTGTCCCACAAGCTGATCATACCCGTCAAGTTGGCCACTGTTCCGCCAGAGGTGAAGACACCGAGACAGAGATCGGGTGCGTGCATGATCTCGGGCTGGAACCGACGAAGATTCAGGACAGAGTCGCGAGCCCGGCAGCGGAGTGAGATGCAGTCCAGGGCAGCACCGATGTCGTGGGAGATATGCGGCAGGAGGTGCCTCAGAATGCAAGCGGCGTCGAAGGGCAGAGGAACTCACATAGTCAAGGCTTTCATTGTGAAAGAGCAGGCTGTGCAAGAGTCCGAGCGTCTCGCGCTCCAGCAGAGTGAGAGTCGTCGAGTTCTCGACGTTGGCAAGCTGGGACGGCAGCGATCCAAGTGGGGAGATGTCAGAGCAGGCTCGGGATAGCCCATCGAGTCGGCGGGCAAGACCGGCCGCGTCTATCGTCGCATCAGTAAGACCTACGTTGTTGTTCGTTGCGCAGATCAGTCGAGCCAGTCCACGCTGAAAGTACGGCAGGGCCGAGGCAGTCTGGAGGAGCCAGGATATGGCATGGTGAGACGCAATATCGGGGCAGGCGAGTCGCAGTGTGGGAACGGGGGGGGAGCAATCATGCAATGAGATTTTATCATGCCGAGCTGCCATCGACAGTCTATCACCAGTAAGCCCATGTTTGGCGCTCTCCAGGGTCTGCAATATGAACCCTTCTCCCTTTACCATATGGCCTATCATGCGAGGCGAGGCGGCACGAAAGGCATGGGCGAGCACGTTCGCCTGCAGGTCGTGAATGTAGTCCTGGACATCGCGAGTATCGTCCAGCTTGTGCTTGCCAAAAATGTCGCGGATCTTGTCCCTGGAGTGAACGATGGCGGCGTGGATTTTGGGGTCGCCACCGTGCAGGAACTCTGAAAGCCAGAGATGGGACTGCATGAGTGATGCCAATGGGGGGGGCGACAGGGCAGGGCATGCCACAAGAGCACTGAAGCAAGGGCACTGCAAGACCACCACGATCGACATGCCGCTTATGCGTGCCGTTCATACATGCCAGCCGAATAGGTAGAGCCGTGTGTGAGCCTTACCTCGGATGGTCGAGTCGAGATAGATGTCCAGGGCCTGCTCGTCGGTGGCAGTTCCCTGGAAATACTTTTCCACAGCCTCGGGGAGTTCGCTCATGACGGAGATGTAGATGCGGATGCGGATCGAGTGCAGAGGGAGGGTGGTGGTGGTGGTGGTGGTGGTGGCAACAGGGGTCTGTGTACTATAGATGAGGTGAAATGCGCCAGAGCAGCAACACGAGTCTGTCCGATCAGTGCGATTGTCCGGTTTGTGGAGGACAGGGGATGCGGAGAGTCTGGATGCCGACAGCAGCCGGCAGGTCTTTATATCAGCCCCCCTTGCAAGCCAGCCATTTCTGCACTTCCAGTTCAAGAAGGTCGGGGAAGTTCAGCCGGTGGACGAAACGAGGTTGGGCGGCCTTTGGAGCCTCGCCGGGGGAAGGCGTCTGCTGGCTCGCCGCCGACCACCATGGCCAAAGCGAGCGGGCTGAGGCTGGATTCCCCGTCGCACCCGTCTTTGCGTCTGCCGACCGCGGCTCCATCACGCACACGGCTCCACCACGCACATTGCTTCGCCACGAACATCGTCCCGCTGTGACGGACAGAGACTCCTCTTTGTGCAGAGGAGGTTCCCACAGTCGTTGCCGCGAGGCTCGAGACCACCACTGACCAGGACTGCCCTCGGGGAAGGCGCCACGCGTTGGGCAGGCGGTTCTGCCAGCCCGGGGCTTGTTCCCGCATGGTCTTGTCTCGCGGGGTCGGTGTGGGTTGACCATTGTGGGTTGACCGTTGTGGGTTGACCATTGTGGGGGGTTGACCATGGCAGACGGTCTGTGGTTTGGTGGGTCTGTGGATGGTCCTTGTCCGGGAGTACTGAGCCGGCGGCTGTGTCCCCACTGGGGGGACACGGCTGGAAGAGCGCTCTGTGTGCCAGTTGACCGAACTGGCCCCTGAGGTCGGCGCGGGCATTGGCGGTCGGCGCAGGACGAGCTGCTGTCCGAGGTGTTTGTCGAGGCCTGTCGGACGCAGCACAGATCGTCCTCGGGCATCAGTCGGGTCGTGCTCGCGCCGAACGGTATTCCACACCCGCTGAGGCGAACGTGTTGTATCCAGGGGGGGGGAGGAGGAGGCGCTTGGGGCCGTTGCTCCTTGGTGGATGGCCTGTGCTCAGTGCACAGCTTGTGCTCGGGTCTGCTGTGCCGCTTGTTTGTTTGTCTATGTTCGCTCACGCCCCATCCAATTCATAGTCTCGTTGGATTGTATCCCTTCCCTTTGGTGCGGGGAGCTATCGGCAGTCGTCCGGTCCATCATCTTCCCCGACCGAATCCCCGGTGCAGCCGAGGGGGATTCCGCTGTCCCTCTGGCTCCAAGCATGCAGCCGCGTGCCGTCCCCGGTGCTGGCCCATAAGGTTCGTGTCGAGCTTCGGGGAATGCTGTCCTGGGAACCAGCCAGCATCAAGCCCCGTCCAGGCCAGCAACTGAGAGCATCCCCCTCTTCCAAAGTCGTCTCTCTCTCGGGGACTGTCTCAAGGCCTGTCTCGATTCACCAAGGCGGCTGCGTGTCTTGGTCGCTGTCGGGGACTGTCGATCGCCTTCGGGGCTTCTCACTGCCGCGCGGGGATTCACCACCACTTCGACGATAAATCGGCGTCTGCCGCCGCGACCAGCATCGACAGCCATCTCGCTCGGCTATCCTGCATCTGCTCCAGCGCCAGCTATGGAAACCTCAGCCTGGATCGCCCTCGTCCTGGGCATCATTGGGCTCATCTTCTTCACAGTCATGCTCCTGCCGCAGAGTAAGTTATCGCTGCTCAGGCCGACCCGCTCTCCAGTCTCGCTTCTCCTCGCTGGACCGCCTCGTCCGCACTCGACATGGCATGCCTGTGTGAAGCGCTAACCCAGAGCCCTTCGGTTCGTCCGACGGTCATATCCAAACAGTCTACCAGAATTGGGCCCACAAGAGCACCGGGACACTCTCGTACACAACCATGCTGCTCTGGACGCTCTTTTGCGTCTTTCTGGCCGTCTCGCTCGTCGACTCGGGCCAAACCATCTCGCTGATCGTGCAGGCCAACGTCCTCGGTTTCCTCACCGTGATCTGTCTTGTCCAAATCCGCTTCTACAACTCGCCACGGCTTGCCAAGCACCCAAGGCTCCTGATGCTGCTAGCATGGGAGTCGCTGTGGGTCTCGGTCGTGCTCGGTGGACTCGAGTATTTGCTGGTGTATCTGTGCCAGGTACGGACGAACACTCCTGCAGATATCAGAGACTGGATGCCTTGGTGCCATTTCGAGGATGTTCTTGAAACTGATACAGCCCCGCTCGACATGCATTTCCAGGTCGCCCGGAGCAACGGGCGCGAGTGGCTCGGCCCGGCCATGAATGTCCTCGGCAATGTCTGTGTGGCCCTGGGCTACATCCCGCAGTATCGCGAGATCTTCTTGGCCAAGAGCTGCTTCGGCGTCTCTCGGCTCTTCCTGATGTGCGACATCCTCGGCGGCCTGTTTTCGATTGCGTCCTTGGCCTTTATTGCTCCATTCGACTACCTGGCCGCTGCCTGCTATGGCACAATCGCGCTCCTCACCGCCTCGATCTTTGCGTTGGGCTGCCACTACGGCTACAACCCGCCCCAGAACACTGAACAAGCATCTGCATAGCCCTCGTCCGTGTGGAAGAAGCGCCGTGCATCCATCCCACCTCATAATCCGCATATACTGCGGCCTAATTCTATGAGCAAAATACAGATTACTCAAAACCCGAATGGCACCACTTTGGGAGATCGAGGGGAGCTGCATTGGCGACGATCAACAACAGCTCGTTCGAATCGGGTCGACCGAGTCAACTTGACTCCAGCTGCCTTGGCTGTGCCCGGCATGTCGTAGCATGCTTTGTGTGCAGCCAGGTGAAGCCAGGCCTCCGTGAATGAGGCTGCTGATGCCGGATGAGCTGGCGGGATTGCAAGGATCCGCTTTCATGTGCCGACAATGCGGCTGGCTATGTCGGTTTGGCTTGGTTTGCTGGAACTGCCCGCCGGGCTGTGGCCTCCCCAATCCCGCTGCCTCAACCATCCTTTCTCTCTCTCTCGCTCTCTCCATCGATCGCCTGGCCTCGCACTCCGATCTTATCAAACATGCCCTTCCCGATTCTCGACGAAGACTCATTCCAGCAGCTCTACGGCGGCCATCTCAAACTCAAGTTTGCTCAGATCGTCTTTCGCCATGGTCAGTCGCAGGCGCAAATTCAGATGCTGCCCCGGCTTGCTCTCCCCGGTCGCATCCGCTTTGCTCAAAAGCTCCTTCAGCTCATCCTTGTCAACTGCGTCGCTCGGTGCCCCCTCCTCCCATCCTCGGTCCCACAGGAGAGCGGACGCCTGTATCCATGGAAATGACCGAGAGGCTCTCCCCTGGACTGTGGCGTGCTTGCCAGCGAAAACCAAACGTAGCGGCACTCGGAGTGCATCAAGAGTCTAATCCAGGTGAGCCAGAGCCGGCAGCAACCCGGAAGCGACCGCAAAACTGCCATCCTGCTCAATCGCTAACCCACACCCTGGTCGGCGCCGAGGATAGCCGTCACTATGCACCCCATCGACATCGACACCATCGCCTTCCAGCCGCCATTCGACTCCACGGGAGCACCCACGACTGCAGACATGAGTGCCTACACCGAAATCCGGAACTCTGTCGGCCGGGATGACAGGTAATATCGGGGAGGGGGTTGTCGGGTTGTAGCTGTTGGCTGCTCTTGCTGTGCTCGACCGGTTCCTGCACGCATCCCATCCGCCCGCCGTCGCTGCGAGTATTCCTCCTCTGGCCATTTGAATCACATTTCTGCGCCTGCGCTCCACCGAACTTGCGATTGGATTGCACCCCGATCCTCGACAGTCCGCCCGGGCAGCTTACTGACAAGGGCAAGGCGAGCGCATACCGTCTCGGCAGCAACCTGCGGCTTCTGTACATTGAGCGCCTTGGCTTGGTGTCCTCAACCCTCAAGAAAGGGTACGAGCAGGAGCTCTACCTTCGGAGCAGCGGTATGAGATTGCGCTGCATCGCCGTGCGCTCGGTCGGCAAGCACAGTCGTTGTCGGGCTCGGTATCGATCGACCCATGTTTCCCTTCTGATGACCTCGCGTCGACAGACATGCTAAGGACAATCGAGTCGGCCCAGTACCTGCTCAGCGGCATGTATCCCCAGCACTATCGGGCCACTGGCTCCAGCCAAGCAAGTGTCCAACTTCACGTCCAAGGGGTTGAAAACATGTAAGCTTCCCGGGCCACTCGTTCGGTGATCTTGAGGTCCCCGTTGCTGATCTTGGGACTCGCCACTGGGCTGGTACTCCACTGCCTAACATCCCGCTCCCAGGTATCCCCGTCTCAGGGACTCCAGGATCCAGACGCTGATGGCCAAGCTCATCCGGGAAGCAACTGAGGCCAACATGGCCGAGATAAGCCAAGCTCTGGCCTGCTTCTCCGAGCTGGGTGTCGATGCCCTCAGCCCCCGCTTCGGGAAGACCTACGGGCTCTACGACTACCTCTACTGCATGCGCGGCGACGGTATGGATCTGCCAGCCGGGGTCACGGAACAAGACCTCGAGGATCTCGAGAAGGCACTGATCAAGATGGTAAGCCAGGCAGGAAACCGGTACACAATCTCCTCCCTGCTCGGGAGATGCTCGGACTAACCCGCTCTGATTATGCCGGATCAAGTGGGCCAGTCCAGTGTTCACAAACCACGAAATGGTCAGCATCACTTCGGGCAGCTACTTCCAGCAACTCAAGGCCCAGATTGCTGCCCGAATCAGTGGCAAAAACGAGCTTGGTCTTGCCCTCTACTCGGCTCATGACACGTATGTATCGCCCCCGGTGTTTGTGCTGGCTCGCTTGCAATCCGAGCACACTGATTGTCGCCCCATTTCCAGGGTACTCACTCTGGCAATGGATATGTTGCAGGACCATTCTTTCTTTGTTGAACTCCTTGGGCCTGGAGCAGCCGTCGCTGCCCCCGTTTGCCTCGGTGGTGAGTTGTGTCCCGCCCATCAACCGAGGTTGCATCCATGCCGTGATGCGCTCAGAGCTTGGTCCGCCATCGGCATTCATGCGTCTCATTATGGCACGAGTCGTCGCTAGTCCGCCAGAGCCCGCTGATCGGAGCGGGCCTGCCACTGATGCTTCTGTTGTTTGGATGACCCAAGGTTGTCATCGAGCTGCTCGAAAACACACACAAGTCTCTGCTGAGCGCAGAGTACTATATCCGGGTTTCCTACAACGGCCATCACCTCTCCTTCCCGGCTTCGCGGCTCTCGCTCTCCGTCCTGCACAGGGACGCGAGACTCTGCACCGTGGAGGACTTTTTCTCCAAGCTGGACTCGTTCGATCCGTCCGGAACTCAGCACGGTCACGCAGCGCTCTTTTCCAGAATGTAATGCCACCGGCTTTCTGCAACGAGAGGCGTGTGGACGCGGGAGGCATCGAATACACCTGGGCTCTGATTCCGAGGCTACGGCGCGCTAAAAACACACACAATCGTCAGGTTTCCCAACGTGTGAATCTGGAGCTCAATGAACCACACCCTGAAGTCTGCAATTCTTGCGGCCATAGGTCCGCCGCCAAAATTTAGTCCAGAGCCGCTCCCAGGCGTTCGAAACGAACCGAAGCATCCCGTTTGCATTGATTGATACTGTTATAAATGGCAATAGACACAACCGTACACCCCATGGAAGCAAGGCAAGAGAGATGCACCCACCCGGTCTGCTGTCCCCAGCCATCGCGATATCGACACACCTCGCCTGGAACGAGGCTGTCCAGACGATTGAATGCATGGTCCGCTGTCTCGCATCGCGACATCCATGCCTCGCGGAACATGATCTCGGTGTGCAAGTCGATCCGCTGAGCTGCAAATCGGGGGGGGGGAAGGCGAGGGAGGAACTAGATACGGCGCCAGCTACACGGTATTCAGGGAGAAATGGGACATGCATTTATCGGCGTAGCATGCGATGGCATGCGTCTAGCTATGCCATAAGAAATAGAACAGATCACTTTGGTAGCCTCCGAGTGACCACCACCGGTCGCAGTGCAGCGATGCGGAAATCGAGGGTGCTGTGTTTGGCCATGATTGCGATGAGTGTGTGGGTGTATTCAGGTCACAGAAAAAACTACTATCATGGTTAAAAACGGGGTGTCCCGTTTCATTTTGGAAACGCTTCAAGATGGCCGGCCGAAACCTTCTCTAAAAGCAGGTACGAGTGCAGATTGTCAGTCCGGATCGACGGGGCTTGCAAAAGGACCCCTTCACCCGCTCGCTCACCCCCCGTCTGTCCTGCGCTCACCAGGAACAGCGTTTGGTGCGAGCCACCCACCTGAATCAGCTCTCTTGAGAACCCTGTCGACCTTTATGCCGTGAACCACATCCCGGTGGCCCAGAGGCTGCACACTGCCGATCTTGCCCTTCACAAATTGCACAACCGGGTCGGCCACCTGGCGTGGAAACGCGAGGATTCTACCGACCAGCGACGGCCCCGAAGCAGCATCGCCGGCGGCGACGCCCTTGCCCGAATGGGCCTCGGCGATGCTTCGGATCGCTCGCATGTGCTGAGGAAGATGGTCGCCGGTGTTTCGGCGCTGGATAGTGCCGCCATCTTGGTTGGCGTTGCCGCCCTGGTCAGTGTTGTCGCTCTGGCCAGCGTCGACACCAGGCGGCCACAGTCCCGGGCCGCTGTGGGAGTTGTGGGATTGAGAAGATGTCGGGGCTGGTATGCCTGGTGGGTTCATTGCGGGCATCGCCAGCACCACTGTCGTTTGACGAAAATGGGTATTTGGACAAGTTATTGCCTTCCATTAGCGTCCCTCGGTTGTGGAACCCGATCGCTTTCTCCTTCCGGCTGCACGGTGCAGGCTCCGAACTGGATGTATTCAGCCCAATGCTACTGTACCCTGCCGTCGTCCATCTCGCCACAGCGCAGAAGCAGGGCGATTTCGCCGTATGCGCATACCTTGATGCTCAAGCGAGCAGGCAATCAAATAGCACCACAGCAGTGACTGGAGCTTCATTGGCGATTCTGGTCCAAAACGGAACTGGGAGAGACAGCAGCGACTGTTGAAGTTGGCACAAGGTCCAAGAAGCGTTTGAAGAACGAAGGGTCTCGGTCTGCGTTTGGGCAAGCGGCGCTCGAGGTGCCGTATATGACTGACTGCTGGCCACCGACATATGTGCCGCTGCAAGGACGGCCGGCCTGCATATGTCCTGAGCCCCGCCGTCCCCTGATATTGTTCGGGCACTCTCTTGGATGTCGGACGCAGCCGTGTCTTGCGGTGGGTGTCTGCAGGGGTGCCCCTGCGATTGGATGATTGGCACAGGCGGCGGTCGATGTGTGCAATCGGACCTCGGCCTGGCATTGCGGGTCAGGTTCGGCATACCAAGCGCACTCTTCCTGCGAGCCGGCTGCTGAGACAGAGTCTCCGTGTGAGACACCGCTCCTCTTCTTACAGAGAATACTTGAGCTGTGCAGCTCGTGTATTTGAGCCAACTGGAACTCAGCGACTCGCTGGTCTCTACAGCTGGAGCCGACAGTAGCCATCTCAGACGGCCCCAGCCATCTTGGCGGGTTATTCTGCAGAGACGGGTCCGCAGCTTCGAACAACCCTATCGGCTATGGTTTTGAAGATCGGGTAGAGGGCGGACTGTGTGAACCGCTTGGTGAAGCTGCCTCCGTCTGCCTCGATCAATGTTGTCAGGGCGGGATCGATTGGAACACGGCCTGCAGCCCCCGTCGAGCCGGACAGCCAGGTTAGAAGAACGAGCGTTGGCAAGCACCGAGGCGGCCAGCAAGACGCAATAGCGATGAGCCCATCCATTTCGCTCCTGCGACAGTGCTTGTCACTCTTCGTGCTCGTCACAGATCCTCGGTAGCCCAAAGTGCCCCTCAACACGGCGGACTCCCTCAGTCCAAAAGTGCCTGGATCCACCATCAGACGTACCAAGGAACTCGAGTCCGTATTCTGCAGCCATGGCTTCACCACCGCCTCGGGCAAAGATGTCCGAGCACTCCTGTTGAGGAGAGTGCAGGCCAGGGCATGAGTTGGTTGTGCATGCCGAGCCAGTCTTGGTGCATCCAGAGGTCTCGCTCGCCCCTTCCCGATGAACTGTGGTTATCGCACACCGATCCCTCCAATCGAGCGGCAATGCGTTCTTACCGTGCAGTGTGGACAAACGAAGCCGCTCATGTTCTCGACAACACCCAGGATCGGAATTCCGACTTTCCGGCAAAAGCTGATCTCCTTGCGAACGTCCGAGAGCGAGATGCCCTGTGGTGTTGTGACCATAACAGCCCCATCTGGATGAAGATCTCGAAGGAATTCGGCGACCGAAATATGCTCGTCCGAGGTGCCTGGATCCACAAGTGCAGCAAAATAGCGCAGAACAAAGTCGATGGTTCATCGCAGAGTCAGGTACAGCCCGATCGTGCCCATTTCATTCACATCCTGAGCAGCGCTGATCCTTATCCATGCCGGGTGGTGACGCTCGCAGCCGCCCCGAGACACATGCGAGGGCAAGAAGGGCCAGATGCGAGGCAGTCGCTGACGACCAACCACAGCGAACCAACGCCGCTGCTCACCTGGGGGTGTGTCGATGATGAGATAGTCCAGTTCGCCCCAAGCAACATCCTGGAGAAACTGCTTGATCATGGCTGTCGTCGGGACAGAATCCCCGGCCAAGTTAGTGCCACGATCGCCGGCTGCCGCACGCTGTGCATACCGGCAAAGTAGGTCCACCAAATTGAATCGGCCGCCAGCCTCAGCATCCAGCTGGAGGGCTGCTATGTGTGGCTTCTGGCTCGGCCACCAGACGATTGCCTTACCAGTCTTCTTTGGACCTCGCCATATGATAGCATCGTCCTTGTTGTTGAGCAAGAAGCCAATAGACATGGCCGAGAGATTCTTCTTGTCGTCAGAGTAAACCGGAATCCAGCTGGCAGATCGACAAACAGCGGCGTTAAAGGCTGGACGAGTGTTCGACAGCAGGCAGGCTCGTGTTGCCTGACCCGAGACAAGAGCATCCATGGTCCAGTATGCGACAAAGCATGATGCGGTGCTCAGAAACACACCCAGACGACGACTGGTGGACCTGCTGTCCGTCAAGGCCGAGCATCCGCGGGATACTCGGGCCAGTCAGGTCAATGTCGAGGATTCCAACCCGAAGGCCGCATTCGACAAGCGAGAGGGCCAGTTCGGTCGTTACGGTCGACTTGCCGACGCCACCTTTGCCGGAGAGGACAAGGATGATGTGTTTTACGCCTTTGAGATTCGAGGCGTCCATGGCAGCACTGGTTGTGGTGGTGGAGGCAGATTCGGGGCGACGCAGGACGATGGAGAGAGATCCTGGGCGACGCACGAAAGCGAGTGTCATGGCCCTGACAAATTGCGATTGGAAATTGCTGCGCAGCCGCTGTATCTCGGAACCGGGACGGCTGGCGTGCGACCACACACACACACACACACACACACACACACACACAACCATGGCGCCCATCTCGATCCCGTGGATGTTGCATCTGTTGGAATCAGCGAATCACGCCAAATATCATTGTTGCAGCGACATATCGCATCGCAGTAATGCCGGCTCCGCCTCCCAGACAGAGAAACATCTCCAGCCCAGCGTCTTTGGAGGCTGCCTTGTCCACAAGCGGCTCTTGACCCGTTGCTCTCTGCCAAGCCCCAATATGACTGTTCTCACGGAGCATTTGATATTTTCCAAGCTCAAAGGCGTTCGGACTGCCGAAAACGCCGAGCTCAGTAAGTGCAGCGGGTTGCAGCAGGCTGCAGCAGGAAGCATCAGGCAGTGTCGGGCAACATCGGGCAACAGCCACACTCTGCATAGCGAATGTACATGTCGGTGCAGGCATATCGGCACCGCCGTCACAGCGGAGCTGATTCCCGTCCAATATCATGTGGCATGCTAACTGGTCTCGAAACGACTCTTGGACTCGCCCGATGGCGGATCGCTTTTGAATTCCTTGGATGCAATTCCGATTCGTGGACTCAATGTGTACCTGAACAACCACGATGTTATGCTGGCGTTCCTGTGAACCGACCCGGCTGGCGACTTATGGTCCATGAACTGCAACCGGAATGTCCGCGAACACTTCTTCCGTCTATTATGCACTGTTCCGGGGACTGCCACACGCCAGGCCAAATCCATAGCCTGAATCTCTGGGGCCAAGAGCTGACCGACGTTAGCATTTTGGCAGATCTTGGCTCCCTCAGGGTGGTGTCACTCGCAATCAATTCGATCCAGGACATTGTGCCGCTTTCCAAGCTCACAGCCCTGAAAGAAGTCTATTTGAGACGGAATCAGATCCAAGACTATGTACAGGTCGCCCATCTGCGGAACAGCCGTGGGCTCGAGGTTCTCGGTCTGGCCGAGAATCCCATCGCGGGAGCCGTGGCCAATGCTGGTGGCGAGAAGGAGTACCGAATCCGGGTACTTGCCATCATCCCGTGGATCAAGAAGATCGATGACCGCCTCGTCGAAGAGCCCGAGAAGGCAGAAGCCCACCGTATCCGGCTGTCCGGATGGGTCGAGGAGATCCTCCGATTGGCCGAGGTGCGCGAGGAGGCCTATTGGAGTCGAGAAAACGAGCTGCGACTGGCCGAGGCCGAGGCCGGGATTGTCCATGGCAGCGGGGTTGCGTCGCTCATGAACCTGAATCCCGACCGCAGCAGGAGAAAGGATCTAGCCGACAAGGCAATCCAGGATGTCAAGCAAGCAAGCGACAGGGCTTTGGACAGTATCGCTCATCGCCGGCCGGCTTCCAACGCCAAGGTGACGACAAAGCACAAGCGATCATCGAGTCTTGGGCCGCATACGGGGGCCTTGGGACTGCATATCGACAAGCAGCCGGGCACCACGAGTGCCCCTTCGCCCAGGGAAAAGTACGAGGACCATATCAAAGGCGCTGGTATGGGGATCGTAAGCGATTTGCACCACATTCCAAGGGGCAAAGTCCCGCGGTTCCTGGAGAAGAAAGACGGCTTCATTCGGGAATATGAGGACGAAGCAGTCACGCTCTATGCACGCTCGCAGAAGGATGGACAGCAGCAGCAGCAGCAGTCGATCCAGGTAATGTCTGGCTGGAAATAGAGAGTCGGACACACGGCAGCAGGCAGCGTCGGCGTGGCGACATATCTGTCCGGCTGGTCAGTTATGCTGGTAAAATGGAGGTGCAGTCGAGGACCCTGCTGATGACATGGAGCTGCAGTCGAGGACCCTGCTGATGCCAGTATCGATTTCATCCGATCCGCACGCTTGCTGCAAACAAAGCGAGCGCCCTTGCAGACCCAGGCTCCTTCACACAGTTATGGTGCCAAACTGCACATCGATATGAGTGCCAGCCGGAAGCCCACATGGCTGACAGAAAACATGAGCGAGGTATGCGCAGCGGCCATTTCGGCTGCTCTGCGATTCGGTCAAGGCGAGGCGGAGCAGAGCATGGCAAGTGTGATAGCGAGTTCCTCAGAGCGACAGCGGCGTTGCAGAGCTCGCGACAGACCATCTGCAGCATGATCTGGCAGATTAGCCTCAGCATTCTCCCACTTTTCTCATGCACCTGATGCCGCCACCTGCTCTTGCACTGCGTCGCGCAGACCGTCGAGCAAATCCGATCCGTGTCGACTCCACCAATGCGGCGAAGCTTCACCGTCTCGGGACAAAAGGTCTGCTGGTCTCTGCAACGGAGTCCTCTGCTGCAGAGCAACTCCATGTTTGCTGTGTCTGCTAACACCACTCCACGGTTGATATCACTCCACAGCAACACAACGTTCTCTCGGCCATCTTAACCCTTGTGCGCGACCTCGACGATGTATCGCTGCACATTGTCGGAGAGGAGGTGAACAGGCTTATTCTGGAGCACCGCTAGCAGTGTAGATGGTCCTAGCTGGAGCAAGATAGATGCTGCCGTCTGTGCATGTAGTCATACGGCAAGTTTCGAGGTCAATCTGCTCGTCCTGATGGAGACAACCGATCCTGGACCACACTGCTCAAGTAAATCGACCAGATGCCCCGCTGGGTGGAAGACGGTCGCTCGAGACGTATCCTTGCCTCGGCTATCTATTGAATAAAGCGAAATCCTCCACGAGCAATAAGTGCGAGCCTACTCGTCACAGGCAAGAACTGCGATGAATGCGTGAATTCAACAAGAGGATGATGCTCGCATCCAATACGTAGAACGTATATATACTTAGTATATGCAAACGTCTGAGTTAAGCGGGCAAGACAATCTATGGCCGTTGCCGTATCCGGCTCACTTCATTTGACAAAAGCGAACAGGAATCTGCCCAGCAGCAGGGCCGAACTACTGCGTTTCTGTCGAATTTATGTCCCAATTGCCTCGGTATCTGTTTTGCATCGATCTATCGATGTCTTGCCATCAGGCTTTTCTTGCGTGCCAGATCAGCCAGGCCCAAGATCATGTCCTTGATGGCCCATCGCTTCTGGGCGACTGCAACCGGCGTCAACAGTGATTTGAGCCGAAAGAGACTCAAATCGCCGGGCTTCAGCGTCAGCTCGCTCGTGATTGCGCCTGTGAGTCGGTCCGCCAGTATCTCCGTGATGGCGATGGTATAGCATCCGCAATCGTACCCTGTTGTATGTGGGACAGGATCAATCCCAAATCAACGACACAAGCGGTAATTCAGCCAAGAAATGCCCACGGCAAGCTCCCGCGAGTCAAGGCACCGAACATCCCAGTGGCCGGCTACTAGTGTTGCTGCCGTCAGGGAAGAAGTGGAAATCGCTGATACAGAGTGGTCCAGCGGTCAAGATATTGCTCGCACTGAACTTACCATTGACTTGGATGGGCGTCTCGACTTGGGCAAAATGCGAGACTGTTGAGTATCGGCCGGAACGAAGGCAAGTGGTATGGCTGTATGTTACAAACCCATACCAACCGCTCATGCAGCCGAGTTGATCCAAGCCGAGCCATAGTGTCCCCTCGCAATCGGACGAAGCCCACACCCGCACTCAGACCCGCCGCTGTTATGCCCCCGCTGTGGCCCGAGTTGTTGCAGCTGCACACTAACCTTGCTCGAACTTGTTCAACAGTCGCGGAACGAGGAGCGGGGCGAATTTGTCCTTTGTCAGCTTGGCCGCCGACAAATTGTACCGGCCAAGCGAGTCATAGTACTGGGACAAGCAAGAAGCAATATCAAAGTGGATCAAGTCAGCGACGCCCATCCTTGCTGGATTGAAGGACGATGGTCGTTCCGAAAGCTGACCCGGCCAATCTTTCCCCTTCCCAGGGGCAGAATCGTCGCATGGGCGCTCACATAGAAGCTGTTTGTTGGCCGATAGAAGACGAGCAGCGACCAGTGCGATCCGCTAATGCTGTTTGTGGTGCCATCCGAGTCGTTGATGGGCAGGAACACAATGTTCTTCTTGGCCAGATCTTTCGGAAGGGCTGACTGGAGAGAAGTGGGATCTGTTGTGGCCAGGACGAGCAAGGGGCAGATCGAAATGATGAAACTATGTGATTAGTGGTGCTGCCGTAAGGCGGGCGACAGAACCGAGGCGACATCTGCAGATGCGGGTCTGCGATGGGTCATGAGTGCAGCCTCGCTGGGTTGTGTGGACTCGTGAGCAAGGTTAAGCGGAAAAGCATGCCATCCATGAACTGCCAGGCTCAGGTACGGCGTATGCTGAATGTACCGCAGTTATTGGACATGCCCCTGCCGAAGGAGTGCACCTGCCCGAGAAGAGAAGCTCACCCTGCGTGTTGGTGACGAGATGGACAATCGACGGCCGCAGAAACTCGACGTGCGGGTTGTTCTTGTGAACCTGCAGCTCGAGATATTCGTAGTAGACTGGACAGCGGACCAAATGCATCAGCAACGGATATGACTGGACCGCATGGACGCAGGCTGTAGAAAGGCCACTCACACTGGATAATGGTATCGTTGAGCCATTGACCCTCTTCGAGGAGGTCGAAATCCTGGGGTCAGCAACGCGACGGTTGGTTGATGTGCGAGACGGCCTCGATACAGAGCCGGACCTGGAGATCGAGGCCAGCGATACCAGGCCGCATGGGGCTCTGGACGCATGCAGGATACTTGCCTCCTTGTCGATGATGACGTCGCCGTATTCGAGAATCATCGTGCAGGTTGCGGCAGATGCGATCTGGGCTGCAGCAGCGAGAGCGACAGCCCCGCGGCCTCCGTTCTTGTCGCCCAACCCGCCCGCCAGATCGCTCGGATCACCTTGCCCTGCATCTGCCGCCCTTCACCTGAACAGCCATGTCTGCCTCCGAAGGTGAGGCCACAGCTTCATCCCCCTTCAAAAAGCCGCCTGCAGCAGATACCACCCCGAGCATGCCATTACCGCTGGATGTGGATGTGGATGTGGATGTGGATGTGGATGTGGATGTGGATGTGGATCTGGATCTGGATCTGGCCGATCGATCCTCGTTCCGTCATCCGGCATCTCCACTCCAGATGTCAGACAATAACTCCATCAATCCCACCTTTCGCCTCTTTCCGCCTCGATGACATCAAAAATCGGCTCAGAAAAAATCATCCAGAACCGACTGCTGATGGATCCGGCGGTGAAAGCCGTCAAGAAATGTCTCCGTCAGTTCCACGCAACCGTCGCTGCGCTGAACCAGCACCGGTCGTCAGCAGAGAGGTGCAGAGTCGAATCCATGCCCTGCTGTTGCTAAAGTGGCCATTGATATTGCCTTTGTCTTCTCGATGGCCGTCGGCGTCTTCGGAATCGGTCATTGCCAATGCCATCACCGCTATGACCTCGTCGCCACTCCGCACAAGCTATTGGATCATCCTGGCTCTTCGACGCCGTATAGCACCTAATCAATGCATGCTCTATCCGGCACTGGCACCAACGACCCGTCTGCCGATCTGTTTCGCAATGCCTTGGACCGGGGGAAAAGTCAACTCGCTATGGAGAGTTTTCTGGTCGCCTTGAGCGGACTAGAAACAAGCATCTTGAAGCATCAGCTGCTACACGACATGAACCTGCGGGAAACCAGTCACTACATCGAAGATCAGCAGCGCATCGGTATGCAAACTGTGTGTCCGGGGTCGTCGTGTTGGGCGAGCGATGGTACCCAGCTTCAGCCTCATACAGGCCGATACGATGATGGGCGTCTGTGATGCTGACCCTGCACGCCGATGCTGCTGATCGACCTTCCCTGTCGTCTGTTTGCCTGTCTCTTGCTAGAGCGGGAGATTGTCAACGCCCGAGAAGACATCGAATCTCTGAAACTAGAGCTCGTCGAAGCCCAGCGACAGCGAAATAATCGCCTCGAGTACGATGCCAAAGCCCGAGAGATTCAGCAGTACGAATCCAGGGCGAGGAAAAGCAAGTAAGCAGCGCAAACCTGCGGACTTCAAGGCTCTTGGCGGTGGCCGAATGCCGGAGGGTCATGTCTATCTGCTCAACTTGAATTCAGCGGAGGATGAGGGGGCTCCGTGAGCGATCGGTCGCTCTGGGTGATTCTCAGAGCTTACACTCTGGAGTAACAGCCCACGCCTCACCATTGCTCCACCCACGGCATCGCAGGAAGATCGATGTTCTGAAAGCCGAGATATCCAAGTTCGAGGCAGAGCAGCGTGCTCACAAAACCTCGATGGAGTTCCGGAAGCGACAGATCCAAGCCGCCCTCAACACTCTCCACACCATCCAAGAAGAAATCGCCGATACCCGTGATGCCGAGGCACAGGAGCTGAGCCACTATTTAGCGCTGCTGGAATCCAAGGCCCCGCAAGTTGTCGAGGAGGAAGATGGCCTGCTCAACGACGACGACCGAGGTGAGTAGCCAGACTCTGTTCATGGCAAGCGATGCGAACTCGTGGGGGTGTTGTCGCCGCATGTGTTCCGGAATGCAGCTCCACCTTGACTTGTAATGGCCTCTCTATACAGACAATGCCGGGGATCCAATGGAAACCTGAGTCCAGGCAACTGCCATGCACTGCATTCGCCGGCGGCTCTAACCCTGAAAGGAGGCAAAGTTCTTGTGATCGACTGCCTAATATTACAGCGTACCCATTTGGAACGGGACACCTGTTTGAGTCAGGGCTGTCGTTGATTTCTGGTCCTGAATACACACTCGCCCATCCCTACCATGACCAAACGGTGTGCCCACGGCGCCTAGAGGCCAAGCAACTCGAGAAGACCGAGTGCCTTGATATCGCGATATCATTAAGCTATCCAGAGGATCGAGTACATCCACCACATTCCCACATCGAGTACATCCAGCACATTCACACATCGAGTGCATCCACCACATTCCACATCGAGTACATCCACCACATTCCCACATCGAGTACGTCCACCACATTCCCACATCGCGATATCAATGCCAGTCGATCGTCACCACGGGAGATCGACCGACCCCAAGAACCACCTTCACCCGCTTGAGGTGGATGGACAAGGGATATTCATGAGCTCAGAAACGGGCAAGTGCTGCACTTTTCTTGGCTGTGATGCATATGACTCATGCATATAGCTCATGTTCGTCTTTGCCTTCAGGGCAGTCCGTAAATTACACAGTTTTAATCAGGCTCTACGCTGTCACAGCAAAGTATTCAGGGATGGAAGGTGGAAGGAGCGTGGAGTGAAGGTAGTGATGAGTTGGGAATGAAACGGCGACCGCGCGGAGATGCAGCCGCGAGTGGGAAATCAGTCGCTTGCGATGACCGATGTTTCCTTCTGGGGCACGAGGCCAACCGAAGAACCTGTGCACAGCGTTGGCCGCCAAGACGCAGGCCGATCCCACTCTGCCCCTACAGACCGCCGGCTCAGAGCGGTTCGATGATATCGCTGATGCAGTCTTCGGGGATGTTGAAGCAGTGAGCGATTTGCCGCTTGTATCGCTTGTCTTTGGTCGGCCGCCGCTGCCAGATCCCGTTCAGTTCTTCAAACTGCCGCTTTCGAGTCTGCTCCGAGCTATGGAGCTGGCGGGATAGCTCCGCATACTCGCTCTGGAGCCGGACCAGCTTTTCGGGTGATAGACGGAGCCGGCGCCGCCGGCCAAGGTTCATGGGCAGCTCTTCATCTTCAGATCCATCTCTTTCGCGATCGCTGAGCGGGTCCAGGTCATCTGGATCCTCCTGGATGCCTGCCACCCGTAGTCCGCGGTGGCGGCGCTTTGCCGGTGATGCAGCGCTGGTTGCCCCCGAGACCACGCTTTCGTTGTCTTCCTCGGTTGGCTGAGACTCACTTGGACCGGGCAGCCGCGGAGCCATGAGTTTATGAGCTTCTTGCTGGAGACCGAGAAGTTCGTGCTGGCTTTTCTTGAGCTGGAACAACTCATCCTTCGCATTCCACAGCTGGTCGCGCGCTGTCTCGATTTCTTCAGACGATGGCTTGATCTCGGCTGCAAGAGGACACATCGGAATGTACAGGGGATGGGTGGGTATGTCCGCCCCTCTTCTGGGCCAGCTCAAGACTCGTACTCATCACATAGGATTTCCAAGGCATGGACGACGGCGTGCACTTTGAACTGGGTCTCACCTCCGGGACTGTGGAGACTGGATGTACAATCTGATGTGGGCGTGACCTGATCGTCGCCGTCAAGGCTGTTGCCGGGGTCGTCGAGAGCATCTGCGCCTTCGCTCTGGCACCCACCGCGTTGCAAGCGAATAGAGACCATGGTTGACAAGTTAGTCACTGCATACGACGTGGATTCGTGTGGCTGCTTTACGCCACAGCGGGGCATTTCCCTTGCGAAGCCCACAGCTGCGACTCCAGCCAGCTCGTTCGCAGCGATGCTTGTTGCGCTTACCAGGTCCAGCCCGAGCTTGAGAAGCCTGAGCAGCTTTCGATTGCCGTGGGCATAATCCTCGGCCCGCATCTTGTCGGCGTCTACATAGTCTTTGTTGACTCCGACTTTCAGCAACGCCGCCACGATTTCGTAGGAGTTCATTCGCGCGGCCAGATGAAGTGCGGTCTGGTAGCTCGCATCCTGAGCATTCACCAGTGATCGAATGTCATAGTCTGAAAAGCGCTTGATCCATTCGCCAGTGCACCGGATGTAGTAGCGGGCCGAGGGAATGCTGGACTTGCGCGCCGAGCACAGAACGATCTTGTGGAGAATGGTCTGACGCTGATAGTCGTCCATGAACACGAGATCCGAGGGCAGGATCTCAAAGATCTCCGGCAGAGTGTGGTGGTTGTGGTTGTTGGTGGATTTGATGGCGCGGATCAGCACGGTTTCCCCACATCGGTTGAGGAGTCGTGGGTTTGCCGAGGCCGCGAGGAGGCCCTTGATCAAGCCGATGCGGCCAAAGAACGTGGCCCAGTGCAGCGCCGTGTTGCCTTCGTCGTCCAGAATGGTGTTCGGCCTCAGCTCTCCCGAGACGGGGTCGCGCAACAGATGTAGAATGTAGTCGGTGGCATAGTCGGAGAAGATGGCCATCAGGATGCTCTTTTGTCTTTCTGAAAGCGATGCAGTTCTTCCGGCGTCGCCCGCACCGTCTGGGCCGCAGTCTGCTGCCGCAATCGAATTGATGACGGCTATGTTTGTTGAAGGCCTTGGCGGCGTTGGAAGGATCGAGCGCTTCAATGGCGCTAGCGAGTATGACGACGAGGAGTTGTGGGGAGGAGACCGATGCCGCTCGCGGTCCGAGAGTGAGTCACCAGGCGAGGGCGGCGCAACAGCGGGCCCTGTGGATGTCGTAACAGGTACAGCAGCCGAGGCTGCAGCCGCAAATCGAGCCCAAGCGACTTTGGTCTGGTGATGGTGCTGGTGGGTTGGCGAAAGGGACTCGCGGCTCGGACTCGGTATTTGGCTCGTGGCTCGGGAGGGCGAAGACAGTCGCCGCGGGCTGCCCTCGGCCGTGGGTGTCAGTGAAGCCTCCTTGGAGTGAGCTTCCCCGATAGGATCGATACTTCGGATCACTCGCGACGGGTGGGCAGTCGAATGGGTGCCGACAGGATGGTGGGTTGGTGTCGTCAAATCACTGAGTCTCATTGCCGGAGGTGGTCGCCCACGACTGATGCTGGCGGCGTTGCGGGGATCAAAGTCGAGGAGGGGCCGGATGAGGGGTTCGATGCCGTACTTCTGGGCCAGCTGACGTGCAATGTTGATGGGAACCCTGGAAGGTCAAGAATGAGATGGGGCATGAGCATAAGACAAGAGGCAAGTTTAGTGGGATCTTGGCGACCGGGGGTGCGCCGACAGAAAGTAAAGGCGAAAGGTTTGGCCAGGGGAGACGAGTGGCATAGAGAGAGCGAGATTGGTGACGGAGGTATCGCTCAAAGAGCAAACTTGCTGGCAGACGCACAATGACTCTGATTCGATGAGATAATGATGGACTCGCACGGACAGCTGCCAGACGAGTTCGATGGGAATCAAGCCAGACAATGGGAGAGAGAAGGGTTGACGTTGCGCAAATCAAGGAAGCCACTGTCGAAGGGAACAGATATGCCCATGACGAGGCTGTCCAAGGTCCAGGAAGGGGCCCATGCGAGTGCATGGAGGTTCATGAGCAAGGGGTGGCGTGGGAGTCGTGAAGGAGGGGGACGACGGCGCCAAGGGGGAGGTTGTCGTGCGAGTGGCAGAGGACTCACAAGAGCGAGAAAACGAAGGGCCGGCAGATGCAAAAGACAGGCAAATGCAAAAGAACAGGCCGCAGAGTACCCACCATGTGCCCTGATATTTTCCGTAGCCGCCTTGGACCTTCTCGTGTTCGCCGTGCAGAACCTCGCGCTCGAGGGTTTTGGTTCGCCTGGGTTTGTTGAGACCGGCAGCCTTGAGAATCTGGGTGGCGTTGAAGTAGCCGTCGTTCATCCGGCGCATGATAGATACGCCACGCACGAGCATCTCATACACCGGGGAGGCAGAGTAGACGGCAGTGTAGATCGGCGAAGCGGCTGTTGGGTTTCCAGCCAGGTCGCTAGCCGGGTCGTCAGCGAGACTCTCCGTCGAGCCAACGGGCGTAATCGAGGATGAGCTTGCAGGCTCGGGCGTTCCGGAGGATATCTCGCGCGGAGGCTGCGGGTCGGGCGACTTGCGCTCGGGATGGTGCAGTCGCTCCAGCAACAGGCGAGGCTGTTGAAGGGATGAGATGGTTTCCATTCCGATTAAGAGAGGGGAAAGACCGACAAGCACCGTCGACACCGCGGGAGAGTGAGGCGGCGAAAGCGGCCAAGGTCAACCCGATAAGCCCGAGGGACGAGGCAGAACAGAGCCGACCGCACAGAGGCTGATGCGTCAGGATGCCCGGGAGAATGGCGAGGGCACAAGTTGGACCGAGCCGGGCCGGGCTGAGGCAGATGGGAGTCGGAGGTCCAACTCAGAGGATTCTCCGATGGTGACCGATGCGGCAGGAGCGACCCAGGAGGAGCTCGGGATGGTTGGATATGTGCCAGCGAGAGTCCTATGGAAGATATGCGGCAGGAGCCGACGAGCAGATGACTGCACAGGCAGAGAGAGCGCGCGGGAGCGGTGAGCGGGTGGAGAGCGCGATGGTGGGGAGACGGAGGATAGTTCTGCTCAGAGCGCTGCGGCGATATGGATGGCGATATGGAAGCGACCCAGATGATGATTTGCATGGCGATCCGCAAGGCGACGAGAATCACCCTGGTCCAGGCAACAGCATCCTGCGTCGTCCATGGACCATCGGTGTCAGAGGATGCAGTCATGCAGACATGCAGACGATACTTGCCGGCAGCAAAAGGGAGTCTCAGATGGATTGCGGATGAATTGCAGGTGTGCTTCGGTCTCGTTCGTGGTCTATTTGTGCCCCGCAGGTCCTTTGGCGGCGAGGGGAAGAAGGCCAGATGGGTTGCGTCGGTAGCAAGATGAGTTGTGTCGGCAGCAGTTCCGCTCGCAGACCAACGACGCAATGGCGGCAGGCAAAAAAATGTGGATGGAAAAGGGAGGGCGACGCGACAGGCGAGGGCCAGAGCGTGGCTGGCCAGCAGCCGCAGCGCGTCGCGCCACCGCGTCGGCGACACGGCGATTCGGCTCCGACGCCAGGGAGTGCGCGACGCGCCAGGGCCGACAGGAGGGCCAGGCAACGCAGAGCGAAACGGATGCGATGTATTCGGAAACAGGCGATGGAACACTGGAGGGAGTGCAGGGCAAAGGAGGAAACAGTGGAGAGAAGGCAAAGCAGAGGAACAGCAGGGTACAACGAAAACAGCGAAATCAGCGAAAATAGCGATGAAACACAGATGCACGAGGGGCGCTCTATGCGATCTTGAGGTTGTTGAAAACAAGCTCGAGACTCTCGACTGGATCTTGCTCAAGGTCGCACTGCATCTGGTCGTCCGAGGCTGCAAGAAGAAATGTTTGGAGATCCTATCAGCATGCAGCAGTCGGAATTCGTGGCCGCATCAGCACACAGGTAGACATGACAAAGCTGTCGTCGGCTACTTTACCAGGAACAGTCGTGGTATTGGCGAAATCAAGGATGTGTGCTGGATAGCCGGGGTTTTGAAGAGGTTCGTGCGACATTTGAAAAAGATTATCGGCAAACTGTGTCAAGACATTGTCGATCGGAATCGGATCGTTCGTAGCCATAGCAGTGCCATTGGCCGCAGGCATGGAGTAGCCAGTGTTTTGAATGGGCTCATGCGACATTTGAAAGAGAATATCGGCAACAGTATTTGGGTTGGTCGCGATAACGGCTTGAGGAATGTTGGTCAAAAAGGAATTGCCGTCGAGTGGCATCGCATCAAGCTCGGACAGTGCTGGGATACTGGCCAACGGAATCGCGTCAGTCTCAGCCATGTGAATGGGTGGGAGGTCCTCTTTCACTGGGAGACTGAGGAGGGAGTTCATTGAATTCGACTTGAGCGACTGAAAATCGACATCTGTGATTAAAATGACTGGGTTAGTATGATGGACCACCATGGGAGCGTCATGGTGGTGTATCACAGAGAAACTCGAATCCCATTACCAGTGCATAGAGCCGGGAACAGCGCTTCGGTTTCAAACATGGTCTCGAGTGCCGCAACCCAGTTTTGTTGCGCAAGAAGGCTCCGATACTTGAACTCGAGCTGCTGGAGCGCCCACTGACCAAGAGGGTCAGATGTATCGCTGATGACAGTGGATGGCCATAATCCAGAAAGCTTGGCAATGCTGATGGCTGAATCGGTGTGACTAAGACAATCCTTGTAGCTTTGGATCTGAAGTTGAACCAAATCAGAGGTAAACATTCGGACTGAATCAAAACCCTACAACGGTAGTGAGTCTGACATGCACCGTAAGGACGGCCTTTACCTCATAGTAGACCGAGCTCATCAATGCGTGTCCGAGCCGCTGGCTCGAGATATCAGGAGAAACATAAATGTATAAATCGGCCATGGCACAGGCCATATGGGCGAACTTTGTAATATCGTATTCAGTTTGGGCGAATGAGAGTGCATCGGTGTAGGTTTGGAAGCAGAGTAGAAGAGTGTCGAGATTCAAGAGCGGAGCGTTCAGCTCGAGATCTTGACTTTCGGTGGCACATGTATTCATTGAGACGGGCGGATGATGCGGCTCAGTGAGTTCAACATCGTCCATGTTGCTTAGAGAAATGGATTGGCGGTTGTCGGCAAGTTCGGCAGCGCCATCGTCGAGGCTGGCGATTTGTTGCGGCTCGGGTTGAATTGGGGGGCTGAAGGTTCTGAGGTCAGGAGGAGAGGAGCCTGAGGGCTCACCGGCAATGGAGATGAGATTTTCCAGCGAAGTTGTACACAGCCTCATATAGTCATGGTAGTTACGAGATGCCGCAGGAGACAGTTCATCAACGAAGTCGGGGTTGGGGTGTTGGGGTCCAGCTGACGTGGGTCGAGGACTGAGTGTCGATGAGCTGGCAGAGGGCTGCAGGATTGACAAGGAGGGTGTTGACGAATTCATATCGGTCAGACACTCGGTGGATCGGGTTTGAGACGATGACAATGGAGGAGCCGTCTTACATTCATGCCCAGATTCTTTGGAGCTGGTTCCAGCTTTGGGTGAAGCGGTCGACTGTGTGGGAGTCAAATGGCGGGTTGGAACTGGGATGCGCGAACGAGGGCTTGGTTTCGAACTCGATTGCGAAACGGCGACTTTGCGCTTGCGCTCTGGAGAGTCGGGTTCGTTTTCTTTGCAATTGAAAGGCGAGTAGGAAAAGGAAAAAGGCGAGGCTGCGGAGAAGTCGCTTGGGCCGCCAAACATGAACTTGGGGGCGTTCAGTGAGCCAGGCTCCTGGGTGTTTAGATTGCCATCGAAGCTCTTAGGTGTCGATTTGAAAGCAGAGGGATCTGGGCGAGGGGTGTTTGGATATGGAGATGCGCGACTTGACGGGACAGAGCCTGGGTGGGTCTTCGGAGTGGCTCTGCAGCTGGTGGAGCTATAGGGTGAGGGGGCACCAGCAGAACGTCGTGGTGCCTTGGGAACTTTGATCGGCTTGTCATGTTCCTGAACAACGCTGGCACTGGATGCTCTCTGTCGATGAAGCAAGAGACAAGGTCAGTGAGGGCAATGATGTGGCGATGTGTGGTGGAATTGGGGCATGTGGGCAATGCCATGGTGATCCAACAGCACATGCAACAGTCGTGGGTCGCTGCTTGGCGCAGGTGCATTGTTCGCCGGCTCACCTCGTCGTCGGATGGCTGTGGGTCCAGCGTCTGACGGAAACCAGGGTCGTAAGCCTTTGGCTCAGTTGGAGCCAAGTCGGAAGAACAGGCGGAATCATGGGGAGCAAAGCCATCAGGGTTGGTCGAGTCGATGGTCGGGTGTGAGTCGATGGTCGGGTGTGAGTCGGCGGGACCAGTGAGACCGGCGCATTCATTGGGGACAGTATTATCGGCAGAACCAGCACAGTCGCCGCACTCGGGCAAGTCGACGAGGTCGTTTGCCACCTCGATGGCTGTGGGTAGATTGTCTGGCTCGGAAAGAGTCGGGTCGTTGTCGTTGTCGTTGTCGTTGTCGTTGTCGTTGTCGTTGTCGTTGTCGTTGTCGTTGTCGTTGTCGTTGTCGTTGTCGTTGTCGTTGTCGTTGTCGTTGTCGTTGTCGTTGTCGTTGTCGTTGTCGTTGTCGCACTTCAAGCCAGACGCCGGGAGATCTGCGGCTTCGGCAGCCTCTGCTGTCGGGGGAGCAGGGTTGGCGACATTGCCGGTCTCAGGGACAGAAGGAGCAGGATCAGTGGCATCATCCCGATGCAAGGCGGGAGACGAGGTGTCTGGGATGTCGTCGAGATCCAAAGCAGGCATATCAACTGTGGGCTCGCAATGAGAAGGCCGTGGTGTCAGCTCGAGAGATTCGAGGGATTCGAGAGATTCGAGGGATTCGAGGGATTCGAGGGATTCGAGGGATTCGAGGGATTCGAGGGATTCGAGGGATTCGCAGCTCTCCGATGCTGGAGCAGGGTTTGGACGATGGTTGGCGTCAGGCCCAGGAGACAAGCAGGCGGCTGTCGGGGGAACAGACTCATTGCTTGCAGAGGTGCAAGATGGTGCCTGGATTGGAGTCAGCGGCTCAGTAGCCATGACAGAGTGTTCGCTGGAGGATGGCAGCCAATGATCAAGCACAACCAGGTCCGAGAGCTCGTTCTTGTCGGAGACTGAGGTGCCAGTGGGGGCCGGCACCGACGGCTCAGGTTGTTCAAGTTGCTCGGGTTGTTCAGGTTGTTCAGGTTGTTCATGCTGTCCATGCTGTTCAGGTTGTTCATGCTGTTCGCGTTGTTCATGCTGTTCGCGTTGTTCAGGTTGTTCGTGTTGCTCGGGTTGTTCAGGTTGCTCGGGTTGTTCGGGTTGTTCAGGCTGTTCAGGTTGCTCGGGTTGTTCGGGTTGTTCAGGTTGTTCGGGTTGTTCAGGTTGTTCAGGTTGGCTTGCACAGGTGCTGTCAAAGGGCAGCGTCAAGGACTCGGCTGTCGGTGCCACAGTTGGCTCGATCAGTGGTCCGTCGATGGATGCAGGCACAGAATCGTCGGGATCGTCGGAATGGGTGTTGGATGCAGGACTAATCAGGTCGCCATGGGACTGCAAGACACCATGGTCATCATGGGACTGCAGAGCTTGAGGATTGTCATGGCCCAGGAAGAATGCAAAGTCGCCTGGCATGAAAGTCTCGGCTGTGACACTTGTGCCATCCGATTTGCGAGCGAGCCGATCGCCAGGCAGTATCTGGGAGCAAGGGATATCATCGGCGTCGTTGTCGTTGCTGCTCGAGGGTGGCTGTCGGTGACTCACTTCATCGACATCCATCATGTCCAAGTCCGAGTCCGAGTCCGATGCCTGTGTCGGGGTTGCAGGAGACTCGGGTGTTGGCAAAAGTGTGGCCACATCCTCCGGGGTCGACGAAACAGGATGGTTCTGTTTGCAGGGGGAGCAGGCGGTGTCGGGGTTGTTCAGGCTGAAGCCCTGTTCGCCCATGAGGATCTCGGTGCGATGAACATGGTCAAAGAACTCAGTCCACGAGACATTGGGCGGTGTCTGGTCATTTGCAGGCGACATGGGCTGGTAATGGGCTGACGAGGCAGCCGGGGCAGCAGTCGATGAGGGAGACTCGGGAACGAACGACGGAGACTCGGGGGTGGCCGAGAAGACAGGCGGCTGCGGCGACACAGAGTCGGTGAACGAGAACGGATGCCGATGTGGAGGAGTGTCGCTTGCAACGGGCTGGAAGTATGGGTCGCTTGCAAAGGGCTGGAAGGGTGTGTCGGGTGCAAATGGCTGGAACAGAGTCTCGGACGTGGCTGGATGGAACTGTGGGATGCTGCTTGCTGACTGCTGGGATTGTGCCTGGGATTGTGCCTGGGATTGTGCCTGGGTCGGGGTCGGGGTCTGCAGGTGAGTGTCGAGTCCAAAAGTGAACGGCTGGAACTGAGTCTGCGACGGGGTGTGCGTCTGCGTCTGGGCGAATGCAAACGGTCGGCTGTCGGGTGTGCTTGTGGATGCTGACGACTGGCCGCCAGGGGAGGCTGTGGATGCTGACGACTGGCCACCAGGGGAGGCTGTGAATGCAAACGTATACGGTTGGCTGCCGGCGGCTGCACAGGACTGGGGTTCCGAGGCGTTCGTGGGTTCCGAGGCGTTCGTGGGTTCCGAGGCGTTCGTGAACGTGAAGGAGTGAGACTGCGGAGTGTCTGGGAACATGGATGGCTGCGGGGGGTGTGGGTGATGCGGCTGGGTGCCTGGGAACGGAGAACCAGTGGGTGTGGAAGTCGAGTTGGTTGCGGGAGCGCCTGCAGTCTTGGAGCTTGTGGTCCTGGTGCCCGCAGTCTTGGAGCCGTGAGAAGCTCCAGAGCCGCCGTTGGGTCGGCGTCGGACCCTGGGAACCTTGATCGGTTTGTTGCTCTCTCGGTGGGCCTTGGCGCTGGGCTCGGTCTGTCAATGAAGCAAGTGACAGGATCAGTGACAGCGGTGGTGTGGTGTGTGGGTGCTGACGTGTGAATGACATGGGCGGTGATGTGGCGGTATCGCGATGCGTGGGCAATGTCATGGTGATCCCAGCAAACTCACGCAGTCCTGGGTCGCTTCTTGGTGCAGGTGCATGGTTCACCGACTCACCTCGTCGTCGGATGGCTGTGGGTCCGGTGTCTGGCGGAAACCAGAGTCGTAGGCCTTTGGTCCAGTTGGAGCCGAGTCGGACGAGCGAGCAGACTGGGCAGGGCGGGTGGACTGGGCAGGGCGGGTGGACTGGGTGAAGCCGGCAAAGCCAGTGTGAGCAGTGAAGCCGTTGGGGTTTCTCGAGTCATCGTTGGGCGGTGGAGTCGATGGCCGAGGGATCGACGGTTGTGTGGCCTCAGGGCGTGCTGTCGATGTTGTGGCCGATGTGTCCGCCGTCGGCGCCGAGGCAGAGACACCATTTGGCTCACCACCAGGCAGGCGAGAGGACGCTTGAGGCTTAGTCTGGACATCAGGGACCGAGCTGGAGGTGGCAGTCGGCAGGTCGGGCCGGCTCTCTGTCGCCATTGATTCGTCGGGGTCCGACTTGGCGGCATCGCTGTCCATCCACATCACACACATTCTGCCGATCCAAAATAGTGCTGCCACCTGAACCACATATAGAATCTGGATAGATGGCACCGGCAGCACGGATGGGCGGCAAGGGCAGCACGGATGGGCGGCAAGGGCAGCACGGATGGGCGGCAAGGGCAGCACGGATGGGCGGCAAGGGCAGCACGGATGGGCGGCAAGGGCAGCACGGATGGGCGGCATTCAAGTGTCAGTCCAAGAAGCAAGCCACAATCGCCTCGCCATGCACGGTGCATATCACGGCACTTGCTCCCACCCCAATCGCAGACTCACCGTCTTGACCGAGTCACACACGCTATCGATCCAGCTGTTGCGCGACGCAGGGATATGGGCCGGGGAGGCTTGGGACTGTGCAGCGCAATGCGGGTGGTTGGGGCAACGGACAAATGGGCGCAGCCAGAGAGAGGAGTCAGTGGCGGTCCGTGCGTTGGACCAAGGGGGCGAGCAGAGCACGGCATGTGCGATGTGCGATGTGCGATGTGCGATGTGCGATGTGCGATGTGCGATGTGTGATGTGCGATGTGCGATGTGCGATGTGCGATGTGCGATGTGCGATGTGCGATGTGCGATGTGCGATGTGCGATGTGGCGCATGGTCCAGTCCTGACAATCAGGCACACGACAGCCGGCAGGGGCGACACTGCCGCGTCGATTGCCGTCTCCGACACCAGGGACCACATACCATCTCGGTCTCGGGAGGGGACTGCAGAATCATGTCGTGGAAGTGGGTCTGGCGTCGAGTGCATCGAGAGTCAGCAAGCTACGACAAACCGTGGTGGCCCAGTGAGGTGTGGCTGCGAGTGACAGTCGAGTTTGGCAAGCCGCATTGCAGCCTGGCCGGGACAGAAGGAGCAGATCCATGTCCAACTCGCAACCGAGCCACGATCGGGTGCCAGCACGTGCGTCAACCAACTCACCAGTGTGGGATCCTGAGGATGGTGTGCAGACACGAGGGTCAGACACGAGGTCCAGACACGAGCCAGCGACCGAGTGTTGGAGGTGGAGATGGGTGCGTCAGCATCGAGCCAGTGGCAGCAGGGAACGCGGTGAGTCGCTCGTATCGAGTTGGCGCTGCACGGACATCCTTGGCCACATCAGATCGCTCCCGATGAGATCTCGCTCTCGATCAAACCGACGACCCGATCCAATCGCATCCCACTCTGACGGTGTGTCGGCGAGACACTCGGTTGCCGCCTACCAGCTTGTCGATGAGCAAGAGCTCACGGAGGAGAATCCTGAGACGTTTGTCCTTTGCACGGATGTCCTGGTGAGAGACGACGAGAGTGCGGGAGAAGGGCTTGAGCACATGAACAGCAGCAATCTGTTGCAGGAACAGCAGCGACTGTCGCAGGAACAGCAGCGACTATCGCAGGAACAGGAACAAACCTCACACCACATCAAGCCACACTCACCTTGGCCAGCCGGTCGATCTCGTCCTCAAGTTGCTCACGGATAGACTGTTGGGTCTCCATGGTCTGCCAGGGCCGAAATGCGCCAGTCGGTGCGAGTGAGTCAGCCGTGTCGAGTGAGTCAGCCGTGTCGAGTGAGTCAGCCGTGTCGAGTGAGTCAGCCGTGTCGAGTGAGTCAGCCGTGTCGAGTGAGCCAAATGGGCCAAGTCAAATGCATCCGACAAGACAGGTGGATCAGTGGATCAGGTGGATCAGGTGGATCCTCGGAACTTGCCTTGACCCAAGCGAGCACGAATCTCTCGTGGTTGTCTGAAGACTCGGTCGTAACAGGCGGAGCAGAGGCAGCAGGAGGCACTTTGGTGGCAGGAGGGGCTACAAGGGGAGCCTTGGCTCCGAGGGGGGCAGGAGCGGCGTGGGTGGCAGGAGAGACAGGTGTGGCAGGAGAGACCGGTGTGGCAGGAGAGACAGGGGTGGCCGGAGCCGCAGAGGTTTGCTGATGCCCAGACCGCAGGAGACGGGGTGTGAGTGTGAGTGTGAGTGTGAGTTGAGTGTGAGTGTGAGTGTGAGTTGAGTGTGAGTGTGAGTGTGAGTGTGAGTTGAGTGTGAGTTGAGTGTGAGTGTCCGGCGTTGCAGTTGCAGTGCCATCAGACTCACCGCATCGGTATTGGCATTTGTGTTAGAATCAATCAGAGTGCCGCGCGGGTCGGTCCACGCAAGCTGCTGGGATCCCAGTCATACATCAGCGTCAGTGCACATCGCTGCACACCCATGCACCCATGCACCCATGCACCCATGCACCCATGCACCCATGCACCCATGCACCCATGCACCCACGCACATCACTCCTCATCATGCACCCAAACATGCACCCAAACATGCCAACTGCACCGATTCAACCATGCAATCCAAGGCGTTCCATACAACGCACCTTCGATACAAAGTGGATCTGCTCCCACAGTGTCACCACAAACAGGATGCCAACAAGGAGCTCGACGAGCTTCATCGATGGCGACGCTGAGATGCAAGAAGGCGCTGAGATGCTGGGAGGTGCAGGGATGTCAGAGGAGGAGGAGAAGCGACAGTGATTCGGACAAGAAGCAGTCTGTTTCGACGAGTGGCCGTCGGAGTGGTTGGAGTGGCGAGGTGCGATCGGATCAATGTGAGGGTGATGAGAGTGACGGGAATGGCGGGAGGCTGTGTGGCTACCAAGTTTGCGGAGCATAGGTGCACGAACGTGATGTGCGATGGGTGCGATGGGTGCGATGGGTGCGATGGGTGCGATGGGTGCGATGGGTGCGATGGGTGCGATGGGTGCGATGGGTGCGATGGGTGCGATGGGTGCGATGGTGTGGGGCCGAATGGCAGCCATTGTACAAGCAGAAGGTGCGATGCGAGTGTTCACGGGTTTCCATGGACTGTTACCTTGGCTGCCGGTGGCTTGTGGCGGTCACCGAGATCAAAGGTGCAATTTGAGTGGTCTTGGTGGGTGCTGGACAAGGCGATTCAGAGAGCCAGCAATTCAGAGGAGCAAACAAGTGTGGAAAGCAAGATGCAACTGGGTGGAAAGCGAGATGGCTGCTGTCTGAGGCGAGGAGGCTGCAAGAGGGGAGCGGGAGGAGGGCGAGCGATCGCTGCCCGCCGGTCAAGCACCATTTATACCCGGTCTTGCCGAGGTGCTCGGACTGCCTCCCGCCGGGATCGACTTGATCCCCAACGGCGTTTGCGCGCGGAGTATCCTCGAGGTGTCCTCGGGGTGTTCTCGGGTCCCAGGGTCGCTCTGGCGATTGTCGGGAATCTTCGGGGTGCGCACGCAAGCCACTCCGCCAGCATCCGTGTGGGCATATCTCCGGCATCATCGGCATCATCGGCATCACCGACATCTCGTCGTCCCAAACGCCACCCAGGTTGTGGTTGTGGTATGGATGCTTTGTGATGTACACCCAGTTACCGGGCCGCAGTGCAATCCATGATCGGTTCTGGCAAGGTCAAATGCATGGAGGCGCATCGCGGTTTATCACCGTGCATTGCCGGGCAGCCGAAGCGCCGTGCTGGGAAGCCGGCCAGGGTGCGTGGGAAAGCCGAGGCCGGTGCTGCGCCACCGCCGCCAGCCAGCCCGCCAGCCAGCCAGCCAGCCAGGGAGCTCTTGTTTGTGGGAGAGCGATGGCGGCTTGCGGGCGACTGGCTGGAAGCATGTGAACGGCCGGAAGAACGAATGAGGGTGTGAAGATGGAGGTGGAGGCGGAGATACGGAGATGGAGGTGCTGGGGTGGAGCGGCGTGGTTGCTGGGGTGGTTGCTGGGGTGGAGGATCGAGGTTGGGGGTGGAATGAGGATGATTGCTGGGGTGGAGGATAGAGGGTGGAAGGGGAGCCAGCAAAAGTGGAAGGAGGCCAGCAGAAGTGGAAGGAGGTCAGCAGAAGTGGATGGGTCGCTCATTGATGATGGCCTGATCGATAGATGGACTTTGTGGTGAGGTGATGTTGGATGAGAACGATGCTGGACGAACAATGGTGGATGCGGTGTTCGGTGGCAGTTGTGTGAGCGAGATGTGTCCGGTGGGATGTGTCGGTGCGATGGTCGCTGCCGCAAGGATTGCATCGGCACTCGTGTCTCTCTCCACCAGGCACTCTCACCTCTCCACCAGGCACTCTCACCAATCCACCAGGCACTCTCACCTCTCCACCAGGCACTCTCACCATCACCTCGATCCTCAAAGCACGTCCGAGACACCTCGAGACGCCCGAGGCACCGCACCACCCGACTTGCTTTGTCGCAGCCAACCGAGGCGCCTGTGTTCTCATTTGCCGTCGTGCTCTTCATGCGGCCACGCATCTGCACATTTCCGACGACAACAGGGCGGCGTGCCAGATGCCAGCTACCATCCGCCGCCAAGGCTTTGTCGACACGGCCAATCCCCACCACGATATCTCGACGGTGACTTGAACTGCCGATCCAGGTGGCTGATTGCCGGATGATGGCTGTTGGCTGTTGGGTGGGTGGACCACGGAGAGGTGAGTGGAGCATGAGCAGGTGAGTGGATCATTGGCAGGTGAGTGGATCATGGGCAGAGAAAGTGAAGTCGTGCGGACACCAGAGTGCTCTGATCAAGACAGTAACGGTGATTGTGATGGATACGGTTCCTGATCGCCGCCATCAGTCATCTCCTCCGTCGAGCGACATTTGCTGTCTGACTCACTGACTGAGTCACAACCGAACTCGCTCTTTGATTCACCACTAGACTTGCTGGATGACCGATCGACCCTCACTGATCCAACGTCATCGGTTGGTCCACAGAATGACTCAGCCAAGTCCAGATCCAGATCTGACCTTCCAGACTCTCGATCCTTGCAACTGCACCCGCTGTCGGCTCAGCCATCCAAGATCCTTGCTGGCCAGCGATCACAGGTACCGGTATTGTCGGGTAGCGACCGCACCCGGAACCGAGACCCGTGGGAAGCAGCCGCCGACCCCGTCCGATGTGCTCATCCACATCCACATCCACATCCACATCCACATCCACATCCACATCCACATCCACATCCACATCCACAACACCATCGGTGCAGTCACCCTCGAGGCCATCCAGCTGAGATCAGAGTCGATCGTCGCAGCGCCGACCGAGCCACCCACAGCGTCTCGCAATCGGACCGGATCGGTGGCTTGGCTGTTGGTGGCTTGGCAGTTTGGCGTGGCGGCTGTGGTGGAATGACAGCCTGGCTCGAACGGGATGGAGCCGGCTGCACCCGTGCAATGGGCCGCTGTGGGTGCACCGCCTCCGTTGCTGCTTCGCCTTCAACCCAAACTCAATCTGCCCCTCGTCTCCCTCCACCTTCGATATTTTCATCCACTTCCATATTCCCCTCACCTCATGGCCGCAGCCGGAGCCGCAATTGAGATTGTCGTCAGCGAGGCTGTGGACGAGCAGCTCCACCCCTCCGAGCACCTTGATGCCTCTTATGACCCCACCTCGTCCAACCTCGGCTTGCACCCTGACCCCTCTGGCGACGGCGAGCTCGACGAGTCAACCCCGCTTCTTGGCAACATGAAAAGGTGCCACACCAACATCCGAGAGACCAGTGCGCCTCTTCTGCTGCAAATGGGCTGTGTGGCTCCTTCTCTGTCCTCCTGCTGAGACTGCGTCTTTACCCTCCCTGTCTGTCCACATCAGCTCCAAATCATCGGAGAGCTTCCTCAGCGCCATCAGCGACCCGTTCGGCAGCATCACGCCCGAACTCCTCGCCGAGGGAGACGACCTCGACAAAGAGAATAACATCATCCATCTTAACAACAACCCGCGCTGGAAGAAGCAGCTCCGGATCATTGTCAACAACCAGCCGCAGAATCTGCCTGGAACGGCCCTGCGATGGTTCTTCACAATCGTCCTTCTGCTCTCCATCGTCATCCTCGTCCTCGGAACCGAGGCCCAATATGCCCAGTACAAGCTGGCCATCTTCCTTGTCAACGTTTTTTGCGTCCTCGTCTTTTCCATGGAAATCGCCCTGGAATTCTATGTCGCCCCCTCCTGGTCGAGCCTGAACCACTTCATGACCTACATTGATCTGTCTGCCACGATCCCCTTCTACATCGAGGTGCTCATATGCCTCGGTTCTGGACAGAGCCTCATTGACGGAACCACCGCCATCAGCGGGCTCGCTGCCCTGCGTATCCTGCGTGTATTCCGCGTTTTCCGCCTCCTGAAGCTGTTTGAGCGATCCGATGAGGTATGCCTCGCCTCACCATTGCTGAACTTGGTCAGCTGTTTGCTCTCTGTGGCCTTCAATCCAGGCACTCTTGAGCCTGAAACGCACCATATTGCTCACTGGTGCCCCACTGGCGCCTCGCTGGTGCCTCATTGGTGCCTCGCTGGTGCATCTGCCTTCCACTGGCCCTAATTGCTACGTGTGTATTCTTGTAGCTGTTGCTGCTCGTCAAGGCTCTTCAGGCATCCTCCAACGGTAGGTTCCGTCAAATGTCGCCGCAATATCCCAATACTCAGAGGCGGGCGCCATTCCAAATACCTTTTGATGTGTGCTCGACTGACTGGTTGGAACAACTCTTCCGCTCCAGGCATTGTGGCTCTTTTGATCACGCTGCCGTTGCTGGTGACGTTCTTTGGAACACTCCTCTACTATGCAGAGCAGACGAACGAATACTATGAGAACGGGGTGAGTGCCGAGATCAGACCAAAGTCACAGTATCACATCCTCGAAAGCAACACCCTCTGCCTATGATGCTGGACTGGACCGCCGTCGTGCTCACATGCCTCCGTTCGGCACTCTTCAGAAATGGTACTATTATGACGACAAGTCGCTCTCGCCCTTCCAGTCGATTCCAGATGCCTTTTGGCAGATCATTGTCACTTTGACCACTGTGGTGAGCATCTCGACGACGAGCATAGCATCTACTCTTGGCGGCGGCGATCTCGGATACCCCCCATGGCAAATACTGACACCGTCTGCTGCCTGGATCCGCTTGTACTGTCTGCGAACCATACATTCGAACATTCAAGGGGTAGGTCTTCCTCATCGCTCGCCGAGCTGCTTTACTCAGATTCGGGACTCACATTCTCTTTATCGTCAATCCTGCTGCTCCGACCGCGCAATAGATACGGTGATGTCGTCCCTCGCACCCTCGCCGGCCGCTTCGTGAGCGTTGCCACCATGGTTGTGGCGCTGTTTGTGATGGCCTATCCCTTGACGATCATCACCATGCACTACTCCAATGTCGTTACGCAGCACGAAAATGCCATCAAGCGCCGCCAGAAACGCCAGCAAGCGCTCCAAGCTGGAGTGCAAAGGGACGCTCGCGGCAGAAGCAAGTCTAGAGAGCGCGGTTTGGAGGTTGAATATCCCGACTCTCCCCAAGATGGACCGCAGGTCGCTGCTGTCGGCCGAGACATTGTCAGCATTATGCGAAACCGCAAGGAGCCTTCGGTCGACTACAGCTCGCTTCTGGACGAGCTGCATCGAACTTCGACACCGAGCCAGGTCCAGCTCGTGGAAATCAAGCGAGACGAGCTCGACCTGTCACAGGTATCGGTTCGGGTCAAGGTCAAGAGCGACGAGCAGTTCCGCAAAATTCTGCAGCTCCTGTCTCAGATTGAGTGACAGCATCTTGCAACAGTGCGCTCTTGCACTCCTTCCTGAATGTATCGACGGCACTCGGCGTCATATTTTGCTTCCGATTATTCTTCTTCTTTTATCGTGCCCGTGTTTAGGCTCTCGCCTGTATTCCCAGTCTACGCTTTTGCTATCATCCCGGTCGGTGTCGTGAGTGACGAGATCAGCATTGCCTCTCCTCTCTCTCTATTCGTTAATGAATACAGTCAAACCAGAAAGTTATGTGGCGGTATTCCGTTTCCCTGGCATCAGAAGCCCGAAGCCTGTTGATCACCTCCACGCTGCTGTGGACAGGGCATGCGATTGTTTCTGGTCCTGGCTGGCAATCTCTTTGCTTTGGTTGGTTTGGGAGAATCGTCTTGAACACACTCGGTCGATCTCCCGTGGTGACGATCGACTGGCATTGATGTCGTGATGTGGGAATGTGGTGAATGCACTTGATGTGGGAATGTGGTGGATGTACTCGATCCTCTGGATAGCTCAATGATATCGCGATATCAAGGCACTCGGTCTTCTCGAGTTGCTTGGCCTCTAGGCGCCGTGGGCACACCGTTTGGTCATGGTAGAGATGGGCGAGTGTGTATTTAGGACCAGAAATCAACGACAGCTCTGACTCAAACAGGTGTCCCGTTCCAAATGGGTACGCTATATCTTTGTTGATTTGGATGACGCATGGGCTCTGACTGCACAGTGCATAATTGATTTGGACAAATTGCATCGTCCAACGGTACGGGCACCCTTCTGATTCACTCCTTGCAGTCGATAATGCCACCCTCCGAGATCTGGTACACTGAACAGGATTTGCGGATCAAAACAACGATAGGACTGCTTCCGCATGGGCCCAAACGCCAGAGGCACACCAAACCCTCGGCTGCTGCTCACCTGCCTCGGCCTCGGGCACGTCGGGCGAGTCGTAGATCTTGCAGATGCGACTCTCTCCTCGACCCTTTCGAAGATACAGGCGGGTGGTGGAGGCATGGGCCAGAACATGGCCGCCAATGGGCTTCTTTGGGTCGGCCATGAAAGTCATTCCGGCACCAGGATCCGAGCACATCTGTGGGAATTGGGGAGGCCCACCAGAGCGGACTGGTGAGAACAACGAAGCACCAGACCGGGTCGCAGAAGAATGGCAATATGCAGCCGTAACAACCACAAAAGTCGAAGCTCGGCCGTCGGGCGCTCTCTCTCGGCCGCCCACCTGGTTTGTGATCCAGACGGCGATATTGAACTGTTCTGCAATCTTCATAAGGACGGAGAGCATGCCGTTTAGCTTCTGCTGGCGCTCGGCCAGCTCTCCTCTCCCACTGTAGTCGGTCCGGAAGAGGGCGATGATGGAGTCGATGACCAGGAGCCTATAACTGCGCTCGTCAGCCATCCTCCCGGCGATCTCGAGAAGGAGATCCAGCTGCTGTTCGCTGTTGTATGCGCGTGCATAGCTGATGTTGTCGAGAGCCGTGTCGCCGTCGACCTGGAATCGGGCTGCAATGGCCTTGATACGATCCGGACGGAAGGTGCCCTCGGTATCGATGAAAGCGACCTTTTGGCGACGGTGTCCAGGCAGAGCGCATCAGCAAGGGAAGGGGCTACATGCTTGATTTGATCGTGCCCACCATCCGAGCGGTCATGTCAAGAAATACCTTGCCGTTACCTCCCCCCATAGCGACCGGGAGCTGGGCCACCACAGATCTGGATGTGCGGGATCGGATTGAACAGAGTGAGAGCGGGCAAGTACAGACCCAGGCGGACTACTGCCATGCTCGGCTGGCGTACATTGTGTGTGAAAGCTGAGTCTTGCCTGTGCGGAACTCGCCAAAGGCTTCTGTGATGGACATGCTTTGAACCCCGCCGCCGAGCAGCTTGTCAAGCTCCTTGCTTCCAGTCGATATTCGGATGACGTGGCGACGCTTCTCGGCAAACTCTACGCCTGTAATGAAGCCACACGGCACCAATTTATTCGCGGCCTCCTTGATTTTTTCGACCTTGGCTTCGGACATGCCCTTGACCTTGCACAGGTTGCGCTATGCATCCACAACAGAAGGCAGCAGACGGTGAGCCAGTCGCTTGCAATATGAGTCAACGAACGAGTCACCGCTGTTGAGTGCGAGGGTCGAAGGACGAGAGGCGAGGAGCGAGGGGCAGCATGCTCACCATGGTCGTCATTTGTACAGCGCGGATGGATGCGATGCCATTTGCCTTGAGCTTGGAGATGTCGGCCATCCCAATGCCTACATCCTGGAGCTTCTCTATTTCCATGAAATCCTGTACCGGTTTGTATCAGCAGCCGGAGCCGACAGCGTCTCGGCAGAGGATCGCTCGGGTTGCGCACACTCAAGACGACTTACCGGAATCTAACCGCACGAGGCATCATCAATGCAATCCGACGTCAGGAGTACACAGGAATGAGCGACGGTGTTGGATAAGTGGATGTAATTTATGTAAATCAAGATGTGGGAGAGAAAACTGTCGTTGAGCCATCCAGAGAGACAGCAGTCGAGTGGAAAGGGGGAAGATCAGCCATGCACGACGACCTCAACAGCCTCAGCTTCCTCTTCCTGGCTATCGTAGCCAACATCGGGTGCAATCTGGTCGGTCATTCTTGGTGCTCGTTGCTGAGCCAGGGTTGAACGAGAGTGGAAGGCAAGAGCAACAGAAATCAAGGGCTCTTTATGCAGTGGGCATGGATGAATGACTCAATGAGAGAAGCCACGGCTGACGCACACTGATGAAAGCTGTGAGGATTTCACGGTTCGCAGCGGATCGTTCATAGCGATCCTTTCGCTGCATCTGATCCCACCAGTAAGTCGGCCATATTGGCCCCATATGTATCATGATACGGACTGCACACCCAATCGACTCGCTCATCCCATATTGATATCGAGAGCCCTCAGTTGGGTGCGGAGCTGTGAACATGCTGGAATTCATGAATCATGCTCCCGCACCTGGATCCAGTACATCGCAGACGCCCTTGGATAGGGTGGATATGTGGGTAGACCGACCCTCTGCAAGAGCATCCAAAAGACGGAGAGGGCATTGGGCCAGAAACTGCGTCTCGTCTCATTCTGCGTGCGCTTCGATGCAAGACGAGTCCATCTCCCTCCGCAATGTGAACACGGTTTCAAGTTACTTTAGATTTGTCGCCTCGAGGGCAGGTTGGCTGAGCCAAGCAATTCAAAAACGTGCCCCTTGGGCTTTCAAAATACTACAAAACTGCCAAAATTGAAGCTTATGGATATGAGGCGGAAGCGACGCAGTCAATGCATCCGCTGGCCGTCCCCAAGCCATGCCTTGGGATAGCGGAATGATGGAGAGAGGGTGATGGACGTGAAAGAGTCGAGCGGGCCAATCAGGCAACCACGAGCGCGAGATTAACCTAGAGATCGATATAGCGGTCGACAAACTCCCAGTCGTCCTCGACAGCGACGTCCAGGATCTCGGCAAAGTCGTCGGCATTGTCCCAGTCGACCTCGCCAAAGCAAAACTGAGAAAGATCATCGTCCGATTCAGAGTCCGAGTCGGTGATTGGGATACAGAGTGTTGGCACGACGGAGAGCGACTCCAGACTGGGCGAGAGCAGGTCGGATGAGATGGCGAAGGACATGTCGGGCGACAAAAGTTGCGTGCTCGAGCCGAGCAACGAGTCCGAGAGCCGCTCGTCATCCGGATCCGCTGGATCATCAATGTACTTTGACAGCGCCGCCTCTATCCGCAGATGCAGATCGTCTGGCGTGTCATAGACGGGAGAGCGCTCGGGCTCTGGCACAACAGGGTATTCGACGGGCACCACCCTCGATTCAGATCGATAGGCAGGTGGCTTGTGACAAGAATGCGGATGCTCAGATGCAGGCACGATCCCGTGCATAAATGAAGCGTCCCAGCGTGCTCTCCATGGGCTGAATTGGCCGACGATGTCGGCCGAATTCAATGCCGGTGGTGGATAGAGCGCTGGCTTGGTGGGGCTCGTGAAGACCGAGCGGGACCACATCAAGTCTTCGAGCGCGTCGTAGAGTGAGCGGCTAGGGGTATGCCAGGGCTCGGCCTTTGAACAGAACGTGGATTCCTGTCGCGGGTTGACCGAGCGAAAAGTATGAGCACGGCAGGATCGGGAGCCAGCAGAGCAGGCAAGAAGGTTGACTTTGGCGGGGGGGATGCATGCAACCGGAGCTATCTAGGGCGGCTCCTCTTTCCCCCATTCACTCGGCCGAAACCCTCGACTCCAAGGGCTTACCTGGTGCAGCGGTCGAGCCCCCGAGCCACAGGTGTCGGAAAGATTCAGGTGCGAGGAAGTATGGTATGGATCGAAGGGGTTGTGGCTCGCCATGACGGACGGCCTTTGCTTCGGCGGTGAACGCACAGGGTGGTGTGGCTTTCCCCTGCTGTTCATATGGATTTTTATGGGGTAGGTTGACTCGGAAGTCATGACTCTGCTGGAGGGAGCGGAGCGGAGGGGACACCACAGCAGCCACAGCGATGGGGGGTGGTGAAGTGATAGAAGGAATGGATATGGTAGTTCCGGGGTCAGTGATGTTCACCAGCCATCAACGACAAATCCGTCGAGCCGCCTAGCTGGTTGGGATGCGGATGGCAAGATCGCTGCTGCAGCCCAACCGACTGAACAGCATGTCTCGGGCCCTCGCCGACCGAAGCGGCAAGAGCGGCGAATGCATTGATCCATACGTTGCAGGGTGAGAGGAGGCAAGGAGATGGGTTGGACGGACGGGCGGCCGCCCTCTATGGGGATACTCTATGAGGAGGTGCAGTTTCTGGCCTTCTCTTCAGAACGACGGATGCGTATCTCGACGACGGGGCGGGAGAGGAGGAAACGGGATGCGACGGAAGCGGAGGGCAAGAGGGCTATTTAACGGGCCGATTGGGTCCGAGATAGGCACCGGCCGCGTCATGTGCCCTATTGTCGCAACAGGCGGCTCGCCGTGTCTGGGCGGCCCAGGCGCACCCCCCGACTGTCCCGCCGACGACGTGGAGGCCGTTGGCGTTGGTGCTGGGTGCTTTGGCCAAGCAGCAGCAGCCGTCTGTCTGCCGGACCTGCTGCATCGGGTATAGCCAGTCGATCTCATCCGATCCCATCTGATCCCATCTGATCCCATCTGATCTCCCCGCCCGGTTCGACGCTCCGTCGATCGATCCCAACTCACTGGTCCCCCGGGCAAGCCGTATCAGTCGCCCCGGCATCCAAACAACCAGCAGCGCAGCCGAGTCACCCAACACCGCAGGACTGCGCATCCCCGACAAACTCCGACATCTCAGCCCGTGTGACACGATGCCACATCCACCATGGCGGACGACGATGGCGCAATGCGCGGGCGGATTGGGCGGTACGAGGCCCGGCGTTGATTGGGTGGGCGGGGGGCGACGACGCCGATTGGACGGCGATGCGAGGGCGGCTGTGGCGATGCGCCAACCAAAGGATGCAACGATGCAACGATGCAACGATGCAACGATGCAACGATGCAACGATGCAACGATGCAACGATGCAGCGATGCAGCGATGTAATGACGCAAGCAGATGCAGCCAATCCCATAAGAACCATATCGCCAAACCAATGGGACACATCGATCATACCACCCACCCGGCCGACAACAGTCCAGTGGGTGGAAGGGGTTTCTTTGGGCATCATTCCATCCACATCGAGTGCGTCTTTGCGTCATGTTCTCCCTTGGTGTTGAGCAGTCCCCCATCCGTCGCTACACCGTGGTGCATCAATCCCAGCGCAACACGAGCATCGTGTCTTGGGGTGGGTGTCCTTGACTTGTATTGGAGTATCCCGGTTCAGACAACGTCCGGGATCGGATAGTGCGCCGCAAAAGTGACCCCCTCGATCCCATAGAACACAACATCGATCTGTCCGTCCTTGAACCGGGGCGGCCGCGTGTCCGCTGGCTGTTCGACATCCTCGCCCTTGGCGGTTTCGGGCTGGGCGGCTCGAGACCCAGCATTCGAGCGGGACGACAGTGACGATACCGCACTTGTGCCCCGCGACTCAGTTGAGCCAAGGGTCAGGGCTCCCACCCGGTTGTTGGCTCTCGCTCGCGGCTGGACAGCCCGGAAGATGCCAACACGGTTTCCAAAAGCAGAGCCGATCTTTTCCAGCAGTTGCTTCTGGCCCGGAATCGGTTTGCTGTCCGTGGAGCCGATACAGCAGTTCGATACAGAACCACCAACAAGACGTGCGAATGCCTGTGGCGACAACACGCCGTTTGATACACACAAGAGCTCGTCAGTGTTTATCGAGAAGGGCATCGTATCTGTGGGGCAGTGAGGTCCAGTTGGCAATGCAGCAGACCCAGCATCGGCTTGCTTCAAGTGAAGCGCATTCTGTCCACAAAGAGACACTTACATCGCATGCTTCGGTACTCCACTCGTTCCCCCACAGCGTCAGAAACTGCAGCGTTGTATTGCGGGCCAAACCCTCAGCGAGGAGCACCAATCCCTTGCCATTGATGGCGTTGTGATCAAGATACAGACTGCAGGAGAGAGGGGCGAAAGTGGTGTGAAAGGAGAGGATGAAGAAGAAACGTGAGCCTGATAGACATTGGTTCGCCGGCCATTCGTTGTGAATGTATATTGCTGCATACACGGCGCCAGTAGCCCATGACTAACCACGATCCGGAAAATGCGGCGCCTGCTTCTCTCGAGCATCGAGAGTGTACGTATCCAACCACACGGCCCAGCCTGTCCTCGCAGTCTTACTTGACAAGGCAGGTGTTGTTCAAGAGCATGTTCGACACTGCCTCGGCGCCCTCGTTCTGTATGCAGTTGCAGCTCAGCTTGAGGGTGCGGATTGAGGGATGGCCGTAGAGTGCCCGACAGAGGGCCACGCTTCCGTCTCGAGTGATCTTGTTGCTGTGCAAGCGATCCGCGAGCAAACGAATGAACGAATGAACAAATGAACGAATGAACGAATGAACGAATGAACGAATGAACGAAATATGCACCAACAGCGACAGGAGTAAGCCGCGCTGCAGTCCAGAGGCGAGAGGCATGGCATTTGATATCTCGAAGCAAGACGCAAGCCGACAAGGACGTCTCCAAAGGCTGTTCATCAGCCTCCATTCGGCAGAACCGATTCCTTATCGATCTTTAGCCGTGCTCTGCTGGATTCCATATGCGCTCGAGTATGAGACCCACCTGCACAGATCCAATATCACGAGTGTGCTGTTGTTCATGATTGTGTTGGCAAAGGTGTCCACCATGGCCCAGTCCGTGATTCCAAACTTCTTGAGCCCCAAGCGCGAGATGGTGTGGTTAAGCCGAAGCATCTTGGACATGTGGATCATGATGTCGTTTTGAACCGTCTGGGTCAGGCTCGCAGAGTGGCAGAGGTTGTTGGAGATGTTGAGGAACGAGCAAGTGTTGTTGTTCTGCAGCACTGTGAAGAGGGAGATGAAGGATGTGGCCCGTAGGTCGCATCCGTCAATGTGCAGGCGATGTATTGCGGTGTTGACCTGCTCGACAGAAGCGAGAGCGTCGGAGCAGGCGTCAGAAGCATTGGCTGCTTGCTCGAGTGATGTGGCAGTCTCGTTTGGGTAATGCTGAGCAAGCAGGCCGCTGCTCGGGAAATTTCCGGCTCACCTGGAGCGTGCCGGCAAACTCGAGACCCGCAAAGTCCCCGATCCCGTTGTCGCCAATGTCCAGCTCTGTCAGGGTCAAGTTTATCTGCAAGGCCTTGGCGAGCGCCACGCCGCCCTGGGACTTGATCTCGTTGGCTCTGAGATTGATCCAGACCAGATACTTGTCGTCCTGGAGATTTGAATAGGAAAGCATCCCCCCCGCCACGCGAAACACCACCACCCGCCACGCTGATTAGAGGTGACTCTTTGGAAGCCACTCCTTTGCTTCCGTCTGTTCGTTACCACCTCTCCATTTGCCGAGCGTCCGTTTCATGGCTTGGAACGTGAAGACTCGTTCCTCTCGCTCGTGCATTCGCAGACCGTGCAGCCACGCTCCACACCGAAACCGACCTTCAGAAAGTGGGCGAGATTTGTGGCACCCTGGTCACCGATGTTGTTGTAAGACAAATTGAGCTTTCGCAGGAAATCGATACCTCGCATCGGCGTCAGCAGAATGTCCAGGTAATCGTCGTTGACGCGGGTGTATCTGAGCTCGGTGGTGTTGCCCGAGAGATCAAAGGTATCGGGAAGATTCCTGGATCGTTTGGAGGTGCACAAAGCCGTAAGGATCCACAACTTTCAGGTCGAGGTCGAGTGAAGGGCGACGGTAGTATCATTGTCTATCAGGTTGGCGCGAGTACAGGGTCGAAAGTGGTGGGAGCGTCATCGGCAGGAAGCAGACGGAGACAGGAGATGGGAACAGGGCTCGATCTATTCGCCGTTTCGATTCGCCCCGAAACGAGTTGGTGTGTGCTCGAGAACCGAGACAACCGCTGCGGTGTGCAAAAGCCATCCATATGTGCAGCAGCAGAAGCGCGATCCGGACGCAATGGAAAAACGTGATGGAAACGCCGTGGGATTGCGAATGATATATGGCAGGGGTGTGGTGAAAATGCGACGGAAAATACGATAGAAATGCCGAGCAACTCAACAACCCCGGTATTCTTGTGCTTTCACTTGCGTCTTTCCCGCCGGCACCGGGAATACCTACCCGCCATCGATGGCGTGCTCCAGATCGCGTTTGATGGATGAAACCACAAAGGTGTTTCTCTTGTCGCAAAGGCTGCTGTAGGCATCCAAGTAATCGATCACCTGCATCGAGTTGTTGGCTAGGTTGCTTGCCATTGCAGCGAGTGGAGGGGAGGGGAAGAGGGATGGTTGTTGGAGGTTAGCTGCGAAGGAGTGCGCTGATCGTGTTCGCCTCGGGCGGTCGGGTGATTGTTGTTGAAGAGGCTTGATGCCAACTCGGTCCGCAGCGATGGTAAAATTGGGGGAGGGCACCACTGATTTGGGCGCAATGAATCACCACCGCACAGACATACAGTCTTGTGTGGATTGAATGATGTTGATCGGTCTGGCTGGGCGGCATCGATTGGCCGTTGTGAGATACACCGATTCTGCCCTTTGCGTCTTCCTCCCTGATTCCAGGCATGGCCTCTTGTCCTGACTTGGAGTGTCTGCATTTGCGGAGACTCGCTGGTCGTGGCCCTGGTCGTGGCCCTGGTCATGCCCACCAACATAAGACCGGACTGGCCGCGAGAAATAGTGTTCCTGAGTGTGCCTCACATCAACTACCGCTTCTGTCACAATGCTCTGTAAGCTCAAGTGGGGTTACTCGATGAGCCTGAATCTCTGCGGGCTTGTTGTCGTCATTCTTCGAAGATCTGTATTTGTATATTCCCAAGACCGTACGGACAGGACAAGGGCAGGCAGGCAGCATAAAAATACGACCGAATCGCTCGGACATCAAGCCCAGTAGCGGTGTGGTTGGTCGGCATAGACCAGAAATGGCGGCAAGAGAAATGAGACCCTTGGAAATTAGAGGGTGGGTGGGAAGGTCCGGCCAAGGATCGTGGACGAGATACGAGGGTCTAGGGGGGGGGAGCACGTCTTTTACAGGCAATCCAATAAAAAACGGGACACCCGGGATTTTGACCATTCATCGAATATTTTGTTACCCAATGTTATCGCGCGCTGGCCATGACCATTCGCCGGACAGTGTGGAATCGCGACGTCAATGCGGCGCGCAACATGATCACAGTATGCAGGTCGATTGTGGAGATCGGAGAGCGACCGGCGGTCTTCACTCGGAGGCTGCCAAAGTGATCTGTTTTATTTCTTGTGGCTTTGCTTGTAGGGAAACGGGCGGAGGTAGTCGAGTCTCAGCAGAATAGGAACGAAAGACGAGTGATGGAGGACGGATGAGATTTGAGAAAAGTGGAGGTTTGTGCAGCCAAGACGAGTCAAGTTAGAGACGCTCGCGATTTGCTCAGAGCTTATTGAAGATCTTGCTAAAGTCGTACTGGGCCTGGGTGATGCCGGAGGCGCCAACGTTATCGCGGTTGCTGCTCCACATGCGGATGCCGTTGATGTAGGAAGTCTGCTGGGCAAAGGTAAGAACCTCCTGAGCATTGGCGAGGGTGAAGATCTCATCCTTCAGGTCGTTGACGCCGATCATGGGGGTGATGGCGATCGAAGGGTTGGCAACGCCAGCCTGCTTGGCCTGGGCATAGGTGGACTTGGCCGAGCTGATGGAGTAGTCTGAGAAGAGGGGCGGTGGCAAGTTGAGGAGAGTTGAGTGCATGGACAGCAAAGCGAGCAGCATTCATCCAGATATGGCACGCAAATAGCGACAACAGGCGGCGGGTTCGCTCCGAGACTTACCACCCATGCCGGTGGCACCGTTGGGGGCGCTGTAGCTGCCAAAGTCCATGGTCATGATGTTGATCGAGTCGATGTTGACGCCGGCTTTGACGGCCGAGGTCAGGAGGTAGATGGCGTTGTTGTCGAGGCCGGTGGGGAGGACAGGCAGGGTGTACGAGACCTTGATGTGGGGACGTTCCTTCTGGATGGTGGCGAGGACGGCATTGCGACGGTCGATGGCAGAGGTATCGGCAACGGCACCGCCTTCGATGTCAAAGTCGATGTAGGTGGCGTTGAACTGATCAATGGTAGAATAGTAGGTGGTCTTGAGCTGGTTGGCGTCGGTGATGTCGTGGGCGAGCTCGACACCGACGGCGCCGCCGAAACTGAGGATGATATCGCCGCCAACAGCACGAAGGGCCTGGACCTTGTCGTCGAACCACTGCTGCTCAAGGGGATAGCCGGCGACATAGGGCTTGCCGCCCTGGGAGACGACAAAGGCCAGAGTGAAGACACGGACACCGGTGGCAGTCGAGGCAGCGGCCAGGTCGTAGGGGGGCCAGAGACCGACATCGACGTAGGGGGCAAAGAGCTTTCCAGAGACGGGCAGGGACGTGGGAGTGGAAACGCTCGAGGTGGCCTTGGTGGTCTTGGTGGTGGCCTTGGCGGTGGTAGTGGTGGTGGTGGTGGTGGTGGTGGTGGTGGTGGTGGTGGTAGTCTTGGTCTTCTTGGTCTTGGTGGCCTTGGTCTTGGTGGTCTTGGTTTTGGCGGGCTTGGTGGTAGTCGTCTTCTTGGCCTTGGTTGTTTTCGACGCAGGCTTCTTGGGCTGCAAGACCTTGTGCTGGCGGGCCTGGATGTTGACCAGCTGAGCAAACCGAGTGCTGTCGGTCGAAGGAGCGCCCTCGGCGAGGTGGGGCTGGAGAACAGACCACGACTGACCGTTCTGTTGCAGCGTGCAATAGTGTGTGTTAAAGGCAGAGAAGGATTAGGCAGGGCAGCATCTACAGCAAGCGATGGGGTGGGAGCATGGGCATTCGGCAGCAGCCAGCGGCCCAAGTCAGCGACATGCGCACTTGCGGACGGAACGCTGTGGAAACCAACGCCGGCCCGAGATCGGTGATGTGTCCGTGCAACGTACAAAGTCAACACAGTCGCCGGTGGCGAGCTCGACACCAGCGGTCCAGGGTTTGCAGTTGCGGGCAGGGGAGGCCAGAGCGGCGCTGGCGCCAACGAGGGCAAGGACGATGCTGGAGAGTCTCATTGAGGCGAGCGTTGCGATGAGGGGGTCGGGCAGCAGCGAGGAAGGGGCACGGACGAGGACAGGCGGCAGGAGAAGGGCATCTATATAGGAGCGAGCGGAGGCCTGCGCCGGTGGGTGTTCCCTCGAAGAAGCAAGACATGTTGTTTGGGTGCGCGACGAGGCGGCTTGGACAAGGGCCGTGCGACATGTCGCAGGTCACGAGACAAGGGATGCCGAGCAGGGACGTGATACAGGGCGGCGCCAGCCAACGAGAAGGAGCGAAAACGCAAGAGATTGCGAAGGGGGGGCTTTGGCGGAAGCCATGACGACACAGGACAGAGGGACACGCAGGAGACGCCTTGCCGAGCCGGTGGTGGAAATGCACTTTGAGTGTGTTGGGCGGTACTCGCAGTGGGTGCACCGGTGCGACCAGTGCTGTGCTCTGGGGGTGGAAACGAGAGACTGCACGAGGACATGCGTGTGCTGAGGTGGCTCGACAGTGGCCTTGCTGGCGGAGGCTCTGTCGGTCGAACATCACCAGGATCGATATCGGATTGGCCTGGGCAGGCGCGGAGATGCAGGTGCGGAGATGCAGGTTGCATGGGAGCATTCCTCGGCTGGGGATTAGCGCCTTTGGCAGATGATATGGTTGCTGGTCCCGATTGCGCAAGTGGCCCGCCGCCAATCCAATCGGGCACTCCTCGGGCACTCCTCGGGCACTCCTCGGCTGCTGCGATGGGCAACACAAATGAAAGGGGGGGAATCCGCCAGGGCGCCGGGGGTGGTGCAAACTCGCGGTGAGTTGATGCCGTCCGTATTGCTCGGCCTGGGCAGATGCGGAGATCCAGGCGACAAGCGTGCACATGGCCATGGCCGCCGATGCGTCTCTCTCGTGCAGGGTTTTGCCTGAATGCCGTGCCGCATCCGCAGGCCGGCCGCCGGCGACACCGTTCCCCCACGAACCGATGCCGCCAAGGTTGGGCAGGGGCAACTGTCCTGGTGCCGGCGAGGACGGCTGCGAACAAGAGCGGCCGGCCGCTCTGGTGATGCGTGTGGTTTGGCTGCATCGCCATGGCCGCTGGAGCACCAATGGTGCGATACGGCGACCCATGGCAGGATCGGTCTCGACAGGTCCAGGCCTGGCAGATCTCATCGTCGGCCCAGGGGAGCACCAGGCGACTGCCAACCCAGGAAACCACCGGCCATGACCATCACCAACCAGGCAGCCCGACTTGACGGCCCCGCAGCCACAGACCCGCGCCGGTCGCGGGGCCCGCTCAGGGGCAGCCCAGTCTCCAGGGCGTGTCGCTGTTGGATCGAATGTTCGGCCTGGCGGCTGACCTGGGCTTGACTCACCCACACGCGCGATTCCTTGTGCGCTCGGCGGCTCTGGCGACCACACGGCGCGGCCTGGGCAAGCATACACAGCGCACGGACCCACGCCGGGACGCGCCTGCGCCGCCAGGAGAGCACGTCGACACAGCCCGCGTCGCACAGACCGAGACACGCGCCTCCACAGGGCGGCCGCAGCATGTACCCCGCCACTGGGGCTGACGCGCCCTGAGTCAGAGGCGAGGCGAGTGGCCCCTTGGCCAGGCAGGCGCGCCTTGTTGCTGTTGCGGTTGTTGTGGTCGCTGTTGCTGTTGTGGCCGTTGTTGAGGTGGTGCGCGTCCATGCGGCTGTGCATGCCTGGCCGCCGCCAATGGCAGTGGGTCTTCGTTGCAGGCAGCAGTTCTTTGGCCTGTCTGCTGTCCCCCTGGCGGGCTGGCCGTGTTTTGCGCGCACGCGTCACGGCCGCGCCCATGGCAGACAGTCCACAGCCAGAAAACACTGTGGTGTGTGTGTGTCACCCGCGTCACCAGAAGCCCTGGCGGTGACACAGCGGGCACGCCGACGCGACTCGGGGGCCTGGTTGTCTGCTCATTCGCTCAGCGGCACATATATTTATATATCACACACACACACACACTTCCACACACACTCACACACACACAGCTATTCGCAGACACTTCGCAGACACTTCACAGACACTTCGACACTCGCTCTGGCCCGCTCTCGCTCTCGCTGTCTGGCGTGGGCCCGTGGATCGAAATAGATTACCCGTGGCGCCCACGATAATGCTGCAGGTCTGTTTCGGCTCTGGCTTTCCGACCAGCAACCCCGCGCTGGTGGTCCCTTTCTTGTCTTTTGGCGCCCTCGCTCGAGCCCATAAAACCCTCTCGCTGCCCTCGCGCCGGTCTCGCTCTCCATACTCTCCCAAGTGTTCGCCCTTTGGATCGATTGTAACCCACAACATCACCCTCGACTTTGGTCGAAAGCATCCTCATACCATGTCCCTGCCCAGCGATCCCACCACCCGTCCTCCCTTCTCAGGGTTTACGGCCCCTCCCCGCTCTTCCTCGGCCGCCGCCGGCTGGACTAAACCGTCGTCCTCGGCAAACGCCGGTCTGGCTCCATCATCGGGCTTCTTCCCACAGCCCCTTCCGACACAGACACAGCCCATCCTGGTCCCGCAGAGCCTGAACCCCACGATCATCAATCCCCCGGCCTCGGTGCCGACCTTTGCACTGATCCTCCCGACCCTGGAGCGCTCGATGCAGCATCCCGACCTCGACCTCGGTGCTGCACTGCCGGCCGCCTGGAGCGAGGCCAACCCGATACCCGAGACCATGTCGCTGCCCAACGGCGCCGCCGCCGCCGGTGCTTATCCGTTGTCGGATGGCATGCTCGACTTTACCACCATCATGTCACTGAATCGGTCAGTATCAGTCATCCTCCCGCTGCCTGCGCATCCTCTCCTGGGCTGTGTCGACCTCCTCCCTGGGCTGTGTGCTTGTGCCCCCGATTGCTGTGGTATATCCTGCTCTGGTCCCGCCCTGTCTCCCCATCCTCCAACCGCTCTGGTCCTCTTGCCCTCGCCCTCCCTTCTGTCATGCTTACCCGCCTCTGCTTTCGCCCATCCATCAGGAACGTCACCTTGGCCCACTCAACCGAAGGTCCTGTCTATGTTGCCTCGCCCTTTGCCCAACCCGGCCAGGAGCACTACATCCTCACCGTTCCCTCCGGTGCCATCGGAACAATCCCGTCGCCCACCGGCACTTCGTTCGGCTCGCCGGTCTCGTTCTACAGCAGCCACTCGCCCTCCGTCTCGCCCTCGTCACCCTTCTACGACGGCTCCTTCGAGCACCGGCTCGTAAATTTCCAGGACTCGTTCGCACACGACCACCACAACGGCTCCGTGTCCGACGCCACCCACGATGACCACCTGCACAGCATCAACCTTGGCCACGGCTTCGACTCGTCAATACCGATAGACGACCCCAGCCTGGCGACCTTCCCTTACTCGTCCCCCGACCAAAAAGGCTACCTGATCGCCCAGGACTACTGCTCCACGCCGGATCTGAGATTCCGCCCGAGCCAGCGCTCATCGTCCCGCCGCGAAGACTATGGTCCCTACCCTGGCCTCCAGGGCCGCACCCGGAGCATCTCGCCCAACCAGCGGCTCTCTCCCTCCCAGCTCTCCTCGCGCAACACTTCGCCGGCGCGCTCCGAGTCGTCGCTGCGGGCCGCGACGATGATAAGCGAGAACATGCCGTCGCTCGACTCTCTCGGCGTCCAGGACGGCCTTGGTGCCTCTGCCGACCAGCTGTTCTCGGCCGAGTCGATGCCGCCACCGATCCCGATCAAGATGACGGACGAGCTGCTCAGCACCCTCTCGGACAGCATATCCTCCAAAGCCACCCACAAGACGGTCATGTACCAGTGCCCCTTCCCCGGCTGCGACAAGCGTAAGTGCCATCGCCGCGCGCCTGTGTGGAGTGGATATCAAACGGGCCCATGTATATCCAGACATGTTCAGGTGTATCCAGACATGTTCAGGTGTATCCAAGTGTATCCAGATGAATGAGTGGTCTGCCAGCGTCGAAAGCGTTGGCCATGTCCGTCTCCCACCACGTCGAGCCGTCAGACTAATCCGTCACCGTTCCTTGCCCATCCCCCTCCACAGTCTACACCCGCCCGTACAATCTCAAGTCACATTACCGTAGCCACACAGGCGAGCGGCCGTACGGCTGCGAGTACTGCAAATCGTCCTTTGCCCGGAAAAACGACCTCAAGCGCCACGTCAAGCTGCATCAGTATGTATCGCTCTGCTGCATCAAAGAGCCAGATTGCCTGGCTGGCTCTCCTTGGGTGCCCATGCTGCTCATACGATTGCTCTCAGGGGGGACTCCCTTCCTCCAGTCGACCGCCACATTGACCGAACCTGACCGTGTCTGTCCTTGGCATACTCTACTTTGCCTGCTTCGCTCGCTTTCCAACAGAGGGATAAAGCCGCATACATGTCCAATATGTGGCAAATCCTTTGCCCGCCGCGACGCCCTCGGACGGCACGTCAAGTCGCCAGAAAACGGCGGAGAAAACAACTGCGAGGCACAGTTGAAGATCCTGGCCGACGGAGGCGACGAAAGGGCAAAGAAGATTCTAGGGATCATCCTGGACGAGTCCATACTCAGCGTGTCGCCAGCCTGAGCAAGCCAAAGGCTGCAGCGTACCGCATACTCCTGGATTCGATCTCTCCTTGCCTCGTTCCCGCCATCTTTTTGTTGCCGCTCGCTCTTCTGCTCTTGACCCCCTCGCCTTTTGCTGTCCGTTTTTCGTTCCCTATCTACCGTCTCCCGTCCCCCGTCGCTTTCTCGCTCTTTCTTGCTCTTTTTTTTTTTTCTTTTTGATTGGAATACAGCTTTTGGCGGCTGTTGTGCTTTCCTGTTCTTTCATGTTGCGTCTTTCCCCCTTCCCCTCCAAGGCTGTCCGGCTACACCTTGCGATTGATTGATGTATCGCTCAACGGAGACCGGGCTTTCCCGATACGCTTCCCCCATGCTCTGCCGCCTAGGCGATTTCGCTTCCCCCTCCCTTCCCCGCTGCAGACACGCCGTTGCGCTTGGTCGTGCTCTGCACATGCTTAATCCTTATTTATCCTGTATTCCCATCGTCCTGATTTTCCTGGAAGGAGTTATTTTTTTTTAGAGTAGTCTCCTTCCTCTCCCCAGCGATTGTTGAACTGTGAAATCCGTTTGAAGCCGTTTGATTCCCTCCCCTCTCCTGCCCTCCCTCGACTCGTTTTTCGTCTTGGGTAAACCACGCTTCCTATATCCAATCCGCCTCACCCTCGCTCAACCTCCTTGCCTCCCCCCCGCCTCGACAACCTCAAGCTCCTCCCGTCCTCCCCGCCTGCCGATTCGATTAACTTAAGATCCTATTTATTGCAGTCGTCGACTGATTGCGACACTCGCGCGCCTGTTCTTGGCGGTCACGCTGGCCCCTGGACCCCCCGAGTATCCAACTCGTCAACTCGTCTCCCTGCCGAAATCAAAAACGAAAGCTCGATGCTCCACCCCTCGGACCTCTTCAAGATTGATGACTGACCATCAAGACCTCATACTTTCGCTAGATCGCATACTGCCAGCAGTCTGCTGGCTCTCCATACATCTACACTCGCCGACCGATATCGGACCAGATCGAAAACTGCAAAACCTCGAAAAACGAAACATTGCTGCATGTGTTCAGACGGCCATCTTCAATAAACCCACAGGAAAAAAAAGTTTGTATATTCTCTAAGGCGGCCCATGCGAAAAGATGTCCAAGACAAATCCATGCCAGCTAATGGCATGCTGGTGGTGGCGGGCTGCGATGCCGACGAGCGCATGCACACGGAAAGGGCGGCACCGTCGCCCTGCTGATGCCATCGCACCGGGGCCATGTGCTCTGCATCGAGCCTGGCAGCGGGCCAGGCCGCGGGAACGGCAAACCACCGGCGCGCGGGCATGGCGGCCTGTGTCGCCAGCAACACAGCCCTGTGCTGCGTCCTGGCGGCGTGGTCGTGGCACGGGCCCTTGCTGTCGCCGCGACCGACACGCGGGCCCCGGACTGCGGCTCGATGCCACGGGGGACCCGCGCCAGTGGCCCGGCGACCGTGCGGCGCGATGCATCCACTGGCGCCGGCGCGCAGTCGAGACCAACCGAGAACACAATCGCCGCCCCCTCGCCCGATCCCGCCGAAGCTCGGTCGCACACGGCCCCGTGCTCGACGCCACGCCGTGCGATTGGCTGCGCCTTCCGACCGCCACCAGATTCCCGCTCCACGGGCGACGCCGCTGCTCATTGGCTGGATTCGGCCAGTCGCGGCGAGCTGCCTCTGCAAGTGTCCGCGACGCCCTCTCGCCTCAGAGGGTCGGCTGGCAGCTGCTTTGATCCTGCTCGCCATCGCTTGCTGGCAGCACCCCACATCCGCTGGCCCATCCAAGATCGTCAGCCACTTGTCACGTGTGCTCACACATATGTCACGTGTTCCACTATGTCCTTTTCGGGACAGATGAGTTCTGTCCTCGGGCTGCACCTCCGCCTTCCGTCCAGCCTGCCTTTCCATCAGCCGCCAGCACCCCGCCCGTGGCTTGTCTTTGCATCCCTCAGAGTCCCTCAGCATCCCCCAGCATCCCCGGCACCTCTCGGCACCTCTCTGCTCTGCGATAATCGCTGCATCGCACCACCATGTTCTTGGTCTCGACCCTCAAATCCATCATTTGGGGCTCGTCATCCTCCAAGGTTGTCCAGCTCCCGTCCGGCCAGCTCTTCCACATCCATCCCGCCAAAAACTACCGCCAATGCGTCTTCAAGGACTGCGACATCTGCATCCGCCAGACCTCCATCCCCCACCAGTACCAGCTCGTCGTCACCCGGGTCTTTGAAGAGGGCGAGGACAATCTCGTCAACGAGGATGAACTCGCCGAGTCCGTCGAGGACGAGCGAACCTTTGCCCTGGTCGAGGGCATGATGTTCCAGAAGCGCGGCAAGTCCCCCTGCATCTTCTCATGGCTCGATCCGACCGACGAAAGCGGGCGCTCCGGGTATGAGTTCTCGACCGACATCAACACGTCGTCGACCCTGCTGGAGACCTTCGAGTCGGCCGTCTACAACTGCATCTACGAGGCCGGGCACCAGACCGACTATTTGCAGGTTGACTCGGAGCTGCTCCACACCTATGCCGAGAACCTCAAGGCGCAGGCCATCAGCACGGGCCCGCTTACTCCGTCCAAGGCCCGTCAGCCCTATCGCGAGGGGACGCCTTCGCGGTCGTCAAAGTCAGACACCTCGTCGGTCAAGGCAGAGCCCAAGGTTCCTCCGCCCAAACCCACGGCCACCAAGCAAACCCAGTCTCTGCTCCACAGCGTCCCTCAGGGCGAATCGGTCCTCAGCACCAATGCGTCACTCCATGTCTACGACGGCCGAATCAGCCAGTTCCGAGAAATGCTTGCCTCCGCTCACATCCAGATCATCCAGCCCGAGCGCTTCCAATACCACCTCCTTATCTCCGAGAACGACAGCCCGCTGATCAGCCAGGTCATTGACGAGAGAATGAACCTCACCTTCCGCCCCGAGGAGAACACCTTTATTTGGGCCTGGTACGATCCCGTCAGCCTGCAGCCCGTCTACTCCTTCCAGATTACCTTTGCCGCGCCCGAACACTTTGAAGAATTCTACCAGCTCGTCGTCACCGCCTGCTACGAGAGCAAGCACAGAGCACCCCTGAGCACCACGGACCAAAGCTATCTGATGCACGCCTATACCGACAATTCGCTGGAGGAGGAGCAGGAAGAGGAGGGTTTGTCGCCAGAGGAATGCGAACCCGAATTCCTGGGCGAACCCGAGCCTTCGGAGCTGGATGAACAACTCGAGCGACTCAACCTCAGCCGTGCGTCGGCCCAGCCCGAGACACCGAGACGGCTGGTGAGCCATAGCTACGAGCCCAGCGAGGCTTCCGATGAGGACGACGAGGAAACCGAAGACGGTGACGACGACGACGAGGAGGACACTGAGGAGGGTGCGGCAAAGTCCTTGCGGAGCGGGAAGGAGCACCACTCATATCGCGGCCTCGCCAAACCCGAGGATACCAACAGCTCCCTGGTCGTTGGATACAGCAGCAACCAATCGTATGTCGTCCGTGGAGACAAGCTCGGCGTCTTTGGATATACGGACGACGACCAGCTGCAGCACAAAACCACCATCAACAACATCCGCACCCTCGGCAATGAACACTTCACCCCGGCCAAGGCCGTTCTGCACGAGCAAGACTCGTCGCTGCTGCTCATGAAAGAAAACGAGTCCTCGACCGTCTATCGGATGGACCTGGAGCGCGGCAAGGTTGTGGAGGAATGGAAGGTGGACGAATACATGCCCGTGCTCAACATCCTGCCCGTCAGCAAGTACGCGCAGATGACCCCCGAAAAGACGCTGCTGGGCCACAACAGCAAAGCCATCTTCCGCATTGACCCGCGACTGTCTGGCAACAAGCGCGTCGACACCGAGACCAAGCAGTACGACAGCAAGACGGGCTTCACCTGCGGTGCCACCAACAACCTCGGGGCCCTCGCCATGGCCAGCACCAACGGCGATATCCGCCTGTACAACAAGCTCTCGACCCGGGCCAAGACGCTGTTCCCCGGCATCGGCGATCCCATCATCGGCATCGACGTTAGCGATGATGGCCGGTACGTCGTCGCGACCTGCAAGTCGTATCTGTTGGTGCTCGACACCCAGCTCAAGACAAACACAAGCTCCATCGGCTTCAACAAGCCCATGGGCGTCAACGACCGCAACCCGCCGAAGCGTCTCCAGCTCAAGCTTGAGCATATGGCCCTGATTGGAGCCCCAAACTTCACCCCCGCAAAGTTCAACTGCGGCGACGGCGAGGAGCGCTTCATCGTCACATCGACAGGCCCCTATGTCGTCACCTGGAACTTCCGCCGAGTCAAGCAGGGCAAGCTCTACGACTACGGTATCAAGCTCTACTCGGAAAGCGTTGTCTCGGACAACTTCCAGTACGGAAATGACCGCTCCATCATCGTCACCCTTCCGACAAACGTCGAGATGACCCAGAAGAAGGCCCTGTCGACACCCGCAAAGCTCTTCAATGGCAGGGACAGCGTTGGCGTCTCGCACCTGTGCTAGCGCTGTCCCGGGCTGCCTCAGGACGAGGCTCTCTTGTCTCGTCGCAGGACCGATCTATGCTTGTGCGCTTTTGCGCCTCTGTCCCTGCCCGGACACAGCCATACCGGGATGCCAATGTGATGCTGCTGCACCAGCTGATGGTGCGGGTCAAGGACGCATGGGCTGCAGCGCGGGGCGAGGCCGATTGCTTCGTGGAGAGTGTCGCTCGGCAAGTGGATATGCTGTTTTGTGGAGGGGCGACTGCACCAACATTTGAATGCGCTATATGGCTCACTTGATTCCGCGAAACGGGACGCGACTTGCATACCGATCGCGCCCTGTGCGGCATCCATGTGCCCAGTGAGTGAAAGATGTGCAATACAGAGTCGCTATGTGCTCAGGTCTTGCGGGCTCAGGTCTTGCGAGCGGTGCTTGGCCCGATTCGCTTTGGGCTGGGCTGCCCTTGGCTGAGCCAGCCGGCTGCGTCCGGATCGAGCCATGCTGCCCGCCAATCAGCGCGCACCGCGTCGCCCAAATCCAGGCCCGCGCTTTGGCTGGGACCTCGAATCCTGCTTTCGATCAGGGCCGCTCGCTCGCAGCCGCAACCGACCCACCCTTGCCAGTTCCCAAGAGCTGCCACCACGAGCATCCGAGATGAAGTGGCCCGCAGCACGTTCATGTGTTTTCTTGCTGGTTGTGCTGGCCCTGTGTCTGCAGCTGGTGTGCGCTGGAACAGACTACTACAAGATCTTGGGTGTCGATCGCTCGGCCACAAAGGTAACCCATCCCTCCCTGGCCGGCTGATCCGCGGCTCGCTGATGTGGGGGGAGGAGGACAAGGACGAGATGGAGGCACGGCGATCGAATTTGTTTTTGAAGCACCGATCTATGCATGCTCTGCAAGATAATCGGAATTAATGGGGGGGGGCCTGATCTCGCCAACGTCGTCGTCGCTGCTGTCATTCGGAATCCGCTCAGCCAGCCAGCCAGCGACCCGCAAAACAATTGGGATGCGCGACGGCAACGAAGCTGGCAGCAAAGACGGTGACGGCCGCGATGACAACGGCAACAGCATGGATGGCTCGGGTCGACATGCCTGTGTGATGCGCCTGGATACCACATGCGTATGCATTTCCGATCGGCAGAAGAATGGCGCGCTGATCAAAGCTTATGCTGTCGCATTTCTTCTCACATGGCTCCTTTGTTCTCATTCTGTTTACCCTCGCCCTCGCTCTCTCCCAAACCCATAGAAAGCAATCAAGAAGGCTTACAAAGAGCTGTCGATAAAGTATCACCCTGACAAGAATCCCGGAGATAAGGTTGCTGAAGCCAAGTTCATCGAGCTCGCCGAAGGTATGGAGCCGCTGTTGCGTCCCTGCCAGCCAGCTCATAGGAATTGCATGTGGGACGGGGCTTAGGACAGAGACCCAGCGGCTATGTGCTGGAGTGTGATCCAAGCAATAGCCAAAGGCCCTCCCGTATGGGCTGGTCCAGCCTTGCTCTGGAGAGGGTGGACGAGGGCCAGACTCGGTACCAAGCTGACATCGCTTCGCCCTCGCCTTATTTCATGCGCATGGATTGCGCTCGCCCCTCGGGAATGCCGAAACTATCATGCCGCCCTGCTGGGACCTGTGTTCACATTCGGCCGCTGGTCCACGGATTGCTGGTCATCGCTGCCGACCCACAGCTTACGAGGTCTTGACGGACGAGGAGAAGCGCCGGATCTATGATCGATATGGAGCTGAAGGCCTCAAGGAAGGCGGCGGGGGACATCGCGATCCCTTTGACATCTTCTCCCAGTGAGTGCCACGCGACCAGTATCCACACACACCCGCTCTGACGGCGACATTCGCAGCTGTTGATGGATAATGGGCAGTGCGGCACTGTGTCGAATCTTGCTTACTCTGCGACTGTCCCGATGCAACCGCGATATTCAGGTTTGGGTTCGGTGGATTTGGCGGCCAACGACGTATGTATCGCAGTACAAGAGCAAATCCGATCGAGTGTTGCTGGGCGATAGCCACCCCAACCCCGACGACCCACCATTAACGCCCGTGTCATGCAGAACACCACGAGCGCAAGGGCGTCAGCGTCAACATCGACCTCGATGTGACCCTGGAGGATGTGTTCCTTGGAGCCACCATCGAGGTAAGCAACACAGCTCGAGTGTGCTCATGCGCTCCCCGGCTCGCCGATCGACGCGATCAACTGCAGCGTGATCTGACCACGGCATACACTCCTTGCCAACCCCGCACTCAGTTTGAAATCAACAAGCAGATCATCTGCCCGACTTGCCGTGGCTCGGGAGCCAAAAATGCCGACGATGTCCACACGTGCCACTCCTGTGGCGGCAACGGCATCAAAGTGGTTCGTCAGATGCTCGGTCCCGGCATTTATCAGCAGATGCAGACCACGTATGTATCAACGCGGGCAGTGCGTGGGCTGATTATCGGTGCCGACGACGGGCACGCCCGAGGCGCTGATCATCAACGCACCGGAACGGCTCTCTCATGACGGTAGTCGAGGCGATGTCCTCGTCCCCTACAAGAGACAGCGCTATGGCGACCGTGATATTGACATCACCCGTACGCTGTCCGCAGTTGCGACGTTTGTGGCGGAAAGGGCAGAATCGTCAAATCCAAGTGCCCTGTTTGCCAGGGAACAAAGGTCAAGCGCGGCTCGCACCAGCTCACGATCACGATCGAGCGCGGAATGGCAGACCAGCAGAGGATTGTTTTCGAAAACGAAAGTGACGAGTCGCCCGACATCACTCCTGGCGATCTCATCTTCACACTCCGCGTGCGGGATCATCCCGTCTTTGCCCGCAACGGAGACAATCTCTATACCAAGGAGATCCTCACCCTCAAGGAGGCTCTCTTGGGCTTTGAGCGCCAGATCAAGCACCTCGATGGACAACTCGTCCGCGTCTCCCGATCAGACGTTACGCAGCCAGGTAATGGTCGTGGTGGGCCTTGGATGCCTCAGAGGCCATGTCACCGCATGCAGATACGCCCCTCTTGAAACCGGTGCAGCTGGGTCGGTGCACATGGCCCGCCGATGGAGGCTGTCCCATGCAGGGCGCGCAGGAACCGACGCACTGCTCTGTCTAATTGGTCCAAGCCGATCGATGGAAATAGCATGCACTCCACGAGGGACCAGCTCTTCTGTGGATGCTCTAGCTTTCCACTACATACCCTGGACTGCGCCGCCTTCTGACCCTCTGAATTCCTTGTGCTCTCCAGGGTTCGTTCAAGAGATCAAAAATGAAGGCATGCCCAACGTCGAGTATCCCAGCGAGCGCGGAAGCTTATTTATCGAGTACCAGGTTGTCTTCCCCCCTGCTCTCTCGCCAGAGCAGCTCGAAGGTAAGCACCGCCGACCCCAGCGGCTCTGTGAGCGGATGTGTGCGGTGTGTGTGCGACGGTGTTGAATGCTATATTGCCGTGGACTGGTCCGATCGACTGACGTGTGATCTCTGCAACCCTCAGAGCTCAAGAAGATCCTCTGATAATGTAGCCAGTGGTCCGTTTGGTGCAGCCCCAACCATTGGTGCCCGCGGCACATACAGCTTGTACAGAGCAGAACAGAGCAGCCTCCAGTTGCATTTCTCCATATTCAACCACTGTCTGCTGTTTGTTTCGAAGGACACCGTCTTGAGAGACAGTATACATCCAGCCAGCCGGACAGTTCCGTACATAGTGTGGCTTCTCGGCGTCCGAATAGTCAGAGGCTCTGTAGGCTCGGTGCATACCCCATGAGACATTCTCAAGGGCAGTAACATCAATCGCTTCGAGCATGCTGTGCGGTCATGGTGGACAATCGATGGTGCGTGTATTCAGGACCCAGATTTGGTGGTGCCTCATGAATCTTCGAGCATCAGCTTTGCAAAGTCTTCGAATCCGACAACACCGTCGGCATCAGAGTCGACATATTTGATCCACTCGAGGGCTTCCTCTTGGCTCATGCGCTCGCCCAGGCCGTCCATCACGATGATGAGATCGGCAGGGCTGATCACGCCGTCGCCTCCAATGTCCATGGCGACGAAGGCTTCACGCAGCTCCTCGCTCGTTCGGAAACCACCGAATCCAGCACCTTTCATGATGTACATCTGAAGCATTGGTGGCACCCGCCCGAGAGCCAACAGGCCATAGAACCAATATGGCAAATGTGAGCGAGCAGCAGCCCAGATCGCACACGCTCGGGGGATCATCCGCCAAAGGATTCCTCTGGGAGGCGGAGGAGCCGCCCGCTCGCCACCCAGCCAACTCGTCTCTCATGCATGCTGCGGACGCACCATCTTGCAGAACTCGGGCATGTCGACTGTCTCTGTCTTGTCCATGTCGATGCGCCCGATCATGCGCTTGGCCTCGTCTTCGCTGACCGCCACCCCGATCGACTGCATGGCATCTTTGAGTTCTCCCATGTCGATGCTACCGTTCCCGTCCTTGTCGAACAGAAGGAACACCTGAGGATCAAGGACAGAGTCCGGTCCGGTCCGGTCCGGTCCGCGAGACGCAATGTGAGGACAATGGGAAGCCGCACGGATCAGAAGGATACACCGAGCAATAGACGCCGGGCCATGACCTCCATGAAACGGACGCGTTTCATGGTCTGCGGCCCTTTCTTTCCTCCTTCCCAGAGTCAGAGGTCTTTCCTCCGTCACGCTCGATTGATACAGAGCAGTCTTTGCTTTTTGGATCAATGCAATTCGCAGTCCCGACCTCTTTGTAGTATTCGAGATCCTCTGCTGGGATCTCGACCTCTTCGGGCGGCGCTATTGTCGGTCCCGAGAGCTGGACTAGCGAGCTTGTCTTGGCATTGGGCTTGTTCCGGCTCGGCGATCCTGGTCTCGATGAGCGGCCACCGCTGAGATTGTTCTGCGATCCGCGCTTGATAGGCGACAGAGGCCGAACCTGCTTCGGAGGCATGAGGACAAGCAAATGGACTGTAGGGGGACCGGGGCCGGCGATGCGGATGCGCTGATGGACGGCAATGGGGCAGACGATCGCCCAGGAGCCTGCCCGAGCCACAGCAGCAGAGACCCCCAGGCTCAGACAGGGCCGGCCGACAACCTCGAGGCTGACTCTAGGATTGGGGCAGCTCGACATGCTCAGTGGGTGGTGGCATTCGACACCCTGCCAGTGACAGCAATTCACAAGCTGCTGGAGCCGTCGACGTTCCGCTTTCCTCTCAATCAGCCACAGGAGCCAGCTGTGCGATTTGCTGGAACCAACGGCACTCCCCTCCCCCTTCCCAAGGAAATCTAGTGGAGATGGATAGTGCGGAGGGTCTTACGGCCCGCCACGACAGCTTCATTGAGTTCGGACCCGTCCAGGCGGCAGCATGCGCCGTAGACATGATTCTGGCATGGTGAAATGGCCGAATACATACTCGGCAAACGTTCATCTCGAGTACGGTGGGCTTCAGTATCAGCCCTTCGCTACCGCGGACGGCTCTCTACAGGGCCTTCAGGGCTTCGATCGTTCCAGCAACAATGAGTTGGTGCTCATGGCTGTGGATGCGCTCTTCCAAAGCCTCCAGGGTATCGGAATCGAGTATCGGGATCTCCTGCTTCAGGATGACTTCGCCGCGATCCACCTCGGGAATCACCCTGTGAACCATGATGCCCGTGTTCTTGATCTCGCCCTTCTTGAAGGCCTCGAAGGCTCGCTCGATGGCATGAGCACCATCGAACTGGCCGGGCAAGGCGGGGTGCAGGTTGATGACTTTGCCGGGGAAGAAGGACAGGAACTCGGGCGACAGGATGTGCATCCAGCCGGCCAGGACAATCAGCTTGGGCTGCGATCGGGCCAGGATTTCTTTGGCGAGGGCAACGTCAAAGTCAACACGGGTCTTGCCCTCGTCCTTGAAGGTCTTGAGGGACTGGGCAAAGGTGGGAATGCCGTTCTGGGCGGCCCGCTCGAGGCCGTAGGCAGACTTTTTGTTGGAGACGACCAGCGAGATTTCAAAGTTGGCCGTTGGCAGCTTCGAGGCATCGATGAGGGCCTGCAGGTTCGAGCCAAATCCAGATATCAGGACGACGATGGAGTGCTTGGACATGGTGGGCAGAGAGTGTTGCTGGTGCTGCTGCTCGTGCTGGTGCTGGTGCTGTCAGCTTGACGAGTGGTGGTATGGTTTTCGGCGCCGCGCACGATATCAATTTTTTCCGGCCCCTCACGGCTGCTCATCTCGGTCACCTGAAAGTCACATTGTTTGTGGCGCAGCAAAAGTTGGAATGAATCCACTGTGGGTTGACGGCATTTGGTATCGTCTTGAGCCGATTGACGGTGGTGGTGGGCGATTGGTGTGGAGGAATGACCAATTGTATCATTGTTGGAAGCTCCACTCCGATTGCGGACAAGTACCACCACCATCTGAATCTCTCTGGTTGGAAACCTAGTCAAGCGTGGCTGTGTGTCAGCGAGATGACATGATCGTTTGGCTATCAGGCAAGACTCACCTTGACAAGATGTCTTCCCACGACTGATTGAGCGAGCGATGCGTTTCTGGATCTGAATCGAGGACGCCACTGTGAACAGCATCACTCCCTGCCCAAAATGCGCTGGTTTTGAGGAGATTCTTTCTTCCCCAAGGGCAGGACCAGCCATCGTCGCTATTTTCTCGCCAGATGGCTCCCCGCAAGCGAAAGACATCACCCAGGCGACCAAGTGGGTCCAGAGCACCCACAAGATCCTTGGTCTGCAGCAATGGATGAGCACCACACCAAGTCCCAAGATCCCCGGGATAGCCCCCTTTTTGCAATACATTCGCCATGTGTTCAATGGAGACATGCTGGAGAAACAGCTGTACTTCAGCCTGACCCGGCGACGGCGATTCAAGCGACTCGATCTCTACGGCAAGCGACAGCGCACCGTCCACGAGATGTGCAAGCAAGTCATCGACCAGGCACCACCGGAGACCGAGGTGGTGATTGCCTTTGGGAATGCCTCCTGGAAACAGGGGAAGGGATATGCCTCCAGTCCCAGGAGACTCAGGTTCGCCAAGTATTTCGAGCAGTTCCACCACCACCAGAGAGGCCCACCAGACCGATCCGTCTCCAAGATCCATGTGTGCTCGGTGAACGAGTTCAACACATCCCAGGTGTGCTCACATTGTCGGGAAGCCAAGCGACTCGAGAAGGTCGAGCATCTTGATATCGAGAAACCACACTTTGTCCGGAGCTGTGCAAGCTGCCATACGCTGTGGGATCGAGACATCAATGCCTCAAGGAACATGATCTCGGTATGCCAGTCGATCATCGCCACAGGAGATCGACCGGGTGTATTCAAGACTGTGCTTCCCAAACCAACCAAAACAAAGAGATTGCCAACGAAGACAGGAGTGCAATGCCATGGCTTGCCCACTGGGCCTACAAGTCAGTCAGCGGGGTTCAGACATCTGAAGCCTAGAAGGGGAAGTGTCCCGTTTCTTTCTGGATAGACTGTAAGTATCTTGCACCGTTCCTTGAGTATTTCTACAGTGGATGCCGGGTCGCCCATATTCTGGGCAGTCCACTTCGGGGTTGCCATCCCTCTTGGGATGGTCGATGGGAGGTATTTGACTCCCTTGCAAAGTGTGTGTGTGCAAAGTGTGTGTGTGTGTGTGACGGCGAGAGGCTTCTCGCCTTCCCTCGGGGGTCTCTCGCCAGAGACTGCTCGCTCTTCTCGCCGACCGAGGTGGCCCCGAGAGCGCGATTTTTCGTTCTCGCTCATGTTTTTAACAAGAATTTTTTCTCTGACGTCAGAGAAAAACGGCCGATCCGCCCCGGTCGTGCTGCGCCACGTGGGCGCGCATTTGTGGCTCGATCCAGGTGCAGGATGAGCAAGCCGGCTCGACAAATCAAACCAACAGGACGAGCAGGACGAGCATGACGAGCAGGATGGACGGACGAGCGGACGAGCGGAATAAACAGGTCCCACCGATTCAGTGAGTTACTGCGTCGCACCGGCACCAGCACTGCGATCGACGGAACCCACAGCCCATATGGCCTCAGCCGGGGTCGTGGAATCAAGTGCTCCGTCAGCAGCAAGCACATCGCGGTCGATGCTGGGGCGACGGCTGCTGGCCCGGATCTCCATCGACTGCTGGGAACAAATCTCCACAGGCCGAGTGCCCACCGATCCTGTGAGCGTCGAGCCGCCAGTTGCAGCACGTCCGTCCGGTGGGTGCCCAAGACCCTGCCGCTGGCGGGCGGTGGTGCCGCCTGGCTCCTCGGCGGATCGGCCGAGACCCAGCGCTCGCCAGCGACCGGCCCGGTTCGCACGGGGTCTGAGCGCCAACCCCGCCTGCCTCTTGCCGAAGGACCGACGTGACGCCGGTGTCTTGTGGGTGCACTCTGCTCGCTATCTCACGGCCAATCGACTCCTGGGCCGTTGCATCTTGCACCCCTCCGGCCTTGCCGTTCCCACCTCAATCGCGAGTGCCGATCGTAAGTGACCTCCCCCGGCACGGCCTCCTCTCTGCAGTCGTTCGCATCGTCGCATGCATCCGTTCCCGCGGGTGCGCCGAGCCGGGGAACCCCTCCCCGAGACACGCCAGCGCCGAGCCTTTGCCAGCTGGCCGTCAGTGTCTCGGGCCGGGCGTGTCGGGCACCCTGTCCTTGTTGCGACTACCCCTGGAATGATCACGGCCAGGACGGAGGGGTCGATATCGCGAGCACGCCAGACTCCCGTTCCCTGGCTCACTACCGCCGCAATGATCGTCGCTCCTGTCGACACGCACCGCTCCTCATAGGAGCGCGGTGCCCAGCATGCAGGACACAAACGCCAGCGACCCTGTTCCCACCATCCCAACCGACGGCTACTTGGGAGGCGACCTGCCCTCGACCCCAAGCCGAGGCGATTCGCCCAAGTCCGCCTCGTGTCCTGAGTTTGCACAGGATCCCGAGCTGTTGGCCAGCCCCCCCGAACCGTCAAAGGACCCGCTCGAGTTCAGAGCCCGATTCCTTCAGGGCCACCGAGATTCGGCAAGCGCCAGCATCCCAGAGCCCCATAGCTCCATCTCTCTGCGCTCCAAAACCAAGGTTATCTCGTATAACGAGCAGTCGGATCAGGAAGACTCAGAGGCCCACAGCGAGTTTGAAAACGCGGCCCGGGACGGCTTATCCTCGCAGCCAGGTTCTCCGCTGGTACCGTCGCCCAACAGTACAGACCTGCTTACCCGCCCAGGCGACCTTCCCCTCGATCCATCGGCCTTTGTGCATCTTCGGGCCTTCCTGGGCAATCAGTTCGAAGATGCCACCTCATCTTGGCCCATGAGTACACACTGCTACAAGTGAGTGGTCGCACGCATCCCCACGCCGATGCTGCCAGCGCCGCTGCTTTCGATACCACTTGCACAGGAGTCATTCCCACGACGGTACCGTTGCCGGGGGCTCACCGATCTCGCCGACCGTCAGAGCGTCACCGAATTTGAGACTCACCTATACCCGTACAACTCCGCAGCTTTGAAGAATCGGAAATGCTGCTGGAGCTGGTGTGCAACTCGGCGTCGCCTATTGACTGGCACGCCATGTCTGTGATGTAAGTACTGGATGCTGCTTGAGGCACCTGCTGCCCTTGCTGGCTCTCATGATTGCTTGTCAGTATCAGCTGGCCATTCTTTGTCGGCTTTTACTCATCACTACCTTTAGATCACCATCACCATCACCATCACTCAGACCATCGCTATTGCTGCCCTCCACAGCCATCAGCGACCAAAGATAGCGTAGGCTCACACACTGCCTCTCTCCAACCCTCGCAGATACAACGAGTGGTCAGCGCAGCACTCGTTCGCACCCCGGTCCAACAAGGCTCTGGCCGAACGATTCCGCAAGCTCATGTCGATGATCAACGTCAAAAACATCTACGACGGACATGCCTTTCTGCAGACCCAAGTCCAGGAGCTCCGGAAGGACGAAGCGCGCCAGCGGGTTCGCGCTTCTGGCTTGCAAGCCAGCAAGCCGACTTCCCCTGGGACAGTCGCTCCCGTCGGCCGCAACCACCACAGCCAAACTGAGGATACCAGCGACAGTAGCCATATCCGACCAGCGAGCGACGCAAGCATAAAGAGCCACAAAAGCGATCTCGAGCCCCACACGGACGACGAATGCGAGTCCGGATTGCCAGTCGCCGAGCTGGACTTTGCCTCTGGCGACACGGGATCCTTGGACGAGCATCCGTCGGACGGAGCACAACGAAGATCATCGCGAGTTGGCCAGAAACGGGCCCCAAGGCCAGCAACGCCGGTCGAGATGGTGATTGCGCCAAAGAGTGTCTCTACCACCTTCAGGTATCTCTTGCCCTCGGTCGAACCCGGTGCTTCAGTCGCTCTGCTCTCCGGGGCTGTGTGCGCCTAGCTGACATCTATCGTTGACTCATGCCTAGCGATGACGACAGCAAAGTCCTCCTTGAGTTGATACCGCAGCACACACACCACGGCACCATCTCGTGGTCGAGGATATGTCCAGAGTAAGAGAGGCACCATGAGCTGCTGAAGCCAAGCGATTCGAACTATCCGTCATAAGATCCTTGATGATGCTTTGTGGGACATCTTTCGATGCAGTCGTTCTCACTGCAGTCTATATATGCGCCGGATGCACCCACAGATTCAACAAAGTGGCATCAGTTCCGAGAACGCCAGAGATGCTCAAGGGCCACTACAATCGCAAACTCAAGGGCAATGGCACCGATGAACTCGTGTCGGCTGCATTGTCAAGCCGAACAGGTCCCGAGAGTCGGCCGGCTGGCTGGAGGTACACCCCCTCCCTCATTCTCTGATATATCAACTTGCGGGCATGGGGCCTTTGCGCCGATAGGCTCTTCACATATCGCGAACACGCTGATCTATGCATTGGATACCGTGCAAGAAGTAGAAGGGGTTTATCGTAGGATATCCATGCATCTGCCACCTCCCTGACGCATGGTGAACTGATCATGTCTCCACCACCGATCCGACCCGCAGCGAGGAGGACAGCCTGACGCTCGCAAGGCTGATTCCTCAGTTCTCAAGCAATGGCCTTGTGTTCTGGACAAAGCTCTGCATCGAGTAGGTTCCGACTCTCCCATAGCGATGAGGTCGATGCCGTAGAGTGCTCTGTTTGGCACCGTTGCCACCATGCAGCGACGCCAGGTCCGAGCTACTTGTAGGCACCTCAGCGGGGGGCATAAGCAGCATCGAGGAAGGTTGATGGGGTGTCTCATGGCATATTTGGTTGGCCACCAAACAGATACAACAAGCTTGCGGTTGTTGAGAAATCGGCAGAGCAGCTCAAGAGCCACTACCACCGCCGCCTCAAAGTCAACATGCCGCAGCTGATGGCACATGTCGCACGGCGCGACGACGGTGGCGGCAATAAGAGCGAACCCAAAAGTGAGAGCAGCAACGACAGCGACGAAGGGGACGTGATGGACATGTCCGAGGACAACGCCGTGCTGGAGAATGGCAGCAGCCCTCAGGAAGAATCCAAGCCCGGCAAACGACGCATCGAAAGCAGCGAGCCCTTACAATGCGTCAAGCGATCCGCGTATTGCCGGACGAGCGATGTGGTCGCAGTGACCATCAATGGTTTCGGGGATACCGTTTCTGGCCCAGGTGGCCATCCACCACATGGCTTCCCGAGTCAGCACCGCATCGCGGCCGCGGCGGACGGGAAACATAGCTGCCACATGGATCTGGACGAGTGCCGGACGAGCCCGATGTTCTTTGGTCAGCCCGATGCTATCAGCCATATCATCCGAGACCTCGAGCGCAAGGAAGCCGAGGCACACCACCAGGTTGCCAAGCGGCGGTCCACAATCAACAAGGAGCGAGCGATCCTGCAGAGCCAGGAAGCCAAGCAGCGACAGCTCGAGTACGACCTTGCTCTGCTGCGCGAGAGCATGAGTGCCCAGCGAGCCGAGATCGTCAAGCAGGAGAAGGCTGTATACGAGCTGCAGAAACACCACGAGCTCCTGAGGCGCGAGATTGGGCAGCTCAAGGCCGGGCGGGAGATCATCCAAAAGTACCACTGACGCCAGGAGGGAGCCAGGAGGGGGCCAGGAGGGAGCCAGGAGGGGGCCAGGAGGGGGCCAGGAGGAGTTTTCACCACGGGTTTTGCTCGTGCACCGCAACAACAGCAGTAATGGCAATAGAGCGACTCACATCCAAGTGAGGGCCCGATGAAGCAGAGCCGGCAGGCCCATTCCTGTCACGTGGCGCCGTCGATTGGGCGCTGGTGTTCGCGCCCTGGCCCTTGTCGAGCCAGCGCGGCGTGCGCAGTGTGCGCGGTCGGTGCTTGTGTGGGGGCGGCGCAGACAAGGCGGCCCATGGGGGTGGCCAGCGCTTGTGGGTCCTGATGCCGCATGGGACGTGGCGCCAGGAGGCAACCTTCTTGGGGTCGGACTGATGGTGCTGGTGGTGCTGGTGGTGCTGGTGGTGCTGGTGGTGCTGGTGGTGCTGATGGTGCTGGTGGTGCTGATGGTGCTGGTGGTGCCGGGGTCGTGGCAGCAAGTGCCAGCAGCAGTCCGTCGATGGTTGCAGCATTTCTTCCTGAATCATGTGCTCTGACATATCGCCGAGCTGTGTCTGTGGCATGGCCAGGGATCATGTCCCCAGAATGCGACCAGCTCGCACGCTGTCCGCCTCGCTGGCCGTCCACCCCGCAATCTGTCCGGCTCGGCCAAAGCGCAACCCCGCGGCCGCAACAGGGCACATGACGCCGACACCACCGGCCGCACTCCACCCGCCCCGTCGTTCGATGGGTCCTCCGACTTGGGCCCTCCAACTTGGACGACCCCGCCGCCCGCACTGTCTCCCGCAGCGTCTCCCGCACCGATCCTCGCCCGGCCCGGCCGCTCTCCTGGTTGCCGAGCTTGCCCCGGCCTCTCGCCCGCACTCTGCCACTCTGCCACTCTGCATCGTGGCTGCTCCAAAGTGCCGAGTCCCGGCATTCGTTCACAGTCACCTCGTTGCCCATCACGGCCCTCGCCTCGTTGCCCATCACAGCCTTTGCCAATCACATCTCCACTCGGCCATCTCGGCCATCTCGGCCATCTCGCCCAGGTTGCTGTGTCTCGGTCATCTTGCCAGGTCGCCGTCCCCGTTGCGTCGCCCTGTGATCCGCCACCGCCACTCACCCATTGCCGTCCTTGTCCCCGCCCAGAATCCATCTTGCCCCTGCGCATTGCCCATCTCGGTCGTTCTCCACCGGCTCATTCCTGCCCTTCTTTGCTCTTTCCTGCTCTTTCCTGCTCTTTCCTGCTCGGCTTGGCTCGGTTCTTTCCCGCTCCGCTCGCTCTTTCCTGCGTCCTGATCTCTGCTCGGCTTTCCCGCTGGACCGCATTTCCCCTCGCCCTGTCCTCCTGACCTGCCTGTCTGCCTGCCTGCCACATTCGGCTTCTCTCCTTTGCTGCCGCTTCCGTGGTCGTCATCGCCGCATCCGTTCGAGGTGAGTCTCCACTCATCTCTCCTCCTTCTCCCGCCGTCTGCCCTTTCGGCCTCGGCTTCTTTGCGTCCCTGACCAATCTCGATCCTCTCGGCCGCCGGTCTGGTCCTCCCATCCCGCAGCCCCCCCCCAAGTCGCTGTCGTTCTCGCCGGCCATTGGCTGTGTCGTCCCGGGCAACCTCTCCTGTCCATACACTGGTCCTTTGGTCAATGCTCCCGTCTTTCGCTCATCAATACAATCTCAGCCTCAGCCTCAGCCCCAGCCTCCATCCCGATCTTAACCTCCATCCCGATCCCAACTTTGACCCCAGCTTCAACCCTACCTCGGCATAATCCCATTCATCATGTCCAGCAGTCTCCCTGACTATCCGCCGCAATCGTCCTACCGTTCTGAACCAGGCGCCGCCCGATCTTTCACCAGCGGCTATCTGCCGTCCCATCGAGACCCATCCATGTTCACAAGACAACATCCTCCCGAAAGCTACCCCGACCGCCCCTCGTCGGCACATTGGCCACCGCCTCCGCTTGCCGTTTCCGAATCTTCCTTTGGCCCCCGGCCCCGCTCTCCACAACCAAAGTCCTCGGTGTCTGCGTGGTCGTACCATCCCAGCCGCGAGCCATACCACAGCACCATCGACTCCAGCGATTACACTGCATATATCGACCGATCGGCTTACCACGAGGATGCATACCCATCCGCTCGACCATCCGCTCGACTATCTGGCACCGACTACCCTGCCGCTCACCGAGATCACCCCCAACCGGACGACCAGCCATCCCGACTCAGTGACCGTCATGGCTCCCATCATCGCCCAAGTTCGTTGCTCGATCGCCCCGACCCGTATCCCTCGCTCGATCGCTCGAGCTATCGCTCCTCAATCGACCACATCGACTCCTCGCAGTCGTCGTATTTAGCGCCCGTCTATGGGCGTCTGCGTTCGCGAGATTCGTCTGCTGCCACACAAGTCGAGAGGCCAACACCCATTGTCGAGTTCGACCCTGCTGCTCGCCATTCGGGACTCAGGGGCTACTCCACGACCGTTCCAGACTCGGACCCTCAGCACTCGCATCGGTTGGATACGTCGTATCCGCCATCCATGTCCTACGGCAGCACTTCCAGCCTCTCGGCTCGTCCTCAGCTCGCATCGCATGCCCAATCTCACTCCAGCTCAGGTCGCTATGTCCATCCCGGCTCCGGCTCCTCAGGCACTGCATGGCCTGCGGTTGTGGCATCCCACCGGCGAGACCCCGCCTCAACATCAGACACCGTCTCTCGGCGCCATTCTCCAAGAGTCTCTGCTGGATGGGAAGTCGATTCCACACCAGCTATGTTGATCGCTCGCCCGCCCTCTTCCGACAATCCTCTGCAAGGATCCGGCCACTTCTATTCGCATTCATCAGAAAGTGCTGCCGCAAGCCGGGAGAATGCCAACGTGGCTGTTCGCGATGGCCCTTACGGACACGACGTGGCCGGAGGCTATCCGATTACCCTTCGAAGGGCACCGGATGAGCCCATCGATTCGTTGCAGCCTCTTCGCTCCTCAACCCACGATTGGTCTTTCAAAAGCCGAACGCCCGCAAGGTAGGTCTCTGAAACCTGCTTGAGGCTGCTGCCCACACCATCCCGGAACGTCCATGAAGCTCACGGCGTCGTTGCTGTGTGCGAGCTCCATGGCAATGCCAGTGCACGACGACTTGTTCTAACCCAGCCTCTCTCTATCCTGAATTGCAGTGCCCTGGTCGAATCTGGGCGATCGGCCATCACAAAATATGGTTGTGAAGAATACCTCCCTCCGGTCCGGGAAATAGGCGCCAGTATGTCTGTACCGCGGAGCAGCAGGGACTCTCCGCCATACGGCCTCTCCAAGAATACCCCTTCGCATCCGGCCATCACCGTCTCCCCGCCGTCTTCGTCGCCGCCATTGGCTCCGATATCCACTTTCTTCGAATCCACTCCAAAGTTCCCAAGGCAGCTCGCTCCAGAGGCCGACGACCCGACACGACTTTCCGAGGTGTATCGTGATCCGCACCACATATACTCGTCTTCAGCATCCGATTACCGGCGAATGGGTGCTACTAGTTACCCTACCACCGACCCAGACCGTCCAGAACACTCAACCAGAGTCACCATTGTCGCCTCCAAGCGCCAAACCGAAGATAGTCTGAGATACCCTTCCGGGATCTACAAGCGGCCGCGCCACAATGGCTCCAGCAGACCGAGGGATGCAGTCCACGGCGCCCACGACGACGAACGTGCCTCGCATGAGCTTGATCTTGAGGCTGCACACAGACTCTACACTGGGACAAAATATCACCTCGCTCGGACCCACACAAGCCAACGGCGGTCGATATCTGAGTCTCCTGTCTACTCTCATGCACGAGTGGACAGCCTGCGAGGCCTAGGATGGGGCCGGATCCGGACTCAATCACAGCCCAATTCGCTGGGCCACAATCAGAACGGGACATTGGACTTGCGCCATGGCCGCGTGCGCAAATACGAGCAGCTGTATGACGACATGCGACTCGACCAAGATCTGGCCCAAAGTCCCCATCGAGGGGTCTCGACTTTCAAACGTCCCTCCTCGCGCTCTTCGCTAAGCGACCCAGGCTTGGAGCCCGTTGAACGTGACTGGATCGACAGCGAAGTCGCCGCGGTTTTGGTCGAGAGCTCAGACCCATACCAAAGCATCTCATCGGAGGACCGGAACAAGGAGATTTTGCTCAACATCTGCACCAACGGAGAAATCCGCAAGTTTTTTGGACTCTTGCGCAAGCCTCGCGGGAGCGACAGCGAGGACTTGGCACTGATTGAGAAATTCGACCTGAGTCGTGTTCTGGACGACAACGGGAACGCCGCAATTCATTGGTTGGCTTACTTTGGGCGGATCCGGCATCTCGCCCTCATGAAGCAGGCCAGAGCCGATCTGCGGATTGCCAACAAACTGGGCGAAACCGTCCTTATCCGTGCCATCCAGTCAAGCCACTTTTACGAACAAGATTGCTTCAGCAAGTTCCTCGACTTGGTCCCCTTCGATCTGGTTTTTGTGGCCGACAACAGCAACCAGACCGTGTTCCACCACCTGGTTCTGCAAGAATCGCGCAGCAAGAGCAACAAGGATGCCATCGAGTACTATCTTCAGTCGTTGGTGCTATACATGAAGAAGATGCTGTGGAAGCATCATTTCAGCTCACTGTCCAGGGGCAGCGACTCGCTATCGCTGCTCAACCAAGACGCTCGACTTGATGATGTGGAGTGCTGGCGACAATTGGCACAGCACGATGCCCGGTTCATGGCCCTCATCAACATGCAAGATCTGTATGGCGATACGGCCCTGCAGTCGGCGCTCCAGCTCAAGTGCTCCGAATGGATGCTGGGTACCTTGCAGAATCTCGGAATGAAGGCGCAAGAGGCAGACAATTCTGATCAGGTAGGCGGGACCTTGGCAATATAAGCCACACAGCCACAGCTTTTCTTGGAGGCGGGCTTACGAATGCCCATTATCGGTCTTGGGAACAATCGGTGCCCTCTGTTTTGTGCCGATGCTGATTCACTTTTGATTATTACCTTGGCCTTCACAGAGCCTGAGAAGACAGATGCTCAAATCCGAGTCTCTACCGCAACCAAATGCTACACCTCAAGCAGTCGATGACACCACACACCAGTCGACGCAGCCTGGGATTGCATTGACCGACTCGTCCCAGAAACACCCAGCAACACCGCCTCCAACCCCACATGTCTCGAAAGTGGTCTCAGCCGACGAATCCGCGCAGCCATCTTGTGTCCGGTCCATGCTCCACCAAGGCACGGCCCAGTCGTTAAGTGTAGAGAGTGCTCTGGCCCAGCTGTCAGACATGAAGCAGGAATACGATGATACCTTTGAGGCCGCAAGAGAGGATCTTGAGCACGAGAAGGAGCGCAAGATGTACTTTGATGAATTGATTTTGAAGCTTTCGTTCATGGAAAGCGAGCTGAAAGAGCGGCTCCAAATCAAGTCCAGGGTAGCAGCAACCTGTGCTTCGCAAAACGGCCTGGGAACACTGCACGGGTCCGAAATGAGAGAAATCGGACAGGTTGACCTAATCCGTCAGTACTACCAACTACAAGAAGACTACGATTGCTTGCAGAAGAATCTAGTCAACGCAACTAAACAACAGCGCGACCTGTGTCGATGCATCAAGCAAAAATGCGACCTGCTCAAATCGATCCTTGCCAAGCTAATTGGGGTTGACATTGGAGGAGTTGATGATGCAATTGTCGGTTTAGAACTACTTGGTAAAATGGCCGAGCTATCGAGAGATGCGGAAAGAGGGCACTGAAATAAAAGCATTTATAGTTGAGGAGAAACGGGTTTTCGGAATGCAAAATGAGAGCAATATCGTCACAATGTGGGTGTCGCCTTGTGGAAACAGCTTCAGCGCCAGCCTCGAGAGCGGCCGAGATGGAGCGAAGGCGAGATTCGCCCCTGAAAGGCATTTCGAACCTGGAGTGCCAGTCCCATACTCCTCACGAACGAAAGCACACAATCAGCACCAAATGTCGGAGAGGCTGACAAACGATTTCATAAAAGGAGCCACGAAACGTGAAGTGACCATAGAAGAAACCATGGAACCCAACAGGCCATCCCCATAGCCATTGTGCAGGATGAACATGGAGCGGGTTGAGAAAATAGTCACACAGCCAATGGGTGCAGCCGGCTCCATCCCGTTCGAGCCAGGCTGTCATTCCACCACAGCCGCCACGCCAAACTGCCAAGCCACCAACAGCCAAGCCACCGATCCGGTCCGATTGCGGGACGCTGTGGGTGGCTCGGTCGGCGCTGCGACGATCGGCTCTGATCCCAGCTGGATGGCCTCGAGGGTGACTGCACCGATGGTGTTGTGGATGTGGATGTGGATGTGGATGTGGATGTGGATGTGGATGTGGATGTGGATGTGGATGTGGATGTGGATGAGCACATCGGACGGGGTCGGCGGCTGCTTCCCACGGGTCTCGGTTCCGGGTGCGGTCGCTACCCGACAATACCGGTACCTGTGATCGCTGGCCAGCAAGGATCTTGGATGGCTGAGCCGACAGCGGGTGCAGTTGCAAGGATCGAGAGTCTGGAAGGTCAGATCTGGATCTGGACTTGGCTGAGTCATTCTGTGGACCAACCGATGACGTTGGATCAGTGAGGGTCGATCGGTCATCCAACAAGTCGAGTGGTGAATCAAAGAGCGAGTTCGGTTGTGACTCAGTCAGTGAGTCAGACAGCAAATGTCGCTCGACGGAGGAGATGACTGATGGCGGCGATCAGGAACCGTATCCATCACAATCACCGTTACTGTCTTGATCAGAGCACTCTGGTGTCCGCACGACTTCACTTTCTCTGCCCATGATCCACTCACCTGCCAATGATCCACTCACCTGCCCATGCTCCACTCACCTCTCCGTGGTCCACCCACCCAACAGCCAACAGCCATCATCCGGCAATCAGCCACCTGGATCGGCAGTTCAAGTCACCGTCGAGATATCGTGGTGGGGATTGGCCGTGTCGACAAAGCCTTGGCGGCGGATGGTAGCTGGCATCTGGCACGCCGCCCTGTTGTCGTCGGAAATGTGCAGATGCGTGGCCGCATGAAGAGCACGACGGCAAATGAGAACACAGGCGCCTCGGTTGGCTGCGACAAAGCAAGTCGGGTGGTGCGGTGCCTCGGGCGTCTCGAGGTGTCTCGGACGTGCTTTGAGGATCGAGGTGATGGTGAGAGTGCCTGGTGGAGAGGTGAGAGTGCCTGGTGGATTGGTGAGAGTGCCTGGTGGAGAGGTGAGAGTGCCTGGTGGAGAGAGACACGAGTGCCGATGCAATCCTTGCGGCAGCGACCATCGCACCGACACATCCCACCGGACACATCTCGCTCACACAACTGCCACCGAACACCGCATCCACCATTGTTCGTCCAGCATCGTTCTCATCCAACATCACCTCACCACAAAGTCCATCTATCGATCAGGCCATCATCAATGAGCGACCCATCCACTTCTGCTGACCTCCTTCCACTTCTGCTGGCCTCCTTCCACTTTTGCTGGCTCTCCTTCCACCCTCTATCCTCCACCCCAGCAATCATCCTCATTCCACCCCTCAACCTCGATCCTCCACCCCAGCAACCACCCCAGCAACCACGCCGCTCCACCTCCAGCACCTCCATCTCCGTATCTCCGCCTCCACCTCCATCTTCACACCCTCATTCGTTCTTCCGGCCGTTCACATGCTTCCAGCCAGTCGCCCGCAAGCCGCCATCGCTCTCCCACAAACAAGAGCTCCCTGGCTGGCTGGCGGGCTGGCGGGCCGGCTGGCGGCGGTGGCGCAGCACCGGCCTCGGCTTTCCCACGCACCCTGGCCGGCTTCCCAGCACGGCGCTTCGGCTGCCCGGCAATGCACGGTGATAAACCGCGATGCACCTCCATGCATTTGACCTTGCCGGAACCGATCATGGATTGCACTGCGGCCCGGTAACTGGGTGTACATCACAAAGCATCCATACCACAACCACAACCTGGGTGGCGTTTGGGACGACGAGATGTCGGTGATGCCGATGATGCCGATGATGCCGGAGATATGCCCACACGGATGCTGGCGGAGTGGCTTGCGTGCGCACCCCGAAGATTCCCGACAATCGCCAGAGCGACCCTGGGACCCGAGAACACCCCGAGGACACCTCGAGGATACTCCGCGCGCAAACGCCGTTGGGGATCAAGTCGATCCCGGCGGGAGGCAGTCCGAGCACCTCGGCAAGACCGGGTATAAATGGTGCTTGACCGGCGGGCAGCGATCGCTCGCCCTCCTCCCGCTCCCCTCTTGCAGCCTCCTCGCCTCAGACAGCAGCCATCTCGCTTTCCACCCAGTTGCATCTTGCTTTCCACACTTGTTTGCTCCTCTGAATTGCTGGCTCTCTGAATCGCCTTGTCCAGCACCCACCAAGACCACTCAAATTGCACCTTTGATCTCGGTGACCGCCACAAGCCACCGGCAGCCAAGGTAACAGTCCATGGAAACCCGTGAACACTCGCATCGCACCTTCTGCTTGTACAATGGCTGCCATTCGGCCCCACACCATCGCACCCATCGCACCCATCGCACCCATCGCACCCATCGCACCCATCGCACCCATCGCACCCATCGCACATCACGTTCGTGCACCTATGCTCCGCAAACTTGGTAGCCACACAGCCTCCCGCCATTCCCGTCACTCTCATCACCCTCACATTGATCCGATCGCGCCTCGCCACTCCAATCACTCCGACGGCCACTCGTCGAAACAGACTGCTTCTTGTCCGAATCACTGTCGCTTCTCCTCCTCCTCTGACATCCCTGCACCTCCCAGCATCTCAGCGCCTTCTTGCATCTCAGCGTCGCCATCGATGAAGCTCGTCGAGCTCCTTGTTGGCATCCTGTTTGTGGTGACACTATGGGAGCAGATCCACTTTGTATCGAAGGTGCGTTGTATGGAACGCCTTGGATTGCATGGTTGAATCGGTGCAGTTGGCATGTTTGGGTGCATGTTTGGGTGCATGATGAGGAGTGATGTGCGTGGGTGCATGGGTGCATGGGTGCATGGGTGCATGGGTGCATGGGTGCATGGGTGTGCAGCGATGTGCACTGACGCTGATGTATGACTGGGATCCCAGCAGCTTGCGTGGACCGACCCGCGCGGCACTCTGATTGATTCTAACACAAATGCCAATACCGATGCGGTGAGTCTGATGGCACTGCAACTGCAACGCCGGACACTCACACTCAACTCACACTCAACTCACACTCACACTCACACTCACACTCACACTCAACTCACACTCACACTCACACTCACACTCAACTCACACTCACACCCCGTCTCCTGCGGTCTGGGCATCAGCAAACCTCTGCGGCTCCGGCCACCCCTGTCTCTCCTGCCACACCGGTCTCTCCTGCCACACCTGTCTCTCCTGCCACCCACGCCGCTCCTGCCCCCCTCGGAGCCAAGGCTCCCCTTGTAGCCCCTCCTGCCACCAAAGTGCCTCCTGCTGCCTCTGCTCCGCCTGTTACGACCGAGTCTTCAGACAACCACGAGAGATTCGTGCTCGCTTGGGTCAAGGCAAGTTCCGAGGATCCACCTGATCCACCTGATCCACTGATCCACCTGTCTTGTCGGATGCATTTGACTTGGCCCATTTGGCTCACTCGACACGGCTGACTCACTCGACACGGCTGACTCACTCGACACGGCTGACTCACTCGCACCGACTGGCGCATTTCGGCCCTGGCAGACCATGGAGACCCAACAGTCTATCCGTGAGCAACTTGAGGACGAGATCGACCGGCTGGCCAAGGTGAGTGTGGCTTGATGTGGTGTGAGGTTTGTTCCTGTTCCTGCGACAGTCGCTGCTGTTCCTGCGACAGTCGCTGCTGTTCCTGCGACAGTCGCTGCTATTCCTGCAACAGATTGCTGCTGTTCATGTGCTCAAGCCCTTCTCCCGCACTCTCGTCGTCTCTCACCAGGACATCCGTGCAAAGGACAAACGTCTCAGGATTCTCCTCCGTGAGCTCTTGCTCATCGACAAGCTGGTAGGCGGCAACCGAGTGTCTCGCCGACACACCGTCAGAGTGGGATGCGATTGGATCGGGTCGTCGGTTTGATCGAGAGCGAGATCTCATCGGGAGCGATCTGATGTGGCCAAGGATGTCCGTGCAGCGCCAACTCGATACGAGCGACTCACCGCGTTCCCTGCTGCCACTGGCTCGATGCTGACGCACCCATCTCCACCTCCAACACTCGGTCGCTGGCTCGTGTCTGGACCTCGTGTCTGACCCTCGTGTCTGCACACCATCCTCAGGATCCCACACTGGTGAGTTGGTTGACGCACGTGCTGGCACCCGATCGTGGCTCGGTTGCGAGTTGGACATGGATCTGCTCCTTCTGTCCCGGCCAGGCTGCAATGCGGCTTGCCAAACTCGACTGTCACTCGCAGCCACACCTCACTGGGCCACCACGGTTTGTCGTAGCTTGCTGACTCTCGATGCACTCGACGCCAGACCCACTTCCACGACATGATTCTGCAGTCCCCTCCCGAGACCGAGATGGTATGTGGTCCCTGGTGGTGGAGACGGCAATCGACGCGGCAGTGTCGCCCCTGCCGGCTGTCGTGTGCCTGATTGTCAGGACTGGACCATGCGCCACATCGCACATCGCACATCGCACATCGCACATCGCACATCGCACATCGCACATCGCACATCGCACATCGCACATCGCACATCGCACATCGCACATGCCGTGCTCTGCTCGCCCCCTTGGTCCAACGCACGGACCGCCACTGACTCCTCTCTCTGGCTGCGCCCATTTGTCCGTTGCCCCAACCACCCGCATTGCGCTGCACAGTCCCAAGCCTCCCCGGCCCAGACCCCTGCGTCGCGCAACAGCTGGATCGATAGCGTGTGTGACTCAGTCAAGACGGTGAGTCTGCGATTGGGGTGGGAGCAAGTGCCGTGATATGCACCGTGCATGGCGAGGCGATTGTGGCTTGCTTCTTGGACTGACACTTGAATGCCGCCCATCCGTGCTGCCCTTGCCGCCCATCCGTGCTGCCCTTGCCGCCCATCCGTGCTGCCGGTGCCATCTATCCAGATTCTGTATGTGGTTCAGGTGGCAGCACTATTTTGGATCGGCAGAATGTGTGTGATGTGGATGGACAGCGATGCCGCCAAGTCGGACCCCGACGAATCAATGGCGACAGAGAGCCGGCCCGACCTGCCGACTGCCACCTCCAGCTCGGTCCCTGATGTCCAGACTAAGCCTCAAGCGTCCTCTCGCCTGCCTGGTGGTGAGCCAAATGGTGTCTCTGCCTCGGCGCCGACGGCGGACACATCGGCCACAACATCGACAGCACGCCCTGAGGCCACACAACCGTCGATCCCTCGGCCATCGACTCCACCGCCCAACGATGACTCGAGAAACCCCAACGGCTTCACTGCTCACACTGGCTTTGCCGGCTTCACCCAGTCCACCCGCCCTGCCCAGTCCACCCGCCCTGCCCAGTCTGCTCGCTCGTCCGACTCGGCTCCAACTGGACCAAAGGCCTACGACTCTGGTTTCCGCCAGACACCGGACCCACAGCCATCCGACGACGAGGTGAGTCGGTGAACCATGCACCTGCACCAAGAAGCGACCCAGGACTGCGTGAGTTTGCTGGGATCACCATGACATTGCCCACGCATCGCGATACCGCCACATCACCGCCCATGTCATTCACACGTCAGCACCCACACACCACACCACCGCTGTCACTGATCCTGTCACTTGCTTCATTGACAGACCGAGCCCAGCGCCAAGGCCCACCGAGAGAGCAACAAACCGATCAAGGTTCCCAGGGTCCGACGCCGACCCAACGGCGGCTCTGGAGCTTCTCACGGCTCCAAGACTGCGGGCACCAGGACCACAAGCTCCAAGACTGCAGGCGCTCCCGCAACCAACTCGACTTCCACACCCACTGGTTCTCCGTTCCCAGGCACCCAGCCGCATCACCCACACCCCCCGCAGCCATCCATGTTCCCAGACACTCCGCAGTCTCACTCCTTCACGTTCACGAACGCCTCGGAACCCACGAACGCCTCGGAACCCCAGTCCTGTGCAGCCGCCGGCAGCCAACCGTATACGTTTGCATTCACAGCCTCCCCTGGTGGCCAGTCGTCAGCATCCACAGCCTCCCCTGGCGGCCAGTCGTCAGCATCCACAAGCACACCCGACAGCCGACCGTTTGCATTCGCCCAGACGCAGACGCACACCCCGTCGCAGACTCAGTTCCAGCCGTTCACTTTTGGACTCGACACTCACCTGCAGACCCCGACCCCGACCCAGGCACAATCCCAGGCACAATCCCAGGCACAATCCCAGCAGTCAGCAAGCAGCATCCCACAGTTCCATCCAGCCACGCCCGAGACTCTGTTCCAGCCATTTGCACCCGACACACCCTTCCAGCCCGTTGCAAGCGACACTCCTCCACATCGGCATCCGTTCTCGTTCACCGACTCTGTGTCGCCGCAGCCGCCTGTCTTCTCGGCCACCCCCGAGTCTCCGTCGTTCGTTCCCGAGTCTCCCTCATCGACTGCTGCCCCGGCTGCCTCGTCAGCCCATGACCAGCCCATGTCGCCTGCAAATGACCAGACACCGCCCAATGTCTCGTGGACTGAGTTCTTTGACCATGTTCATCGCACCGAGATCCTCATGGGCGAACAGGGCTTCAGCCTGAACAACCCCGACACCGCCTGCTCCCCCTGCAAACAGAACCATCCTGTTTCGTCGACCCCGGAGGATGTGGCCACACTTTTGCCAACACCCGAGTCTCCTGCAACCCCGACACAGGCACCGGACTCGGACTCGGACTTGGACATGATGGATGTCGATGAAGTGAGTCACCGACAGCCACCCTCGAGCAGCAACGACAACGACGCCGATGATATCCCTTGCTCCCAGATACTGCCTGGCGATCGGCTCGCTCGCAAATCGGATGGCACAAGTGTCACAGCCGAGACTTTCATGCCAGGCGACTTTGCATTCTTCCTGAGCCATGACAATCCTCAAGCTCTGCAGTCCCATGATGACCATGGTGTCTTGCAGTCCCATGGCGACCCGATTGGTCCTGCATCCAACACCCATTCCGACGATCCCGACGATTCTGTGCCTGCATCCATCGACGGACCACTGATCGAGCCAACTGTGGCACCGACAGCCGAGTCCTTGACGCTGCCCTTTGACAGCACCTGTGCAAGCCAACCTGAACAGCATGAACAACCCGAACAACCCGAGCAACCTGAACAGCCTGAACAACCCGAACAACCCGAGCAACCTGAACAACCCGAGCAACACGAACAACCTGAACAACGCGAACAGCATGAACAACGCGAACAGCATGAACAACCTGAACAGCATGGACAGCATGAACAACCTGAACAACCTGAACAACCCGAGCAACTTGAACAACCTGAGCCGTCGGTGCCGGCCCCCACTGGCACCTCAGTCTCCGACAAGAACGAGCTCTCGGACCTGGTTGTGCTTGATCATTGGCTGCCATCCTCCAGCGAACACTCTGTCATGGCTACTGAGCCGCTGACTCCAATCCAGGCACCATCTTGCACCTCTGCAAGCAATGAGTCTGTTCCCCCGACAGCCGCCTGCTTGTCTCCTGGGCCTGACGCCAACCATCGTCCAAACCCTGCTCCAGCATCGGAGAGCTGCGAATCCCTCGAATCCCTCGAATCCCTCGAATCCCTCGAATCCCTCGAGCTGACACCACGGCCTTCTCATCGCGAGCCCACAGTTGATATGCCTGCTTTGGATCTCGACGACATCCCAGACACCTCGTCTCCCGCCTTGCATCGGGATGATGCCACTGATCCTGCTCCTTCTGTCCCTGAGACCGGCAATGTCGCCAACCCTGCTCCCCCGACAGCAGAGGCTGCCGAAGCCGCAGATCTCCCGGCGTCTGGCTTGAAGTGCGACAACGACAACGACAACGACAACGACAACGACAACGACAACGACAACGACAACGACAACGACAACGACAACGACAACGACAACGACAACGACAACGACAACGACAACGACAACGACAACGACAACGACAACGACAACGACAACGACAACGACAACGACAACGACAACGACCCGACTCTTTCCGAGCCAGACAATCTACCCACAGCCATCGAGGTGGCAAACGACCTCGTCGACTTGCCCGAGTGCGGCGACTGTGCTGGTTCTGCCGATAATACTGTCCCCAATGAATGCGCCGGTCTCACTGGTCCCGCCGACTCACGCCCAAATGCCGACTCACACTCGACCATCGACTCACACCCGACCATCGACTCACACTCGACCATCGACTCGACCAACCCTGATGGCTTTGCTCCCCATGATTCCGCCTGTTCTTCCGACTTGGCTCCAACTGAGCCAAAGGCTTACGACCCTGGTTTCCGTCAGACGCTGGACCCACAGCCATCCGACGACGAGGTGAGCCGGCGAACAATGCACCTGCGCCAAGCAGCGACCCACGACTGTTGCATGTGCTGTTGGATCACCATGGCATTGCCCACATGCCCCAATTCCACCACACATCGCCACATCATTGCCCTCACTGACCTTGTCTCTTGCTTCATCGACAGAGAGCATCCAGTGCCAGCGTTGTTCAGGAACATGACAAGCCGATCAAAGTTCCCAAGGCACCACGACGTTCTGCTGGTGCCCCCTCACCCTATAGCTCTATCAAGTCCAGAACCACTCCCAAGGCAGATCCAAATTCTGCTTCCTCTGTTCTTCGCAGGCGCCTCCCTGCCTGAACTTTTGGGCGGATAGTCTCTTGATGTGCTCCGCAACGACCATTGTGTATCGCGATTTCAAGGTCAGGAATTGCCCAACATCCACTCTGGTTCTTTCTCAAACTTTGATCGCTTCAACTGAGGTCACCCCAATTGATTTGACCACAGATAACATGCGATTTTCATATATTGGATCTGCTTGACTTTCAATTTCACGGCACCCACCAACGCAATCGAGAACCTCGTACTTTCTTTGATGGCTATGCCGTTTAAACATGAATACATGCGCGCTCTCCTTCATAATGGCCATAGCCCCCTCGCGCTAAGATAAAGATCGCGCACTCTCACCGTTCGTTCGACCTGTATTTCTTCGTGAACAGAAATCCCAGTTTGCACGGAGCTCTCGTACTCGTCGGATGTACTCACCGCACTCCCACCAATCCTTATTAGTGTCTCGCGGAGCATAATTCGATGTGAATGTTCATGGTGCATGATCCATGTGCCTATCTTGATCCGATTTCCACAAACACGTTGTGTCCCATTTTGGGGTGGGTGCATTCATATTCACCATCAATTATTACCCTCGAGACGAGGTGCACACATACTCGTCAGGGACTGGAGTTACAATAGCCAAATGCAGCAGAATAGTCACCGACGCGCCACCATCATGTGCATAGGCTCATTGGAGTTCTCGGTCAGGTTTTCCTTGGGCACTCTGACCTATTCATTTCGCCAACCCCTCAGTATCCCGGATCAAACCAAGAGCTGAAGGATTATCCCATGGAACCACAGTTACGAATACAAGCTACGAGTGAGCCACTTCTAGTTTTTTCACGAGGTTTTCAGTTGGCCATGAGCTCCTTCACAGAGCCCTCAGATATTCACAATCTCTGCTTTAGCATCAAGCGGTGCGACTTGTCTCAAAGCAAATTTCTTTTCTCATTCGTCATCGTCGCTGCCGTAGTCCACCAATCCCAAGCTTGCCGAAGTGGAAGATTTGGCGTCCTTGAGTGCTTTCGTATATGTTGCTGCTTTGGCGATATATTCCAGAGACGATTTTGAAAAAAGGGATGAATTGGGGGCCGAGATGGTTGTAGTCACAGCTAGTCCTGGGTGCGGGACGTTGCTGCTCTGCTCGCTGCTTTGTTCAGTGATGGCACTCGAGACAAGCTCGCTGCCTGCTGTTGCTAGAGGTTGTTGCGCATCCGGCTCCTGGAGACGGCCATCGGAATCTGATTCCTGTGATGCAAGCGGTTCCGTAACGGTTTCAGATACTTTCGGTTTCTTGGCTCCTCCGGTCTCGAGCGGCTCTGGATGGCTCTCTGCGTAGCCGTAGTAGCTATAGTATTCGTTCCAGTATTTTGCATATGCCTCCTGCGCCACAGGATCGGTTGACTGCGATGGGTCGAATGTGGTTGAGGAATAGAGCGTGGCGTGCTGACTTTGACCGTCTGCGACACCATATTTGTCGTTTGCATAATATCCTGCTTGTGGATTTCCATAGTAGCCTTGGTATGCGTAGGAGCCGGCTGGGTCGGTGTAATAGTTTCCATAATCCAGAACCGTTCCAAGCTCGCCAACTACGGGTAGGGACTCGTACATCTTGGTGGCAGCAAGTTCCTGTGCTTTGCGTTTCTTGGTTTCCTGAGCTGCGAAAGCATGCGCATACTGCAGGTGTTAGTATCGCTCAAGCATGGCAACTCTATCTGCAAAGGCGTGGATCTGTCATTCTTGGGGAGGGCTTCAATCTATGCCTGAATACGCAGCCGCGTTGAGCAGACACTACAGATACCGGCGTTGCTTTTGATATGCTCCTTCCTTTGAAAATGCAGCGAGGCCAGCCTTACCCTTGGGATTGGGGTTTTCCGAGGCCCACCGGACGTTCAAGACTTCGTTTCGGTCAAGGGCTTGGCCATACATGGCTTCTTTGGCAAACTGGGTTGGAGTGACTGCATAAGCTTTGATGGCGCACTGCAAATGATATGCCGCCCCGAGGCAATACAATTCCACGGCATGGGCCACGATACTTGCCGCACGCCAGTTCCATTAATCTCGGCTTACCTCTGCGTTGGCGACATTCTTGTACTGCACAAAGGCAACTCCCTTCTGATCCAGGCAACGCACGGACTCGAGCTCTCCCCATTCGCCAAAGTGCTTCCGAACAACATATTCCATATCCTTTGTGGCAGAGACGTGGCCGACATAGAGTGTTTTGTTTCCAGTTTCGAACGAGCCCACTGCACCGAGAAATAGATCGTTAATGGGGTCTCGAAGGTAAACTGTATCCCGGCCTAACGATGCACGCACACAATTACCTCCGCCCATGTCGTCTCGTTGTTCGCTGTGTTGAGCCACTGATTAGGCGAAATGATAATACTCTGTCTGGTTGTGCTGCTGCGATCGGTGACGGTATGCCATCCTACCGGTGTTTTTCGCGGCCGAAAGCGTCCCTGGTGGCTTCGATTCTATCCGTGTCGCCTGGGAGTCTGTGCAAGTACTGAGGTATGGTAGTGTAGACGGAACTCGATCAGCAGCGGGCTCGGACCCGGTGGACGGCCCTCGGCGGAATCGTTGACTGTCACCACTCGAGCTTGATACCCGATGATCTCGGCGTGGTATGAATGTCCTGGGCACTGGCAGTTGCTAACCCTCGACCGATCGAGTGTGTGTGCCTCGTTGGTTTGCCCAATACCCGAGTGTGCTCTGGTCCGTCGTTTCCGCCTCTGGCCTGTCCTGCCCATCCTTGCTCATGCGTTTCTCGTCAACAAGTAATCGCTGACTCACCGTGCATTCGTGGCCCCTGTGGCAGCATCCCCGGGCAAAGTGAAGACAAAACAGCGAGTCCAGGTTCGCGGCCTTGGTGTATCCGGCATCCTTTTCGATGCTGCATCTGGTGGTCGCCTTCTCGAGCCTAACAGCCGAAGGCGTGAGTCCGTTGATTCAGGAAAATCTACAGATGCTCTCCTGGAGATTTCACAAAGCAGCCATATGCCGACATGATGCAGAGAACGGCATACGGGTCCATGGCTCACCTTTGACCCCTTCCGCTGTCTCCGCTGTACCGCCCATACCAAATGTTGTCTGAGCAGGAAATGTCAAGGCAGGTTTTAGACCTCCACTCACCCCAGCACATGAACTGTTCGATGAGTAGAGTGGTTCCCATCGATGGGCGTGCGTCGATTTGCCCTCGCTCCCGGGTTCCCTACATGTCCCGGATGTCTCGTTCACAGTTCTCGTTGAGGGCTTGCTGACCTGGAGAATAGACCGGTCGAGCCCACACGGCCGCAAAACTAGATCAGAGGTCGCACATTGATAATGATGCTCAGATTCCGCAGCCTTTCTGGCGGCACGAACCAGCTTGCCAATGGTGCGCGATCGATCTGGTCTTGGGTCTCGCGCCTTGATGTGCGGCATGGACAGCAGCACCGGGGGCGAACAAAACACCAGACAGCAGCACATACCTGCTTGCGGGCTGGTCGATCTATGAACTTTAACGGATCTGGGATGCCATCCGGCTTTGGGAAGCGGGCTGCCCGCTGGCTTGCCGTGATGGACATGCTGGTGCAAGGATCTGTCGGATGCTCGGTGATGCCAGGTGATGCTCGGTGATGGGCGGTGTTGGCTGCAGATGTGTTGGGCGGTGTTGGGTTGTGGCTCAGGACGGATCCAGCCGAGACAGCCGCCCTCGACCCGGATCCAGCCGCCCGAGGACGTGTTCCGACACCAACGGAGACGCCCTCCGAGCCGCCCTGTCCAAGTCCCGCGGGCCTGCAGTCAAAAGCCGGCCTGGACAGCGACTTGGGCCGCAGGAAGCATCCTGATCACCGCGAGGTAAGCGCCTCAACATGCACGCGGGCACATGCAGGCCCACGTTGCTGCAGATGCATGTCTTATGCAGAGGGTCCACGGGCCTCGGCGAGGATTTCTCGCTTGGCGCCCGATGATTCGTCTGTCCATCATGCTGACTCACATTTATGATATATATACTTGATCAACCTCGTCGGCTCGCTCTCGATCGCTCGCCGCCAACGACCGACACAGCACCCAATCTTCCCTTCTCGATCCTCAGGTAGGCCGCCCAATGTCCGGCTTGCTTGGCTCCCCCGGCTCATGCCCAGGTGTGCCCTGCTTCTGACCCCTGTTGTCCAGCCATGCTTTCGCAGTTTACTCGCCGCATCGGAACATCTGCCGTGCGCGTTGCCATGCAAACCACCGCGGCCCGCACCTTTGTCTCGAACCCAGTGTCGGTACGTTATTTAGCGGCAGGGCGATCGATCGAGTCATTGGACTCTGCATTGAGAGCATCCCACTCTTTCGACCGCGGTCGCTGGAATCTTGGCACAATATCGATCATGAATTGACCGTGTCTCGCGGCGCCGACCATCGACTTGTATTCGCCAGTCCAAGCTGTGGTCTCTTGGAGCTCTCAACCACGTTGCCATCGCAGTGCCCGACATCGACAAGGCCACGACATTCTACCGCGATGTGATGGGTGGCAACTGCAGCGAGAAAGTGGTAAGTCTCGCTGCCATCCATCCCTGTGCTTGGCCAGCAGAGCTGCGTCGGTGCCAACTTCTGGTCCTCCACCCACCGGCATCCAGCCCCTCCCAGAGCATGGCGTCTACACTGTCTTTGTTCATCTCGGAAACACCAAAATCGAACTTCGTAAGTCTTGGGCCTGAAGCAGGCCCTGAGGGAGTGCTGGGACGCGATGCTGTGGCATGAAATGCGCTCTCGCTTGCATGTCATTGCCCGGGCTCATGCCTTCCCGTCCTCCCTTGTCCTGCGTCGCCTGTGGCCCGACGCAATTCCACTTTCTTTCCGGACCCACCCGACGATTCTGCCGTGGTTGTGGGCCTCAGTCTACCCGTTAGGCGAAAAGAGCCCAATTGAAGGATTCCTGAAGAAGAAGCCCGAGGGTGGTATCCACCATATCTGTATCGAGGTGGGTATTGCGCTCTCTGCTTGCGTGTTGTGGTTTGGGGAACACAACACTGACGAATGTCCTGACTTGCCCGTAGGTCGACGACGTCAAGGCTGCTATCGTAGATCTCAAGACCAAGGGCATTCGCTCGCTGGATCCCGAGCCCAAGATCGGTGCCCATGGCAAGCCCGTCGTCTTTTTACATCCTAAGGACTGTGGTGGCGTTCTGGTGAGCTTACTTTGACCGAATCTCGTCATGCACACATATGAAAGTACGGGCGGAATAGGAGCCTTGGTTTGACACTCTCAATAACACACTTGTAGGTCGAGCTTGAGCAGCGCTAAACGCTGGATTGCGATGCCAGCCTGGTGCCCCTGCCTGCTGTCACACCAGGAGAAAGCGAACCATCGCAGTCTCTGACGATACAGGCTGTTGCTCACCGGCGCTGAATACAGCTGGTTTTTCTTTCTTTTTTTTTTTTCTTTTCCAAGAGCACCTGGAAAGCGGTGGCTTCACTTCACTATTAATATCATCCCCTGACAACGGGAAACTCGTATTTTCAGGGGACACATGATAGCGTAGTATGCGATGGCATGCGTCTAACTATGCCATAAGAAATACATCAAATCACTTTGGCAGCCTCCGAGTGAACACCACCGGTCGCTCTCCGGTCTCCACAATCGACCTGCACACTGTGATCATGTTGCGCGCCGCATTGACGTCGCGATTCCACACTGTCCGGCAGCTGGGATTCTTGCAGCTCCTGACAAAGTGGGAATTCGCAACACTGGGCGCATCGAGTCCTTCCAACCGAACTGGCTCCAGGCACTTGGAGCACACTTGCGAGGTGTTGAACTCGTTCGTCGAGGCCACCTTGACGCTTCCATGAGGGTGATTGGGACGGCGTCGGTGGTGCTCGAATTGCTCAAAGTACCGAGCAAACCGCTGCCTCCGAGGGCTGGATGCATAGCCCTTGCCTTGTCGCCATGATGCATTGCCAAAGGCGATCACCACATCGGTCCGTATCGGGGCGTGCTTCAGGACGGCCTTGCACATCCTGTCGACGGCCACTTGGCGCCTCTTGTGGCCCATGAAGCGATGGTGACGGGCCTTCTTGCCAAGGTGGAAGTCGAGCTGCACCCGAAGCTCCGGTTGCAGGACATGGGTGAGATGGACCTTGAAAGCCTCCGAGGACGACACCTTGGGCGAGGGGGTGGTCGACATCCAGGTCTCGATGCCGAGTCGATACTTCATGGTGTTGTGCCACTTGGTGTTGGACGTATGGCCACACATTTGCTGGTAGTGGCCATTGGAGAACGAGACCACCTCGTCTTGGTGGCCCGGTGCTTGGATGACCGCCGTGAAGATGGAGCCGACTCCAGGATCGATGCCAATCCAAGTGGTCTTGTCGGGGTCTGGGTTGCCGATGTGGGCCTGGATGCGCTGCTCGGCAGTCGGAGGAGGCTCGGAGGTCTCGGTGTGATCGGTTCGAGGCAGAAACTTGACGAGACCGATGGTGCATCCAATGCCATCGGTGCTGATCTCGTAGTTGAACAGCTTCTTGTTCACGTCCCGCTCTTGGAAGAGGGAACTACGCAGCTTGAAGCAACTGCGCCAGAGACGATCCTGGTTGTTGACACCGTCATCGCCTTCTTCCTTGAGCATGTCCCAGGTGAGTCCAAGGCGCTTCTTTGGACCCAGGAGTTGCCAAAGAGTGACAGTGTCGATCTTGACATACTTGGCCCTTGCAGTGCATAGAGGAACCATCGTGCACACGGCCGGAGGAGTGTCGAGAGCGAGCTGCTTCAGTGCCCACTTGATCCTGGATGCCAGCTTGTTGATCTTGGCCTTGGTGGTGCCGAGCTCAGACTTGGCCGTGGTGAACCTCTTGTCGTCGGAGGGAATGCCTCTGGCAGTGAGCTTGTCCAGCTTGGTCTGGCGCTGCAGCTCGGTGACTCGGAGGGCGGGCATGTCGTGGTTGCTCCATTTGTGGACATTGTCGACCATCTTGTCCCGGGCGAGGATTCTCACATGGTGTGAGAGGCGATGGAGGGCCCGGAAGTGGTCCTGGTCATTGCTGTACCGAAACTTGTCCAGGATGTGGCCAAACTCGGGATAGCGGAACTCGAGATCGGCCTTGGTGGCGACTCGACCCCAAATGCTCTCCCACGCTCAATCAGTCGTGGGAAGACATCTTGTCAAGGTGAGTCTTGCCTGATAGCCAAACGATCATGTCATCTCGCTGACACACAGCCACGCTTGACTAGGTTTCCAACCAGAGAGATTCAGATGGTGGTGGTACTTGTCCGCAATCGGAGTGGAGCTTCCAACAATGATACAATTGGTCATTCCTCCACACCAATCGCCCACCACCACCGTCAATCGGCTCAAGACGATACCAAATGCCGTCAACCCACAGTGGATTCATTCCAACTTTTGCTGCGCCACAAACAATGTGACTTTCAGGTGACCGAGATGAGCAGCCGCGAGACTGGAAAGTTGATTGTGGTCCATGTCCTCGCGGGCCTCGCCCCTGGTCGAACTGCTTGCACCGCCCATCTCGTTCTGCCTGCTGACTCGCCTGCCCGCCGGCCCGCCATGACAATCTACAACATATACATCTTCGATCGAAAGTGCGCATGCATCTATTTCTCGTCGTGGAATGTAGACCCGGGGCTCAAGGGTGACAGCCAAGAGTATGACGAGATGCCGCTCAACCCCAGCAAAGCGAGAGGCACCCTCTCAGGCACACAGGAAATCGCATGGGACGAAGAGGTCAAGCTGGTGTATGGCGTTATCTTTTCGCTCCGGAACTTTGTCAGCAAGCTTAGCACAAAACAGCCGTATGTGGATCTCGTCGAGCGGCTTGCAGGGTGGCTGGCTGGAGAGACAGGGCTGTCGATCTTGCGATTCAAGGCGAGCGGGACGGGCGCCGAGCAATAAACAGTGCTCAACCGCTGCATTCACCTCCGGTTGCGGCGTTGCTATCCTGTGATCTGCGACGACGGTCTGTTGACTCTTTCTGGCCATCGACAACAGCAAGGACTGCTTCACATCGTACCGAACAAAGACCTACAAACTGCATTTTTTCGAGGCGCCAAGTGGGCTCAAGATCGTGATGAGCACCGATCCGAACATGGACACTCAGCGCGAGGCACTGCAGCTGATCTACTCAAACATTTACGTGGAGTATGTGGTCAAGAATCCTCTGCAGGGACCGGGGCCGATTCGAAATGATCTCTTCAAGCAGAAGCTGCACCAGTTTGTTCGGAGTCTGCCTGGATTCTGAGAAGGGCGTCTGTTTGCGAATACACGGCTGGTGCTGCGATGCCGCCAAAGAGGCTCGCTTTGCGTAAGAAGCAGTCGCCACCAAAAGAGCCCAAGGAGGATGCGGAAGCGTCGGTGCGCCGTCGATCTGGCCACGATGCCACGATGCCACCAGAGACGGCCAATCGCGAGAATACGCTTCGCTGCATCGCAGGACCATGGATGCATGGGCGAGATGGCCGAGATGGCCGAGGATCGCCAGGACGGGCTGGCGAACACGGCGTGGGCATCTGGTCCCGGGGCTGCCTGTTTGGGGATCGGCACAACCACTCCGAGCCGGCTTTGGTGCGCCGGACGGATGCTGCCGGCGACGATTCCTGCGCGTTCGGATGTCGCTGCCGTTGCCACTGCGACCGCCTGTTCCAGCACCGCGGGCGATGCCAGCCGACTGCTGCTGCTGCTGTTGCTCTGATGCTGCTGCTGCTGCTGCTGCTGCTGCTGCTCTGATGGCCGTTCTCGCGGTGTTGTGGGCTCGGGTTGAGCCTGAATCGACACCAGTTCAGCCAGCGCGGTTGTGACTTGCGTGACAGCCGCACAAGCCACACCGCTCCGGTCGGGAGCCAATCGTGGGTATTTAAGCCTCGCCGATCGCCGCCGTCGCGAGCTCCGTTGCTGCTCTGCCGACCAGATCGACGTTGCACCGTCCTCCTCCGCTCCCCACACAGCAGGCTCTTCGATCGCACCAGTATGTTCACGGCCAGACCCTTCGCTGCCCTTGCCCGAGCGTCGGTCGCCGCTCCGGCGTCGGCCCGACTCCGATTCTTCGCCACGGCCTCGGCCCTCAAGGACCTCTCCGCCAAGGACATCAAGATCACCCAGACCACCAAGAGCAAGGAAATGCTTCCTCTGAAGGATCTCGTCTTTGGTCACACCTTCTCGGACCACATGCTCATTGCCGAGTGGGAGGCCACCAAGGGCTGGGCCAACCCCGAGATCAAGCCCTACGGAAAGCTCTCGCTTGATCCCTCGGCCACGGTGTTCCACTATGCGATCGAGTGCTTTGAGGGCATGAAGGCGTAAGTGGCGCTTTGCTTGCTCATCACACTCACCGTCGCAGCTGTACAAGGGCCGGGCATCGAAAGGTCAACTTGTTTGCAGCGAGTAGCACTGGCTGCCAGCCGGCCGCACAACTCACTAACGAGCCCCGATCCCGATCGCTTTGCTGGAATGTGCATCGTGGCCATCGAACGGCACACGCCAACGGATTTGTCGCTGTGCAATACTGCACCTGATCCAATCACTGCAAACAATCGCGCTTGCTGGAATCAAATCTCGATCGCCGTCCTCCAAATGACTCTGTCGGCCCGTGTTCACTTCGCCAGCTACAAGGACAAGGAGGGCAAGATTCGTCTCTTCCGCCCCGACATGAACATGAACCGGCTTCTGCGTTCGTGCAAGCGTCTCACCCTCCCGGCCTTCGATAAAGATGAGCTCCTCAAGTGCATCAAGGCTCTCCTGAAGGTCGATTCCAAGTGGATCCCGGGCGAGCGTGGCTACTCCCTCTACATCCGGCCCACTGCCATTGCTACTCAGGAGTCTCTCGGTAGGCACATGTTGCATCGTGAGCTGGGTCTGCGCTTGGATCTTTACCAGACCGCCTCAGTCAGAGTGGCTCGGTACCAAGCTCCTGTGCTGACGACGGTTCTACCAACAGGTGTTGGTGCCTCCAACAAGGCCATGATCTTTGTCATCGCCTCTCCCGTCGGCCCCTACTACAAGACCGGATTTGCCGCTGTGTCCCTCTACGCCACTACCAAGTACGTCCGCGCCTGGCCCGGTGGCACGGGCGATGCCAAGATCGGCAGCAACTACGCCCCTGGCATCCGCCCTCAGATCGAGGTTGCCCAGCAGGGCTACCAGCAGAACCTGTGGCTCTTTGGCGATAACGTCACCGAAGGTGGGTAACCATGTGGCCACTCCCGAGCAGGGTGTCCTGTGGCCATTGTCGCTGCGGTGCAAGATGCCCTGTGTATATAGCCAGTGCTTTTTGGCTGCAGCACTTACTGACACGCCGATCGCGACTGCCACGATGCACAACCAGTCGGCACCATGAACTTCTTCGCCCTCTGGAAGAACGAGGCCGGTGAGACCGAGCTCATCACCCCTCCTCTCGACGGCACCATCCTTCCCGGCGTCACCCGCGACTCGATCCTGACGCTTGCGCGCGAGTGGAATCAGTTCAAGGTCACCGAGCGCCCCATCACCATGTCTGAGCTGGCCAAGGGTGTCAAGGAGGGCCGCGTTCTTGAGATGTTTGGTGCCGGTACTGCTGCCATCGTCAGTCCCATCAAGAACATCAACTACAAGGGCGAGGATCTTGCTATTCCTCTGGATCCCAAGGACCCCACCAGCCAGGCCGGCCCGTGGACCAAGAAGTTTGCCGATGTGATCATGGGCATCCAGTACGGCGAGATCCCCCACAAGTGGTCTGTTGTTGTCGATTAAATTACCACCATAACGGCTGGAGCATGAAAAACTTTGCTATCTTCGATTCTGGTGCCAGCAGGCAGGCGTGCTTTGTGGCCGCAAGCCTCCTCACTTGGGCCCCTGGCTGCGCTCTTGGTTGCTCTGCTTGCTCCTCTTTGTCTGCCTCCTCTACCCACTTTGGGAACCCTCGATCATTTCGGCACGGTGGCAATACATGATGCCTTGTACGACCCCAGCCGTTCAGTCCAATGAATCGGCATTTGACCGCTGGCAATCGACCAGCCATGTCGAGGGATCACTTCGGTGGGGTACTGGATTTGGTGGCCTAGTAATCCTGGAAACGCCTGAGTTGAATTGCAGTCGACACCACCCCGATTTGTATCGAGGTCAAGCATACAGCATAATCTTGATTACAGCCTCTCAGGCACCGTAGTTACTGAACCAGACGACTCGTGGTTGGCTCTGGAGTGAAGGGTTGGATTCGGGACGGTGGTGTGCTGAATCGCCACCTTTGCTCCACATCGCGATCTGATCAACTGAGTATCCGGCCTCAGGGTGCCCGCCGGACAGCCTAGCTATTGCTTATCACTGCGTTACCACATCGATGTTATCCACTTCCATGGGAAGAGGGTACTTTCGGGCTGTTTTGGCTGTTTTGGCTGTTTTGGCGGGCAACTCGCCCTGTGGCAAGCCTTTGGCTGTCGCCGCAACTGTGCACGCCGTGGCTTGACCGTCGACTCGGTCACCTCTCTTGTCTCGGAGCGAATGGAGTCTTATTCTTACGAGGAGGATGAGTTCGAGGCTCCGGACAGCCCCATAGCCTCTCAATGCAGTGCCCCGGTCGCGATCGAGGACGGAGGTCTGGCTTTCGGCCGCAGAGATCGCGAGTATCGCAGTGACCATTGGGACCACAGCGACATCGAGGAACACGGCGACTTTGAAGACCACGGCGATTTTGAAGACCCCGTCATCGTTAGGAGTTCGTCGGTGCAACTTCTCGAATCCGACCCCGACGTCTCTGCCACCCAAAAATCAGTTGGCACACCGCTGGAGCCCGAGCGTGATGCTTTTCCGACACATGCAGATCCGCCAGGCGCGTCGCCCATGAGCCCCCCAGTTGATCCTACGGCACTGGCTCATTCAGGGCACAGCACCTTGCAGGGCGACTCGATGCCGGCCAGGATTCCAGTCAAGCGGAGTCTGGTTCGGGGATGGTCCACGAGCAGCCTTCAGACAGAGCCGCCGCCTCCTGTTCCAGATGACAATGAGCGCAGGTCGATGAACTTTCCCGCGCATCCACCTGAGTCCGCACTACTTTCACCCGATTCAAGCTCGGGCGACGACATAGTCATCCACAACCGAGCCTGGGCTCGGCATCCGAATGTTCGGCGACACCTCCACCGTCCGAATCGTCTCCTTCACAACTCCGAATCTGAGCTTGGAAATGCCGTCCAAGATCAAACTTCCCAGCATCGCAATCCAACAAGCGACCAACCCGAGGACTCTGATGCGCTGCTGTTCACTCGGAGGAACCACAGAATATCTGGACTTGCCGCCTCGCCAAGCCCCTCGATATCACCCAGCACCCGTTCCTGTGAGTCCGACGACTCCCCAGCACACCACAACGCTCACATCTTGGCTCGTCTCCCCGCGCAGCCGACCATCAACACATCCATCACCAACGCTGCAGCTACTACAGGTCCAACCCAGCCAGCCGCAGCTCGGTCCTCAGAAAGCAGGGCCAATGGGGCCTTGGAAAGAATAAGACGGATTCGTATTCCCGTGGCTTCTTCCCATGAAGCCGCCGACGGGACCGACCTCCAAACGGTTGCTGCGGCGCCGCGCACCAAGTCCCAACCTCATCTCAGCCGTCCTCCGTGGAGGCCATCTAACATCAACTGTGCCACTTACCATGACCCGGCAACGCTCACCAGCAGAAAAAAACCGGCGTCAGTCCCCCGCGTCACCCAATTTCAAAAGGTATTTGCTATAGGGCGTAGAGCTGCAGCAGGGCAGCAGCGAGTCGCAGGATAGACCCGGCTGGAGGAGCCAAGAGCAAAACACATGCACAGTTGCGACCACCGCGCTCGAAAGGGAGATTAAATAGATACCCCCTCTGCTTTTTTTTTTAGCTGAATGTCAAGCGTCGACCGGCATTTGCTGTTCCCTCCGGCTCGGTCCTGGGGAACGCTGAAAGGCTCAAGCAGGCCCACGACCGTCGATGCATGGTGCTCTCAGCCAAAGACCATCCGCCATTTCAGTCGCAGGTGATGCATCAGTACAACCTTCGAGCAGCCTCGAGAAGGAGACAAGTAGTCAGCCAACTGCAGCACCGATACAGCCAGCGAACCAAGATTACCTCTCGCACCCGGATGGATCGTAAGTTGCACGCTGCTCCTGCTCCTGCTCCTCTGGATCCAATTGGACGATGTGCAGTAGCCATTACCGGCGGTGACCGCAGCAGCCACCTCAGCTTATCCATCTCGAGAGAGTTTCCCGACGGTCGCTAATCCAGTTTGTGTTGTCCCAGCCAAGTTCCTGGTTCGCCGTTCGCCATGGACAACACAAAAGTCAGGTTTTGTCTCAGAGCAGAGCGTTGCGGTGTGGAACAAATCCAGCCGGCTCATGGGCCGCGTTGCTCCTGCACAAGCACCAAGGATGCCTCAGATGCACCATCCTGATGATCGGCCGGAACCAAAGTCCTCAACGCCAGCCGCTCTGCGTCGGGAAGTCGCTGATGATCCTGTTTCGGAGCTCGAGCATCGGTTAGGTAAGCACGCCCATTCTTCTTGATCGAGACTCGAAGAGCTGCTGTGACCTGCTATCACCACTGCAGGGACTACTCCTCACCAGAGTTGCGCCTCGTGTATGTTTTATAGTGAACCTTCGGTGCACGGTCGAGACAAGCGCTGCTTCTGGGACTCGGGCCTTTGTTCGCCAGTGTATCGAGCTCTCTAGATTCTGGATTAAACAGGACAACTATCGCGAGGCACTCTCAATGCTGTTGAGAGGTAGGGAGGCCGTCCAGCGGTCACTGAACGACAAAGCCCCCACGGCTACAACGGGTGGAATCGATGAGAAGAATCCGCTGGCTGCTTTGGACGAGTCGATTCGGATGGATGCGATTCTGAATAAGCTTATCAATATACTGGTCCACGTTCGGCTATTGGGAGTCAAAGAGAACGTTCGGAAGCTCAAGCTGCGAACGACTTGATTCGACAGCCGGCGTCTTCGGACGACGGCTCATCCAAAATGAAACTGGACAGCTATTTGTATATCTTGTAATTGGGAATACACATCAATCCATCACTCATACCAGCTCTGGATTGCTGCTCTACGGTGCAGCCGATTGATCTACAGAGCTCTATTCGACATCAGCTGCCATTCAATCTGGAAGGTTATTGTGGGAGACCAGGTCATCGCAGACTGTACTGTCAAAATGGAAACGGGTGCCCCCGTTTTGTATCATCCACTGCGATATCGCGAGCGTGGGAACGGCACCGCCATGACCCCTTTCGTCTGTCCGGATGCTCCGGATCGCGGATTGCTGAAAGTCCGGCTGGCTGGCTGGCTATCGGCCAGCACCGCGCCGTCTCCGAGTGTCCGGTTCTGATATTCTGGGCCTGTTGGTCTTCAAAAGCTGCCCAGGTTCGCTTGTGGCACTTGTCTCTCACCTCATCGACTCTTCAAATGCCTCAGACGACCGCCTCGCCATCAAGGGGCCTCGCTGAGCCTCTCGCTTCGCGATCCACAAGCACCTCCACCCTCCAGCCGCAGAGATGGTGGCAGAAGCCCCGAATGAAGACCCTGGTGCCTGCCGTCGTTGTCCACATCCTTGCCACAGGCATGCTGACGATCCCGCTCCAGTTCTTCATCCTGAGAGTCATCTGCTCCGCAACCAGAGATAGCAACGGCGATGCTGACTGCAGCTCGCCGGAAGTTCAGGTATGCTATCGCCGAGTATGTCCCAACCCCGTCTCGCACGGGCTGGATGCGCTTGGATTGTCGGCGCTGGTCTTCACCACCAGAGGGCCGACCGATGGCTGCGATCATGCTGGTTGACATCATGCTTGACGGCCGGCCTTATGGGTAACCCACTGAGTACTCCATGTCGACTTTGTAATGACCTGGTGACAACCCTCGGCTCGCGGCACTGCCCGCACCCCCATCCTTGCTTCGAATATCCAAGTCTATCGTCGCAAGGTGGACAACCATGTTGTCGCTCTCTATGGCAATCCCGGGGCTGTTCGCCGTTCCAGTTGTTGGCGCACTTTCAGATCGCATTGGCCGCAAACCCGTCATGATGCTGCCGATGGTTGGCACGCTCATGGGAACAGTTACTCTGGTTATCATCGGGCACTACAACCTCAGCCTGTGGCCCTTGGTGCTGATCCGACTGCTGGGCGGGTTCCTCGGGACCTATGGCCTCTTGACCATGACCGCCCACGCATACATCGCCGATGTGTCGCCACCGGAGTCCAGGACTCGGAAGTTTGCAATCCTGGAGGCCTTCACCATTGTCGGGTTCATGTTTGCGCCACTGCTAGGGGGATATCTTGGCCAGGTATGCAAGTTTGCAAAGTGTTTGCCGGGTGGGCTGGCAGTGACTGCTCTGTGGGGGATCGCAAGATATCAGTTTCTCAATTCCCTGTTGATTGCAGATCAGCACCATGGACGTCTTTTACCTGTCCGGCATCATGCATATCATACTGCTGGTGTATGTAGTGCTTGTTCTTCCCGAGTCCTTCAAGGATCCGAGGCAGCGACTTGCGCACTCGGGCGGCTCGGTCTCGGAGACATCTGTTCTTATTCCCAGCGAGGTTCTCGTAGCAACCGCAACATCCAATGTCCGCCATGCTTCGCAATCCGGATCGCTTCTGGATAGCCTTCGCGAGTTTGTCCAGTCGCTGGCCAGCGTAGTGGAGGAGATTGCGACGAACGGCAAGTCCTCCATGCTCCTGATCCTCGTGGCGATCCTTTTCTTCTCCATGTCGGTCTCTGGAACAACCACCGCTCTGCTGATATACACCAACTACCGGTTCGGGTGGAGTTCGCTCCAGATAGCCGAGTTTCTCTTCTTCCGGTCTTCGCTGCGAGCCTTCAGCGTCAGCTTCGTGTTGCCTCTGGTCCTGCGAGGAATCGAGCACATTTGTCGTATCCGATCTGCCGAACTATTGATCGTCAAGATTGCCCTCCTGATCAGCTCGCTGGCGCATGTCATCCTCTTTGCAACCACCAATGAATGGGTGTTCTGCAGTGGTAAGCAATCGACTAGCACAGAGTATATCCCACGAGGCGCCCGGAAGACCCAAGTCCGACTCTGTTACTGAGATTCGGCTCCGTCAGTCCTCATCTTTGACAGCGTCTCGGTCCTAGCGCTGCCCATCACAAAGTCACTACTCTCCCGCAACCTGTCAAGCCACATTCAAGGACGACTGTTCTCTCTCGTGACCCTCATCGAGCAAGCCTCATACATCTGCTCTATCGTTCTCTTCGGCATCGTCTATACCGCCGCCGTGGGCACTTCTCCAAGCCTGATTTTTCTCGTGGATAGTCTGTTCCGCTTCGCGGCGGTTGTGATGCTGCTCTTCTCAGCACCGCAGCGTCGGCAGTTTGGCGAAGCGCTGGACGAGGAGGATCCAGATGTTATCGGAGAGGGGCGCCCTGCGGGCATGCCGCTGCCGCTGGAACATTTTATTGCCGCCCATATTGAAACGGGAGACTGCGACATGTGGATGGCCTGGGCGACTTTTGTGGGTTGAGTACAGCGTGTTGAAATAACAATGGGACACATCACATCCGGTCAAGTGGGTCAAACCATTTCCCTGTGAGGGAGATGCATGGAGTGAGTGGGCACGACAGGGACCAGCGAGCCGCTGCAGATGCAGCCACTGCAAGTCAGAGCAAGAAGACATACCTGGGATGAGGGAGGATGATGCAGGGTAAAGAGCGATATCGCTGGTTTGGGTACCGATCAAAGCCGCTCAACCAGATCGATCAGCATCAACCGATCCACAAGCCATCCGTGTGTGAAAGTTCGTAGCATCCGGTTGTGTTTGTAGACACGTGGTGGACATGCATGTATTCAGGATCCAGAAATGACCAATGTCCTCAAAGACAATGCAGGTTCTTTCATTTGGTGGGTACGGTGAGACAAGTGGAAACAGAGCTGGACGGGAACCAGAGTCACAGACCCCCCCCCCTGAGTATTGTCGGCCGCCTCTGTGATGGGCACAACAGCTCACATGGCGACACCGGCGCCTGGACAGCGATTCCATGCCAGGGGCCAACCGCTGATCGCCGAGCCCGCGGCTGAAAACGATGCGAAAGTTGGACACGAGGAGAGGCCCTCTCGACCTCAGCTTTCGCCGTGAACATGGAAACTAGCGAAGGGGGGGGGAGGGCAGTACAAAGTCAGACAATCGAGCCAGACAGCCACAGTCGCTACGACCGAATGCGGGCGAGTAAAACATGCGTCGGCCTTGGGATCAGACAATGTCCACACTCGACTCACCAGTTCGAACATATGCGCTTTTGATCTCGCGTAAAGCTGCAGCCGCATCTGCGGCAGTTACTGCTGTCCGAGATGTCGATCAAAGGCTTGATTCCAGGCTTTCTTTCTCGCCCTTCGCGGGTGACTGAGCGCGAGCGTTGCTGAGGGGGCTCGGAGCCCTGCTCCTCACGCCGCCTTCTTTCTCGGCGCTTGCGCTCCGCCCGTTCAGCTTCAGACTCGCCATTACGGCGTCCAGGCGCATCAGAGTACTCGCCTTCCCTGCCCCGCGACTGCTCTCCTGGTCGAATCTTGGGCGATCCTCGCGCCCGGCGATGGGCCCGCTCCTCGGACTCTGAAAGCCCACTATCCGCCTGGGGGCGAGGTTTCGAAGAGCTGTGTGGTGTATCCTGGTGCGGGTATCCAGATTCGTCAAAGGCCAACAGCGGTTTTCCTATTGCTCGTTCGCCACCGGCCGGCGCGCTATCCTTCCATCGCGAAGGGCTCTTCTGAAGTGAGCAAAAGATGGACCCGCATCAGTGACCACGTCAGCCGAAACTAGAGTCTCAACACAGATCCTGTCAAATCATAAGTGAATGCGGAGGTGTATCCCGAGTATGCAACCAGGGAGTAGCTGCAACGCGCCAAGAGCGGATGGGTTCTGCTGAGGGCAAGTGTTCCAAAGCTCTACTGACCATACGATCGAAGGCTCCTCTTCCGTAAGGAGACGAAGTCTGGAACAAACGGTGCAAGATATCTGTTAGCCATCACGTAGGCCAGCTCTTCGTACTCACCGACATGATATGTAAACGGGTGGTCGTGTGACTGACGCAGAGCCGCTAGACAGAGCCCGCCTCGCGACAAATGCAAAATACACCCGCTACCTCTTCAGCGCGATCGCGACGGGACATTCGATGATCGGGGAGGCCTGCGTTGGCGACATGGCCTGAAGAATGGGTCCCAGAGAGGATTGGGTTCGGTTTCAGGACGTCTTCCTTCTGGAACTTGCGCAGCCGTCGCTCATATGCCTGTGGGGGAATGCCTGACAGATTGTCGAATAGCTCCGGGTTGTCGCTGAATGTCTTTTCACTCTGGAGAATATGAAGCAGCGTGCAGAACATGAAGAACGGAGCGCGAGACGGGGGGTATAAGCGATCGAATACGGAGTCTAGTGAGCGGCACGCACCAGCCAGCCAGCCGGTGCAAGACGATTCGCGGGCCTGCTTGTAGCCCCGTCGCTGGGGTACATGTCCGGTTCAGCAAACACCATCAAGCGATCCATGGTCTCTAATGCGGTCGCCAGACCCGAAGGTTGGGCATACCTGCGCGATCCGAAGCGACATGACCCAGTCGAAGAGCCGATCTTCGCGGTCGACGCAGACAAACTTGATATAGTCGTCTTTGTTTTCAAAGAAAGATATGGATGACGTGGACTTGAGGGCAAAGCAAAAGTTTGTTGGTGCGCGGTTGCGCTTCTTGCAGAGCGTGTACACATCGAAGGCACCCAAGCTGCAGAGGAATACTTGGGAGCCGGACTATGACCAACGGGCAGAGAAGGCATGTTTTAGCACATGTCTTGGACATGATCAAGACACGACCAAGATATGGGCGAGTCTCGGCAGCGTTAGCTTTCTTCTCGGCCGCGCGGGTGTTGGTCTCACCTCCCCGTCCTTAAAGTAGCTCACGCCACCATCCTTAAGCGATAGGAAGCGCCGCTGCCATTTTCCAGGCTTGATTTCCAGATGGACCCAGCCTTGCACTTTGGGATAGCGGCCAATGATGGACTGCATAGGCAACCGAGCGGAGTGTCAGTCGAAAGGCGGTCCTCTGCACACCAAATATCGATTCGTGTGCCATGAAACGGCGACAGCGTCACATGGCTCGCAAAAATAGGCGCACCTCAGGCAGCAGGGTATCTCGAAGGCCATACACCTTCAAGACAATGGCGTTCACCGAGTTGGACGAGTCCCATGATGACACGACATCCGAAACAATCTGTAACCAGTCGAAAAAGCCGACAAGTCCGGCCAGGAGTAAGTATGACGGTAAGTACTGCTGGAAGGGTCAATATGTAGCACCGCATCGCCCGATGGCAGACGGCGCCGATGGACAAAGGCGTTGCCGCAATACACGAGAGCGAGATGTGGTCGTGTGGCGTGAACGGAGGCTGCTCACCTCCCAATCTCGAAGCGGTCGTTCTGGAAGAGCAAGAATGTGAGCTCAGGCGATACACATGCAGTCGGCTTACGAAGAATCACCACTGGCCGAGCTTCATCGCTTGCACACGAGAAGCGGTCGCCATGGGCATTGTCCTTCTGGACATTGTCACTCACAGCGGCAGCTTGGGACCCGCACCGACATCCATTGCAATCTCCCGCATCAAGACAAGCGCATGGCGAAGCCTACATACCCACACCAAAGTCGTTGCATATCTCGAACAGAGTCCACCCTAGCAGCGGATCCAGGTTAGAGCGCACTACAAGATCGCTCGTTACTTGCACCGAGTTCATCTGTGGAGTCAGGACCATCATGGTAAAGGTGGAAGCATCCTGGATGTACACGCGGGCGGTGATTTTCTTGCCGTTGGCCTGGTTATCGTACGGGCTGGGATACTCGGTGGCGCGGCGGTGGGGGACGGTGTCTACTGCTGGATCATGCAGCGATCGGTTGTGACCGGAATGAGGGTTCGCCGATGGAGCCGCATGCGGCTGTCGTGGAGAGGAATCGGGCATCTTGGGACTCGGGAGGTTTGCGGCCGAGGCTGTTGGAGTTCGCTTCAGTTGCTGGCTAGGTTGCAGCTTGGGTGAGGCTGAATCTGGTGGCAAGCTGACGGCGGGCATTTGTTCCTGAAGCTGAAGCCGGGTCAGGGCCAAGGGTAAATTGTCGTCTGGGTTGATGAGCCGCGATGTGCGTTTGGTCTTTTTCATATATTTCTCGAGGCGGACCTCGGCCTTGATGCTGGTGAACTCGGAGGGGGCCCGGGCTCCGTCTCCAAGCATGCCCAGAGGCACATCGTCATCGCCGTCGTCCGAGGAAACGGCGCCACTTTTACCCTTGCGCTGTTCGTTGCGTGGATCGATACGATCGCTGTTTGTGCCTGGACCGGCAGCAGTGCGCTCCTCCTCATCATCGGCAGAGAAGGTATGATCATGCGGGTCGTCGCTGTCGCTGTCGGAGAGTATGCGAGTGTCGGTCTCGTGCGAAGGCGTTGGGATGTGGTGGATGACATTGTCGAAGCGCAGGCTTCGGACGGGCTTTGGCGAGACAATGGGACTGCTGACTGTTTCGGGAAGATCGCTCGAGTAAGAAGAGTCGGCGAGGCCGAGGTTGGTGTCGATGTCAAGCTCGGGGAGGTCCATCTCGAGTTTGGGAGACATGCCGGGCAGAACGCCAACGGACGGTTTGGGTGACATGCCTGGCGAGAGAGCCGCATCGGCGGCTGCGGCGTGAGAGAAGGGTGGTGCGGAAGCGAGGAGCAAGCTGTCAGCGGTGGAGGGAAAGCTGTCTGTGGTGGAAAGCAGATGTGGAAGCGGTGGCCCAGCATGCCGATTGAGACCGAGCCAGTTACCTCGAGGAGCTCGGATCTTCTTCTTGAGGCCGAACATTGAATTGGGGGGGGTGCCGTCAGCGAGCTCGGCAGCGGAGTGACGCAGAGGGGAGAAAGCGGGTGGCAAACGACGACGGTGAGCAGGAAGCACGGATGGAAGGCCAAAGCACAGGCCGATGGCAGCGACGATGGCGATGGCGGTGACGATGACGATGGCGATGGCGATGGCGATGGCGAGTGGCGGCATGGTTGTGCGGGCCGTGACACAGCGCCCGACAAGGGGTTGTATCTGCCGTCGCACACGCTGTTTCTGTGGCCCGGGCTCTGCAGCACAGCCACGGTCGCCAAAGCAACCCTCGCGGTGACACGGTTGTGGTCGCACAGGCGCGCCCAGCCGCTGCCGGCCACTGTCGCTGTGCGGGCGATCAAGGACTGCCAAGGCGGTTGCTATGGGTTGTGCTGATCGGCCAACTGGTTGAATGGCGTCGATCGGTCGATGGCACAGCACAGACCAGACGCCCAAGAGTCGGAAGAGTGCAAAGTATTTATACATTGTATCCGGGCGGCAGACCGCATTCTATCCAGGCCGCAATCCTGCACCCTGGGATCAGGCGACATGCCGCACAGCCGTGCCCACAACCAGACGACAGTCCCGCCCGAGATGCGGGTCATGACTCCGTGAGAGACGGGCCTGCTTCGGTCCAGAGCAACTGTATTGCATGGCGAGGGGGCTACTGCGGCCGGAATTGCCGCTGGAAATGCTGTTGTTGGAGCTGCATGATGGCGTTTTGCTGGTAATCCGAGCCCGGACCCTGTGATCCTTGGCCAGAGCCTGGAAGCACGCCGCCGCCATGCGCCAGCCCGGCGCCGTTTCCGTATGGCTGCGATCCAGGGCCTGCGAGCGCGGGTGGTGGGTTCGCGGCGCCAGGATGGCCTTGGCTCGGCCCAAAGCCATAAGGCATCCCAACCGGCGCAGGCGAAGGGAGCAGCATACCGGGCTGCATCGAGAGCCCGGCACTCCGAATCAGGGTCTGAAGCTGGTTTTGCTGGAGGGTCGACAGGAGACTGGCTACCTGCAGCAAGTTGAAGTTGCTCTGGGCAGTCTCAGCAATGGCAGGCATGCCCATTGCCGGCATTTGACCGAGCGACGGGGCGCCATGTCCAGCGCCTCCAGGCATGGGTTGTGCTGTCCCGACAGAGCTCGGAGGGTACATCCCATAGCCCAGCATGCCCGGCCCTTGGTGAACCTCGTGGCCTGCAGCCCCCGGAAAGTGCCGCGCATTGTGGCGAGGGTGGTGGTGGGTGCCGCCAAACTGGTCTTGGGGCAGACTTGATCCATCAAACTCGTAGTCAGCTCGCAGAGGGCGGCTCTCTTGATAGTAGCTGCGTTGCCCGTGGCCGAGGTGACCGCGGGTGCCTCGGCCTCGCCCTCGACCTCGCTCTACTCGAGACCCGGGTTCGTCGTCGTTGAGCGCTGCCGAGGGCTCGGCTCTGCGATTGCTGTGCCGAGGTGGACCGCCTCGCGAGCGTGGCTCATCGTGCGAACCACCCCGAGTGCCGCGGCCTCGCAGAGCTCCCCGAGAGCCTGGAGCGCCGAATCCATCTCTTGGAGGCCCCTGAAGCCGCATGGCGGCTCGGTCGCTTTCGCCAACCGATCCATCGCGTGCTGGCGGCAACGGTCGAGAGGGCAGCGGTCGGCTCAGAAGTTGATACGGTTCACCGTCACTTGAAACAGACAATGTGTGAACGTTGTCAGGGAGACGCTGTGAGGGCCAGCAGCACCGGGGGTATATCACATACACAAGTGCCATATGTCATGGGATGCAATCTTCCACAATGCAATCCGGCCCACAGCGGCCCTCCACAGCGGCCCTCCACAGCGGCCCTCCACAGCGGCCCTCCACAGCGAACGCAACTCGAGCAACGCACCTTGAGGCCGCTACCTCTGTCTTGGTATCCAGTTTTTTCTTCTTCTGGAGGCGCCTATACTCCATTTCCTCTTCGTCATCGGAAAATTCCCGCTCCTAGTTGATGTGGCGATAGTTCAAGCATTGCGATTAGAGCGGTGGCGATCCGGGGTAGCATCGACGGGTGGCAGCCATGGAACCACGCATGATGCTTGGTTCAAGACCGGGCTTACATCGTCGCCGACTTCTTCATCAAAGATATTCGAAGCATCCGAGCCCTTCATCTTCGTCAGTACTTGCGTAAAGACATAATGCACGAGGTCAGGCACACAGAAGACACTCTGACCGACTTTAATACGCTCTCGATCGATATCCAGTGCGCTGTTGAATCGGATCGAGTACATTGGTCGTGCGACTGGACCGAACGTGTCAAAGACCTGTGGAGTTTTGGAGACATGATCGCAGGCAGCGGTCAGAGGCACATCGGTACTGTGTCCAGATATGAGGCGCTTGTTTCTGTACTCCTTTGCCCCCTCGGTCGCAGTCGCATAATATCCAGGGTGTCCGATCGGCGACATTGACGCAGGGTACGATACCTTGCCAAGCACGGAGCGATCTTCGAGAAGGAGGACAGATCCCATGTCCAGCACCTGGATGTCACCAGACGCCTGTGCCTCGACCACAACGAGATCATCGACTATGGCATAGACCATGCCGACCGGAACGAGCGGCAAATCAGCGGGCACGGAGATATGCGAAAGATCCTCCACCGGAGGTAGCTTCTATCGACACCCAAATGTACGGTCCACGCAGTGTTGTCAGCACGGGCCATCGGACTCATAGCTTCTGATACTCCAGCAAAGTCTTGGGCCACAGCGAAGGAGTTGAGGATCGGCGGCTCTTACCTCGAGCTCGTTCTTGGTTCGGAGAATTCCTCCCGATCTTCCGTGCTCGTCCTCATCACCGGCAATGAGGATTTTTTCACGCTCAGCCAGCGTAAGCCGGGACGACGGCAATTCATCCTCTCTGTCGATCGGTGAGAACATGGGCTGGTCAGCCTGGCTCGGCCACGGACAGAGTCGCTCCCGGTCAATCGCTTGCGGGGTTTTGTCGGACCAGAGCACCACCCAAACCAACAAAAGAGCAATCCCCCCAACAGTATCAAGCTGCGTATGGTTTCTGGATAACGCACCCTTCGCTGCTGGCAGAGCTCCCATCATCCATTTGGTCCTCCACGGCTCCAAAGTCAAAGTCACTCGAGTCTCCTGAGCTTGAGCCAGCTTCGGCTTCGGAGTCATTTCCGGACACGATTCTCTCGTCCTCGCGATCGCCGGCTGGATTCGGCAATGCTCCTGTCACTTGGAACCCGGGATCAGGGAGGGCAGTCTGGACTTTGAGATCAGGGTCGAGCACGTTAGGGCGAGTCGTATCGAATCCTTCGGTGTGGTCCTCTTCGGAGATGCCGGCATATGGCCGCGTTCGGTAGTCCGAGTTTCCCTTGCGGTCTATGATGGCCATTGGAAGCAGGTCCGCTGCTTCGGCAGACTCGGACTGGCACCGATTGCGAGCAGCGTGGCCAGGGTTAGCGATCAGCTTTCCGACACACCCATCACGAGTCGCCGAATGCTAAAGCGGCATCGGGGAGCGGATTGACTGGCGATCGGGACGGTTGTGTTGCGACCCGACATGCATGCAATGTGCTGCTTACACCCGATCCGGCGTCGGCGTCGGCGTCGGCGTCGGCGTCGGCGGCGATATGCTCTTGCTCGTCAAACTCGCCCTCTTCCATCGGACCAGAATCCTTGGATGTGTCCATGGTGGTGGCGCGGCTGGATCGTCAGGTCGTGGTCTTGACCAAAAGCCGGCTCGGCTGCTCCGGAACAGCATTGGTCAACGGCAACACCGTTCCCAGCAGCAAAAAAAAAAAATCTGACGTCAGCAGACGGAGTTTGAAACGAGTCACCCCGGATTTTGGTCAATGGTGAGTGTTATCACCCAAGACATCGCACGCTGGCCATGACCATTCGGTGATGTGTTTCTGGATCTTAATCAAGGAGGCTTTCTCGCTCATATGGCTCCCTGCAAACGAAAGACATCTCCAAGGCGACGGCGATTCAAGCGACTCGATCTCCAGGTGTGCTCACAGTGCCGAGAAGCCATGGAGCTCTCCAGAGGGTCGAGTGATGCATCCACTCGATGTGCGAGTGTGGTGCATCCACTCGATGTGTGAGTGTGGTGCATCACACTCGCACATCAACACAGGGGGTCGACCGAGTGTGTTCAAGGCCATGCTTCCCAAACCAACGAAACCAACGAGATTGCCAGCCAGGACGGGAAACAATCTCACGGCCTGCTCACCGGGGCTTACAGTCAGTCAGCGGGTTTCAGACATCTGATGCCAGAGAGTGACCGCCCGTTTCTTTCTGGATTGACTGAATAGAGTCATGCACCTCACCATTTACCCCACTATTCACTTCACATGTACCCACTATGTGCTTCACATGTACCCACTATGTGCTTCACATGTACCCACTATGCGCTTCACCATGCATCTCGGCTCAGCCATGCATCTTGGCCATGCATCTCGCCCGGCCCTGAGTGCCCGTACCGTTGCGCTCTCCCCATGCTCCCACGTCCGTGTCTCGCTTGGATATCGCCCCTGTCTGCGGCTTCCACCTGGCGCATCCAATCACCGCCCGACACCATTGTCTCGGCCCAGGCCAAATCATTGGTTACACCAGCGACACAACCTTCCTCGTGACCTCCGATGACTCTGTCCTGATCACGATAAAGCCGCCCGCTCGCCCTGCCCAGAGAGCTGCTCCGTCACCTTGGACACTCCTGTTCTGGCTCCTGGGTTGCCAAACGCCCCATCTCCTCGAGAGCCGCTCGTCTCTGAACCGCTCACACTCGCTGCCGCTTGTCTTCCAGAATGAAGTCGTCGTGGCTGCTGTCTCTTGCCTCATCCTCCATCGTCCTGGCCTTGAAGGTCCTTGCCAAGGAGCCAACGGCCTCATCTACCGCCCATGTGCTTGACGACCAAGGTCTCACGTACTGCACCGTGAGTATCCCAAACCCAAACCGAGCGCTCGACAGGCGGGAGCGCATGCCCTGGACCGACATGTACCAATTTCGATGGCGCTGGCCCTGCGCATGCCGTTGATGTCCGCCCGCAATCGTTGCCATCCGCCGAGACTCATCTATGTACCATCCGCTATCTATACCGGCAATCCATGTGCCTAACTTCTGTCCTTTTTCCTCTGCTCTCGTTCTCTGTCCTCTGCCACAGCCCCAGGGCATCATCGGAGACGTTGCAACCTGCGATTTCAAATCCGTCGAGAACGTCAATCGCGAGCTCGCACCCCTGATCAGCCGACTCGTTTCCACAACATATTTCCGATATTACAAGGTTGCAGACAGCCTCTGTCGATCCGTCTCGCTTTGCATGGGGCGAGCCAGTGGATCTGCTAGACTCTCCGCTGCTGCCACACCTGCAATGTTTCCTCGTATCCGTGGCCTGTACTGACAAACCAAGTACATCGATAGGTCAACCTCGAACGACAGTGCCCATTCTGGGACGACGAGCTCAAGTGCACTCAGCCTGACTGTGCTGTGGAAGAGGCCGATGAGGTTTGTTGTCTCTTGCTGGCTTTTCCGCTGGCTTTGTTGTTCTGCCATCGGTATTGATGCATCTTGCCTCGGCAACACCAGGAGGAGCTCCCTGATGAGTGGAAGACCTCGTCGCTCTCAGGAGTGGACTTCACCATCGGCGGCGCTGGGTTCTCAAGTTTCTCGAAGTGTACCTTTGGAGAAGATGACTTTTGCCTTGTTGAAGATGAGCTCTCGCCAGGTTTGTATGGGAGTGGGGTTGCCCTCTGGGCGTGAGCAAAGTTATTCCTGTCAAGCCGGGCTAACTCAAACTTGTATGAATTGAATCGATGCTCCTTCAGACGGCACCTACGTTGATCTCCGTAAAAACCCCGAGCGGTTCACCGGCTACAGTGGCGATTCGGCAACTCGAATATGGCGGTCGATCTACAGCGAGAACTGCTTCCATACCGAAGCTCATGGGCTGGACAACCAGTGTCTCGAGAAGCGTGTCTTCCATCGCCTGGTTTCAGGTGCGCTCGCTTGGCCGCATCCCCTCACGTTAGAAGCGAACGCTGCCCTCGGGTCTGCCTCTCGCGCTTCTCCCCTCATATCTCATCAGCGCGGCTGTATCGTGCGTCCCACAGGCCTGCATGCCTCCATCTCCACGCACATCTGTATCGAGCATCTGGATCGCAAAACCGGCGAATGGGTGAGTGTACCAGCCCAATGTCGATGTCGGCGCTTTGGGCATGTCCGTCGTGGCGTTTCTAGGCGGCTGTATTTGCTGCCGTTTTGGCGAGCTTGGCAAGATGAGCCTCGTACTAAATTTATACATGCTATTGAATATAGGGACCGAATCTCAAATGCTTCATGTATCGCGTCGGAGACTTTCCTGAGCGTCTCAAGAACATGTACTACACCTATGCCGTTGTACTCAGGGCCATTGCCAAGTTGTCTCCCCACCTCGGCGACTATAATTTTTGTGCTGGAGGCGACAAAAACTCTGGAAAGCTAACCGAGGTAGATCCAGCACCAGCTTTCTGCCCGATCTCTTGCCAACAAACATCGGTGGCCAACAGTGCGCCGCTTTGCGATTTAGCCTCGTTGTCACGCCGGCGGCGCATTCAAACTCATGCTCCACGACATGCGATTTTGTCTTCAGGGTATTCTGACGGACATTGTCAAGATCACCGCACGGGACCCGTCCACATTCGATGAAACTCAACTTTTTGTTGATTCGCAAGAGGTAGCTGCTACAATGCCCTTAGTACCGTCGCCGATGCAGGTGCCCTGCAGATCTATGATCCTCACCAGGTGTCCTCTGTGCCGCAACTGACAGTATTTGAAGCTGGAATTCAAGCAAAAGTTTCGAAATATCACTCAAATCATGGACTGTGTGTCGTGCCAAAAATGTCGCCTGTGGGGAAAGCTGCAAACATCAGGCAGGTTGACTCCCACGTCGCTCGAATATGATGCCACGGACAGGAGACGGCGCGATATGACTGTGCATTTTTGCATGATAACCTCCCTCAAAATGCAACACGCGCAGTTCCGACAGAGGGTGCTGCAAAATGACCGATGTCGGAACGAAGCGTGCGTGAGCATCCCCCGCTGGCGCTAACTCTTATCTGCTAATCGTTGTTATCCCCGATACTCTGCGGCTTTATGTCTATGGCGGCGACATCTGCTCCCTATCTGAACTGTGATCGATGGGATCTTGCCGTCACTCATCGCCAACATGCACAGGTCTCGCAGCTGCACTTAAGATCCTCTTTTCAGTCCAAGAGTAAGACATTGTTGTTGCGACTCGAGCGACCTTACATATCATACGACATCATGCTGACTCGTCGATTTGCCTCTTAGTATTTCGGGCTATACACTACGCCGCAGCGAGCTGGTTGCTCTATTCAATGCCTTCCATCGGCTGTCGGAGAGTTTGGAAGCGGTAGAATCGTTTAGGAAGCTCTATCACGAGTCGTTTCCAACAGAGCGCGTAACTGCCTCGGCCTCCAGGAGCGTTGAAGCCGTTCCAAGCGAAACGCCTATCCACGAGCCTGTTGCCCTTGACAGGGACGACAACGGCAGTGCTGCAGCCGAGAGCAGCGCTCCATCTCTATTTTCGTTCGAGAGCATCATGGACTCCCAGTCTCCGTGGGGACTCTTTATTGGAGCCGTGATCTTTATCTTTGGTCTGGCTCGGATTCTCCTGCAGACGTAAGTTGCATCCCCCTGGAGCCACCCTTTCGCGCGCCTGGGTGATTGTGAAGGATAGATTCCGGGCTCGTTTGTGCACCCTCGATTCATTCCGCTGAAGAGCGACAGCTTCGGCGTGACCAAGAACGCCCACAGTCTCTGCCTTTGGGTCGGTACGTATCCTGACGCGATTTACCATCCTCCAAAAGCTTGAAGAAAGAGATCCAAACCGATGTTTCAAAGAAGTCGCAGAAGAAGCACCAGGCCAAGTCAAAGCGAAAGATCCGCCATGCCTGATCTCTGCCACAACTCTATGACCTCGGCGGCTTGGGGAGGGATTGAGCTCGGGACAATCAAACAGTTTGTGGCGGAGTTGCTATCCTCGAACCCTGGCGTCAAAAGTTTACAGACAGTGCCACATAATGTCGTTCGGGTGGGCGATGAAATGTCTGTTCTTTCTCGAATGCGACTTTGCAAACGAGACGGGTGACTCTGCTTCCAAGGAGACCGAGGACCACTCTTCCTCAGGGCCTTGAATACACACATGGTTCGTCACGCAGTCAAAGCAGACCAAGGCGCGCACACCAAGTCATTGCCGATCGAGGCCTACCATCCATGTCGAGTCGTGCCCCCTCTCTTGATATCGAGAGGCTGCATCTGGCACGGAGCGGTCTGAACCACTCAAAGCTGTGGAGTATTGGCGTCAGCGCCCGACGGACCATGATACTGTTGTTCTGATCGATCGCGGCCAGACGAAATCGACCGTGCACGGTGTATTCGAGCCACATGTCAGTGTCAAGAGTCCGATTGCGGCAAGGACGGGACTCAATTGAACAGCCGCCTCCGCGCGGCCAGCAGGTCCGGACGATGCGAGTCGTGGCTGCTGCCGGGGGAGTCGCCGTCAGCGGTGCCCCTTCTCTTTCTGCGCTGACTGCACCATGTTTGGTGCTATCTTTTCCGCTTGAAATGAATCAATGAGGCCCGCAGGAATCTGCAAGTGTAGGCCGTTAGTATCCGAGAGCCGATGCAACAGGTCTATCGTGCACATGGCAAGCAAAATGCGAGGTTGTCCACAAAGCGTACCCATCAATGTCTCCATCGAGCACGCCTTGGACATTAGATTGTTCGTAGCCACTTCGGAGATCCTTGACCATTTGATAGGGCTGGAGGACATATGTGCGGATCTGCGAGCCCCATCCGTTTTCAGGCAGGGCATCTCGCAGCTCGGCGCGGGCACTCGCTCTGACACCATGTAATAGCGGCGTTTTATATCAGATACAGCTTGGTCTCGCGACCAAGAGGAGGGAAGCAAACACCCGCACTGGCGCCAAGATATAGGCATGCTCCCGAAGCGATACATACTCTTCAGCAAGTTTCCGCTGGTAGAGCTTGGCCTTGAGCATCTCGATGGCCATTGCACGGTTCTGATGCTGGGATCGCTCGTTTTGGCACTGATGGATAGGAGAGCGGCAACGGTGTGGGGGTGAGCCGGCGTAGTGATCGATGCTGCCCCCGGCGGAGTGAATCCGATAGGATGGCACCGACAGACGGTGGTCCAGATTGCGCAAACGGAGATGCAGAAAAAGCGAGGACTCACGTTGATGATGATCCCGGTGGGAATGTGGGTCAGTCTCACGGCGCTGTCTGTCGTGTTGACATGCTGACCACCGGCGCCCTGCGACCTCATCGTTTCGATCTTGATATCCCCCGGCGGGATATCGATAGAGCCGGTGCTTCCGTCCTCGGCGGACTGATGGGCAGGGAAAACCTGGACGGAAATAAACGAAGTGTGTCGCTTGTTGCCCTGTTTCCATCCATTGTATGTTGGTATCTGAAGCAATCTATCGCCGCACCATGCCACAAGCCCGATGCCACCAAGTTCAGGTTTGCTCGGCCGGTTGCTGGCCCCCACAGCCCCAAGATGCATGAGCGAGAGCTGGACACTTACATCGCCAAACGGAGAGATCCGCACAAATCTGTGCACGCCACCCTCGTACTTGCACCAACCATAGGCGTTTTCGCCTGCGATGCTGATGGTGGTATTTTTGAATCCGGCAATGTCGCCCTTCATTTCGTCGACGACCTTGGCTGTGAACAGCCAATGGGGTGAGAACAGAACATTGTCCAGTAAGTGAACCGGAGCCAAAGTCTCGCCAGATGGGCCGCAAACATTCGCTAATGACGCATCTGCTATATCGCCCGAGCTTACCAGTGTATCCGGCCGATTGCGCCCATCGGGTGTACATTCTTGTTATCATTGCTACCCAGTCGCAGGACTCTGTCCCGCCAGAGCCGGCACGAAGCTCAACAAAGCAGCCATTTTTGTCTGCTGGATCGGCCCTGGAGACAGAGAATTGGAATGGACGCTGAGCCGGCCGACTCTCCAATTCGGCAAATGTCGCAGTCGGTGCAGCCGCCGGCGTCTGACTCGATCTGCTGCAATCGATCTGCTGCAATCGATCGCATGGATGTAACGTACATCAAAAGACGGAGAGAGTACGATTCCATCGAGGTGTGTAGATTCGCTAAATCAGCAAGAACCTCATCCATCAGCGTCCAGTCCGACTCCTGAAGGGCCAGTTCTATATACAATTTTGTCAAGCAGAGTCATATCCAGGACGAATTAGATTGCTCACGAGATCGACGGTGTTCCTCGATCCCATTTGGGTACCGAGCCTCTCAAGCGGCGGAAATATACTGCTGTGGATGAGTGCATCACAGCTAGGTTGCGTCGAAACAAGCACGGCATGGCCGAGGAGCTACCTTTCAGTTCAAGACACTCCACAAACTTTTGTGCGAATGAATCGTGCTCGGCCAGGTCATCCGTCAGCCTCGAGAGCTCCTTCTGCAATTGAATAGCCCTCTGTGCATCTTCATCCCACAGCGTCTCGGACTGTTGAGCAAATATACGAGGCCATCGGATGGGTCAGCGCAGATCATGGCAACGTATGAGACACGGTCGATCGCAATCGCCGTTGGTGCGCCAGCCAAGTCTTCCGATCGTGATGCCCACCTTGACTGCCTCCGATATTTCGGCGAAGCGGATTCGCATTGTCGACCAGTCCTTCTGGCTGTCTATGAGCTCCTGAACTAACTTGATCTGGTCCAGCTGACTCGAGACGCTGGCGAGCAATTCTTTGGTGTTGCGATGTGCCAACGAATACGGCCTGCACCGACCAATCAACGGCACAGCCGACCTTGGAGGAAAACAGTACCTCTCGTGTCGCCCAAGTGTCGGCCATGGAAAAGATATTGGCGCAACCAGGCGCCTGGCCACGGATCGCAGGGCGGCGGCCATCGAGCAGGCGAGAGATGGTGCTGGGGCGGATCGGCGGCTTGCCTCAAGACACTATGAAAAAAATTCTTGTTAAAAAAATGAGCGAGAACGAAAAAACGCGCTCTCGGAGCCACCTCGGTCGGCGAGAAGAGCAGTCTCTGGCGAGAGACCCCCGAGGGAAGGCGAGAAGCCTCTCGCCGTCACACACACTTTGCACACACACACACACACACACACACACACACACACACACACACACACACACACTTTGCAAGGGAGTCAAACACCTCCCATCGACCATCCCAAGAGGGATGGCAACCCCGAAGTGGACTACCCAGAATATGGGCGACCCGGCATCCACTGTCGAAATGCACAAGAAACAGTGCGAGATACTTACAGTCTATCCAGAAAGAAACGGGACAGTCACTTTCTGGCTTCTGAAGCCCACTGACTGACTTGTAGGCCCAGCGGGTAGGCCATGGCATTGCACTCCTGTCTTCGTTGGCAATCGCTTTGTTTTGGTTGGTTTGGGAAGCACAGTCTTGAATACACCCGGCCGATCTCCTGTGGCGATGATCGACTGGCATACCGAGATCATGTTCCTTGAGGCATTGATGTCTCGATCCCACAGCGTATGGCAGCTTGCACAGCTCCGGACAAAGTGTGGTTTCTCGATATCAAGATGCTCGACCTTCTCAAGTCGCTTGGCTTCCCGACAATGTGAGCACACCTGGGATGTGTTGAACTCGTTCACCGAGCACACATGGATCTTGGAGACGGATCGGTCTGGTGGGCCTCTCTGGTGGTGGTGGAACTGCTCGAAATACTTGGCGAACCTGAGTCTCCTGGGACTGGAGGCATATCCCTTCCCCTGCTTCCAGGAGGCATTCCCAAAGGCAATCGCCACTTCGGTCTCCGGTGGTGCCTGGTCGATGACTTGCTTGCACATCTCGTGGACAGTGCGCTGTCGCTTGCCGTGGAGATCGAGTCGCTTGAATCGCCGTCGCCGGGTCAGGCTGAAGTACAGCTGTTTCTCCAGCATGTCTCCATCGAACCCATGGCGAATGTATCGCAAGAAAGAAGACACTCCAGGGATCTTGGGACTTGGTGTGGTGCTCATCCATTGCTGCAGACCAAGGATCTTGTGGGTGCTCTGGATCCACTTGGTCGCCTGGGTGGTGTCTTTCTCTTGCGGGGAGCCATCTGGCGAGAAAATAGCGACGATGGCTGGTTCTGCCCTTGGGGAAGAAAAACTCTCCTCAAATCCAGCGCATTTTTGGGCAGGGAGTGATGCTGTTCACAGTGGCGCCCTTGATTCAGATCCAGAAACGCATCGCTCGCTCAATCAGTCGTGGGAAGACATCTTGTCAAGGTGAGTCTTGCCTGATAGCCAAACGATCATGTCATCTCGCTGACACACAGCCACGCTTGACTAGGTTTCCAACCAGAGAGATTCAGACGGTGGTGGTTCTTGTCCGCAATCGGAGTGGAGCTTCCAACAATGATACAATTGGTCATTCCTCCACACCAGTCGCCCACCACCACCGTCAATTGGCTCAAGACGATACCAAATGCCGTCAACCCACAGTGGATTCATTCCAACTTTTGCTGCTCCCACAAAGCAATGCGACGGCAGGATCGTCGATGGGCAAGGTGAGGCAGTCATGTCCATCGCGAGACCCGATTTGATGCATATTTATCTTGTCAAAAATAAGCAGATTGCATCGCTACCCGGCGGCTGCCGGCTGACATGGGTCGCGAGGTGCTTTTCGGCCCCACGTTCGAGTTTACAGCGTTTTCCAAGATGAAATGGGACACCCCGTTTTGAGCCATGACAGTGGTTTTTTCTGTGACCTGAATACATCTGCCCACTCATTGCAATCATGGTCAAGCACAGCACCCTCGATTTCCGCATCGCTGCATTGCGATGCTACTCGCTGCTCCGCAGCTTGCGTAAGGTCGCCACCATCTTCAGTGTGTCCAAAAGCACCATTCACCGCCGGCACTCCGAGACCAGTGCAGCGACCCACAGGCATGGGCTGTGCATCCAGCCCTCGGAGGCAGCGGTTTGCTCGGTACTTTGAGCAGTGCAGATCGAATGTGGAGACGGGGAGCGACCGGTGGCTTTTACTCGGAGGTGATCTGTTGAATTGCATGTGTCTCCATTGGACATAAGTCCTCACATACTACATGTTCAAGGGAGCGGGTGTGGTGTCCCGATTTTTTTCTGAATAGATTGTAGGCACTCTTTGATGGAAACTGGCAATAGGTGAGTGATCCTCATATGGCCACGACAGTCGTGGTCGAAACAGCTGATGGCACCGATACAGGACGATTGAAGCAGGACGATTGAAGCAGGATGGTTGGAGCAGGATGGTTGAGACGGTGATCACGCCCGTCAAGTCGATCCGGTGAACAATAGGAGTACAATGGCGTCAGCATAGAGGACACCATGGATCTGTCTAATCCCTTCCCCGCGACGCTGCTATACAATGCTCTCGCGCTTGACGTTGATGACTATATATGATGCACCAGCGCCCTGGGATTCCAGTATCAGTCTCACAATCCCCAGTGACTGCGATCCAGCAACGCCTACCATTCAGTAAACGTGCCCGACGACATCGAGATGTTGAAGAACGTCCCATTGCTTTTGTGTTGTCTGCCGCGCACTTCGCAGTAACGATCGCCCTTGATCGGATAAAATAGCCGCGGACCGTCTATGCGGCGAACAAAGACTTGTCAATGCAATGACCCTAGTCGCAGAGCGTCGGGTCGCGCTTCGGAGGATGATGGGCTGATGCTAGACATCGCTGCAACAGCAATGAGGCCTTGATAAACATGCGACGCACCTGTCGTCAATTCGTAAACAGGATCACCCAACGCAGCTGATGGAGAGCGCTCCCGCAGCCGCTGCAACAGATAGTTCTCCAAGTCGGCAAAGTCATCGCTCTGTACCGCAAGGAAGCTTCTTGCCTCTCTCGTATGCGGAAAATGAGCCGAAAGATCGGTCTGGGGAGCCTTGAATGAGATCCGGCGGGCACCTTGTTCACATGCCGAGACAAGAGTCGTCCGGAAGTACTCCAGCGTAATGCTACTGGCATGAACGGGGTTGGTGGGCGAAAAAATCTCGGTCCGGCCGGGCTTACGTGATCCCAGGATGCGAAAGTTTCTGTTTCGACTGTAGACGGAGCAGTCGACAAACAGGCCATTGATGCCAAGAGATTCGTCTAAAAACAGACTGCGGACATATTCGGGGTCCACCTCCGCTAGTGTATCAATGGCGATAGGTGAGCTGGCAACGTAGCTTGGGTATTGGTCGATGGAAAATGCCTTGAGATAAAGTCGCTGCCGGAGATCTCGAACAAACGCCCCTTATCAAGACACAAATGCCCAAGAAGAGCGTCAGTTCGATTGCTGTCCAAAGAGAACGAAGCAATGGATCGCATTGATTTTATACCCGTACCCACCAACATGCAGGCTACTCTCGAAGCACACTCCTCGAATATTGATAATCAAATGTCGCGAGAACTTGACGGCAGAGGTTGAGTCCAGATCGACAACGGTACAGTCCGCAGCGGGGATGTCGAACAACTTGGTCAGGTGGGTGATAACTATCTGGGGAGCAGGCGACCATGAATCGAAACAAATGTGCAAATGCAGGCGGAAGTGAGTGGCGATCGCTGCCGGCACCGCATGTCGCCCAGACCTTCAATCGAACAGCATCCACGGCTCGCCATCCCGCGGGATTGCCCCGGACTCATACATGCCGAAACCGCTCCATGATGTCTTGGGTATTGACGGTCTGGTGTTTTGACTTGTCAAACTCGAGATCAAAGTAGAGTTTGCATGGCCGATCATGGCGAATGACCTCATGAAAGCAGCGCTCGCTTGGCTTGAAGGCTCTATACCGAAATCGAGAGTAAACAAGAGTCGATCAGCAAGCAGAGTCGCAGCATGAGGGCCTCAAGCGCGCTGGAGCTGAAGAAATACCCACAGATATGTTGGCCAAAAGTCATCCAATGACGCCGGGAAGTAGTAGCGAGGACCTGTGTGTGGCTGGGATAGCTTCGTGGCCAGAGACCAGGGACGGGGCGTTGTTGGTATGAATCGGGCGACGGATGCTCCAAGTCATGGCAAACTTTGAAAGGACGGTGATGCCACGAGTCGATCGAGCAGTCATCATCGATCGCATCCTATCATGCCTTTCGATCGTACCTCATATGCAAACAGAAACGGCAGCTCGGGCCGCAGATCTTGCAGACTGGTGTGATTAGAAGCATTTACAGATTGGGATGACGAAGGCTCCAAGACCAACCCAGGGACCTCGCACGATGGGTCATGTACGCTCCGGCAGCGGATGGAATTCGAGCGGAATGATGCTTGTGCAGTGCGGCGGCGGAGTCATAGAGATGTACCGAGCCCATACCGCAGGGCCGGCGCCTGTTTTGTGAAGACGATGCGCTGGAGTGGGTAGCTGTAGACGGCGTGAGGCGTGATGTGGCCGGTTGCATGAGACTCGTGAGATCTTTGGTCTTTCCGGCTGGGCGAGCGATCGGGGGCCGAGGTGTTCATCTGCCGGCTATAGCGAAGACAAGGCCCTAAGGCTGGTGAGCCGTTGGTAGCGGGCGGGATGGAACATGTCAGCGGTAGCGTACGGCGGCAGAGGCTGCCGCAGAGACGGCGGATCATCGGGAACAGGATCCGAGTTCGGGTTCGATCAAGGAGGAAGATGCAGGACGAATACCAAGGCAGCGCAAACGGAGCGCAAACGGGGCCTCGAGCGCGGGAGAAACCACCACCAAGAAAACCCTTCGCCCACGCTGTCGGCGGGACTCTGGGCTGCCGGAGACGATGCATGTGCTGGAGACGATGCATGCGATGGGCGCAGCGTATGCAATGCATACGATGCATACAACAGACTGGCTCGGGCATGGCACGGTTTCAGGGCGGCGGTGATGGTCCTCTGCTCCGACCGGGATGTCTTGCAGTGTGGACATGCACTTGAACGGAATATCGACTCAGCCAACAAAGGCGTCGCCGAGACGATGAACGGCCAGAGGAGACGGTGATATGTATTTCTCGAATCAGCTGCCTGTTTTCGGGCTGCTCTCTTTGGATTCATGATCGGCAGGTCTGGTTGTGTGAGGTATAAAGAGCGACTCTGGAATACTGGCGATGATTTCATCATATTCGTCGGGCTGATTGTCGCTCTCGTCGTCGAGATCGGGCCTGACGGTGTCGAGGGCAAATGGCACCAGTGATAACGGGATAGTTTGCTCGGCCGAGCGGAAGCGGCGACAATCAACATCGTAGCATCTGTAGGTGGATGTGCAATGGCATACCACCAATCAAATCATATCAAATCATATCAAATCAGTTGGCCCTTCGAATTGTTCATAACAGCGCGGTTCCTGGAGCAGCTGGGTTATGGCCGAGATATTCACCAATCGCATGACATTACCTTTGGGTAAATGTACCATTGTTGAGGCTGGCGACGTAGTAAACGCCATTGCTTTTGTGCTGCCGTCCGATGTTGAAGCAAAATCGATCGTTACCAATGGCATAGACGAGAGATTTGCCTGGAAAATAGTTGTCAGTATGGTGCCGTTTGCCGTGTCCTCTGGGCTGTATCGGAAGCAGGACGCTTACTTTCGGGGAAATATGTGGCCGATCGAAAACAGGCCCTCGGATTCCGGCTTTGGATCGACCTCAAAACATATTCATCGATTTGAGGAAATGGCGATGGCTGCGAGGATGTCGTTTGCGCTGCGTCATTGCTGCGCCCCGAAAGCGGCCCTGGGAAACGGAGCACCGGACTTTCGCCAAACGAGAGGAGTCGCAGGTCATCGTCATACTCCACTGCACACACAAGACTTTCTTTGAAGAACTTGAAGGTCTCGTTTTCGATCCGTTGATCCAGTGCAGGCTTGTCTGCTCGCAAGAGAGGCGATGATTTGCCAATTTTGGATGAATATATGATGCGAAAGTTGCGATTTTTGCTGTACACACTCTCATCGATGAATACCGCCCGGCCGCTCGATGGATGTTTGACGATGAGCTCAGCAAACTTGACGCTAGTTTCGCCATTTCCTTGGCTGTATTCATGGATCCGAGATATGAGATACGAAACGAACCGACCTGTGCCGTTTTGAAATTAGAGACCAGTACACTGGTAGAACACATGGTGGAGCGAAGAGGCCATACAACAACATACCGACATGGCCATTGTCTTGAAAGACGGCCCCGGGGAGGTTGACGATGATGTGGCGGGAAAACTTTGATGTTGTCGTTGACGACAAATCCACAATATGTTCTGGGCGGCATCGGATCCCAAACTTGTTGAGCAGCTCGTCGAGTAGAAGCTAGCAATTGTTTCGAAGCCTCAGTTTCAGTTCGCCAAAGCAGTTCGTGCCCGGGACAGCCACCAATCAATCGACCCTGCGGCTGGGATCAACATGCCGCGGGCCCTGCTGGATAGAGCGTCGATCCGAACATCGGCAGCCGTCAGCCCACACACTTGGAATCGGGCACATCCCACCGCTGCCAGCGCGGAATTGTAGTGCAGACCTGGATGAAGGTGGCCATGACCCGCTCATGGTCGAGATTGGGATTGTCCTGGGTCATGAATTCGAGATCAAAGTAGAGCTTGCATGGCATTCCTTCTTTGATAACCTCGTAGTAGTGGCGCTGGTCGAGTGTGCTGATCGGTGTTTGGAGCTGACTCAGAAGCTGCAGGCCATTTCCAGGCGGTCATCTGCCAAAGGCCCCGGCCTCTGGTTGCGCTCACGGCAGGGCGCCCTCTGTTGGCTACTCACAGATAATGCTCCCAAAAATGCGGGTACGTGGTGGCGAGGAACTTTCGCTTGCCCGGATTGGAAATATCTGTCTCGAAGGAGAATACGTGGACTGGATTGGAGCACGTCCTCTGATACCTAGGATGTTGGCCAACAGCCCGCAGCATGGGTGAGTTTTGCCAAGTAGAGAGGCAGAGGCTTCCGATGCTGCTGTCCGCCAGTTCGGAGTACTTACTCAAAAGCCAATTCCTGTTTCTTGAAAAGCATCAAGGTGCTTTGCCTCGGCGAGTGTGGCGTGCCAACGACTTTCAAGGTCTTGAGAACCTGGGCCCATCGCTTGGCATGGGTTTCCTCGTGTCTGGATGGTTGCAAACGGCGGTGTGAATCGATTGAGCCGATCGACAATAGAGGAAGCGCCAACAGGATGACGATATCTGACCTGCTGCTCACGCGACTGGAGCCGTAGAAGCTGGCTGGAGGAGCTGGTGCCCGGTGTAAGAGCCCGAGGTTGCAGGTCAGCAAGCGATTGGGGAGGGCAGTTTGGCACCAAGAAACAATCGCAGGCAATTGGTCATCACGCGCACCGGGAGTGCTTGCGAGACGCTTTGAGAGCTGTGCATCTGGGCTCTGAAGGTCTTCCCGCCCAGAAGACGACGACCTCTTTCGAGCGCCGCCATCCATCTCGGGTGTGTTGGGCAGCCGGCGCGAGTGCAATGCAAGGCTGTCGGGCCTGGCGGTGAGCCGGGAGACGGCGAGAGCCATGCATGTTTGTGTCACGCACACAGCGACACGTGACGGAGGCTGCGCTGCGCGGGCCGCCAAAAAGAAAAATCCCGTCCGGCCGCCACAAGCACCGACACCAGCTCCGAACCTGATCCAACGACCGACACCGAGCGCCGCACGTCCAGCGATACGCCATCATGGTATGGCTCTGCAGAGGGGGGGGGCCTGCTTTGCGAAACAGTGCACGAGCACCTTGAGCGAGTCCCTGTTTCTTCCGAGAGAGCTGCTTGCCGGGCTCTCATTTATTGCAACTCGTTTGGCGGCAGGGCAAAGCCAAGAAGACCAGAAAGTTTGCCGAAGTCAAGCGGATGCTCAACCCGAAAGACACCAGGCTGTAGGCAGCTGCATTCGACATATGCACTATGTTGTTCGATGTATCCGATAGTGGAAAGACTAAGCGTCCAAACCATCTGGTCTCTCAGAAAAGCCAACAAGAAGAATGAGGAGCAGGCTCAGAAGCAGCCAGAAACCGAGCTCGTTCGGCACATGTGTGTTGATGACGTTCCGCCTTAGCACTCCTACACATCGGTCCAGCAATCGATCGCTTGAACTTTATCTCACATGCTCGCCGAAAATGCTGCTCTGTCTCGCCTGGACTGTGCATCGCACTGTTTCCACCACGAGTTATCCTCACCTTCTGCTCTCATCTATTGCAACCGCCCCATGACCCGTCCTCAGCCCGCAAGTGGCATCTTCGCTGTTTTTCAAGTACAATGCTGCGTTGGGTCCGCCATACCATGTCCTGGTCGACACCAACTTTATCAACTTTTCCATTCAGAACAAACTCGAGCTGGTCAAGGCCATGATGGACTGCCTCTATGCCAAATGTGAGCAGTGCGGCGATCAAAGTGGCATCTGAGCCGATGAAATCTCGAGTGGCAGACCACCTCGCCTCTTATTGCAAGCTATTTGCTCGGACTGACACGTTGCATCCGGCGCCCGCCACAACTCGACAGGCATTCCCTGTGTCACGGACTGTGTGATTGCCGAACTCGAGAAGCTCGGCGTCAAATATCGGATCGCTCTGAAGTAAGCATCTGGATAGCTGCCTTATATGAGCTCGGCTGCTTCCAGGTCTCATACCTCTGCTAACATTGCACGCGCAACTGCATGGGATTGTGGATAGGGTTGCGAGAGATCCTCGATTTGAGCGACTCCCGTGCACACACAATGGCACCTATGCGGACGACTGCATCGTCAATCGAGTGATGCAACACAAGTGCTACATTGTCGCTACTTGCGATAAAGATTTGAAGAGACGGATACGGAAAATCCCCGGCATTCCGATCATGTATATCGCGAGCCGCAAATATGCCATCGAGCGGCTCCCTGAGGTACGCCCTGCCCTATCACGCCTCTCGTTAGCCTGGCAGCCCTGTGGGGCTGTCGACGGCGGTGTCGACCTATCCTGAGGATCCGATGCTCCGTTTAGCACCCGATACCATCCTTCTTGCAGCGTCCTGCCTCGGTCTGGCGTATGAATTGATTTTTCCGTGTTTGCTCTCCAGGCCCCGATTTGAATCAAAATTGAATCGTAAGAGCGTATACAGACGCCTTCCAATCGAGCGATGCACCCATTCTTGTTGAAAGCAGACCTGCACCCAAATCGGACTTGCGCTGTAGGTCGCATGATCACGACCTGCCGAATGACCGTCTGTCCTCGTGCGCGATCCTGGGAGTGACATCGCGAATACATCCAGCCGATGCCCACGGGCGATGATTGACTGCCACACCGGGATCATGTTCAAGACGACAGTGAGATTGGGTGCGGAGTGTAGTGGGTATATCAGATCGTCGGGACAGATCCGTAAATTGATCATGTGGGTAATCCCGCCACCAACAGAAAATAGAGCAGGGGCGCTAAGTACGAGATGCTCTGTTATTACAGTCTATCCAGAAAGAAACGGGACAGTTCCTTCCTGGCTTCGGATGTCTGAAGCCCGCTGACTGACTGTAGGTCCAGCGGGCAGGCCGTGAGATTGTTTCCCGTCCTGGTTGGCAATCTCTTTGTTTTGATTGGTTTGGGAAGCACAGTCTTGAATACACCCGGTCGATCTCCTGTGGCGATGATCGACTGGCAGTATTGAAAATGCCCAGTCGATCTCCCGTGGCGATTATCTGTGTCGATGGTTGGCCGGCGTTGATGTTACGCTGCAGGAGCGCAATGCATGCTTTCGATCGCCGGGAGAGCTCCGTGGGCTCACGATATCAGAGGAGTCGAGCGATTCGGGTCGCTTGGCCTCCCATGATGGACACATTGCTTGTTCATGGTGGAAGTGTATCGAGGACCCAGAAAACGGCAACCCTCCCTCAATACACAGTGTCCCGTTTCACTGATTGTGCTGTATATACCGGAATATACCTTGCATGGCTCTCCAAACGATACACGGCTCGAAGACGTGCTCAATAGACTGGGGGTGGGCTGCTCGTGTGCCTCGAGTCCATCGGCATGTCATGTGCCCGTGGCCTGTCTGTCCATGCTTGAAATCTCCGCTCGTTGCAAGGGGCGAAGCCATTTTCCGATCGGCCTGGCCTGCCCAACAGCTCTGGCTTCACCACCGACACAACCCACAACAGCACACCCCGCACCGAGACGCAGATGGGTGTCCAAGGTCTTTGGAGCCTACTGGAAACGGCACACAAACCCGTCCGCCTGGAGACCCTGGCCGGCAAGCGTCTTGCTATCGACGCCAGCATCTGGCTCTATCAATTTCTCAAGGCAATGCGGGATAAGGATGGCAATTCCCTCAATGGAGCGCACATCGTTGGCTTCTTCAGACGCATCTGCAAACTTTTGTTCTACGGCATCAAGCCCGTCTTTGTATTTGATGGGGCCGCCCCGACCCTCAAGCGAGTGACCATTGTAAGATCGCTGGATGACGGCCGCCCCGATCTTGCGTGCGAAGTCGACATGGCTTTCGAAGCGAACAACGCCGTATTTTGACTGGCCTGCCGGCTTTCCTGGAGTTGAATGAACGCCACTGATCCTGTGTGAGTTGCTTTTCTGCCCAGTCCAACAGAAGACGACGGAAGGCGGACTCGGCAGCCTCTCTCAAGAAGACAGCGGAGCGGCTACTTGAAGCACGGCTGATGCTTCACAGCCTCTCGGGTTCCGACGAAACTCGAGAGTAAGTCCAAGCTTTTATCGCCCCTCGATCTGGCGGGCAGTGCGACTATAAGGAGGCGCTGGGTTAAACTTGCTTACTTATGGTTATGTCCACCGGCTCTAATGTCACGGCCAGAGTCATTGCTGCCGAAGCAGATGGAGCGGTGCCGTTCGGCGATCAGTTGCGTTCGCTCATCGGACAGCCAAGCAAACGAAAGAGGGACATGTTTGAGCTCGCTTCCGGAACGGGCAATGCCCAAAGGTATTATCGATCAAAGTGACACCTCTGTTATCGGCCGATAGCTGGAGCCAGCAATTGAAGGATGTGCCGGCCACAGCCCCGATGTGACTGAGGACTGATCAGAGCCCGCAATTTGGACGGTTGCAGCATGCCAGAGCTTGATCCTCGGATATCCACCGAGCAGGACCTCCGCAAGTTTATCAGCTCACACTCGACCGACCTCGATCTGACCTCCGTGGATATCGATGCACAGTCTTTCAAGCTCCTGCCCGTTGAGCTTCAGTACGAAGTTATTTTGGACCAGAAGACAAAGTCCCGCCAGGCCAATTTCGAAAGGCTGAGTGAGATGGAAAGCGCTTCAAGAAACTCGCTTGATTTTTCAAAGCTTCAGATCCGAAACTTGGTCCATCGGAACAGACTCACTGAGAAGCTGAGCGATTTTTCGCGGACAGCTGGCGTGGTGCAGATTTCAAGACAAACTCGCAACAAGAGGCAGAAGAAAGAGATACAGCATCGGATCGCTGCCGAACGTGGGCGCGAGTACGTCCTCGTCAAGGATGAGGCCGAGTCGTCGAAGGGCGGCTGGACGATGAAGGCTCTTGAGCCACAGAAAGTCGTTCTTGTCAAGAGCACCAAGGAGATTGTCGTCCTTGATGATACGGATGATCAAATGCACGTCAACTCGGAGCCGACGCTGTCCAAAACGGAACATGGACAAATGGATAGCCGCCACATGGCGAGTCCAATCTCCATCCACGATGAGACCGACAGCGCCGCCGGAGCCGATGGTGACTCTGACACAGGCCGGAAGGATAGAACCAGAAGTATCTCGGACCGCATGAGCGCCATCAAAGGCGACGTCAGCATCGAAAGCGATACTGAGGAAGACGAAGACGATGATTTTGTCGAGGTTGAAATAGGTGGGGGCTCAGACCACCGACCACCTCAAGGCGAGCCTGATGCCGCTGGAGATAACATGGGAACAGCTGTGCATCACGATGATGCTGAAGGTAGGACATGATCGAGCTCCTGGTATGGCGAGTTGAAAGGGAGTCTAATCACCTGAAAATTGCATACCTTAAGGGCGCGAGTATCGACCCGCAACACTACTCGAAATGGATGAGGATGAGGATGAGCTTCAAACAGATCCATCAAGTTTCCTCCGGTACTGGCAGGGACTTGCTCCGCCAGAGTTTGTTAAGGAATTTGCCGATAGCGATCTGAAGATGGAGCATGCGTTGTTCAAACACACACTGCAAGATGGAATGGATGAGCTAGCTTTGGTGAACAAGTCATTGGGGAAACTGGCTCAAACGGATGTGAATCACGAAAGGGCAGTAGCCTTGCTATTCTGGAAAAATTATTTAGCGTCCGTGGTTGAATGGAAAGTTCACTCAGATTTCAGCACCAAATCAGCTGCGCACCATTTGATGGATCGGCCATCAACACAGAATTCCACGCCCCATGGCAAACCCAGTGTCGAACCAGCCGCCTTATATGCGGACTCAGGAGACGACGAGTGTATGATCCAGGCCTACGATCCAGCACCAGGTTTGGCTGTGGTCACCGACTCACATCAATCGGTCAAATCGACCATGATCATCTCATTCAGCGATGATAGCGATGACGATGATGGCGATATACGGGCAACCAGCGGTGATATACCAATATCAAGGACAAAGCAAAACTCGGTTTGTGGCCTTGCTTCGGCGCCAAGCAGCACACGACCTCTGGCTCTCAAGGAAAGTCAAACCACAGCAAATATAATTGCACATGCGCACGATGGGCAATCAAGCAAAAGCCACGGAGCGGAAACCTCTCTCGAAGATATAGTTCGCTGGCCCATGTTGGCGGAAGCCGTCGACCACCGCCATTTTAATGAGAGCGGGACTCAAGATGCTGACCTTGCGGAGCAAACAAGATTCATTCATGAAGCCAACATTGTTCCGACAATGTTCTCCCCAATATCTTCCCACAAACGCGGAGAAGGAGCCCTCACGGCCTTTCCCGGAACGAAATGCATACAGATGGACCAAGATGACCAGAGAAACCCCAATGACACCGCGGTAAGCACCCCAAGCGCATCAATATATGAACGACAGCGGAATCTAGTCAATTCTAATACATGGCTCCCGCGACAATCATTCGCCGCTCACATATTTTGACTGAAGGCAACTTGGTCGACCCACGACCCAGAAGCTGGGAGCCGAAAATTGGGAGTTGACGTCGAGGCGATCGAAGCAGAGAGGGCCGCTGCCCACGCCGACCTGGAAGCTGATGAAGAGGAGCGTGCGGCTTCTGCTTCCTTGGAGATGGAAAGTAACGAATTTGCCCGGTTTTTCGCGGAATTGAGCAACAGAAGCGTCAACGATGTTCAAAGTGAGCTCCAGTATGAAATCAACTCACTGAGCATGAAGAAGCAGAAAGATGAACGCGATGCCCACGAAGTCAGCTCCGATATGGTCAATGAAACAAAGGTATCGGCGCGAGTAAATCTGGAATCAATTTATACGAGGGCTCAATCGGTTGCAATCGGTCATTGACGATTCCTAATTTTGATTTCCATTCCAGGAACTTCTGACACTATTTGGCATCCCATTTATCGTGGCGCCAATGGAAGCTGAGGCTCAGTGTGCGTTTTTACTGCAAGAATCACTGGTTGATGGCATTGTGACCGATGACTCGGACGTATTCTTGTTTGGAGGAACGAGAGTCTACAGAAATATGTTCAACCAGAAGAAATTTGTCGAGTTCTACGAATTGGAATCAATCAACGAGACGATGAAGTTGGATCGCCTCAAGTTGATATTTCTTGCGTTCTTACTTGGAAGCGATTACACCGATGGAGTACATGGTATTGGAATCGTCCGAGCCATGGAGATCCTGGAAGAGTGGGTTGGGGCATCAATCGAGTCGGCCGAGCAAGGCATCAAGGGACTGCAAGAGTTTAGAGATTGGTGGAAACTTGTCAGACACGGCGAAAAGCCAAACACAGCTTCGCCTGTGCGACGAAAATTGGTGAGAAATTCACAATCCACATCGCCAAGTTTGAGCGATGCGCCATCTAGTTTGCAGTCAAATGAAGCGACTCGGCTGATGAAACTAATGCTGGATATCGGGCTGATAACAGTTGCCAATAGCGAGAAAGAGTGCAATTCCTGATGGATTTCCAGACCCAGCCATTTTAGACGGATACCTTCATCCGGTCGTGGACACGGAGACTCAAGCATTTCAGTGGGGCTTTCCGCAAATTGACGCCTTGGAAGACTATTTGGGGGACCGGGTTGGCTGGGGCCCCAAGCAAATCAAGGACGTCCTGATTCCGGTGATCAGGGAAATGAGCAAGAAAGCACATAGCCAGCAGACGACCCTACAGGCGTTTTTCAAGCCGATCGGAGATGGAAAACACTCCAGCCAACGCATCCAGAGCGTTGTCGAGAAATGGAAGCGCCGAGATGCCGGGCGAAAACGAGACGACAAATGACGGATATAGGGATTCTGGGACGGCAACGTACAAGGGGGAATTTGGGCCGGGTTCAAATCATTCTGCAGTTTGAATACAAATGGAAATGCTTTCAATGCCCCCCACACAATCGCCATCAAGGCGATCGAAACGGCCCGCGAATTGGGTCGTCAACCAAGAACAAGACGGTGGCGTGTGCAGAATCCCCTGTGAGCGGATCCGCGTGATGATCTCGAAAGAATTACCGACTGCGAATCGATCCATCAGTGTCGTCGGAGTTGTGTGGGTGGTAAGGTCTGCTTGGATGATTCAAACGGAATGAGAGGACTCGAAACAGATCCAGAAGTTGTCTGGTAACGAATAGACAGGCAGGACGAAGCTTGTGCGTGGTGATGGGCATCATAATCACGAAGTAACTCGAATATGTGCCAGCAAACAACCTGGCGAGACAAAAGCGCTGGTTTACACCACGTCCATCGACTGTCGCTTCATTGCGATTGCTATTCTAGTAGATAGTACTAATACAGCTGTGAAACGTTCCCAATGAATTGTGAGTGATTTGAAGCGACGTTGTAGGGTGAATCAATGAATGGTTTGTGAATCAAAAGCCAAGGTCAATAAATTGCGAGAGATGGACGAGGAATTGATAAGTACATTCCAAATGTGTAAATGTGGAAAATGTCCAATGGGTACAGGTGAGGAAATGACGGTAGAAACGGGATAAATCTTCATTCCAAAGCAACCAGCCGAGGAGCGAAGGAGTGGCAATCATGCTTCGCGACTATCGCGGTCTTGGAAGCAACAAGGAGTCAGAAGCGGTCAGGAGCTCAGGAACTTGGAGGGGAAACTCAAAAATGGGACAAATAAAAGAGGAAGTGGCAGAGGTACGAAGGATGATGGAAGGAAGGATATCGATCAGATTGATGATAGAGAACGTGGCGGCGATGATAAACGACGAAAATCAAGAGGGGATTGATATTTGAATGGAAGTTAACGTTCGCCTCGCAATTTGGCGGAATAGATACTCCGACGCTGTATGCGACGATAGATATTACAACTGTGACGGGCAGGGCAGGAGAGAGGCGAGCACAGGACGTAACGAGGGGCAAATTCATAGGGCAAGGAGAAAAGCGGAAGGCGATCGGGGCAAGCTGGGTTAAACGGCGTTGTTTGCCTGCTGGTTTATTGAGGGGCCAAAAACCAGCAGCTTTTATCTGCAATGGCGGACATCCCGGTGGGTGCCTGCGGAAGGCAAACGGGTGGGGCGCAGTACAGCTTGGTGCTGGAAGCTTCTCCAGCCCTCCGTGCTGCGCTCTGTAGCACGTTCCGTTACATCACCTCCCTCTCAAGTCCTCCCCCTACGCTCTCAGCACGATGTTGATAAAGTTGTCCGTGGTGTTTGTCTGGATAGCGTTCATGAAACGCGCGGACGACATCCGGGGCATTTGTGCAATTCTCCTCAGGTCCCACGCGTCCTCCTCGGGTCCGTACCATTTCCATCGTATGAGGTATTCCACGCGTCTACCTCTCATGTGTGCGTCCAAGATGCTCTCCACTTCATACTCTTCATGGTCTTCAATTGCGATGGGTGGTGGAGGGGCAACTGTTCTTCCTGGAATCGTGTTCGCATGTACTGGCTCGAGGAGCGAGACATGGAACACCGGGTGGACCTTGGACATCGACTTTGGCATCTGGAGGCGATATGCGACTTCGTTGATACACTCGATGACCTCGAAGGGGCCCAATCGTTTCCAAACCAATGTGTCACATGGTCTCTGGGTCCTGATGTTGCGCCTCGATAACCATACCTTGGACCCCACAAGAATGTTAATGGCCTTGCGGTGTCGGTCGGCGTAGCGCTTTTGCTTCTCTTGGGCTCCACGAAGGTGCTGTTTGAGGTCGTCGAGCACCTGCTCGAGATGCTGGACGTGTTCCTCAGCTGCCGGAATCTTAGATTATGTTATGGTCTTGAAGTCGCACACCGGATGGAAGCCATGGTTTGCATAGAACGGGGTCGTTTTGGTGCTCGCATGCACCGAGTTGTTATATGCGAACTCCGCCAAGGGGAGAAGGGATGCCCAGTCATCCTGTTGATAACCGCAGCAGCAGCGTAGGAGCGACTCGAGGACGCTGTTGACTCTCTCTGACTGTCCGTCAGACTCGGGGTGATAGGCACTCGACAAATCGACTGACGTTCCCAGGAGCTCGCGAAATCGTTTCCAGGAGGCTGACTTGAACTGGGGGCCTCGGTCCGAGACGATGGATCTCGGGGCCCGTGCTCCCAGAACACAGTGTCGACGAAGAGCTTGGCTGTCTCTTCGGCTGTAATTGCGATGTTGCAGGCGCGGAAGTGGGCCATCGTTGTCAATCTATCGACAAAGACCACGATGGCGTCGTAACCCTCGGATTTCGGTAATTAGACGATGAAATCCATGGACACTGCACTCCATGGCGCTTCTGGGATCGGGAGCGGTTTAGCAACCCGTAGGGTGTGTGTCGGACCGGCTTGGCGCGACAGCACACCTCACATGACTTGACCTAGTTGCCCGCTATCTGGTGCATCCTGGGAAACCAGTAGTTTCGCGTGATCAGCTCGATGGTTTTTTCCCTCCCAAAATGCCCCCGCGGTCTTCGAGCCATGACAATCTCGGAGGACTTCGAGCTGAAGCTCCGTTGTTGGGATGTACAGCAATTCGTCGCGGTAGAGGAGGCCATCGACAGACTTGAATGCCTTGTGCATTGGCTTGGCGGGATCTGCCATCACTTCTTGCGCCTATTGGTTGGATGACAGTGCTTGCTTGACTCTCTCTTCGAACTCTGTGAGTGACTGTGCCTGGAGGGCCGCGATCCGGAAGTGCTCTGGCCTGAGCATCGCTTGTCTCTGTTGGAGACGTGCAGGATCGTCCTCGGCAAGCTCCAGCTGAGGCTTTCGGGAGAGGGCGTCCGCAACCACCACACCTTGCCGGGCTTGTATACAATTTCAAAGTCGAACTCGGTCAGGAACATGGACCATCTCGCTTGACGGCGGTTGAGTACTCGGCTGGTTGTGAAGTACACAAGGTTTCGGTGGTCGCTATGTACTATGGTCTTGTGCTTGGAGCTGGCTAGGAAGTGGCGCCACTCCTTCATAGCGGTGACGATCGCCAGGAGTTCTTTGTCGTATATCTCGTGGTTGATCTCGGGGGCTGTGAGTTTGCGCGACCAGTAGCATGTTGGATGTACACTGCCGTCTGGTCCTTCCTGACAGAGCACGGCGCCGATGGCAAAGTCACTGGCGTCCGTCTCAACGATGAACGGTAGGTCTGGGTTGGGATGCGTGAGCACCGGTGCAGTGGTGAAGGCTTCCTTGAGACTATCGAATGCGCACTGGGCAGTTGCGTCCCAGTTGAACTTGTTGTTCTTTCCTGTCCTCTTGTGTAGTGGCGCAGCGATGCCACTGAAGTTGGCGATGAATGACCGGTAGTAGTTTGCTAGGCCAAGGAACATTTGGAGCTGCTTCGCCGAGCGTAGAGCCTCCCAGTCGAGGACGGCTTGGGCCTTTTTAGGATCCATCTTGATGCCGCGGGTGTTGACGATGTGGCCGAGGAACTCTCCCTCGTCCACATCGAACGGGCATTTCTCTAGTTTGCAAAAGAGTCAGTTAACCTCAGCTGCTCGAGCACGAGTTGTACATGTGCCTCGTGCTCAGAGGGTTGTCCGAGAAAACTAGTATGTCATCAAGGTAGATAGCGGTGCAGTGCCCAAGGTCCTTGAGAACGTGGTCCATGAGTGCTTGGAAAGTAGCTGGTGTGCCTTGGTGGCCAAAGGGCATGACGAGGTGCTCGAATTGTCCAAGGGGACAGGTGAAGCTCGTCAGCCACTCGTGGTCCACCGCTATCCTCACGAGGTTGTAGGCCCCTCGGAGGTCTAGCTTGGAGAACACGCGAGCTCGTCGAACCTTGCGGAACATCTCTTTGATGTTGGGCAACGGGTAGGATTGCTTCTTGCACAGGTGGTTGAGTCGACGGTAGTCGACACACAGTCTGAGTTCCCCTGACTTCTTCTTTACAAACAGGATCGGTGCTGCGACAGGGGAGATGCTTCGGTGGATGAAACCTTTGTCCAGATTATCCTTGATGTAATCTCGGAGCGCACTCATCTCGTGCTCCGTCAAGGGGTACGCTGACCCTCGGGCCGGAAGCTTGGAAGGATCAGTGAGCTCCACCTTGTGATCCCAGGGGCGGCGATCAGGGAGATGATTAGCCTCCTGAGAGCTGAATACATCTGCGTAGTACGAGTACTTGTCTGGCACACCCTGCGACTCCCTCGGAGATTCCAAGTCGAGTGCACTTATCAAGTATAGTTGGCCTTGTTTCATGGCTCTCTTGAAACCAGAAGCGCCAACCAAGGATACGAGGGGGGCCTGGATTGATTTGATATCTGTGGGTCGCTGCGGAGGAGGTGTTGGCTCACAAATTGTATTCTGTCCGCACGAGCAGGACTCGAAATTGATCCTCTGTGCGCCCCATTGGAATTTCGGGTTCGTGCGTTCTGGGCTACGGGTACCCTAGAATTACTTCGTGAAACGGAGGCGGATGAGCTTGACGCTGACAGTTTCTTGGTGTCCGTCAATGTTGAGCTCAAGGGGAACCGTTTCGTGGGTGATGCCGCCGGATGCGAGAATCTCGCCATCCACGGCGCGGCCCTGTACTGGGCGATCGAGGAGCTGGGTGGGGACACAGTGTTGCTTGGCGACATCGATGTCCATGCAGTTGAGCTGCGATCCCGAATCGACAAAGGCTTTGACGACGAAGCTTGTCACTCCGAAGCGACAGGTCGTCAGAATCTCGAGGCTGCGCGGGATGGGTCGGTCCGGCGGACTGGTTGGGGGCTTGTCCCTGGATGATGGAGGATCAGGAGGCTTGGGGTTTGGGGAGTCCGACGGGGCTCCTGCGGTGGCCATCGGACTTACTGAAAATCCGGTCTTGCGGGGCACGACTTGGCATAGTGCTCCTTCTCGCCGCAATACAAAACAATCCGAG